TGTATGCTGTATACTGTATGTGTATGCTGTATACTGTATGTGATCGGTCCGGGGGTTCGCCCTTGGATACTCTGTACTCTGTACTGCACTACACGTGGAGGTACGTACATGGATTTGATTACTACGAGGATGGCAAGTGAAGCTACTACTGCGCAGTAGCAGGTTTGACTTCAAGGGGGCCACGCAAGCAATACCGTGGAAGAAAGGTTGGTATTGGAAACCCTTAGTCTTCCGTCTCCACCGCTTTGAGCTGCTCGGATTTTCAAGCTTTCATGACTCCTGGCCCAACCTCACCAATTCACTCAAAAAGTCCTCGCCGTTCACCAACTCCGTACTCCCGTAGACGACCCGCCTGGCACGGGCTTGAGTATTACCTAACCCGGCGCCGCCTCTCCCGTCAGTCCCCAGTCCGCTTGTCCGCCTGGCCCATTCCTGTAGGTTGCCGTATTCGTCCATACTCCCTCCCCCGACTGTGAATACGATCGCTTCGGAATAGCCCTGCCGTCGCTGGCCGAAACTAGGGTTCACGCCCGCTTGGCTTCCCCCTTGCCCACTGCCTGTACCTGGTCTTGATGGGGCTGAGCCACCACTCCCAGCGATGCCCCGCGCGTGGGCCGAGCGAGGATCAAAGTATAAATATCCCTCGGTCTTGGCGATCGCACTGGAACTCGCTGCTGGCGGGTCCATTATTGACTCGACGATCTTTGTGACCGTCAGATCACGGTTCGCGGGGAGGAAGTTCTTCACGCCGGAAACGAGTGATTCGAGGTTCACATTACCGAACGTGGTGCCTAGAGCGGTCGAGGAGAGTTTATCGGTGAAGTTTTTGGAAAGGGCACCGAGGCCGCCAAAGAGAGGGACGGAGGATTGTGGTTGCGAGGTGTTGCTTGGAGCGGCTGACGAGAGCATGCTTCCCTTCGTTTCCAGGCGTACGTTGGATATGTGTTTTATTGCGGCCACGGCATCGCCAGCACCGGCCGTAGTCAATGCGGATTCGAATTCTTGGAGCTCAGATTTCGACGGTTCGCGGTCCACGCTCAGATACCATATGATAAAGATCCGAAGCTTGTCGAGCGCGTTGTTGCCCTTGTCGTCGGACTTGATCAGCGCGAGCATTTGATCGGCCGTTTGTTTCGTGATATTCTCTTCTAACTGGAAGAAATTGTCGAGTTGGCGGTCTTTGATTCCTTTGAGCAGCGCGGTTGCGATGTTCATGTGCATATCTAGGGTCGCCTTTCTTTCTCGCAGTTCGGGCAGCAGTGTTATTGCTGCCTTGAGGTGTGCGGCAGAAGCGGAGCCGCTGTCATTAAGATCTTCAATGCTGTTGACTCCCGTCTTTTTGGTCACTTCTTCGGCGTCCGCTTTGTATTTTGTGAGCTCCTTGTCGATATCCTCGGCCACCTGAGGGAAGGGTGCACTGGCGTTGCGAGCCCAGAAGAAATCGCTTGCGTTGAGATCATATGCTCGAGGTTTTGCTTGCGGGTTTGTTTCGTCTGCGACGTCGACTGTAATGCGGTTGAGGTGCATTTTTAAGACGTCATGGACGAGGGACTGGTAGGTCCAGGAGTGGGAGAGCATTGGCACAAGGTCGACGTTTCGATCAAGAATTATGAGGACGGGTCTAGAAGGTGCGGAGTATAGGTTGGCCCCCGAGGCCTTTGAAGAAAATAGGTTGTCTTTCGAATTGAGGACGTGATCTCGCAGTTTTCGGTCGAGCTTGGTCGCGATCATCTTTGCCAGCTCTGTCGGTGGACATCGTATAATAGGGACCGAGCCCATTGTGACGCTGACGCTGAACAGCCCGCTCACTATCCGATCAATGGCCGCATCTTGAGCCTCCTCTTGAACCTTTGCACTGTTGAATGTCCAATAGGACTCCTTTCCCATTCCAAGGCTGAACAAGTCCGGCTCGGCAACGATGAAATTCAGGTATTGGTCGTAGACTTGTGCGACCGATTCCGCGGTATCGGTCGAGGCCATCTGCGCCGCAAAGTCTTCGAGAAGAGTGCGCGGTATCGAGGAAATGAAGTTGACATAGGCCGGGCTGTACAGGCCCCGGGCGAGATCGGAGCATATGAGCTGGATGTTTTCTTGTGTAGGTTCGACAAGGTAGAGGACCGGCACATCGGGGATAGGGTACCGCGGAGAGTTTATGGACAAATGTATCGTGACACCTTTACTGCGAAGGTCGTTGACACGTAAGACGCTGCTGATGATATCTCGTCCAAGGTTGTCGAACACGAGGACTTTCCATATGGGTTCTCCGTTCTCGTTGAGAAGAGCAGGCGATGCAGAGGTCGTTGTGGCGTCGCCGTTGGTGGTCGAGGACTCATCGTGATTCAGGCTTAATATTCGTTCAATGGATGCTGGGAATGGTGAGTCTTGCAGCCGCAGAGGGGGTATTGCAAGGATGTAGCCCACCTATCTGACGATCGCGCAGTGTCTGAGTCCGGGTAGCCATGGCGGCAGAGAAAATGTGTGCGCAGGCAGATGATCAGTATATCGGTGTGGGTGGGTTTTCATCTTGGACTTTCCGGTCTCGCGGCAAAGACACGCCTTTGCATCGTGAAGGAAACAGTAACAGTGGGTTGGTAAGGCTCCTCCTGAACCAAGTCCTTGGTGCTGGTATAGGCATTGCAGGTCAAAGCATATGCGGTCTTGGCGAGACTGACGGCAATCTGTCATTTGCGGCGCGCTAGTTCCAGGCGCCAGCCCACTTCGGTTTAGGCGAAAACCACCCATCTCATTCAATCTCGACTCCCTCACTTGACTTCTCTCTCACTTCTTCCTTACACACCACTCACCCACGATAACACCCGCTTTCCTCTCCTCACTCTGTAATCTTGTTCCTCGACTCTCTCGGACAGTGGTCTGTAATAAGTGACATTGAATGGTCTTCCATTTTGCATTTTGCGTCACGCATGGGCTGGAGTCAGGGTGTTGAGATTGGCGTGACGGCAGCGTGTTTGCGCAGCATCTAATATTGATTGATCGCGCCCTGAGAAGTCTTGTACGGCTCATCGGTAACGGGCGGACTATGTGCATCTAGTGCCTTGTTCTCCAGGCTGGTCAAAACTAGAAAGTGCGTCTGGATTGAGAGGGTTGTTTGTTCCAAGACGATCGAAAAAACAAGGGGGCGGGCGGTTACTGCAGGCTTCTGCGTGCAGGCAGCCCAGGCATTCAACCACCACCATCGGGTTCCAGGTTTCTGGACTGGCAGCACAATAACCTAACCCACTGCGTACCGGAACGGCAATTAATATTCTACGATACCTCTACAGCCTCATATCCTCATCTCGCGCTGCAGGCCGGCTGTCGCCGCTGTTCCTTTCATGCAGCCGAGAGCGCGCGTTGCGGCCTGTGAGTGGCAACTTTTCTCGGCATAAGCCAAATTTCTCCTTCGCGCCAGTCAGCACCGTTAGGGTTTGGTCAGCCTCACGTGCCTCGACCCAGCACGTGATCTTGCTTCTCCAATTCTCGCTTAATGCTCGACTTCGCCATGAATCCATCCACCAACATGAACGGCTCACAGCATGCCAAGGGTCAATCATACAACATGCTCGATGGCATCCAGTCGTATGCCGGCCCAGAAACACTTCAAAATGGAGAGGATCTTTCCCGCTTTTTCGATCCCGACCTCTTCGAGTCTACTGCAATTGGCAAAGGCTTCTCGCAGCCGTCGCTCCCCAGATCCGACGCAGGGGGTGGCCGACAGTCCCATACGCCAGACATGCACCAGTACAGCGCTCCCCAGCAAAATTACTCTCAACCTCAATACTCGCAACCCTTCTACACCACTCAGCAGATGAATCAGTCGTCTTTTGATCCTCGCTTCTACTCGCGACCTTCTCCCACACCAGCCAGTTTCGATGGAGGTTATCCGTACCAGGCCCATGTGGGTTTCACGCCTCAGCATTTCACCTCCCAGCAAATGAACATTCCGCAACGGCAGACTCCTACTCCCACCCAGAGTTATCCCCCGAGACAGCAGCAGCCTGCTCAATTTGTCAACATCGCGCAGCGTCCGTCGCAGCTGTCACATGTTCCCGTGCGTCACCAAAGCACTCCTCTTTTTGAAATTCTTCACTAACTCCCATTCAGGGCGCCGATATGATGCGCTTTGGATCTTTCCATGTCCAAGATCAAGCCCAGCCGCCGTCGAATCGGTTCGTGGATCCGTCCATGTTGACTGCGAACCAGCCCACAAACACAAGTAGGGCTCGCAACACCCCTTAGAAGAGTTTCCTCTGACGATTGACAGGTACAAAAAACGGCAACCACACTTTCCAAGCCCAACAATCTTACCTACCGTCGTCTTACTTTAACCCTGGACCTACCGTGGACCCGAGATCATTGCAAAGTGCACAATCGATGCCTTCCGCAAAAATGCCCCAGCCGGGTAAGGAGAACCGCCCAGATTGTGGACCTTGGCTGACGAAAACAGTGGTAATCGTACCCAAGCTTGAGCAAGCAACGAAGCCTGCGGCCGCCAAAGATCCAACTGCGCCAAAGAAGCCACGAGGTCGACCGCGGAAGGACGCTTCTGCACAAGCTGGAGATCAAGCTGCTGGGTCTGCGGCGTCTTCTGACGATGAGCTAGAGATCGAGGATGAGGAACCTCCAGAGATGACCCCAGCCCTCCTTGCCGTGTCCATGCCAGCCGACGAACGTGGGAGAGCTCTCTATCGTGCTGTGCAAGCTGTCTGGAGTCCTCGCAACAAACCAGTTGACCCCGAGAAGGTTCGTGGCGGTATTGCTAACTATGGTGACACGATTCGAGGCTTGAGAGATGCCTGGAAGACCAAGAACGAAACTCTTAGAAAGGCTGAGCTGCCAAATTCACCCACGGCTGCAGAAGCTGCTCGATTGAAGGAGGAGGTTGCGCGCTATCGACAAGTCCTGGAAACGGTCATGCTGAGATCCTTGCAGTACAGCCACCCAGCGATTCTCAAGAGGTATGTTGAATCCCGTGCTTTCGTGCATGTCCCTTTCTATCCCCGTGCCCGGCAAAATATCCGTCGTGACTTGCGCCCAAGTGGACCGAAGCCTCCGAGTAAGGCAAAGATCTGCATTATCTTGTCCTGCGTCAACTCGGTGTCATCCCGGCTCTAAGATGTTACGAAGGGCCCGGAACACACTTGGTTATTGCATAATCCACATGTCCATAGCTCTACGTTGATAGATAGTCTACAATGGCTTCCTCCGTGACTCGCCAGGCGTGGTGTGAGGTGATCACGGCACCTTCTATCTGACATACCGTCCTATAACATTTACTGATAATGTCGCTCAGACTAGGTGAAAATCAATTCACAATGTCAGCGTTGTCCTCCTTCATCCTCGACAGAATCAATGTTTCGGATTTCGACAGTCCACTCACCAATGCAATTCTCAGGGTATGACAATCTTTCGACTGTGGTGCCGAGACAATGCTAATTCACGTTATTAGTTTGTCGTCAATTTCGAAACACTTGACTCGGAAATGCTGGAAATGACGAAGCTGTCGAAGATCCTGCAGCGACTAACGAAGAAAGCGACATCCGATATCAAGACTCTGGCTCAAACGGTTCTCGATAATGCTGCGGCTGCTTCGGCAAAGAAGGCTGCCGCTGGTACCGAGAAGAAGTCTGACAAGCCAGGCTCACCTCGCTCTGTTGGCAGTCCAGCAGATGGGTCACGGAAGGATGTGAGCGCTGGGACAAAGCGTGCCAGAGAGGGTGAGGCATCTAGTCAGCCTGCCGCGAAGAAAGCTGTTAGAGTCATTCCCCAGGCTTCAAAGCCTCTTGCTGTGCGACTGGAAGAGAAGAGGAAGGCAGAGGAGGCGGCTAAACGCGCAAAGACGGGGGAGAAGACCGCCGCGGCCGCATCAACGGCGGCGCCCAGTACTTCAGCTGCCAACCCAACCACAAAATCCAAAGTGGCGGTCACTGCTCCTCCGAAGGCTTCTATCTTTGCGGCTTTAAGCTCCGTTCCCAAGAAGCCAGGCACCTCAAATGCCGAACGGGCCGCGGTAGCTGCGAAGGAAAAGACAAGCCCAGCCGCTGGTCCTTCTGTGCCCTCGCGGACGCTCAAAAAGGAATCACCTCCGCGCAACGTTGGGCCTACGCCAGTCGCAAAGAGCGCAAGCTCATCCTCCTTTTTGGGCGTCTTGCTGGACATGGAGAAGAAGCCAGACAAGGAGGTGAAGAAGGAAACGGAGATCCCGAATGAGACAGAAGAGCAAAAGATGAAACGGCTGCGTAAGGAAGCCCGACGGAAATTGAGAGTGGCATGGAAAGCGGACGACAAGCTCGTGGAGACTCGTTTCTTCACTCATGATCCGGACGAAGAGCTTGGCCAAGGTGACCGCCTCAAGGCTAATGCCGGCGGCGGCCGTGAAGGTGAAGCGCTTAAGCTTCACAAAAACATGGAAGACCTGGATGATGAAGAGGACGAGGACTCGTTTGAGGAATTTGAGCCGTACACACCGCCCTCCGAAGTGGACTTCACGTATCTCGAAGACCCTTCGCTTGGCGACGATTCACCACACAAGACTAATTCTCCGAAATTCGGGGGCTCACTGAGACCCGAAAGTCGGAGCAGGGAGGCCCAAGACAAATACGAACAAGACACACTCATGGCGATCTACACGTCCAAGGCCGATCGGCCACCGACCCCCAAGGAGCCCACGGAAGAGGAGGATTTCGAGCCTGCCGAACCCGAAACTCCCTTTGGTGAACCGACCGAGCTGACGCGTGAGCGCGAGAAAGCGCACCAGGCACGACAAGTCCGAACAGTCCCTCAGCCATCGATCGACCTGAACGCACTGGCTCAAGCCATGGCCGCGCAGCAGAGACCCCAGCAACAATCTGCCGGACTCACGCCGGAACTCCAGCGTGCTCTGGGCATGTTCGCTCAACCGGCCCCGCCTACCCCGGTGCCTCAAGCCACGCCTGCTCCGGGCGTGAATCTCCAAGCAATCCTCCAATCCGTCCTTGGTCAGCAAATGCCAAGTCAAACCCAACAGCCAGTGTATCCTGCCACCACCGAATCCGCTCCATTCGCCCAAAACAACCTCAGTGCGCTCTTGGCCTCGATGCAACACGGCACCCAAGGGACGTCAGCTGCTAATGCACTACCGCTCGGCATGGGTGGCAATCCCAACCCATTCCCTGGCGGTGTTGAAGACTCATCGCGCAAGCACGGCCGAAGTGACTCTGACGGCGTCGATGATGAGTATGGCAGAAAAGGCGGCAACAAGAAGAAAAAGGCCGACGCGAAGCCGTACAACTACAAGACTCAGACCTGCACGTTTTGGCAGCAGGGCAAGTGTCTGAAGGGCGATTCGTGCACCTATCGTCACGGCGAGGACGATGAGTAGTTGGGTTCGAAACTGCAGCTTCTCAGCATCGGGAGCCCCTTGCACTTTGATCTGTACAACATCACACATCATGGCGTCACGATTTCTCGCCAAATGAGTTCCGGCGTTCGACTACATGGTCTCGCGCATTTGTTTCCAAAAAGCCAATCCCAATTTCGATCTCGATTCACTGAAGAGCAGGCATGCAAGCACAAGTGTGAATGACAGCATGGGCGCGGTGTTACGAGATGATTCATCTCATCATTTCTTGTATTCACCACACGAGCCGGCGATTAGAATCTCCCACGGTAAGCACAGTGTCTGTGGCCGAGGGTGTGGATGTGGACGCGGGCGTGGCCTGGAGCGTTCATGCTACTACAGTAGATATGTAGCCCATGAACAGCGCAACGTATCAACCAGAGTTTTCCATGCCATGCAATTACTGTGTACTTACTCCCCAGTGATTTGAATTGATCAGAAAGTCATCGAGTGCTGCTCCTCCACGAATCTGTGTCCAGCCTTGCCAAGCATGAGGTCCTCTCCCGTTTTTGATCTACTGTAAATAAGTACCCTCTCTGTCAGTCAAGGTCTCTTCTGACTTTCCTCCGTAATGTTGAGACTGTCCTCGCTCTCCCAAGACATTCCGTATGACGTCCCTTGAACCAGCATCGCCATGCCACATTCGACTTGTCCCCCTCGGCCAACCCATCTCATCATAGTCTGCTGCCACGCCATCTACGTTGGCGGTGAGGGCGGGTGCGCCGATGAAGCGAACTGGCTGATCGAGCCGTTTCAGACCGGCGAGACGGAAACGTATATTCGGCATATTGAGGCCGGGGTGAAGGAGTTGGCGAGAAACCAGGATACCGCGATTCTGGTGTTTAGCGGTGGGGCGACTAAGAGGGATAGGACGGTTAGGAGTGAGGGCGAGGGTTACCTGGTGAGTGCATTCGCAATTCTAGTATACAATCCAAGCAAAGAGTCTTGGTGCAATTCGAGGAGACATGCACGACGTGATGGAGACGCACGCACAGCTGTCCTGCGCACACAGTGTGAAAGGAAAATCCCAGAAGATGGGAAAATGACATGTTAGCGAAGAATACTGTCCTTGTCACGTACTCAACTCCACTGGTAAATGGACGAGTTGATGTCCGCGGGCGAACTCGCCGCGTTTGGCTCAATGACTGGCTGACCGTCTCCTATTTTATTCAAGGCCGTGGCTCTCGAGAAGAACCTCTTCAATCTAGACACAGACATAGATACAGACACATCGCCATCACCATCCACCCTCCGGTCCCGTATTTTCGTCGACCGCTACGCAACAGACTCGTACCAGAACGTACTCCTCCCGCTGATTCAATTCCCGCTGTTCGCGCAAGAGCTCCAGAGCCGACTTCGCGGTGAGGCGGTCTCGGGCTCTTACGACAACCACGACTCACACTCCCAAGCACGTACAATGCCAGCCATAGACGAGGACGGGCATGCGGCCATGGACCCCAACTCAGACGCCAAACTGTCCATCCCAACCTGGCCGGCCAAATTGACCGTGATATCCCACGCGTTCAAACGCCGGCGCTTCCTGAACTTACACGTCCCCGCGGCGCGCTTCCCCGGCACCCAGACGACGTACATCGGGATTGATCCGCCTTTTGAGCCCGGGCGGATGGCGGAGATCGAAGAGGGAGATCGGTTGAGAGGGTATGGTGTCTGGGAAGGAGACCTGTATGGCCTGGGGGCTCTGCTGAGCGGCAAGAGGGAGAAGAGGGGGTGGGACGAGGGCGTCTTCCGCGCCGAGGTCGTCGGCCGGTTTGCCGGCCGGGCGAGGAGGCACGTGGAGGGGGTTTTGGCGTTCAAGGGTCGCGGCGATGACGGGAGGGCGCCTTGGGAGACTGAGTGTGGGTGAGATGGCCTTGGGTGGTAATGGTATGTGAACGGGTCTGGTGGCGGCCGTTCAGAAGGCCAGCGAGCTTCGCCGTCAACGTGGCGATAAGTGTGTGTCGATTCGATGCCAGAGACGGCGCCCTCAATCGGCGCTGGACGTGGTTAATAGACAGATAGGCATTGCTGATGCGAAGGAGCGCGTTGGAGCGTGTCACGCATGTCGTATCACCTCAATGCGATACATTGCATTGGATTCCATTTCAAGAGCTCTGTGTTCGTTTCTTTGTCCTCAGCTATCTCCCAATCGCAACCACTGTACTCTGGTGCTCCTTCATTCGAACGGCGCGCGTTCAACACTCAGCGGCCCAGCACTCAAGACCGCCTTCACCACCTCTACCGCCTCTACCATCCGCTCCACACATCCACACTCTCAACAGCTTCCGCGCTCCCAAACCTCAACCATCCCCTCAACTCCCCCTCCCGCTTGTACCAGGCGAGGTCTCCACCATCGACGACCAACACGCCGGCCCTCGATGTGCTCGAGACGGGCACCACGCGCAACGGAGCAACCACGGACGTGGACACGGGCGGCAGCCGCACGACGGGACGACCAGCAACGGGGCTTGGCGGTGATGGTGGCGGGGATGACGGCGCCAAAGGGGGTGGGATTGGGGTGCGCGAGGGTTCGTCGACGAAAGGTAGGAGTCTCGAGAGAACCCGCTGCGGATGAGGCGCGGGATGTTGGTAGGTGAAGTTGTGATGACCCTGTCCTGGCGCCGGAAAGTGAATGCCGTTCGAGGCAGTTTCGGCCACTTGTCGCAATCCCGACGGCGGTGGTGATCCTCTTCTGAAGGCTGAAAGGTTCCTGAAGTGCTGGAGAGTATGTTGGATTTCGACGCTGGAGCCGATCTTCCTGGCATGCGGTCCATTGAACAGTTCTAGGTACGTTCTGGCGTAGACAGTCTTCCACTCAGTCCGGGACACGCGCTCTTGACCTCCTGGGCCTTGCGTGACTGTCACAATACGAGATAGGTACGGACCGTCGTCCCAAGTGAAATGTGCCGCTGAGGGCCGGTCTCTTGTTCCATCATTCGGAAAATGCACGTTCTTGATTTGAGTCGCGATGTCGGCAGAGGCTTCGCGAAGGATCGCTAAGAGGTGGCCGAAAGGTGTGTCGCGGTTGACATTCAAGAGGATCCGAGTGTTTGAGAGCTCGTCGATGAAGAAGAAGGGCAAGGCTATCGGTGACATTTGAAAGACAACCTCCGTCGGGTTGTTGAAGGTCAGAATGCGAGCCATGAGTTGGTCCAGCGCGGATTTCGGGTCTTTGAGGATTTGGAATCCTTGGAGACGGCTGTCCTGGTACTTGTCGAGAAGCGCGTTCCTGAGAGGATGTTGAAGTTGTAGGAAGAAGTTTAATCTCTCCGCTGGCTTTAATGGAGCCATTTTCCCCTTGGTCTTGATCACAAAAATGAAAAATGAGACAAAATTTGGTGCATCAGTCTTATGCAACTATGGCACTTGACAAGTTTCAAAGGAGTCCGGCAGCAGAGACGGAGCTGCATCGTCGTCAAGGCCACCGCTGTGGGTAAACTTCGGATTGGTGCTGTGAAGTTTTTCAGCTTCGTTCTTTGTTGACGATACATGTCTGCGATGTCTCGTCCTCTTTCCTGTTCAAACTCCATTGTGCAAGAAACCTTCCCCATTTTAATGTTTCAACAGAGACAGAGTCCATCGAAGGGCAGGGTTGACAAAGGCCATGCTGGTTGTGGTGGTGGGACGGTAAGTTAACCACGGAAAGTCGAGTGTTGTCGTGCCATTGTTCCTGCTGCACGCAGGCTGTTTCTGCTTCGAACACTTGGTCTGGCTTCGAAGTCTGTCTCAACTACTGATGGAACGTCTGAGACTTCCGACCTTTGCGAATCTCTTGCGACGCCAGTGCTGTCAGACGGTCAGACAAACACATGCAACCTTTGGGGCAAGGTAAGCAACACCACGTTCATCGCTGTTATTGCCTCGTTTTGGTCGAAAGCGTTGTCCATTGAAGCACCAAGCCCTGGAAAAATACCCAGGCAAGACGTCAGTGGTATGAAACGGAAGGTGTGTTAGTCTGACAATGCACGGAGCATCGAATGCTGGCGTTCCCAATCGAATATCCTGGAGGCCAGCGCTGGAAAGAGCGTTCGCTGGCCTGACCCATGTGGAAACTAACAAGATCGAGGTCCGAGAGGCCGCGGACGGAGATTCGCTGATACGGGCTATGCGACAGACAGCCTGAGTTACTGTCATTCAGCTGTCGGGAATGAGCACAAGCATCCGGACTGGGTGCTCCCTACCGCGGTTACTCTTGTCCACCTCTCTAGCCAAGGGCGGGCTGGATTGATCCCGGTAGTTCCCGGAGGAGACTCAAAGGGTATACAGTTCAGCGTCAATTCGAGCAACTTGCTTCCCTACCCCTTGATCCGGTGGAAGCCACAGGAAGCAATACACGTGCGTAGGTTGTATGCGAGTACGATGATCACGGAGGGCGCATCCAACATGGCATGCAGTGGCATCATCCCCAGCTGCAAGACATGAGTCGGGATGATTAGTCGTCAATGAGGCTCGAGTGAAGTGGAGAGTGAAGTGAAGTGAAGTGAGGTGGTTGGAAAGGCGAGGCTGACGAGTCGGCGGGCCTTCCCGAATTCGCTCAAATCCCCTAAACCTGATTCGGTGGTTGAGGCTTGAGCTGCAACTTGAGCATCCCATCGCCTTCAAAGAGGCGGATTCGCCGACCAACAATTTCTCAGCACATTCGCCTTCCTGCTTCTATACGGCGACTGTAGCGTCTTTGCGACTTTTGGTCGCTTTCCTTTCATTGTTACTACTACCACTCCGACCCTCGACAATGCTCAAGACTCTCGTCCCCCGAAGTGGCCGATCGTTGCTGTCAACGAAAGCTCCGCAGCTAGGCCCTGCGAACCTCCGAACAGCCCCCAGCTTCCAGATCGTCTCGCAGAACCAACAGAGGAGGAGAGGATATGCTTCAGAAGCATCGGAATATGATGTCGTCTTCATTGGTGGCGGGGTTGCCGGCTATGTCGGCGCAATAAAAGCTGGCCAGGAAGGTCTAAAGGTGCGCTTGACTTTGCCCGGGACTCAACGTGGATGGGATTGACACTATGTCGCTAGACAGCATGTATCGAAAAGAGAGGAATGCTCGGTGGCACATGCCTAAACGTCGGGTGTATACCGTCGAAGTCTCTACTCAACAATTCGCACCTCTACCACCAGATCCTGCATGACACGAAAAAAAGAGGCATCGATGTCGGCGAAGTCAAACTCAACCTCACGCAGATGATGAAGGCCAAGGATGAATCCGTGTCCGGGCTGACGAAAGGTGTTGAATTTCTGTTCAAGAAAAACAAGGTCGACTATATCAAGGGCACTGGTGCGTTTGTGGACGACCATACGATTGCGGTAAACCTCATCGACGGCGGCGAGACCCAAGTCCGGGCAAAGAATATTGTCATTGCCACTGGTAGCGAATCCACACCCTTCCCCGGGCTCGAGATCGACGAGAAGAAAGTGGTCACCAGCACTGGCGCACTTGCTCTGACAGAAGTGCCCAAGAAGCTCGTGGTCATTGGTGGCGGTATCATCGGCCTGGAAATGGTAAGAGATGCAACGTATCAAAGGGATGATGCTGGAACTAATACATCCATAGGCCTCCGTATGGTCTCGCCTCGGCGCCGAAGTCACAGTGGTTGAATTCCTAGGGCAGATTGGCGGACCCGGGATGGACGCCGAGATTGCCAAACAAGCCCAGAAGGTCCTCACAAAGCAAGGTCTCAAGTTCAAGCTGAACACAAAAGTCACTTCGGGCGACCCCAGCGGCTCCGGTGTCAAGATCGAGGTCGAAGCCGCCAAGGGTGGCAAGAACGAGTCGTTGGACGCCGACGTCGTACTCGTTGCCATTGGCCGTCGACCATACACCGCAGGCTTGGGCCTCGAGAACATCGGTATTGAGGTGGACGAACGCAAGCGCTTGGTCATTGATCAAGAATACCGCACCAAGATTCCTCACATCCGCTGCATTGGCGATGTGACGTTCGGCCCCATGCTCGCGCACAAGGCCGAGGAAGAGGCCGTCGCCGCGGTCGAGTACATCAAAAAGGGCTTCGGACATGTCAACTACGGCGCCATTCCCTCAGTCATGTACACGCACCCCGAAGTCGCGTGGGTGGGCCAGAACGAACAGGAACTAAAGGCCCAGAAGATCAACTACAAGGTCGGCACCTTCCCCTTCACGGCCAACTCGCGAGCAAAGACCAACTTGGAGACGGAAGGAATGGTGAAATTCCTCAGCGACGCCGAGACGGATCGCATCTTGGGCGTGCATATCATTGGGCCGAACGCGGGCGAGATGATCGCCGAGGCGACGCTGGCCCTCGAGTACGGTGCGTCGAGCGAGGACGTGGCCAGAACGTGCCATGCGCACCCGACATTGGCCGAGGCGTTCAAGGAGGCCGCCATGGCGACGTATAGCCAGCCTATTCACTTCTAGAAACGCCCACGCGCCATGTATGAGAGGCAGAATGAAAGTGGAGGTGATGCTGGAGCGTGCGTTGTTTCCGGGCCTACTAGGGAGCGAATCTTGTTCAGCAATCCGTCGTCGTGGAACGAAAGAAAAAATGTAAATTATGAGCTACAGATTCTGTCCCACTTGTCATCATGATTTGGTGACTTCCTGAATCGAGTCGAGATGCTACTCAACTTAAAGAGGGACGTGCCGTGGTGTAGCAACAGATCTGATGTGGCGCACAGCATCATACACAAACACACGGGCTGGATCCTTGTTTTCGTCTATCTTCATTAACGCTACCTAAAGCTACTTGCAGTACCTTGCGCTTCCCACAGATACTATCATGCCGTAGTGTATCATACACATTAAGAGCGTTCGAGCCGTGAGGTTCGTGCGCATACAGCAAAATCTTCCGCACATTTCATCTTCATAGCGCGCCTCTGCGTCGAACGCATGTGCAGACATCCTTAGTTTCCAGATCAGTTGGCTGCATATGTCGTTTCGAGGCATTCTTGGCTGTTTCCACGAGCGGTCCGGGCTCGTTTTGCTATTTTTTTCTTCATAAAGGATCGGCTGAGAGTGGGTATAACAGAGCCAGCAGAGTGTTGGATGCCAAAGCAGAGAAAACCTGATACGCCGGGTATTTGGTCTCCCAGATGACGCCAGTCCAGCTGAAGACGACTTTCCTCGCAATGAGCAACAGGGCGCAAGATACTTTGGAGAGAGTAGTGGAGCGACGAGAATTCGATAGGTTCCACATTCGTTCAAGGTGAGTTGAAGCGTATCTCTGAGCATACACTACGGGAGACGAACGGGGACCGGGGTCGAGATTCGTAAACCTTGTGTTTGACTCTTTACACCTGTGACATCGCAGGACGCCCACCTCCGCGGCGGAGGGGACCTCTCAGGTTGACGCCGCCCCCACGTGCGTCGAGGAAGGAGAAGACCAGGCTGACCGTCCAAAGCGCCCATGTGAACCAGAGGAATGCGGTGGCAGCCTGTTCTTCGCGGCAACGACCAGCTCTGTTATTGGAGCCGTTGGTTAGGTGATTCCTTAGCGTGTAAGCCTGTGGCAATGGGTCAGTCAATCGTGAATATCCATGCGCAGGTTGAACGGAGTCATACGTCATTGCTGCAGGAGTGCACACCGAGCTCGGCAGCCATGGCAACGGCGGCGCAGAAGAGGAAAATGACATTGAGCAAGTCAATGGTGACGGGGAATATGGGGTGGCCCGTGAAAGACTCATTGAAGGCGGTCAAGATGAGGTAGAAGAGCGACAGCATCGCAAAGGCCGCCACGAACATATCGTAGTTGATGAGGGCCGGGTTGCCAGCGGTCGCCATGGCAATGACGTTGCCGATGAGGGACATGATGATGAGCACGAAGAGGAACTGTAGAAACCCCACGATCAGTCACTGCTGGAGCTCAAGGCGGCGCGAAGAAACATTGCCAGCAGGAACTTACCTGCGCCCCTCGCAGGATGAGGTTGAGTGGTCTGGACACCATCTTGACGGCTACTTGAGACTTGCTCGAAAGGTAGTACGGAGCAGTGGTAGTTGGATGCGGGCAGACCGATGCGCTTCAGTTGATACTCGAGATCGACTACTCGTATGCAGCGGTGTAGCAGACAGGGTGAGAATCTGAGAATCTGAGAAGAGGAAGAGTGTATGTAAGTAAGTAGATGGAGGTTGCACCAGTTGTGGTGGTTACAGGCCCAGGTGGAGTGAACCGGAACAGAATGGAAGAGCTCGACGAGTGTGTGAATGACGGAGCTCGCAACGCGGGCAGCAGGGCAGCTTGAACTGAGGCGGCTAGTGGCGCGGCAAACCCTCTTTGCTCGCCCAATCGTCGACGTCACTGCCTAAAGTCAACCCTGAAGTGACGCCAGCGTCAAAGCTTAGTTTCTACGGTAGCCCGGGTGCCCGGGGGATGGGCCCATCGCTTAGTTTCGGCAGCCTTGGGGCCTGCCTTGTTCACGGCTGACACACCTCGGGACCCTGCAAACCGGTGCTTTCAACAACGAGCCGGCTCCCTCGGACGATGGTATAGATCAAGCAAGGCATCATGCTGTCACTGTGGCAATCGATTCGTTCCGTCGAGTCGTTGTTAATTTTGCTCTAACACGTTGTCCGAATGAGATGAGCCAGCCTGATCGTTTCTTCCTTTGCCGCCACGACAAGTCTGCGACAGAGCATCCTCATCATGGGCAGGTGTTTCAGCTTGGTTGGTTGTCAGATGCCAATGCTGCCCCTCGTGTTGCCCTCGGTTTCTGCCTGGCAACCCGATGCTTCATAGCCGCGCGAAAAACTCACGTGAGGCGCTCGGCAAAAAAAGATCGTCCATTCCCAAGATTTTGGTGCTGTTGTCTAATGCTCATGTCAACTGGTCTGTCGCCAGAGGAACAGCCCAAAATAAACCTGCTGTGACTTCCACCGGTTTGACCAATCTACGAGGGTGACTGACGGCACCACCGTTTCGGAGCCCTGTACCTCTCCTAGTACCATACCATAGTCACTATTTGGTCTCTTCGGGGTTGACATTTCTAGGGATAAACACCACATCGATGCAAACTCCATACCTGAGGCTCCCTCACCCAACGTCTCATCGAGATTGCATGATAGACCGCATATTTCGTGCGCGACGGGCGCCGCCCGGAACTCCACGCATTCCCGGTTTTCAGATGGAAATCGTTACAGCTTCTCAAAGGTGGGTGTTCTCTTCTGCAAGCCGCTCAACATTGCCCTCTGAACATCACTGCTTTGCACCATCCCCGCGTTCCATACCGCGGTGTAATTGAGATTGTCCTCGATTGTCCTTCCCCAAGACGCGTCGAGGATGTTTTTCGTTCCTTGAACGGCCACAGGGCTTTTGCTTGCAAGGTATTGCGCCGTCTCCAACCCTTCCTTGAATAATTCGGCTTTACCGCCATCCACCACTCGGCTTACAAAGTTGTTCTTGAGCGCTTCCTCTGCTGAGAATGGGCGTGCACTGAGACAGACATCCTTGACCCAACTCGTTACGCCCCCAACGACCTTGGGTAAGCGACTCAGTGTTCCAACGTCCGCTGCTAAACCGATGTCGACTTCTTTGACGGACAGCTTGGTGTCCTTCGTGCAGAAGCGCATATCGCATGCTGATGACAAGTCGATGCCAAGACCATACGTGTATCCGTGGAGAAGCGCGATGACCGGTTTCTCACATCGCGCGACGCTTGTGATTACGTCTTGTAGTTCGAGTACATGTCGCCTTAGTAATGTCGCTTTTCTCGATGGGTCCGGGACCCCTGTGGAAAGTGGGCTATTGGATTTCGCAGCCTGCTCGACATCGAGCCCTGAAGGACAGGAAGTCAGATCAAAATCTCTCTCTATGCCTTGGCCGGCGTGACTTGCCTGCTGTGAACGCTCGGTCACCGGCTCCAGAGAGCAGAATGGTCCGGACATCAGGGTCATGCGACAGATGGTCAAAGATGGCCTTCAGCTCGATCCACATGGGTCCAAAGAAAGCATTGAGCTTTTCCGGCCGGTTGATCTCGACATGGACCACATATTGTGCGGGTATGGTCACATTGAAGAATTTGAGAGTTGGTAGAGTCCTTAGCGCCATCTTATGGATGGATGGTTTGAAGTGATGCCCGACCAGGGAGCGATGGGAAATTGCAGTGAATGGCAGTGAATTGCAGTAAAGAGGCCGTGGAGATGTTCGTAGAGGCTACTGTGAAAATAACGTGGGTAGAGCAGTAATATAAGCCGCGCAGCTGAGTATCCTATTCCCACGACTCGAAGCACTCGGCTATTCGTGAGGATGAATCCATACGGGCGTTGCCTTGAATCCGATGAGGCAGAACAGAACACTGAATGTGCGTTCGTGCCTCGGCCCAGCGAGCACATTTGCGTGCAGTCACATGCAACCACGTGACTATTCCAGTCGCGTTTTTGTGACTTTTCACCGACTTGCATTTTCTTGTTCAAAGACACACTTTCACTCCCAACATCCTCAACTGCTTTGCCTCCAAACCTTGCTTAAGCATACCATGCCTGTATTATCGCTGACTAGATGGCGCACCTTTCCACTCAGGCCACTTCCTGCGGTATTTTCACACCCTTGTAGACTGTCTTGGGCCAGACCGTCGCCTGCGACACATATCAGTGGCTTGTTTCTCCTCTCTTCCCTCCTGTCATGCCAATTCGAGCAACTTTTGCTGGAAACTTGACGCACTCCTGGCGTCTTGTGGGTGTGCGGGATGAAGCGCATAGTCGCTCGAAGAAGGCTCTTTTCGCTCACCTGCGTCAAGTGTAATCAAACATGTCCTTCAGTGCCGCTTCTTTGGCGGACGCCCCTCCCCTTCTTGTGAGGGTCTCGAGCCCGCATTCTCTTCTCTGAAAAGTTCTGGCTACTTCTTGAATAACATGGCGCGCGACACGTCACCTCCTGGGATCGATCATACAGCTGTCGCCAAAACTGATATTAGCAGCAGGACAACGCTCGGGGTATTCCTCGTTTGATTGAAGCAGTGGCTAATGCAATTCAACCACCCTATCAACGCTATGGTCTCTAGAGCATGCCGCCGTGTTGTTTTGGGGCACACTTGGCACCTCTGGTAAATGGTGGCCATCGTCAGCTGGTCACTCAAGCTCTCGACTTCTTGTCCTCCGTGCACAGCCTGTTTCATAGGCGCTGCCCTCGGCCGGATATTTCCGCCTCTATCCTCTCCTGGTTGAGAAACGTCCGTCCGAGTATAGCACACCGCCACGTCTTATTCGACAGCACATTCCGGAAGATGTTTCCGACTGCAATACATGATCGAGAGATTCGGTGCAGTGCGTCCTGCGGCAATGAGGTAACAATCGGACAACATCATTGCTTCGGGGCACATGCCACCCACTCTATCGCCCTTCCTCCAGGCTCTCCGCGACGGGTTCCTGCCCCTGAATGCAATAATCTTACTCAGTGAGCGCGTCGAGCCAACGTCCCCAGGTCGTTTTCGGAACGTGCCATAGAACTGCTGATGGGTTGATCTACAGGTGTCACAACTAAAACCGGCTCCTTGTCAATAATGCCACTGCCAAATGCCTGTAGGGCCCATACTGCCGCCGTTGGCCGCTTGTGTGTGGTACACATTAAAATGCGACAATAATGACAGCCCTCTTCAGGCGAGCGGATCGGCTAGCCCCAAGGAGTCATGGCGCCTGCCGATTCGTATAACGCAAACTCAATCGCTTTCCACAGCTGACGCGGATGGTTAGCCTCCTCTCCATGGCAGAGTCTTCGGAGACAACTTCTTTGGATTCGATTCAGTGCAGACAGGAAGAACGCAACGGAAAGCTCGAACGTAACACGAAAAGTTCTTCTTCTGCTAGGCTACCCTGATCTGGCATCCTCATGCCGCCAATATCACCCTCTCGCATCTCAAGTGACCTACATGTACTGCTACACGAGGGCAGTAGTGCGGCTTGAGCCTATCTCCCGACACTCCTCGAACGTGTCCGAAAGGATTTCTCCTTATTACTTGTCCCACTTCCATCTCCATGGACCGTTAGGCGAAACGAACACGCCATGACGATGTAATTAGCTCCGAGCCACCAATTCAGTACAACCGTGTACATCCCCGAAATATGTTGGGAGGAGGATTCGACGGCTTCCGCCACTCAATACAAATTTCGGTGGGTACGAACGCCTCCCATGTGGTTTTGTCTTTCAGAAGCACGTGGTAGAAGATGGCAAGCTGTCATATCCATGCACTTGGTCAGTACACTTTGAAGGAAGTTTGTTGCCGATTATTTGGATGATTGGGTGGCATCGAGACCGCGCTCAAAGTAGCTGGCATCTCATTCCAGTCATGGCTGGGGTTGCCCTGCATTGAAATGTCACTTTCGTGGAACCTAATTGCCTTGAAACAGTGATCAGAAAGTCAAGCGTGGAAGTCACTGCTACGCCCCCGATGGCTTCGCCTGATCGGCCAAACTTCTGCTCTTCCGGTTCCGGTGCTACCAAATCGACGTAGTACTCGACCTCGCTTCGGCCCTCAAGCGAGCTCTTGGTCGGATGGGAGATCGAAGAGGGATCCTACCCAGGTTTCTGTCACCGTGGTACGCGCTCTAACGGCGATACGGCCTTGGATTCTTACCAGCGCTTGGCCGGGCATGATGTCTTCGGGAGAAGATCGGATGCGAGGCGGTCATATTGCATATATAATGCGGCTGCCCTACCTACCTGAGCCAGTTCGCTCGTCAACTTCAGTCTTCTTCGAAATCACCAGCATACTCGCATGCATTCCTTGTCAGTCACGGACTCCACTGCCTTCATTCGCACGTCATTCAAGTATCTTTGCGCGGAACGATCAGCTATCAGTTAAGAACGATGTGCCAACATCCGAAGTCTGTTGACACCTGCCGTGCTTGTGCTGGACACCCCCCCCGGTATGGCCCCCAGACAAGTACGCACGTGTCTTCATACTCCCGAGAGTGGAGTTCAGAAAGACAGAAGGCAATGTGCTGACGTCTGCAGGAACGGATCTATGTGCAACACATGCCGAGGACGTGGTTATATCGAGCGTCCCTGCTCTAAATGCTCCGCATCTGACAGGCGGGCCGAAGCAGGCACCAGCACGACCAAGGGGCATTCTCGACAGAATACTGTCCCTGGAAGGGATAATGGCCAGAGTGTTTCGAGGTCTTGACAAGAGAAGGAAGAGCGCGCAGAGGTCCAGAAATGGGTGTGGAATATTTTTACGAGCCATCTTCTTTGTTCAACCGAGGAGGGACAACCTGGTTCCTGCGTGCGAGCAGCACGAGGTTACGTCCATTGAATCCAATACTTCACCGGTACTCGATGTGCCCCAATAGCAATATTTTCCAAGTACCAAAGTGCCGTTGCCGAGATGAAACATTACTCTTTGGCTGCTGTATTGCAACACCAACGGCTCAGTACAATTATCCGCGACCGCACCGCGGGGCTCACTGGATGCCTGCTGCTGCTTCTAGGGAGAGATTGGCAAGGTGCAGTTCCAAGAGGATCTAGAAGCGTCAGTCTTTTTCTGCGCGAGGATGGAGCTGCGAGATATCTGATGGCAAGAGTTCCGTATGGTTCTTTTGCCAGTGTTTGTGTCACGCACTCCCAGCTTGGACAAATGGACCTTTGCTCACGAAAATCCAAGCTCATGCTGTGCGTTATGTCGCGCGCGTTCGAGCCCTACGAATGTCATATTCGACAGTACGAGACCGGCTCCGTAGAAGCGTGGCTCGGCGACCTGGGTAAGGGCTATCTGGTGGCTGCTGTGCAACTCTCAAATCTACCAAAGATCGATTCTGGCCTGGTTGACCCGAGCACGCGATTGGCGAACCTGTTCCTCGACAGATGCCTATGCGACCCATTCGCACCTTCTGGGACACAGCGTCATGATGGCTGAAAAGCCTGGCCTGGACAGGGATGCGACTAGGACCGTAACCTCCAGATCTGCTGAGCAGAGCGACCATTAGAGGTCACGGGGTGAGGACAACCGGTGAGACTCGATTGGGTATCTTGCGGTGTTGGTGAATCTGCAAACCGGTCGTACACACCGGACGTCCTGCGTCAATTGCCAATCTTTGCTCCTCCAGTCGCGCCGTCATTTCGAAAGGATCAGCCAGATTTTCGGATAACCACCTTCCACACCTCCCACGACCTTCTGTTACTAGTGATGACGTTGCCGGGCAGGATCTAGTTGCAGGAGCAGTCGCTTGGTACGCCGGGTCGACCTACCACCAAACGGGGACAAGGAATTCCGCACGACAGGGCCAGTCATTATTTGAGGACGACACGGAACTGCTACAACGAGCTGTCCAATCCATTTTCGCACGTCCATCAGAGGCGGCGGCGTTCCTTTTCCCCGGTGATGATCAGACGTTGACCTGGATCTGGGGACTTTGACTACCCTGCACTGTGCTCTACGGACGGCGGCCACATTTCTGAAACGAACCTCTACGGTCAACCCGGTGTAACAGTGTCCCGTCTCGCTGAGATCGAAATGCCCCGGTCCTCTTGCTATAAGCAGAGGGGTCTGCATATCTGTCATCACCAATCACTGCATTTTTTCGGAGTCCAAGTATCTACAGACTAAGAGCGCTTCAGCACCAAGCCTGCGTCGTCTGCCACCAAGTCTCGCTCTCGCCGAAGCTGACGTGGCAGATTCGTACTCCGTACACCTCCGGATTTCATTTCATGGTGCGCGTGACGTCGAGGCCGCAGAGAGGAAACTGCAAGCACCGAAGAGAGGTGAAGACCTATTATCGTGCAGCGGCGCAGCTGCCGTTTCAGGGAGAAGCCTTTCTGAAATCCTGCATTCCAGTTCCATGGTCTTGTCAGACACGGGGAAGTGGACGGAGCAACAGCCGAGCACTCGCCATCGCTCGACTTCGAAGCGATGCAGCTCGAACAGATCTGGCTGTGGTTCGACTTGAAGTCACTATAGTGCTCAAACAGCAACGGGGATCATCGGTCAACCATTTTTCCAAGTTGGAATAAACTCAAGACACTTGTCGGCTGTCCTCTTCACCGCTCCAAGGCCCTCACCTACTGCTAGCCTATCTCAATATCAAATTCTCGTGCGGCGGCAAGTGAACACCACTCTGCCTCCGCAGGATGGACCCCCCGTTCCAACGCCTTGCAAGACTGCAAATCAAAGCAACAACTGCAAAGCCGGAGCGTGCGATGCGATAGTTCCGTTGTTATACGACGTCTCCGGTCGCATCTTCAATGCCCTTTGACACCGCCGAACCGTACGGTAACTCGTACCTTGCGAGTTGGGCAACCGGAGCTCGAGATTGGAACAAGTGACCATCAACCGCAGAAATTGGAAGTCAGAAGCAGAGCAATGTCTGCCAGCTCAAGGAGTCCTCGTTGCCCGGCCTCGTGGAATCCGGTCGAAGCACAGCTGTCCGTACATCAGTGATGATTTAAGTAAAGTGCTCGATAATGGCACCACTGGCGATAGGCATCTCAAGCCTGCGAAAGACGGGGTTCGTTTATTGACCGCGCCGTCCTCGTTCCAGCGACATCTTCGTGGAGAGCAGATACACAGGTGACAGAGATTTCCCACCAGTATCAGTGCACCACTCTTGTCCCGTCTTGAGCTTGTGCTCTGAATCTCTATCTCGGATAAGCTAGTCGGCAGCAAGCATAGACTCCTCCCTCCGAACAAGCGACCTGGCACGATATAATCGCGGTCTTAAAGCACGCAAGGCTACGACTCCTGACAAGCCATGCAACTCACCGCCAATATTGCTGCGCAATCAGAGCTAACCCGTTGATATCCTGGTGGGGACGGAGTTTGGCCGCCCTTCGACCGTCTTGACTATGGCTATTGGTCGTCTATACCAGGCCTATACAGCCGATATCGGGTGGCTTTGCCAGGCGATCTCCGGGCGATCGGTCGGCAAGAAGATCGACATTCCAGGGTCCCCAACCGCTGCTGTTGGGCTCAAAGTTGATTACAGCACTCAGTAGAGTATTATTCTTCCCATCCTTTCTCACACCTCCCCACCCCTCCGGGCTCACAGCGGAATCCCACTTTAGCCAAGGCATGTCTATGATCTTACGCCCCTTCACATGGTTCTATCATGAGTTTGGGATTGTCTCGATCCACGAGACTGGACGCAATGCGTGGCTCATTATCTTGGCTCGCTCGTGCCGGATGTTTGCTTACGGCACGAATTCCTTGATATTAGGTAAGTCATCCACTGTCTCGTGCTCTTTTGAGTACCTCTTGGCTTTCCCCAAGGCCTACAAGGCTGTCTCTGAGAGGAGCATTCTGGGCTTGCTTCGAACTGCTTCCACAATTGACTGTGCATAGCCATCTTCTTCTCCGCCTTGAACTACTCCGACCACCAGATCGGCATCTTTATGACCTTGACATTGCTCGGCGATGTCTTTCTGGGTACATTTCTCACGTTGATCGCCGACCGAGTGGGCCGCCGGCGCGTGCTCATGGGCGGGTCGGTGCTCATGATCATAAGCGGCCTCGTCTTTGCGGTATTTGAGAACTTCTGGATCTTGCTTCTTGCTGCGATATTGGGCGTCATTAGCGTCACAGGAGGGGACTTTGGGCCCTTTCGGAGCATTGAAGAGTAAGCGACTTGCGCTCCATCCCGATGCTGGCGGCAGCGACCTGAGCTTGAAGGGAAACAGGCTTGAGCTAACCATCTACCACTTCAGGTCAGTCTTGTCGCAGCTCACAACACCCACGACCCGCGCGGACGTTCTAGCCTGGTACGTGACGACGTCGACTCTAGGATCGAGCATCGGCAGTGAAGTCTCGGGCAGACTCATCCATTACCTGCAGGCGCGACCCGGCTGGACCGACGTCGATGCCTACCATTCCCTGTTTTGGATCTATCTAATCATGGGCATTGTCAACGTGCTTTTCGTTCTTCTCTTGACCGATGCCTGCGAGCTCCGAGCGAACGACAAAGGGGAGGAGATGTATTCCCGCGTACCTCAAGAGGATCATAATCGGCACGAAGACGACAACGACGAAGCGGTACTGCACCACCAGTTACAGTCCAACCCTAACGGCACCGCTGAAGCCGACGTCGAGGCAGCATCCCCGCCTCCGACACCATCACCAACCCGACCTCGCTCCCCCCAGCCTTCGACCATCCCTTCCAGCCGGCTCTCGCGCGCTCTCTCGGCCTTCTCCAGCGCCTTGTCCCAGATCTCCGAAACAACCCGCCGCACAATGTACAAGCTGTGGTTCCTGCTAGTCATCGACTCCCTCGCCGACGGCATGGTGCCCTACTCCCTCACGAATTACTACATGGACGTGAAGTTCCACCCGTCCAAATCGACGCTCGGCGACGTCACCTCGCTGTCGTACTTCCTGGGCGCGATCGGCGCGGTCTTCGCCGGCCCACTCGCCAGGAAGATCGGCCTCATCAACACCATGGTCTTCACGCACGTCCCTTCCTCGACGGCCGTGCTTCTGTTCCCTCTCGCGCCCTATTTCTGGATCACCGCGCTCTTCTTGCTCGTCCGCACGGGGCTGAATAATATGGACCAGGCCCCGCGCTCGGCGTTCATTGCCGCGGTGGTGAAGCCCGAGGAACGCACCGCGGTCATGGGCATCACCAGCATGTTGCGCAATCTAGCGGCCATGTGCGGGCCCACCGTCACGGGCGTTCTCGCCGAGGGGGACAGATTCGGGGTGGCCTTCATCGCGGCCGGCGTGTGTCGCCTCGTCTATGACTTTGGTCTGTACGCTCTGTTTGTCGGGTACGAGAGGGGGAGGAAGCTGCAGGATAGAAGAGACGACGAGGATGACGACGAGGAGGGTGTAGATGATCAAAGGGGATTCATCGCAAATGGACAGCGACACGGACAAGGACATCGACGCGATATCCCAGATGACACAGGTGGCGCTGATGCCGGTCACTTCGAGCTAGAGAGTCTAGCCGATTCAGAAGATTCAGACGGTTCAGACAATAGTAACGACCGCAAGACGCGCGAATCGGAGAAGGCGGCAGTGGCAGCGGCAGCGGCAGTGACGGGGCCGATCACGACTACGACTACGACGGCAACGCTGAATGGCGGTCTGCGTGTGCCTCTGGGCAGTGGAGAGAGTCCACGGGTGAGAAGTCGGAGTCCGCACCACCGGTCGAGCGCGTCCGAGTAGATTGTTCAGATTGCGCGTGCGCGGCGCGTGTACATGTATAGTGCGATGGAATAGTTCTAGGTAGCTAGCTAGCTAGCTAGCCAGCTAGATGAAAATTGATGAAAATTGAGCTCATGAGCTCATGAGTGCATGAACCAAGATGTCCTGTCTGTCAATCAACTAGCTGGTACGGTACGTAGCCGATTGGGGGAATAAAAAAAAGTGCTGAGATTCAAGAGTCCGTCTTCCTGATCCATGGTTGTGTACGGAGTATTTGTCTGTCAGATGGATTGCCACGCCCGCACTGATTACTGTGTGCTATTATGTATTTGTCTACTTACCGAGTTGTGAGACTACCGCCGTACTCTTTTCCTTGTCGAACAATCGTCCAAGTACTCGTACCTTGTCCTGGTATTGATTCTGACTTGGAAAGATAAGACGCAACACAACACGTTCGAGGTAAACATGTTCGTAGATACTAGAAGGACACCTCTTGGTGTCTGTCTACCTAGTTGAATGTATGTGTGAATGATTGATCTCAAGTCTGGACAGCAACTACTTAATACCAGCTATGGATGGATGGAAGACAGCCCCCGTCGCCCCGAGCGACCTCAAGTGGTAGGCACACTGGGTGCCTCCTGCCACCACAGTCCTGATATGAAAAGATAATACGCCAACTCGTTCCGAGGTAAACAGGGTTGTCGAGTCTGTCGATATCAATCTTACTTGACTCGAGATTGTGACTGCTATTGAGGTTCCCTAATACTGCGACCGTGCCTAGTCCTGTTCCTGTACCTCTGACGTGTCCACGACGCTTTCGTCCAACTCTTGAGCCACCCCCGCCTCTTCATCACCTCTGAAAATTAATGACAGGGACATCATGTCGCTTTTCGGTGTCCTGTTGAGTACCGAGAACCACACATACCCGCTGATATCGATGTTCCGCAGCCGAGGCATTCTTCGTCGAATGGACGTGCATGCAAATGAAGCCAGGCGTCAGGCGTCAGGCTCTCTCTCAGGCCGCTGATCCCGGCCAATCCAGTTCCCGTCCTTGTCCTGACTCTGCTGGTAGTCGACTTAGTCGGCACGGTACCTACTAGCTGGTCTTCTGCCGTTCGACCATCACCTGCAATGCTGGATTGCTGCTGTCCAATCGTACTGTATTGCCGGTTCGGCTGCCAGTAGTAGCAGTAGCAAGAGTAGAAAATGGAATTCTGTGCTGCCGCTGATGCTCTCATCTCCCAACAGCACGGTGCAAGCCACCGAGACGGCCACGTGATATCCGGTAGAGTCCCAGAGCTGAGTTTGGGTCCAGCCTGGAATGTCCGTATGTGTGGGTACTTGCAGTATGTCGTGGTGTGGCATGTGTATGGTGTTCAATTCTCGTCTCGAGACGCATGTCCTTTCTTAACAGCATCGATTGGACGTCCAGTTTACGCCCCTTGGCAAAAGATGATTCGAGTGCACTGAGTGAACGGCTCACCAAAGCCATAGTGCCGTCAAGAAGAACGTTTCACCCAGCAGCATACGTGCTCTTTGCTCGCAAAATTGGGCCGTACTTCCATAGCAGAAGAGGTGCGGGGATACCGAGACCGATACCAATGAAAGCGAGCATTGAGTTGCCCCAATCTAGACCAAGAGCATCGTACATATATGGAGCGAACAATGGACTGTGGTCGCATGGTTAGCTAGCACTTTTCGCAAGACTGGGGACAGGCCCAACACTCACAAGCCAAATCCAGCCAAACTCCGCAGGACCACCGCCGCTGCCACAGCAGAGGCTGCGTACCGTGAGTAAGCATCCACAATATATGTCTGCGTGCACTGGAAGCCGATGATGGTGCCAGCCGCAAAGATCGCAGCCCCGATATTAGGCACGATCCAATGAACGCTTCTCCTGGCGCTCCATCCGTATATAAACAGTCCGATCGGCACAAGAACCGCGCCTGGAATCATGAGTGGGACACGAAACTCAGGTTTCCCCTCGTTGTTGTTCCGAAGCTTCAATTTGCGGTAGATCCTGTCGTTGATGGGTGCGCAGATCTGCGTACCCAGGAAGAAACCCACGCCAAGGGAGATGTAGTTGAGGCCGCCAATGCCGACGGATTCTTGGTAAACGTCTTCCCAGACGGAGGGAAAGGTGGACAGGACCAGGTACATGAGACCGTACAGATACGCCCTGCAAATCGTTAGTCGCGGGTGTTTGGGTCAGAGGCGGTCGTGCACTCACATGTACAAAGCGAGCGCCTGAATGATGGGCTGAGTTCCCAGCAGGCGGAATGGCCGGATGAGGCTGGCACGGAGGACCTTGCCCAGCGTCCTTTCAGGACTTTCCCATTCAGTGTGGTAGTTGGGGTTGCCCGTCTCCTTCCTTAGGTTTTTGGCTCTGTCGCTCAACAGCTTTGGCGCATACGTTTCTCGTAGGTAGATTAGGCCGAGGACTTGGATGCCAGCGTCCACAATCGAAGTTGCCCAAAAGCACCATCTCCATGTGGTCTACCGTTCTGTCAGTCTTGAGGCATAGTCTGTGCGCCTGCGGAACCTTACCTTCAACGCGATAAATCCACCTGCGATGGGTCCGACGGCTGGACCGAGCAAAGGGGCAAGGGAGTAGATACTGATGGCCTTGCCACGCTCTTCAGCGTGGAAGCAGTCGCTTAGCACTCCACCACCTAGTGCAAGAGGGGCACTTCCGCCCAATCCACTCAAGAACCGGAACGCAATAAGCTGACTTCGCGTCTGGGCAAAACCGCACCCAATATTCCAGGCCAAGAAGAAGAGGTTCGACAGTTGAAGGACAATGACCCGGCCGTACATCTCCGACAAAGGGCCTAAGAACAGTGGCCCGATGGCGTATGCGAGGACGAAGATGGAAAGTGTCAGCGATAACTCGACCTCTTGGGTGATGCCCAGATCTTGGCCAATTTTGTTCAGGGCTGGTGCAACCATCGATGACGAGACAGGCGAAATGAAGGTAAACGAAGAGACGATGAGCGTTGCAGCCCACTTCTTGCGGAATGTCCAGTTCTTCGGATTGTCAGGGTCGTCGGGTCCTTCCCATGTTACCTGTGAAGGACTGATTAAAATGCTGTTGCGCCAAGCAGATGGAGGAAAGGTAAACTTACCAGGTTAGGATCCTTGAGCGATCTGGTTGACTTTTCGGATCTCAAGCCAGGACGAGCGGATCCAGCTTCTAGATCGCGAGAATTCACCACGCCGAACCTGACCTCTTCCTCGTGCGACTCGCCCGCAGTGCTTCCTGATATTGTGTCATCACTACTAAGTGGCGACTCTGGTGCGTCCATGTCGGCGTCGGCGTCGATATCGTTATCGACTCGGTCATCTCTCGTCGCCGAAACATGATAATGATGCGACCCGTGGTCATCCATGAACTGCGGTGAAAACAACTGATGTGGAACATCCTCGGGAGTCGACTTTGCTCGGCTCAGAGAAATGCGGGCCGGGCGTCTGGAGCGATTTTCGGGCGCTGTCTGCGTCCTGTTCAGATCAGTGGAAGCCATGATAGGCCTGGAGTGTTAGTCGCGTTATCAGCCTGCAGCAACGGATACAGGACTAAAGCGGAAATGCGGCACGCAGTAGTCTCGTCGAGGACAGTTGAGGTGGGGTGTGGGAAGTGGCCGAGAGGTTATAAAGCAGTTTGCTGGATGAGAAGCTGGAGAATGGGAACCGGGGTTACGCATAATGGCCGGTGGTGTAGGCATCATTTGCCGTGGTGTGCATATCAGCTGGGTGCGACGATTGCAGCGCAGCGTGGCGAAGGGCAAAAGGACCTTTAATGAGGCCATTTCGTCCCTGTGACAGGCACAGATCCCTGGTGGTCGGAACTCGGCACAGAGGAAGAACAAAGAATGAAGTACTCATGAGCGGTAAGATGGCACGGATGGCACTTGAGACATTCTGCGCCCGTCGCGACGAAAACGTCATCAGCAGGAGCCGTTACCGGGCACTCAAGCTTCTGATCGGCATGACTGGAGCAGATCTTGATTTCATATGGCGTGCATTGAGTGGCTCGAAGGCCCAAGAAGGTGATGAAAAAGTCTGTCATCGAAGGATGCAGAATGCAGGACGCAGCCTGCGCCTCGGCGCCGATCTAAACCTCCGACGATTAGTCACCGATCACGTGCACTGCCTGCGCTTGCGCTCTCTGGGTTTGTGGTCCGCCGTTGATGAGGGCCCATGCTAACCATGCACGTGATGTGGAAAAGTGCCACCGTGTACTCGTACTCCGTAGTATTTCCAGAAGCTCATTTCGCCTTCTTCACTATCAAAGCCGCCTTCAACCTGACCGCCTTTTGACTCGCACCTGCCATCCCACCAGGCTAATCGTCGAATTTGATATTGGTTTTTCCAACCTGCACCCCATTGACCATTGATTTGAAGTTGAGAAGCCCGTCCTCCGACCGGAAGTCCACCGTCATCTCATAGTTAAAGCGGTACACGGTCTTCCTCAACCTGGCACTCCAGCAGGACTCGACCTTGTCGTTGTCGGGATCCCACATGGTCTCAATCACGCCCTCACGCCGCACGCTGAAATGCTCCTCGCGTTCGGGCGGGGAGTCGAGCGGACAAGAGTACAACTCTAGCGTCGAACAATTGAGCCCTGCAGTCTCGCTTGAGTGCGAGACATCTTTTGTGATCGAGAAAGACTCGTCCAGTTCTTGATTCTAGCTCAAGTCAGCAATCGCACGCCTCACGTGTGCTATGGGATGGCGCTCTCACTTTCAGAACAGCCCAGTGCATCTTGCCTCTGCACATCTTTCGACCATCGAACTTGTGCGTGTACGCGTTTGCTTCGTCGTCGATACCCTCCCGGAAAGCCTCACCCCAGCTCCAGCCATAATTGCGTCTGGCAATAATAGCTTGGGGCCGAATACCCTCCAGCCCGCGGAGAGCCGCGCCTTTGACAATCGCTGCTTGGCTATCATCGAGTTAATTCCTGTGCCGATTCTAGGGATTCTCGCTTACCAGTCTGTCGGACATGAAAATCTCTTGATATTCTTCGAACCGCACCACTGTTTGAGCTCTTGGTTGAGGTAAGGCGAATCCCCAAAACCGCCTACGAGGATGAAACGCTTTTCAGGTATTAGCACGAAGCACTTCGAGGAGACGGAGACATAACGGTGCGTACATCGAGCTTCTTTCCGAGCTGCTTCAATTGAGTCAGCTGGCCTTCGATCAAAACGATGAGACCTTTGATGGCAGGCTCGAAAAATCGAACCATGTCCAGCCTATCACCTGTTAGAGCGGTAGCGGGCCTCGAGGGGAACCAGGACACTCACCTCGGGATCTTGACAGTTTCCTCATCGTCATCGTACTTGGGACTTGCCACGCACTCCATTTCCAGAGGGCCGACTTCGAAGTGCAGTTTATCAACGTCTTTGAACCCGAAATTCTTCTTCACCCCCTCGAAGGATTTCATGAACGTGGAGCCTGGACCCCTTTTTCTCATGTCGATTTTGGTATATGCCTGACCGAATTGTTTGGTCATCCATTGAACAAACTGCCGGTCAATCGAAGTCGAGCCGCATTTGAGACCTGAGAGCCATCAGTCAGGCGTTCTGTCCAACCGGAGGATCCGTACCTGTTCCACGGCACTTCTCGCTTAGCTTCAGAGATGGCGTTGTCTGCAGGATCTCATAGGTGACTAGGTCCTGTCGGGTGGAGCAAGTGTCAGCAACCTAGATCGGTGATGGGTGTCTGTTCCTACTTACCACTGTTCCGCCTCCGCAATCACAGATGAGCACGCATTCGCCTGGCTGTGCAGGTTAGCTGGCAGCCGAGCCGGCCTGTGACTTCGGTACTTACTTTCAACGGATCAAGGGCCGTCGGAACGAGGTAGGGCTTCAGAGCGTACAAAGCAGCTGCTTCTGGCTCCGTGATCATGTTCACTTTGTCCCCAGGTCGAGACCCGAATCCGGCCGCGAGGGCTGCTTCTTTCGTGTCCCTTTGCGCTTTATTTCCCCAGATGGCCGGCATGGTGATCCAACACTCCATTGGCATCGCCTGTACCAGTGCCGCAGAGCCCAACTCCTGTTCCAGGCGTAGCATGAGGTACTGATACAGTTCCGACAGGTAATCTTGTGCCACTTCCTTTGCTGATTTGCCAGGCGGCAGCCGCAGGAATCCGGAACCGTACATTTGTTGAAGCAGAGGATCGTCATACTGAGCGGTATCGACCTCCTTGTCCAGCAGTAGCTTGGTCCATACGTACTGTTTGAGGCTCCTTGTTACCTCGAAACCCCACTGATTGCGTGTCAAGGACGCCTTTGTGTTCTCGTTGGCATAGGCGATGGTCGTTGGCGTTTTCCACGCTTTGTCGCGCTGACCTGGCCAAGCGGACACGATGACGATGTCTTCCCATGTATTGTTCGAGGTCACGAAGCTGAGTCCTGTCGTGAGAGTTTGTGAGCGCCGAAGACACCCCCGCCAGGGTCACGACTCACCCGAGTACGTCGTCCCGTAGTCCACGCCAACTATGATACGATGAGCGCCAGCGGCAAAGAGGACCGAGTTTCGAGACATGATTTTCAGTCCACTCGGGCGATGTTAGTCACGCAACAGATCAATGCTCGATGCGAATATGCTGGCGATTGCGCGGCAAGATTTGTGTCTTTTCTACCGAGTCTTGCCCCCAACGAGGAGTTCAGGGAAGATTTCGCATGGTTCGAACACGTGGGAATCGACTCGAGTGGCGGCAGCCTCATCCCCGATCGTTCAAGCGCCTGCTTGTGAAGTCTAGGTGTGCCTCCAAAGTTCCTTTGTCTCAAAGGGGAGGGGGGCCCCATCAGGCTAATGCAAGCATTTCTAAAATACACTAGTGTACCAGAAATACTGTGACCAGTTCTGGGCGCATCCAAGCGAAGGGTGGCCGTGGGAGGCCTCCCCGTGCGTCTCGACGCCTGCCAACAGGCTGCCATCTTAATCCTTTACAGCTCTGAAGTGGTGGGAGCGTCTGCATCTTCAAGGTTTCAATCATGACGAATCATCCACCCGAGACGGCGATGGAACAGTTACAAGATATGGAACTCGACGACCGTGGATCCCGAGGAAGCCGCAGAGTACGTATTCCGAAATGGCTAGATGGGCGCTGATCGAGGACAAGGGCACTGTCTCTGGCGGGCGTCACGATCAGGACGGTCGGCACGACCAACACACGAGACACGAGGAAACTGCTCGTCCACTGTCGGGACCACCACAAGTTCCGCCCAAAGACCATGGCGATCAACAGCTGGCCAAGGGTCGAGGGAGCTCCCAAGTGGCGACTCAATCGGTTGAATATGAGCCGGGCTCAGTCCACCAGGTCACGTTTGTTCCGGCAGCTCGTAGGGGAGAAAACGAGCAATCTCACAACAACGTGCTGCAAAAGCACGCCAATGCTTCGGACTATCAGACCAAGACGATCCGCGACCAGGAGGACGAAATCCGGAAGTTGAAGGAGCAACTCAGCGAAGCGAAGGCCAAGCCTCGATCCAACGACATCCGCCGCTATGAGGACAGAGCCGCCACCGCGGAGGCCAAGCTGAAGTACGCCAACGAGGACATCCACTACTGGAAGGCTCGCTTTGAGCAATGTTCCCGTGATGCCACGGCGAGCTTGAGAGACATGGACCAGGAGAAGCAGAGGCTGCAACGGGACCTCGATCAAAGCGAGGCCAATGTGAGAGCCCTTGTCGAGGCGGCCACGCGTAATATGAGCAGCGGTCGCTGGAACCCACCCCCGGACGACGACATTCGGAACGAGCTGAATCGCCTGCACGGGATGGTCCGTGACTGGGCGAAAGATTGGGCCGTCGACGGCTTGCCCGAGCACCGGACGCAGGACCCCGAATACATCTCGTTCAAGCAGAATTATTTGGCCGAGTTTGTGTGGGCGACCGACAGAGGAAGCCTCCCTCCTGCCATTGACAGCCCAGCAGGCAAATTGAAGCAGCGGCTGCCCGACCTTCTGCTCACTGCGGCCCTTTCCCACACCATCCACGATGCATTCTTTGCAAATGCCTTCTTCTGTGCGCCGCCAGAGTTCGTGGGTGCCTTGCGGAAGGTCTACGAAGAGCTTATATTAGGTATGTTGGCCATGAGCGTATCAATCGCATACCGTCCACTGCTCACCCAAGCCCAGCAAACCAACGCGAGGCCCATGGTTGGCGGTGCACCTTCTGGCGCATTATGAACCCGCCCAAATCCGGCAAATCTGCAGCCAACGACGAATCGGCAACGTTCAAACGCGTCCGTCTCTACTGCGACGAGATGGCGAGAAGCTTCCGGCACGGTCCGGCAGAGAAGTTGCTGCAGCGTTGCTCGAGTGAGGAGTCCAAAACCCAGGCGAAGCAACTTCGTGAGATCTTGATGAATGCTGCAGAGATTGCGACCTCGCTTTGGACCCAGCCGTCGTACATTGAATGCCTGGGCCTGCACGAGATGCGACAGCGACAGACCGTGTTCGATGTGGCCTCCCCGGTGATGGAGGCCCACCGCCTCAGCAAGGTCGATCCCGAAAACCCCAAGCACAATGGACGGAGAATCATGGCAGTCATCCAACCCGCGCTGCTGGCATTCGACGAGAATGATCCGCTGGGTCTCGATGGGGACGGCTATCGTGTGCTGTCGCGGGCGAATGTGTTGCTCGACGAGTTGAGCTCGCGCGCCTAGTATCTCCAGTAGTTGGGCTGATGGCGACGGTGAGGCTGAGAAACCCATTTTACAAGTCGATACGCGGTGATACAGTAGCCGGGGGGAACCTGCCTTAGCGGCTCGTATTCTGCAAGCCTCATTGCCTTCCCGGTCGTGACCAGTCGTGCCAGTCGCAGCTCAGCCGCATGAACCGCAGGACCATCACATCTGATCTGGGAAAAGGGGGGCAGAACCTGGGAAATCTTGACCGGTCAAGACCAAGTGTCTGGTGGGCTTAAGCGAGTAACGTCCCAACGGGATGGGGGTCGGTACGAGGCACACCTCTTCCTTGGCCTCTCGGGTTCTTTTCGGTCTCCCGCTTGCTCGTGAGGCTACCGCCGTCGGAAAAGTATCGTACAATGGCCCGGTCTAGCCTTGGCTCGACTCGCTCTGAGGCTGGCCCGTCACGCCGGTCGCGGACTCAAACACTAGTAGATAGAGAACCGGCCTGCATCAAGCATCAAGCATCAAGCATTCGTTGCACGGGCTCCACCGAGCTGAAAATAACTTTGCGATTTAGTTTTACGGTCGACTAGGGTGGTGTTGAGAAAGTCGACCTTTACGTACGGAAGCTTGTGGTACAGGGTCCAGGGTACAGAAGAACGATGTATCGAGCACGCAGCCTTACTGTCTACTCCCTGCACCCCTCCACAAGCGAGGTGGAGCCTGGGCGAGGCGTCCAGAAAATGCCTGCTTCTGCTCCGCCTCTTTCGCTGGACGACCCCAGTTGCTGGATACACCAAAGCAGTTGGTTAGATGTCTGACCCTGATGCAAGTTTGCGAATTGTGCCGCCTTCTGGCCGCCCGCTCCCCATGCAACAACAAACGGCCCCAGCAGCCAGCTCAGCCAGCCGGCCTGATGCCTGAGTCTGAATGCCTGACGCCGTCGCCAGAGCCGCACGACTGCTCGCTCACTCGCCCACACACCCTACCCACATCTCCCTTTGTTCCCTGGCGTGTGTCCTGTGTCTTCGCTCGCCTGGGAGTCTGTAGGTTTAAGGTGACTCTTCTCTCTGCCGGACTTGTAGACGGGGCTCCCTGGTATTGCAGCAACTTCCCACTCCATTTGCAATACTTTACTTGACCCAAGATGGCGCCCGAAGCAGTCCACGGTGGGGAGATGGTGTTTATTGCCGTGATGGGCGTTACCGGCGCGGGAAAGAGCACGTTCATTCAGACCGCTAGCGGCGACTCGCGCGTGACGGTCGGGCATGGCAACAAGTCTTGTAAGTACCTACAGCCGGCGTGAGCGCGGCAGGCTCCCTCAATATGGTGTCGAGGAAGTACGGGGGCGGCCACTGACTCACTCTCTCCCACACCGCACAGGCACCACGGACATTGTGCCCTGGCGGTTCAAGCACGAGGGGCACGACATCACGCTCATCGACACGCCGGGGTTCAACGACACGACGCGCGGCGAGACCGAGGTGCTCAAAGAAATCGCCGAGTGGCTGGCGCTGAAGTACAAGAACGACAACACGCGGCTGTCGGGCATCATCTACATGCACGCGCTGGACGACCGGCGCATGTACGGGTCGACGCTGCGCAACCTCAAGATGTTCCGGCAGCTGTGCGGCGAGGAGCCGATGCGCAACGTCATCTTCACGACGACCGGGTGGGGCACGGCGCGCAAGGCGGAGCAGCTGTCCAAGGCGCTGGAGAAGGAGAGCGAGCTGTGCACGGACGGCCTGTTCTGGGAGCCGATGCTGCGGCGGGGCGCGCAGACGGCGCGGTTCGAGGACAGCCGCGAGTCGGCGCTGCGCATTATCGACCGGCTGGTGCCCCGGCCGCCGGTGGTGCTGCAGATCCAGCACGAGATGGTGGACGAGCAGAAGAACCTGATCGACACGGCCGCGGGCGCGACGGTCAACGAGGAGATCAAGAAGCTCGAGGCGCGCTACAAGGACGAGATCGCCAAGGTGCAGCAGGAGATGCAGGCCGCGCTGGTCGACAAGGACAACGAGCTGCACTCGGCGCTCGAGGAGACCAAGAACCGGCTGGAGCACCTGCGCGAGGAGAACCAGCGCGCCCAGGAGCTGCTGCAGTACGAGCGTCGCAACGCCGAGCGCCGCCACGACAACGCCATGCAGGACCTGCGCATGGCCCTCGAGAGCCAGAAGCTGTCGGCGCAGCAGAAGGAGGACCAGATGCGCGCCGAGGCCGCCGCCCAGCGCTACGCCGACCGCATGCGCTTTGACGAGGTCGTCGCCACCATCCGCGCCAACGTCGAAAAGGTAAGGCATGAGGACCGCATCGCCTTTGAGGCCGCCATTGCCCGCGTCGAGGCCGAAACTCACCACCGGCCCCAGAAGCCCCAGAAGCCCGGCGGCGGCGGCGGCGGCGGCAAGAGCGACCGCACCAAACGTCTGCTGTTGGGCCTGCTTCCCACCGTGGGCAGCGTTGCTCTCGCGGCGGTGGGTTTGCCGTTAGGCCTTAACCCCTTCTCGGAGTTTATGTGAGTAGGTACTATCAATAATATATCATGGTTTTATCCGTTGTCGTCGTTAATCAGCGAGCAGTCATTTAGTCGGTCGGTCGGTCACTCGGTCGATCGATGAGCATATTACTCTCTCTGGCGTTCACTATGCTGCCTTTAGACTTTGACTGTGTCTTGTTCCGTTTCACCTCGTCATGTGCGATTGCATAGCACAGCTTTGCTAACATATTCCCTTTAGAAAAGTCATCCGCGAAGAATTTGACTCGGACGCCAACGGAGACGATGGAGCTGGAGCCGGAGCCGGAGCCGCTTGGGGAGACCAGGGTCAGAACATGGCATATCCGGACACCAGTGCAAATACCTACGCCGATACCAACACCAACACCAATACGTGTACCGAGTATGAGGTGGAAGAGTACGACGGGCCGTAGCATGGATGTACTGTAGATACGAGGAGGTAGTGATGTATATAAATATACAAACTCTACAGGGGTGGAGCACAGCAACTTTGCTGTATGCGTGGGCCATATATATGTAGCGTTGGGAAAGATTCAACGACTGAGATATCGCGATATGCACTTCGCCATGGGCGTCACGCTGAGTCATTGCACATTGTCGGCTATTAGTCCTAGTCTACGGAGCAATTCCTTCTCAGTCGCACCCCTACTCGAACGTACCCAGTACATCCGAGATGGCCTGGACTTGGGGGAGTGCAGGGGGTCTCGAGGGTCCTCAGGGGCTCACCCCCGTAAGGCGGTTGTCACCTACAGTATCATATGACTGCCCACCATCCTACGACACAGCCGCCTGAGAGGGATCTAAACACATTCGCACGCCATTGACGACCTTGTCGACGACATCATCAGGAATAGCACCCTCCTGCCACGTAAACCCGAACCCGAGATTCTCGTCGCTACCCAACACACAAACCACCAATGGCCCTCCAGCGGCATATGCACATCGACTGATAGTCACCTTCCCGGCCTGCCACACCGGGCTGCCGGACCCTTCCTTGAGATTCTTGGGTTGCGAGAAAGTGCCCAGGTTGGACACCTCGAAGGATTCGCCCCGGGCGTTTCCCAGTGTTGCCGTCAATGCGGCGTTGAGGTCGGGAATCAATTTGAAAAAGGCAATGTTGGTGTACGGCTGGCCCGAAGGGGAAGCGTTCGCATAGTACCGTCGTGTGCCTTGTTGGATTTTCCTCGCGTGCGTCCATATGTCCCACGAGTTCACGCGCTGGGCGACAGAGTCTTCGGGCTTGTCGAGATCGGCGCGCAGTAATTTGACCTTGAAAGCGTCGATGAAATTGCCCATGACACCTTCGACAACGTTGGGGGCCAGATCCGGCCGCAAGCTGACGGGGATGTTGCAGAGCAAGGCTTCCGGTGTCGGTGGTGGGAGGTGGTGGAAGAGCAACCTCGCGATCAGCGATGGCAAGGCCGTCGCTGGCGTTGCCTTGTGCTTCTTGCAGTCCTGTGCAAAGGACTGTGCAAGGTGCGGTGCCAGAGACAGTGACAGGTAGCGTGTCTTGCAGGGCGCCTGAACGGGAGTGCCCGTCCAGTCCATGATCCCTGTTGCGTCGGCCGCCGGAGGTTCAGCCGGGACCGGCAGGGGATGAACCTGTTCGAGCGAGGGAGCGATCGGGTCATCGGCATTCGAGAAGACGACGTGCTCGGCTGCCTCCGACAAGCGTGAGGATGATGAAGAAGCATCCGACAGGGCACTCTGGAAGGAGTTGTGGAAGACTTGAAGACCGGTCCCGTCGCTCATGGAGTGGTGAGCGATCAGGCACGCCGTGAATTCATGGTTCACTCCCGGGTCCCGCACGATCACCATCCGCCATACTGGCAGAGTGCCGTAGCCTGACTTGAAATTGGTGTTGTGCTGATTCTCGAGCAGTGCATCAAGTTCCTTATCTCGGCCTTCGCTGTCGGTACCCGAGGGCGTGCTGCGCTCCACGAACGTCACGGCTTTCTTGATGTCAATCGACGGCAGGCGGCCCCAGTACGGCTCTTGGGTACGACCGGCACCCACTGGGACGGCAAACAGGATGGGATGTGCTCCCACCACATCTGCCACCGCGTGATATATGACTTCTGGAAGATTGGGAGCGGGCTGAGACGGCCGGTAGTGCACTGACAACCCCGTATTCGTGAAGAAGTCAATGTGATGGGCGACGGCCGCGACTTCTTCCAGCTTGCCTGCGACAAATACTCCGTTAGAGATCTATCACCAGGGATACTTTGGGAAGGAACATAGTTTGTACCTAATGGCCGTATCTTTTTCAGGTCAAGTTCGGCCATAACGACGATCCTGCGACGAAGCCGACTCGAGCTCTGCCGGCGATGCTAGGGACGACCACGGCCTCACGGCAAGAATGGCTCTGGAACACACAACGACGAGGGGGGGACTGCACAGTGGATCCCAGCACGATGCTGTGGCACTTAACTAGTATTTTACTTCCACCACATGTCACTCGCTGTCCGCCGAACGGCCCCTTGCTCGATATAGATGTTCTTGGCTGAGCCGGCGCGACTGTAGTAACCTTCCATGAGATGTTGCAGTTGTTCTCGGCTCGAGCCAGTGTAATAGCGACTGTATTTTAGGGACAAGTCGGAAGTTACCTGTACAGGACTGTCTGTGTTGTACAGGGTAATTGACACGAAGACAGGCCAGTAGAGTAGTCAAATGACAGCGTGGTGGAACGCAGGGATTCCAGGTACCGTACATACATACAGCTTCGTATAACAATACCATGCAGAATACCTCCCCATCGGCCCCCTGTCTGAAGGATTGTTCTTCTGGCCGACCCTCATGCAAGACATGCGGGACCCAAATGTGCTCATACCGTGTCTCTGCCATTCTTTGTAATCATAACTCTTCGTATCGAACACATGCAAGAATTATGCTGTGCCGCAAAGAAACTATCGGGCCCCCGTGGGCTTCCGAATCCTCGCTTCCTAACTTTCCCACTTCCGGCATTGCTGTATGTACAAAAGTAGACGACTCGCGTGAGCGAATGCGACGCCGTCGATGTCTTATAGCAGGCCTCTGGGAACAACATATACCGAGCGGCACGTACATCGTTGACCTCAGACTGTCCCCCAAGGATACGACAGCGAGATCGACCCAGATAGATTCATCCTGATTTCTCACCGAGAGTCCACCATCATGGCGTATCCCTTTCCGTATTCTTTAGCCGCAAAGCTGGATTCGAGGATCAACATCCCTCGTCCCATGTACGACCCTGTTCTCGCTCCGATGCTCGACTCTGCCCCAATGCCCGAAGAGTTCGATCTTGACCTGATGCGCGGCGTCGCCAGCGGAGACCAGGAGTGCTCGCACGGCTCGTTCGTCTTCAACGCGACCACCATTCTCCAGGACAAGCCACACTTGTCCCACACCGAGCACACCGTCACCGGGCCCGACGACAATCCGATCATCCTGTCCGTCTTCACGCCGAAGGAGCCCGCTGCGGCACCACGACCAGCTCTGTACCACATCCACGGCGGCGGGATGGTCAGTGGGGACCGCTTCACGGCTTTGACGTCTGTGATTGATCTCCTCGAGGGCATCGACTGCGTGGTCGTATCCGTGGAGCATCGCCTCGCCCCAGAAACCCGTGCCCCCGGGCCAGCGGAAGATTGTTACGCCGGCCTGGTCTGGGTTTCCGAGCATGCCGCGAGCTTGGGAATCGACCCGGCGGCGATCGTCGTGTTTGGAGTATCCGGTGGAGGCGTGCTGGCGGCGGCCACGTGCCTGATGGCCCGCGACAGGAAGTCTCCCGAAATACCCATCAAGGCCCAGATGCTTTACTCGCCGCTGCTGGATGATCGACTGCAAACCTTGTCAGACCAACAGTTCGAGTACGGCAATCCAGCGAGCACGGCGTGGATCCGGAGGATATGGCAGCTCGTTCTGGGCGACGCGTACGGATCGGACAAGGTGACGCCGTACCAGGCGCCAGGCAGAGCGACCGACCTGGCGAATCTCCCTCCTGCGTACATCGATGCCAGCGAGTGTGAGGTGTTTCGTGATTCCTCTGTCGCCTACGCCACGAATCTGTGGCGTTGTGGATCGACTTGCGAACTGCACATCTGGCCGGGCGCTTTTCATGGATTTGACATGTTGGACGACCCGAACGTTCCGCTCATTCATATGGCCAACCAGGCGAAGAGGAATTGGTTCAAACGGGCTTTCAGGGCCTGAGACGGTCAAATGAAAGTCTCTGCAAGGCCATCATTTCTTGAAACGGGGTACAAGTCCAGCAAGCGACAGTAGAGCTTCAAGACGGATCGAGTCGTCTTGATTCGTAAGTCAACGCTCAGACAAAACACACATCGCACGATTCAGCAGTTTATAGTCCGTAGAGCGCCATGAGACCATTTGTCGTTCGATATCTTAAGGCATTTCCAGCACAAGAAGAAGTGTTTTTTGACCAGCGTTCCTCAAGACGGAGGTATTACCCGCTACAAAGTCGTGTCGCGTTCGAGCTAATGTACGCTCTCTCAGAGGAGTTGGTTGGGGATGCCGCGCTTTGCACGACAGGGTAAATATCAAGGAGAGATCCACAGCCCCCTAGGGACCACCTAGAAGAGACTGAGAATCCGAGCACTCTATGCTGGATTATTGGACATCTTAGCTTATATGCTTATTATGAACACGGAGAGGATCGCGGAGAGGCACGCGCTTCGTGACAGCTAATACTTCAATCACCTCGAGCCATGCGACCGACTTCTACCCCAACACAAACTTAAAAGACGCGACCTTTCGTCTGCTTGATACCAATGATATTGAGGTTCCGCCACATCAGAGTTCCGATAATCCCAATGACCCAAACACTAGTACCGGCAATGAACAGGTCCTTCTGCGTATCACCGTACGCCCGCTGAATAGCCAGTCGAGTCGGCGTGCCCACCGGGTAAGACAGCTGAGTTACAATATCCATGGAGATCAAGGGCAAGTTGGGAAGCTCCTCCTCGGGGAGGTACAGCGCCAGCCGCTCGGGCAAGACACCCTGCCAGATGGCCGAGGAGACGGTGAGGCCCACGGCTTGGCCGATGCTCGCGCACATGGACACCAGCGCGATGGCGACGGCAAAGTACTGTTGCTCCTTGACGGCGGCCAGGATGGCGATCTCATCGGTGAGCATGATGGCGCCGCTGCCAAACGCAATAAAGATCTGGGACATGACGATGTAGCCGACATTGCCCGTCGGTTGGCGGAAGTGGATCATCAGGCCGGAGCCGAGGATCGACAGCGGGATCGTGAGGTAGAGCGTGACGGGCTTGAAACGGCCCGTGTACGACATCAGGGCGCCGACCAGGATGGAGAAGAAGAAGCCGGCCACGGTGTAGGTTGCCACGACGTAGCTGGCGTGCGTAACGCTCAGATCGTTGACCACTTGCAGGGTCGAGCCGAAAAACACGCCCCAGCACATGTAGCTGAAGAACAGGGCAAAGGCAAGCAGACAGGCGCCGATGACGGTGCGGTCGTGCATCAATTTCCATGGGATGAAGGATTTCTTCGCAAAGAACCTTTCCCACACCCCGAATCCGATCAGCAGCACAATGCCCAGCACAAGGAAGCAGATGATAATGGCCGAGTTCCATCCCTTCGTTTGCTGCGTGTACAGGTTGAAGGGCAGCAGGAAGAACGCGACGCCAGCCGACAGCAGGAAGAGGCCCATGAGGTCGAACTCGTGCGCGTAATAAGTCACCGACTCCCATACTGTGTGTCCGCTTTTTCGCTTCGGCACGACGCCCTGCTTTTTGGCCTTGAAGAAATGGTACATGAACAGCCCGAACAGCGGGATGGTGACGCCGGGAACGAGGATACTCTCCATCCCAAACGCCCAGCGCCAGCCCGCTCCGTTCAAGAACGCCGTGGAGATGGGTCCGCCCAGCCAAGGTGTAATCACGTTGGACGAGGCGCACAGGGACTGGACAAGACCTCGGTGCCGCAGCGAGGTGATGTCGGCGACAAACACGCTCAGGCTGTAGCCGATTCCATTGATTCCCACGGTATAGAAGACTTGTGACGCAGCGTAAGCTTCGACGTTGTTGCAGCCGGCTGCCATGATGAGGCCGACCGTCGCAAGAACCACGCAGAAGAGGAACCCCTGCGGGCGACCGAAGATGTCCACAGTTTTGGCGATGCTCATATTCGTGACGCCGCCAATGACGGAGCTCAGCACGCCGGTGGTGGGCGTGAGGGAGTGCAGAGCGAAGGACGAAGTCACGTAAGGAAGCAGGCTGCCACTGACTCCTGCCACGAGGCCTTGGACAAAGTAAACCAGCCAGATCAAAGCGTAGGCGATCACCAGGGCAGTGGTGGACCACGAGATGGTCACGGCCTCGATATCTTGGACGCCAGCCTGGAATCTAGGGTCCACCGAGTTATCGTCTGATGGTAGCACTTGAGGATGCTCGAGGTCTTGCCCTGTGGCTTCGCGCACGGTATCGTGAACATTGTGGGGGACTTTGCCGTCGCTGTCGAAGTCGTTCGTACTCGCCATAGCTTGATAGTTGGCTGTCGGACAGTCGATTTTTGCCAGATGTTCAGCTGCGTGGTGGTAATGCCACCATAGGAAAGACTGACCCGACGGAGTCGAACGAAGAAGAATATAAAGGATCGAAGAGCGAAGGATAGGAGAAGAAGTGAGTAGCAGCACCGAGCCTCTGGGAGGGTGCACGAAATCTTCAATAGGGCGACGAACTGCCCGAAGGGTCTTCTTTCAAGGACAAAACAGCGACAGATCAAAAGGGTCTCTCGAATACTAATGCTCCATTCTTCGGCCCCTTGTTCTCCAGCCGTCGCTAAATATTTCAGAAATGTCGAACGAGCATGGAACGGTACGGTACGTGTGCCGAAATTGGCTCCCATGCGTCTAAACGACGAGAGAGACGATTTCTTGCTCAAGAGCCCACGCGCATCGCATCGATAGACGAAGCCAGTAAGTGTCTTCCTCGCCGCTTTCCGAATTTCCGTCCTAAGCTTAGTTTTCTTAGTTTGCAAGGTCACCACGCTTACATTCTTGGCAATAGCGCCAGTAGTTCCTTGGGATTTGCTCACGATGGGTCTTCTGTACATAATGTGCTCAAGGCGTGTCTACTACTATTAATGTGCTCACCTTTGAGCACATTAGACTAGCGAGCTCGCGAGGCGCCTCGAACTAGCGAAATACAAGCGAGAGCCAATTGCGGCTCGATAAGCGCTCGCATACAATTTGATCCGGGCCGGAACGTGCATTGGTGCATTTCGGCCATGCGACGCTTGTTGTCTTGGTCGAGCAAGTAAGTATTGCCAGCCCGCAAACTTTTGCAAAACTGTAATGGTAATGCCGTGTACAGATCGCTCTATGGAGGCGTACTGTTGCGGTACGAGACGAGCGTGTAAGTAGAATCGGTGGTTCGTCTACCTAGGTATGTCAGAGAAATGCTATCGCGAAGCCCTACCTCCCTGTGGAAGCGAGCACCATGCCTGCGTGGAAACTCTCCAATCTAGCTTTCTACTCGATTCTCGACCGCAGGCTTTGCGAGGTCCCTCCGATTGAATGTTTGCCAGATCGGGAAGGACAACAGGGGCAAATTACTCAATGCGGTTAGCGCCGCAATGCGTTTCTTTGCTCCGGGCCTCAACATTGATCTGAAGATGCAAGTACTATGTGACAGTGATGTCCGATTGCCGTTGACTCGCAACTGCTCTACGCTACACATGACCATCTTTCTGGCTGTCGACGAGCTTTGCATACTTCATCAACTCCTCATCTGTCTTCAGCATCTTCAATTCCTCGGGCAGCGTGCCCAGCACGAGCTCCACGCCGCCGTCTTTTCTCAATGGAGAAATGAGCAGAAACCGGAAACGTCGGTGACCTCGCTCGATCTGGGGCCGCATGGCTTCCGGACTGCCTCCGGCAAAGAAGGCGTCGCCAAAGGAAATCTCCTTTGTCTGGAACAGCATCATATTGGAGATCATCGCATGCATATGCTCGATGCCCATGTTCGCCGTGGCAGGTTTGCTGTAATCGGACATGGACCTCAAAAGCGTGAATGCGTCATGAACCAGAGAAGGAGTAATCCGTGCCGCTGCTTCGCGGATAAGGGAGGCAATCCGCGCGATGCTTGTGTCAGGTGAACACAGCGTCTCGATCGGCATGGTGGGTCGATTGAGAATGAGCATACTGCCCATATAGGATGAGGGCAGTAACGGCGAGAAGTAAGGCCGGCCATCAATCGGTAGCTCCAGAATGGACATGTCATCGGGTCCAAAACCTGCGTCCCGGATGTCTTTGGCAACACGATATCGTGACCTGACCGACACACGCCAAAAGAGTGCCTGCACGATGTCGCTGATGGACGGGGCAGGCCCCTTCACCTCCATATCGGCAAGAACCTCTTCTCTGAGCTTTTGTATACCCTCGCGAGGAATCAAGAACACACTTGTGCTCAAAGATCGCTCAGCGGGAGCAGCCGGCCATACAGGCTGACGCGGGAAGACTGGAACCGGAGGGAGAGCCAGCTTTGGAGAGCGATTGTTATTGGCTTTGGGGACTCCATTGACGTGATTTCCTTCCTCAAGGAGACCCAGATGGTCGACCTGATCGTGATCCGAAATGGGATCGTCCGGGCGAAAGAAGGGCAGAAATCCCCAGACTCCAGGGTCTACCTCGTGAGCAGCTTTCGCGTACCCTCCCTCTTCGTGGAGGATCTCAGGTAAGCTGTGATTGAAACTCTCGGGATCAAACCACCCGCATGTTGCTGTCTGATCTCCCTCGAGGTATCTGCAGCACTCAGCCCAGACACGCAGAGCGACCATGACGCCGATGCCATCGAGACAGGTGTGGATGAAGTTGGTGGCCAGGATGCAGCCCCCTTCCACAAAGTTGGCCTGGGCAACCAAGATGTCGGCGGGCATTTCCGGGAAAGGGTGGCAGTCGAGGACCAGGTTGTCATTGAACAGGGAAGGCGCGAAATTAGCATGTCGCATTTTTTCAAAGGACGGCAGCACTTTGGAGAGATCCTTGTAGATCAGCTGTCTCGGCTTCGAAGAGGCAGGCAATAGGTGAGGCGGAATCGTGATGCGATATCCGCCTTTCTTGTACCCGAACTCATGCTCCGAAGCGAGCATCATCTTCCCATCCAGTTCAGGTATGACTTCAAACGCACGTGCAAGACCATTCTGCAACTTTGCGAAAGCTTCTTGGAAAGTGACGCCTGGCCGAAGGGCGAAGTAGAAGTTCAACCCCATGTAGTGATTGGGGTTGACCGCATCCAGCGCGTTCATCTTGAATCCCAGTCGTCGCTTCTGTTCGACTATCTTGCTTTGCACGTTGGCCTCTGCGTGGCGAGCAGGCGGCGAGTCTGTGGTGCCGTTTGGAGCCGCTTCGTGGGTCACGTCCTCGACCGCTTTGTTGGCAGGTTTGACTTCGTCCAATATCCTTGCAACTTGGACAGCGAACTCGGCGATAGTAGGATTTGCGTACAGATGTCGTGGTGCAAGCTGTTCCTGAAGTCCTGTGGCAGCTCGAATCGCCTTGACCACGCGGAACACAAGCAAAGAGTCTAAACCCAGTTCAAAGACGTCTTCATCGGGTGGGAAACTCTCGACATCAGGCAATATCGAACTCATGATGTGGCATATAGAGTCTGTGATGGTCTCGACTGAGCTGGTGTCCACCGTGAAAGCATCCATGTCTTCGCTGTTCGCGTCCTCGTCCCTTGTGCTGTAGAAGCGATCAATAAAATCTGCGTAGAGGTCCAAAGTTGCGCGCCGTTTGATGGTTCTTTTGTCCGTCCGGATGAAGGGTTTGTCCGGATCGGCAAAAGCAATGTATTGTCTTTGCAGTCGGCTTTTCTGAAAAGCCATGTTGTTGGCTCTCTCCACCGTGGCCCAGATGCTATCGAACAGCTCGTTGTTCCTTGCGGACGGGTCTTTGAGCTCAATGAGCAAACCGGCCTGAGACTTCCCTGTCCCAATGAGAAGGCAGCCGTCGACTGCAGGGTGTGTTGTGACCAATGCCTCCGTCTCCAAAGGTGAGATCTTGTAACCATTGGAGAGGACGACCACGTCGTCACTCCTTCCACTGAACGCCCAAAGATGTGGTTTGGAGGGGTGCCGGATATACAAGTCTTTGAGGTTGATAGACTGCTGGTTCGGAAAAGTATGAAAGATGCCCTGGAACAATGCCCAGTGCTCATTTCGGTGCACCCAATGCTCAAATACACCGGGTTGGATCTCTTTGAACTCGAAGCCGGAATAGGGGTGGAATGCGAACCAATGCCAGTCACCTCTTTCTACCCAGAGGTTACCGATAAATAAGCCTTCTGTGGTGCCCGTCAGGTTGAGGACCCGGATCACTTCGTTGACCTTTGACACAATAATTGGGCTGACGGGCCCTGTCGAGGAAAATAGTCAGATAGGCAATACTACTTCTCTGGGAACATTGCACTACTCACCACCGGAAGCACAGATGAACTTGGAAGGCTTGAACTTCGCCAGCACATCAGGATTCTCCCCGAGCTCATCCACCAATGATGGAACCATGCTCCAGATGTCAATCTTTGCATGGTCGGCCAGGGACTCTATGAGTCCGAGGTTCGGTAGGACACCTGACGGCCCCAGAATGCAATGCAGGTTGAACAGTGAAGGCATCAGAATATCCATGATGATACCCGCACCCTTCCTGGGAAGTCAGTGTTGCACTATGGACAATTGGACACGAGAATGGGGAGTCACTCACGTGGCTCATAGGGAACGAAGAGTATATCCTGTCGCCCGCATTCCAATTGTCTGTCCACGGAGCAAGGCCAGCGTCGCCTTCGGTAGGAGGAAGCAGCCGCACAGCATCCATGGTGCCGACCAGACCATGGGTCCACGAGATCGGTTTCGGAAACCCCGTGGTTCCTGATGTATGCAAAATGCAGAACGGTTCGTTAATTGCGCTTTCGAATGTCTTGTCATAGATATAAGGCTTTGTAGACTCGGCGTCGAGGAGTTCGTCAACTCCTGGTAGCTCTAGAACTTTCATGGGTTTCTGCTGTAGGAGATCCTTCACTAAAGGAAGCATCGGCTGCTCGTGCGGTTTAACCCAGGTATCACAACCTGCCGCATTGAGAACGGCCAATGCACCCGCCACGTTGTTCTTCGGGGAAAGAAAAAGGGCCTGTGAGAAAGTCTTCAGCACTTTCTGTGTGACATGCTGCTTGATACTTGCATACTTACAGCACACCCAGCCTTGACGGCACCGTAAGTTAACAGAACATAGCGCAGATCATCTGTGTGGAGTCGTTAACATCATGCGCTCCTGTGCTCACGTATATAGAGGACTTACGCGGTCCGATGTAAGCCAAGGGTTGGATTTTTGGTGGTTCCTGAGTATGGCCGTTTGGGGTTTCGTTGCCTCCTCCGTTTGAGAGTCCATGTTTTGTCCCGACTTGATCGTGAAGCCACCATGCTGTCTTGTCCACGGCCTTTGCAAAATCGCGTGCAGAGATATGCCGGAACTGGGGAGAACCGTCCGGGAATGCTGCGACTGAGTATACAAGACGATCTGGATCCAGAGCAGCCAGTCGATCTAGAATCTGCGGTATGAGTCTCCTGCCATAGTCCAACGAGTTATCGATCGCCATCGTGACAATCTGGAGCAAGTCTCAAGGTGGGTTTGATGTCAGGCAGTATATCTCGAACCAGGAACAGACAACCCTCAGATTCCCATTTCCAGCTTATCAGGGCCTGCTCAGATGGTTCCACCCAGACCTACAAGCGGATACACTTACGGAACATCGGCAACTGCTGCACTATTAATGTGCTCATCCATCACGCCGGACTGTGTCTAGGTCTCAGGAGATTAGCAGGCCTCGGCACTGTGCCTTCGCGTCCATGGGGTACGAGGGTGGCATATCGTTCGTCGTGACCAGGTGGACACCCTCCAGCCAAGGCAGCCACCATGACTCCCTACCGTTGTAGTCGTGGATTCATTGAATGAAACAGGCTATATGGGCCCCTGCTGCTCTACATAGCCAATACACCCATGTATATGAGATGGTCTGAATGATGAGGGGCATCATTCGAACAGGTAATCAACTTCCTGGCAAGCAATGAAGGAGTGCCGCCGCTCCAACCTTGCATTAGTTGACGCTAATTCTCCCTCTAATGAATTCAGGGACAGACGGCATTCTTCTGCTTCTCGATCCTGCCCGATACAGTGTATTGTACCTAGCTTTGAGACGAGTGGTATTGGTTACTCAGAACGACGATAGATCAAGAGTTTCCGTTATGCACTGACAATTCTGCACGGTCAGACGGCGTGCTGTCGATCTTTCACACCGGCTGACACCAGGTCCACTAACGCCAGGGCCGTCCCTAGGCGGGAGGAATTCTTCCATGGGAACGAGGGGTGCACCAAGCCAAGGACCACGTGATCCCTGTAGGTTCGCAAGGTTGTTCCGAGCCTCGACACCTCCGTCAGGGTGTTCGCCGACATGCAGTTGGCGGCTATGTGACGAGAGTTGATGGGCCTCACGGCTGGGTGATGGCACTGAGGTATCCAGCGCGAAATTCTGGCAAAGGTCGTGGCATTACCTGAAGATATCTGTGTAATAATGTCTGCCGCGGGATTAATAGGAAGCGTAAATATTGAAATCAGTGGTAGGTTTCATAGTAAATAATATAATAATAATTTGTGATCCATGCGCGGCTAGAAGTACCTACGAGAAGCAGGTATCAACACCACTGTAACAATACATCTACTTCACAAGAATATAATGTAAAGACAGTCAGTGTACATCTACTCCTAAACACCATGTAGAAGATAGCCCTCGCCCTGTCCCGAGGATCATTGTCCACGACCCCAGAGAAACCATGTGTAAATTTCCTCGTATCCCCTGGAGACATCAGCTGATGCAGGGTTTCCTTCTGGTCGACATTCAAAGTTCCGCAAAGAATGCAGGAGCAAACCTTTCAAGCTCTCTTCCCCGCCAAGCTGAAATCTCATCCCGCAGAAACACTAAGGCATCTCGACGAACGATCCGAGAGTCCTTCAACGGCATCAACGGTTGGGGAAGCAGCACGGGGCAAAGTAACGTCCGAAGCACTCGCACCTCATCGAGCAACAAAGCACCAAGTTGACTAACTGATCCAATCTGTTGCCGATTGCGGCTAACGTGCAACCAGGAGTAATGAGCACATTATAAGCTCCAAGCAGGGGTGGATCCTAGAAGCCCCTGTCCACATGCTCACGACTTTGCGATCAGAACAATTACGGCCCCAAGTTTCAAATAATTACCGGTAGGTATCAGAACGAAATCAACGCAGTTCGCTCAGGTAATGGATTTCACCGTGTTCTACCGATGGTAAACATGGTATTGCAGCTCCAGGCTTGGTCCGTATGCAATCTCGAGAGTGAGCACATTATTAGTTCGCTTCACAGATGGGCAGGAATGTCGTCTTTGTCTCGCCAAGTCGAACCATTTCCTTGTGCCCGGCGCCCGGGCCTTGCAGGAGGATGGAAGGCGTTGGAGGATGACGAACTAAAGGATACCGGATGCTCCTGTGCTTAGATGGAGTGCAGCTTCGGATCCTCAGCCTGAAAAAATGAAAAGGATTTAAACGAGGTCGTGGAATTTGCCCTCCAATCTTTGCTGGTTTTCTGGGTTGTCGTTGAGTTCCAATCGGCGCACGACTCGTCTCAGTCCGGTTTGTGAAGTTGACCATGTCTGGCACAGTTGCTCCGTCTTTGCCCACCATGGAGCCTGTCCTCTATGCTGCCCAGCCTGGAAACCACTTTGCAGATGGTGAGCTTTCCATCAACTCGGACGCCCCGGTGGCCAACGAGACGACTGTCATAGAGTCTTCTAGCTCTAAGTTGTCCGTCCTGGAGATATCCATTCGGGAATCTGTCGTCGTCGAAGCTCGCCCTTCTGAAACCTCGAACAAGATCTTGGAAATTATTTTCGACTACGCCCTCAACAAATTCAGCGATACCAGACAACAGCTTGAGGCTGGGAGGCCGAAGTTCCTGGCCGTCATCGAAAAGTTCGTGTCAGCGGGAGCTCAAGTGGAAACATGTTTGCCTGCATTTCCGTTCAAGTATGTACTTTCATTACCCTATCAGGCCTCGAGTTCGATTTTCCCTCTGGGATCGTCAAGAGGTACAAGATGCGGGACGAGAGCACGTCCTGGGAGGCTACCAGGTGATGGAATCGAGACTGACACCACCAATATCCAGGTCGGCCAATAAAGTCTACAAAGTCCTCGGTACCCTGCCCGACAAGGCCGAGGAGATTGCCCTGAAGCGGCTCAACGACATGTGTCTGCGGATTGGTGAAATCTATGCGCCTGGCGCGAGGTGTACCATAATCTCAGATGGTTTGGTCTACAATGGTGTGTCCCATGCTGCGTAGACTACTTCAGCATCTTCGGTCCGAGGCTGATCTGCATCCCTAGACTTGTTGAGCATTTCGGATCGCGACACCTGGGCCTACGGACAAGCCCTCCGCGCAATGGCTGTGCAGAAGGGGTTTGACCGCATCCGTTTCTCCTGGATCCGAGATTTCGTCAATTTCCCTTTGCCAGAGAAGATGGATGAGATCACCTATGTGGCTAATGCCACCAACTTCCGACGATTCATCTTGAATAATTTTGGCAAAGATGACATCGACATTGACCACGAAATTGCGACAAAGCCCGATACCAAATTGACCTACCTTGGATACCGAAGATTCTTGGAGTCCGACCTCAAGTACGTCTTCCCAGTGGGCAATGGTCGCTCGAACCACGGGTACAAGAGAGATGTCAAGTATCTAGCAAAGGAGATGCTAGTTCGGGGATATGTGAGTGGACTAAGGCATATATCTATAACCGGTCTTTCACAGGGGCTAACCATGACGACAACAGGCTTTTGCTGGGGCCGTAGCCCACGCGTTCCCGAACTACTTACGCCTTTCTATTCATCAATCGACCGGCGAGCATAAGGTATCCATGAGTCTGCTCAATACAAAAACGGGGTTCACTACCCCGTGGCACTGTAGTGTCGCATTGATGGCCGACGGCGAGTGGGTAAGCGCTCCGATGGGTGAATTCAAGAAGGATCCCAAGATGAAGCTTGTTTACGAGGATGGGCGTCCCAGCTATTTCCAAGAGACCGTAGGCAATGGGGCGAGTCACCAACACTCAGCAGGCCAAGCCGTCGAAGCGTCCGAAGATAAAAGCCTGGTGGCCGCTCGGCAAAAAGTCGAATCCATCATGACAGCCCCTTCATCTATGACTGAGATAGACGTGGACAAGGTCAATGTGCTTGCAAAGGTAGCCTCGTTAGGCGAGGTTAAGGACGAGAAATCTGAAGCAGTTAACCCCTTTTCTGGATCCCGAAATCCTCAGCTCGACCCATCATCAGCTGAGTTCCGTGTGAGAGCATGGCTCGAAGCTGTCATGAACATTGCATCTCGAGATCCTGAACGGTATCCAAAGGGGGTTGCTGGGGTAGCATACAAGAACCTGTCAGCGCACGGTCTAGGGGATCCAATGGATTACCAGAAGACGTTCGGGAATTACGCCATCGTGTTGCTCAAATGGGCTAGACGACTCGTGGGCAGGGAGACCAAGCCCAGGGTGCAAATCCTGAGAGATTTTGACGGCCTTGTCAAGAGTGGAGAGATGCTTGTAGTGCTCGGGAGACCTGGAAGGCAAGTCACACTGAGAAGTTGCTCGCTCCAGGACTGTGGCATGCTGACAGTTGCAGTGGTTGTTCGACATTCCTCAAGACCATCGCCGGAGAAACCAATGGATTCTACATCGGCAAGGATTCGTACTTGAACTACCAGGGCATCCCAAAGGAGACTATGCACAAAGACTTTAGGGGGGAGTGCACCTACCAGGCAGAAGTCGATGCACACTTTCCTCAATTGACTGTGGGCCAGACTCTCGACTTCGCGGCTCGCGCAAGGGCAAGTCGATACGATCCTTACGTTGAATGCTTGATCGACTGACTTTTCCAAGACTCCCCGAAATCTCATGCCTGGGGTGACTCGAGAGGTAAGACCTTCAAATTTCTCGCCCTCCTCTCCCATGACGAGGTGCTGGAGATGCTAATGCTGATTCTTCTCCTAGATGTACGCGCCACATCTCCGTGATGTTGTCATGGCAGCATTTGGACTAAGCCATACGGTCGACACAATCGTATGTAGGGTCAAATCCAACTTCCGCGGCTCGTACTGAAACGCACATTAGGTTGGCAGCGACTTCGTTAGGGGCGTATCTGGTGGCGAACGTAAACGTGTCAGCATTGCAGAAGTGTAAGCTCTTCCCACACCGACAACCATGATATATGGCCAAACAGGGTCAGGTCCGAGACCGTGTGACCTCGAAGCCGACTACCGTCTTGCTTCCCACTCCAGACAACTATGCGCTTTGTACTCACATGATTTGCAGTGCTATCGGGGGCAGCACTTTACAATGCTGGGACAACAGCACACGCGGACTCGACAGTTCCACCGCTCTTGAATTCGTGCGCACGCTTCGAACGTCAACTTCGCTCACGGGAGCGACTGCTCTTGTGACAGTCTATCAAGCCTCTCAGTCCATCTATGACGCAGGTCTCGCTTATGGGAACAAAGTATGTTAGTCACCACTGACGTGCACAGGTCTTCGACAAAGTTGCTGTGCTCTACGAAGGCCGACAGATTTACTTTGGGAAAGTTCACGAGGCGAAACGCTTCTTCGTCAGTTTAGGCTTCGAGTGTCCACCGCGGCAAGTGACTGCCGACTTCCTCACATCACTGACCAACCCGCTGGAACGACGGATCCGGCCGGGCTTCGAAGGCAAGACACCATCCACACCAGACGAGTTCGCGGCTTGCTGGAAACAGAGCGAAGACCGCGCACGGCTGCTGCGCGACATCGAAGAGTTTGACAGGCAATATCCTCTTGGAGGAGCGTCTTTGGATGAATTCAAGAAGTCCCGTCGAGCGGTCCAGGCAAAATCACAGTACGTCAAGGACTGACATCGAGATTCTGTTTAGTAATTAACCTTTCTTCTCCCCTACAGGCGTATCAAGTCACCGTACACGCTCTCGGTACCACAGCAAGTGTCATTATGTGTCCGCCGAGGATTCCAGAGACTACGAGGGGATATGGCCATTGTCCTCAGCGGCGCCTTTTTCAACGTGATCATGGCACTGGTGATCGGCAGCATCTTTTACAATCTCCGCAATGACACGGGCTCGCTCTACAGCCGGGGGGCTCTCCTCTTCTTTGCGATCTTGCTGGCTTCCTTCGCTAGTGCTCTCGAGGTATTGTCCACGTTCGACACCACACAGTGGCTTGACTAATTAATGCTGGGCAGGTCATGACTTTGTACGCGCAACGGCCGATCGTGGAGAAACAAGCCAGGTATGCCTTCTATCATCCGTTCGCTGAAGCAATCGGTAAGCCTGGAGACATGTGCCTGTGGCGTATGCGTCCAGCTGACATGTCGAAGCTTCGATGATTTGCGATCTGCCCAACAAGGTCCTTACCTCGCTCGGATTCAACCTGACCCTTTACTTCATGACGAATCTACGTCGCACGCCCGGTCATTTCTTTGTATTCCTGCTTTTTACATTCACCTGTACATTGACCATGTCAATGTACTTTCGCTGCATAGGCGCATTGTCTCGCTCGTTGCCAGAGGTACCGAACTTTCTCCCCCTCGCTCCCTCGAATACTAACAATCCAGGCCCTGGTGCCTGCGTCACTATTCAGTCTTGCTCTCGCGATCTACACCGGATTCACCATCCCGATCAAAGACATGCACCCATGGTTCCGATGGCTCAACTACCTCAACCCCGTTGCTTATGCGTTCGAAGCACTGATGATCAATGAAGTACGGACATGATGTATTTCCTTGATTGTTTGCGATGTCTGACATGGCCAGTTCCACGATCGAACGATCGAATGCTCAAGATTCATTCCCGAGGGCCCAGGTTTCGGCGGAGTCTCCCCGACTGAGAGGATCTGCGCAACTACCGGAGCGGCTGCAGGAGCAGACGTTGTCGATGGAGATACCTATCTGGCCGTCAACTTCCGTTACTACGTAAGCCATCTGTGGAGGTAAGTGGCTTGTTCCTGGCCTCAGACAGAGTCCGCGAGAAGACAAAGTATATTGACATTGGCCGTCAGGAACTTGGGCGTTATGATTGCGTTGATGATCTTTGGCTGCGCCGTCTACCTGATAGCTAGCGAGTACATCTCGGCCAAGAAGTCCAAAGGCGAGATCCTACTATTTCGACGAGGCCGTGTGCCTTATATCCCATCGAAAGCGGATGAAGAAGCCAACACTGGCAACGGAATCAGCACAGATATTTTGAGGCACGAAAGACCCGTGCTGCATGCCCCGTCGGGTCTCCAGAACCAGACTGCAGTCTTCCAGTGGAGCGATGTCAATTACGATATCAAGGTCAAGAAGACGACTCGACGGCTCTTACATCAGATCGATGGATGGGTCAAACCCGGCCGTCTCACGGCATTGATGGTAAGTACTTCTTGCCTCTTGCGCGTGTAGCAGGATGACCAGGAAGCTTATGCTCCCATCTAGGGTGTCACTGGAGCCGGCAAGACCACCTTACTTGACGTTTTAGCGAGCCGGGCGACGCTTGGTGTCGTGAGCGGAGAGTTACTGGTCAGTGGGCAACTTCGCGATACGGGCTTTCAACGAAAGACCGGATATGTCCAGCAGCAGGACTTGCACCTCGCGACTACAACGGTTCGAGAAGCCTTGACGTTCAGTGCTCTTCTGCGGCAGCCGAGGACTACCCCTCGCGCAGAAAAGATCGCATATATGACAGAGGTGATCAAGGTTCTCGAAATGGAGCCCTACGCCGATGCCATTGTCGGAGTACCAGGAGAAGGTCAGTAGCCAGATCATCCATCAACCACGAGGACACTACCATCCACGGATATTCCGACGTCGCTGGGAACGAACTGACGATTTCTGATAATCGTTACAGGCTTGAACATCGAACAAAGAAAACGACTGACGATCGGCGTCGAACTTGCAGCAAAACCTGCATTGCTATTGTTCCTTGACGAACCTACTTCTGGTCGGTTGTTCGTATACCCAAGCTGAGATTGCGCTGACCGGTGTGTTTCCACTCTAGGGCTCGACAGCCAGACTGCTTGGTCGATATGCGCGCTTCTTCGCAAGCTTGCAGACAACGGCCAAGCCGTCCTATGCACCATCCACCAGCCTTCGGCACAACTGTTCCAGGCCTTCGACGAGCTGCTTCTCCTCTCTATAGAAGGAAAGACGCTCTATTTCGGCGAGATCGGTAAATCGTCCGAGACCGTCACGGGCTACTTTGAGCGCCACGGGGCAAGACCCTGCGGCAGGCGGGAGAATCCAGCGGAATGGATGCTCGAAGTGACTGGAAGTGGTGCGACAACGACCGGTTCTGACGGTGCAAAGGACTGGTCAGCCATCTGGAGCGATTCCGAAGAGCGCCGAGCCATCAAGACCGAACTCGCTCGGATGAAGAGGGAGTTCGCCCACCAGCCAGTCTCAGTCAACGATCCCAGCGATCCCGATGCCTTACGCCCGTTCGCCGCCCCGTTGGGAGTTCAGTTCTGGACCGTTCAAAGACGCGTCTTTCAACAGTATTGGCGGACACCTTCGTACTTGTACAGCAAGGTGGCTCTCTGTCTGCTCAGCGTAAGTCTGCAAAACAACCCCCGAGAAGGGCAGCATCTACGAGGATATGTCTATTAAACTGACTGCCAGGCACTGTTCATCGGCTTCTCCTTTTGGAAAATGCCCAACTCGCTCAAAGGGCTCCAGAACCAGATGTTTGCCATCTTCATGCTGCTCGTGATATTCACCAACGTGTGCTCGCAGATCATGCCTCACTACGTCGCCCAACGCACGCTGTACGAAGCTCGAGAGTCGCCGTCCAAGACGTACTCGTGGAAAGTGTTTGTGCTGTCGATGACGATAGTGGAGATGCCGTGGAACGTGCTGTCGGCCTTCCTCGTCTTCGTGTCGTGGTACTACCCGATCGGCCTGCGTCAGAACGCCCTGGAGGCGGATCAAGGCGCCGAACGACAAGCGCTGATGTTCCTCTTCATCCTCGCCTTCTTGCTCTTCGCCGGCACGTTCACAAACATGGTCATGGCCGCGGTGGACTCGGCCGAGGCCGGCGGGAACATCACGAACTTGTTGCATTCTCTGTCCTTGATCTTCTGCGGGTATGTCGGACTTCGCTCCTCCTTCCGTGAAACCCTACTTGTACCAAGTATGTAAAGTACTCTACTCACTGACGATCATCCAGTGTCCTGGCAACTCCAGACGCCTTGCCCGGTTTCTGGATCTTCATGTATCGCGTCTCCCCATTCACCTACTTTTTCTCCGGTGTGTTGTCCGTAGGGCTGGCCAACTCGCGCATCTCCTGCGCCACCGAGGAATTTTTGCGCTTCTCGCCGCCCCCAGCCTTGAACTGCTCCACCTACCTCGCTCCCTACATCGAAGCCGCCGGTGGCTACCTCACACCGGACAGCACGGGCTCGACCGCCGAGTGCGTCTTCTGCAGTGGCGATGACACGAATGTCTTCCTGGAGAGCGTGAGTGCCAAGTACGAGGATCGGTGGCGAAACTTTGGCATCTTCTGGAGCTATATCGTCTTCAACACCGCCGCGGCCGTCGTGCTCTTCTGGCTGAGGAGAGTGCCCAAGGGGAAGCGGGTGCAGCAGAAGGTCGAAACCGAAACTGAGGCGCAAGAGACGGATGAGAAGGCGAAAGCGAAAGCGAAAGCGGACGATTGATCGCGTACAGTGACCCGACCCGACTCGTCCGCGCTTGGGTGCTCGAGCACAGGGCAGCTTTCCCAACTGGCCTTTGGTAGAGCAAGTCTCTGCATATGCTGTCTTGCGCGGGACCCATATCTCTCCACGGCTGCTTCAACAACATTGACAAATACTTATGCGGTACTCAGTGTTACTGTGCAAGTTAGTTGCAACAGCGTTGCCGGCTGTATGAGACCATGCATCCACATGCCACCGTCAACACCGTGCATGCTGTTCGGGAGGCTGTTGTTGCGATGACTAATCAATCGCCAGTGCTGGTAGCCACCCAGGGGGTGTCAGAATTACCCCGCCACCCTCACCAGGAAAGTCAGCCGGCTTACTAACAAATTCCCCCTCTCGCCGATAGAAATTACTGCTTCATCAGTGTTTCTTATTAGTATCTTATAGTAACTACACTGAATTACTTTACTTCTCTTTACTAGTATAGTCGCTAAAGCCTAGGCAATCTATATATAGTAAAATTATTAAAAAATGATGTTAATCTACATAGTGTATTAGAGATATACCTCAGAATACACCTAAAATCGGGTTGGGTGGCCGGGTAATTCTGTCACCCCCTAGGTGGTAGCCACCCGATAGGCGCTAATAGGTAAAGTTGGCACGTGAAAGGCTCGCCGAAAGCTGCACGGGGTGACGGGCCGCAAAGGGCGCGTTAATCACGAGGTACGAGGTACGAGCTACCTGCAGCGGGGTTAGTGTGACCCCACCCGTACACCTCTCACGTGATGCGTTTGTACACTTGTACGGAGTACACAGTAGTACTCCGTACGGAGTACTAGGTCCAGGTACCTAGGGAACGTACCTCGAGCCCTCCAGCCATCCGTACTCGTGCCGTGTAGCTAGGTACCTAGGTACTTGTGCACCCACGCTGCGGAGAGGATTCCCTCGAGTGCTCCGTACGAGTAAAGTACTCTACTGCGCGGGCGATGTGTTGGGCACTTTTCGCTTCTCATACATAAATCTCAGCCAGCCATCAGCGATTGTTCGAGGACGTGAAGGATACATCATCAACAACTCCAGAATCATCTTGTAAGAGCATCCCTACCTACATAAATATATCATTTCCTTACACCGGCGGCGGCGCCTAATTCTACATACATTACGCTGTACGTCGTTGAATCCCCACTACTCCGTACTCGAGTACTTTGATACTTTGATTGCTTTCTCTCGGCAATACCCGTGTGTGTGTGTGTGTGTGTGTGTGTGCGTGTGTGTGTGTGTGGTCTTCTTGGTGGTTTAAACGCTGAACTTCGACCTCGGAACGGAGTCCAGTTTACAAACTTACAGCTCACAGCTCACAGCTCACAGCTTACAGCTTACAACCTGCACGGTGTACCGTGTGCGCCCAGTCATGGTTCAGCCGTACCTCACCAGGGATAAGAACTCATCGGTCCTCCGGACGCCTTCCGTCCCGCCTCGGAAGATTGTGTATTATTACTGGACTTGCGTATGTTTGATGTTCATTATTTTTTAAATATGTTCATCTTTGATCGCATCCGTGCCATCTGCCATCTGCCATCATTCATCTTTCATTCTTTGGGCGCGATGTGATGCGCCTGACTGATGCATGTCACTAGTGCAACGAGGTCTGCGAAGGCCGCGACAACAAAACGGACGCCCGAATCATTTCTCCCCCGTGCAGATCGTGCGGATGGACACGGTGTGCGCGCTGCGTCACGCGCTCGGCTTCCGGCCTGATCCCGTCGCGCTTGTCTCCTGTGCCTTTGATGCTAGGGCCAAGGTTTGAGGTGTGGTACTGTGTAAGTGGTAACCCCCTGCGATGCATATCCGACATTCGTACTATTATGTACTCAGTAATCTCCCAGTGTTGCTGCGGATATGGTCCACAACCGGCTAGGACCCACACGCATTGCCTCAGCTGTCGACAGAAAAGGTGTTCTCGATGTAGAACCGAGTATGGGCGTTGAGGTGACCACCGGCTTTGGGTGTCCTAGCATAAATTACTTCATTTTGACCCGTCAAATGAGTGTGTTATGTGCCTGACCGATGCTTGATTGAATCTGTATCAAGATATATAGGTGTTTATACATCAACCTCTTTTCCTTTTCCAAATATGTGCGAAGGCCTGGATCTTCTCTTTGAAGGCGACGTAGAAGGTGGGCAGTCCCAACACAAGCAATGTTAGCGCCCATAGCAGCCACCTCGTTGCGCCGATGCTATCGTTCGTCATGCTGAACAGACCCTACCCGCAGTCAGTCAGCCTTCGGAAGTCGCTTCACTTTGGTCTGTGCTGGCCTCACAGTTGCAAGACTGAATGGAAGATATGCCTGGTCTGTCAGTGCCATTCCGCAGCGGGGCTCGTTTTCGAGCATGTGGCTAATTGTCTTACCACCGTCATATTGGTAAGGACCCCGATATCGTCTCCTTGCTTGGTAGAATAGCGGCTTTCGTTCAAAGCAGAAGAGTTCACCAACTGCGGCACATCGGTAAGAGGTTCGTCGGTACAACGTGGACATTCAAGTACACACATCGTCTTTCATACGATCAAAGGTCTGAATCTTCTGGAGCAAGACTCTCTGGAGGTAGCGCATGCTGGCGAGGTCTTCGTAGATGGTGTCAAAGTACCGCTTCCACGCCTCGTCGTGCTGTTTGTTCCCCGTGTCGAAGTACAACAGTTCGCCTTGCTGGAAATCTTGAAACGTGTCCAGACTGAGGCTGAGGGTATCGTTGAACTTTCTCATGATATACACGGCGTTTGTGTACGATTTGGTACGCCCAAGCTGGGCATCGTCGAAGAAATCATTTCCATCTCCAGCCATGGACTTGTAATAGGCGGTCTCCTGGTTTGCGGGCTCAAATCAGTCTGTGACTCTGCATGGCCTTGCTGGGGGAAGGGGAAAGTCACATAAGTGTCCAGGCGCGCGATCAGGTCATTGATGACGGCTTCCCACTCACGAGCAACCTGTGTGCAACGCCGAGAGAGCACGAGAAGGAAATACTCGCGCGGGTTCCACAATGGATAATGTTCGGCGCCCCCCCCTGCACTTGGCCCGTCGCTTTTGTGGCGCATGTAAGTTTCGACCTTCTCGGGTTCTTTCGAAAAGGTGTCGACACAGCAATATGCGGTCCAGTACCACTCGTCCACTCCGGTGACGAGCACGGAGATCTGCGCGTCATAGTAATACAGCTGATCCTGCGGCTGTTTGTAGTTTGGAAGCATGGGGTATGCGCGGCGGAGTCCTCGCGGATCAAAGTTTCGGGGATCGAACGAGGCATCTGCTCTGCGTAGCGCGCAGTAAGGTAAATGGAACTCCATGGTGAAGTCTCGTGGGCTTTTATTCTGAGCAGCGGCGTGTGAGCATTCTCACACGGAAACAGAGACCGGAGAACGAAAAGTCACAGACCAGAGTCACTCTAACGTGGACCTGATTCAGGATGTATCTCTGGAGATAAGCTCGAAAGCACGCCAGAAAGCGATACGCAACATTGGCACACAGGACGAGAGCACACAACGGTGTCAGATTAGTGACCAGCCTACCCCGGCTTAGGCAATACTCGAAATTTGGGCCGTCGCGCACTTACAGTACGCGTCGCTCGGCTCGACTCTCCGACCTCTCATGCGTGTTAGTAAGATAACCACGACATAACCCATCGTTATTCTTACATTGATGCGCAGCCTATCGTGCAAGCCGCGCTCATCCAACGCCCGACGGTAGCTGTCCACGCCCGGGGTCGGAAAGCGCGTGTACTGTTCCGAGACCCAATTTCGTGTCTGCCCGTTGCTGGTGGGTGGTTGGCCAGGTTGTCCTTCATCTAGACCGCACGGGTCCCGGCGGTCGTCGAGGAGTGCCAGAACACCTTGGGCGGGAACATTCGGATTTCTCAAGTTTCGAATGTCACTCGTGTCCAGGAAGTCCGCCAGTCTTTTGAAGTTGAAATCGACCGGGTCCAGAGGCCTGGAGCGGACATCGAGGAACGCGGTTGTAATCGTCTCTGTAGGTTCAAGCTCCAGTCTGATGTCTTCCGCAACATAGGATGTGACCTGACGCTCGGAGAAATGATCATCCCACTCGAAGCGGACGGGTGAGAATGGATGACGGAACCCTTTACTGAAGTCCATGGCAGACAATCAGCCAAAGAGCATGAATTGCGAAGAAGACCGAGGTCGCGGCGGCGAGGAGTGGAAATTGAGGCTGACCATGAGCTGCATTGCTGAAAGGCAACCGACCATGAAGACAGCGACCTCCATGTGAGAGAACAATGCCTAGCGCCATGCACCTTGGTCCAATGAGCCTGTGGTGTGTCTCACGGTCGACTCTCCCCAAAGAGCATTCAGGTCTGAGGCAGGGTGCAGTGCCGGACAGAAGCAGGCCGCTGGCAAGTACACAGTAATGGCTTCCTCGACTCGTTACCTGATCCGCGTCAGCGGGCATTTGCGCTTAATTCGAGACAAATCATGTTGGATTCACTCAATCCTCCTCAATTCGTAGGCTATCATGGAGAAAACTGATATTGCGGCGTAGCGGCGGGGGGATTGGCATGCGGAACGGCACGGACCCCCAACGGCGCGGACCCCCAACGGCGCGGGGCGCAGTCCAGGCAGTATGTATTACTCGTAAGCGGACCTGAGGCAGAAATCTGTGCCCACTGTTAAGGGATTAGCTACTGTACTCCGTACCGCACCAAAGTTTGGTTCCGGAGCACGATCTAATCCTATCAATGGGCGACAGCCGCCTCCACTGGGTGGTCTACCGCCAGACTCCCCCTCGACCCAAGGACAATGGCAGCCAAACGGGAGGAAGCCCAAACTCGTCGACGTTTCAATACCCTCTATCTTGGCCTTCCCATCCTCAGGCGACCGCTCCTTGACTCCTTCCCACCCTGACCTCTCTCGACGCCACGTCGATCCTACGACTCCTCGTGAACCCCCACATCTTCGTCTGGCATCTGCAGGTCTCTCAAAATGTCCAATCCAGCCTCCGTACCCGGATGCATGTCTATATCCATGGAGAAATCATCTTCGTTACCTAATCCATATCCAATATCTTGCCACCAATTCGCAGTGGCCGGGGGCACTGCTCCCGAGTACGATACGTGCGTTGGTGGAAGCAAGGGCAACGTACTCGGTGCCTCATCCGGGTCCAGTGATGGGACTACCCCCGGCAATGATATGGGCACGGACATGCTGAAGTGTCGCAAATGTTGTCCATGATGTGCTGGGACCTGCAATGCGGATGGACGAGAGGTACCAGGTGGTCGAAAGGAAGAACCCGCACTGTCCCTCGCTAGATCTGAGTTCCCTTGGGCCCCAAAGCGCCCAGCACCACCTGCAGGGATATCACTCGGCCCCCTTGTGACCAGCGCAGCAAGAAACTCCAGCTTTCTGGCAACGAGGACGTCCAACAACGTATCGAGGACTCTCTCCGCGTACACGAATCGTTTCAAAACCCTTTGAGCGTCTTGCCACGATTCAATATTCAATTTTGCCAGCACCATGGCGAAATGCACGGTGAACCAGCGCTCGTTGATGAGTTCACCCGGGTGTTCAGTCACCGGCGAGGCGATGACGCCTGCTCGTGCGACGTGATGCGCGGCTCGTACTCGGCTGGGCCCATCAGACTCCTCAAAGAGGGCGCCCGCGAAGAAGGAGAACAGAAGACCATCCGTCGGGATGGGGTTGATGGGTCGTCTTCCTGCCATACTTTGCCCGAAACGAGTGGCCGGTGATCCCCGGAACTGGCTCATGAGCGCTAACAGCAACTCCAGTTGTGTGCGCAAATGATGGAATGGGGTGTACGCCATACACGGGGTATCCATATCGCGTCGTAGGACGAACTGTGTTAGATAGGTGCTCGCGAGTAGGACGCAGGCGTGGTAAGCCCGATGCAGCTGCGACGGCAGTGAGTGATCCTGGTCCTCAACTTCCAGAAGATCCACAAATATCTCGGAAGATAGACAGCTCAAAGCATATTGACGGAGTGAAAGCCAAGTATATATCGGATCAGCCTGCTTCCGCCCGTCTTCGACCACAGATGCTACGACATCTGGAGAAGCTGCTCGAGGATGATGTGCGAGTCTGAAGGCGAGCTCATTAGCTGCCAGTGCTTCTCGATGCCAGTTGATGAGCTCCAGGATGTCCTCCGAGTGGCCAGTCGCCTCGTCATCGCTGCCGAGAAGGAAGACCGCAATATCGGTCTGTTGGGAAGATCGAGCATCAAAGTTGAAAATTCCGTCGAACGATCTCAAAGTGTGTTCTTGGGCCCAAGGCTTGGGTGCCCAAGCTTCAACGTCCATGGCTGGCCGTATGGGAACGTGGCTCGCGATGAGCGACTCGGAGAGGATCAACAGACACTTCAAGACCGGGTTGACCGACTCGAGACCTCCCTCCAGGTTCTGAAGCAGACGCATCGATGCCGTACGGTGGACCTGACAGCTCTCCAGATCCTGGCAATGGAAACTGAAAGTGGTCATCCCGTGAACGAGGCTCAGCGCCTGTTCAGTGCCGATTCCAGGTCGAGCCAGCTGTGTGCGAGTCTCCTCGAGGCATTTGCCATAATGGTGAATGGCCCTGGCCCAAAGCATGGGCGTGTTCTCGGTTGGAGGCAGATAGTTCGTTATGTAACTCAGAGCGCCTGAGAACAGGCCGTGCATCATGGCTGGGTTGTTGATAACCATGTTGCGGATCCAGCCATCAGTGGATTGGACTGCTTGGTGCGAAGGATCCAAATAGACATGCGCAGGCCAGAAATTGGCCATATAGTTCAATCGCCAAAACTGCAGGACTGTGTTGAAAAAGGTATCGGAAGGCAGTCCACCACTTGAGTCCAGGCCTCCAGGACTCATGCTTGCGGGCGAGGCAGAGATGGGGTTCTTCCCCAGGGCTGCTGCGTGGTCAGCCGGAAGGAAACTGGACATCGTCATTGAGGAGAAAGGTGAGCCGGCAGGTATGGACAGAACACGGCCACTGGCCGATAAGCGCCGCGTGCCGGATTGCTGGCGAGGCTGAATCGATTCTTGTTTTTGCTGGTATTGACGGACGCCCTTGGCTTGATGCTCCAAAATATCCTGAATCGATGGAATGGTCTCTGCTGCTGGACTTCCTACGGCAGCCGGCGGAGGTAAAGCGTCTGAAATCTGTACGTCCGCTTGAGCCTGCTTTTCGTGTTCTTTCGACTGCGAGTCAGACTGCGCTGGGGGCTTTCTTGACCTTCTGGCGATCTGCATCGCATGGCTTCGGACAGCAAAGACTTCTTCTCTCTGCCTGGACCTGAGATTCGATGCGTTCTTGTTCACGAAGAGGAAAGGTCCACTGTACGCTGGAGGGCGTTGGTCCGGTGGCTGCTCTCCCGGGTCCTGGTCCGCCATGACAGCCTTTGGTTGATCAAGGATAGCAAGGTCCGCCCTGCACCCCAGACTGTGAGCTCTTCTGGGTGGAGTAAAGCTGGGGTCGTCTGCTTTCACCACGAGTTGATGGTACAGCTCTGTGATTTGCAATGTCGAGGTTGCCACCCGCTGAAGGTCAGACATTCTGCATAGGGGAGAGATGTGGTTATAAGTCCCATCAACATCAAAAGTACATATGCTTCATTCGAAATAGCAGGTTTATCGTCGAACCACAAGTCGACACATTCTGGAATAAGAGTGCACCTCGGTAGGCATGATACCGAGTTGACGGTAACTCAAGAAGCCAACAGGGTCATGAGGCTGGTAAAATGTCGCATACTTCATAAGGTACGGCCGAGTCTTTCCTGCCCAAAACCCATCCGTTGTCGAGGCGTTAGTTGCGACCATTTTAAAGTGAGGCAAGCGACCGTGAGCTGGATATTGAAACTACGAGTCGAGATCGCTGTTACCTACACAGCTGAAGTCTGGAAAATATGAACAAGGCTGGTTGGGCCATGTCCCATTGTGGTCGATACAGGCCGCAGTAATGTTCAAAACGGGGCCGCAGGTGGCGGTGATTGGATAGACGTGGAATCTACTGGGTTAGTGCAGCTTCTCTTCGTAGTCGACAAGACCCGCTCAGCGACCAGGAAGCCATAACCACCCCATGTCGACGTCCGGAAAGCGAAAGCCGGCGAGGATCATGCTGCAGTCCAGCCGAGGATAACCTCGTGGTCCCCCTGAAGCGATGAGTAAGACCACTCCGGGGCGAATGAGAGCGGCGGCGGACAAGCCACGACGGGCCCCCAAACAAACCGCCGCTCTCGGGGCCCAATGGCATGTGGCATCATTGCCTAACATTTGACAAATGTGCCCACCTAGGTTTCTGCATAACTGCAAGGCCAAAGCATGCAGAGTACGTCAGGCGCAAGACGAGGAGGCTTGCAGATCGGGGCATGGCGATTGCTGCTTTCCCGCTTGGCTCCATCGCATCGATGCTCCCGGCCCCTTGGACTTGTCTTTAGAGGCGCCGGAAAGGGAATCATCTACCGACCAAGTCGTGTTTCAATGCTTAGAGAACGAGATGTATCAGCGGGTTTAAGAATTTGCTTGTGTATCACTGCGCTGCGCAGGGGCTCATGATGCTGCTATGTCCCTTGGCAAAACGAAGAATGCACGGCTGTGCCTGTATTGGCAGTGCTGGTCTGGCCAGGTACACCAGAGTTTGATTTATGACGGCGGCTGATATGGATGAATCAGCATTTCCGAAAAACTGTTTGATCTCGTTAGTGGCTGAGCTTATGGCATCTTTGCATAGACGAGCGAGGCTTACCTCTTGAGCTTCTCCACGCCACGGACCTCATCGGTGAGCAGAGGCATCTTGACCACGTTGAACTCGTCGTACAGCTCTTCGATCTGATCAAGGTATTTCTTCTGCATTTTCCTCCTCGAATTACACTGCTTGCACTCGTTGCCTGACTCTGGAAAGAGCAGTTGGTTGACGACGATACAGTGTGTGTCGATTTGATAGCTTGCCAGCTCTTGGATCATTCTCTCTGTTTCGTACAGCGACAAGAACTCGGCAATGCAAACACAGACGAATGTGGTCATGTCGGGGTTCTTGAACTGGCCATTAACTTCCGCAATGGTTTCTCGGAGAGACTCGAGCTTTTGTGTCAGTTCCTCAAGACTTGCTCCGCCGGGAAGCCCCCCTCTTGCTCCAATCACTGACTGTAGCATTGGGCCAAATTGAGCTGAGAGCTGAGAGATTTTGGCCAGAGCCTTCTCGAGGACGGTAGGAAACTGGAGGAAGCGGAGGGTGTGGCCGGTAGGAGCAGTGTCGAAGATGATGACCTCGTATGACAGAGACTTGACCTGTTTGAGAACTTCGGCAAAAGACATGGCCTCGTCGACGCCAGGAATCTGGTCTCGATTAGCCGGTGCCATTGTGAAAGAAGGGACCACATACGCTGAACGCCAGATCTTGCATCATGTTACCCATCCCGCCTAGACCCGCCATAGCATCTTGTGCCTCGTCTCCCGCACCACTGATCAGATCGTTGATAGAGCCGTTGGGGTCGATCTCCATTGCACTGAGGTTTGTGAAGCCTTCGACCAATCTTGCGTCTTTGCCAAACTTCTGACTGAATGCATCACTCAGATTGTGAGCTGGATCGGTTGAGATCAGCAACACCGATTTCCTCGCCTTCGCCATCTGTATTGCCAATGAACAAGACGTCGTGGTCTTGCCAACACCGCCTTTCCCGCCCACGAATATCCATCGTAGGGATTTCTGATCGATGAGATTCTGGAGGCTGGGGTCAAGGGCATCGTCGTCAACTGCGGCCGACATTTTCGCGTGTGTCTGTCTTCTGCTTCTCACTCTGCAACTGAAGTGTCACGCAAGAAGTGACTGAGCGGATCGTCAAATAATGATTTACCGGTTCTCGAATATTCCAGGTGGTTGTGACTTCACTGAGACGTCTAGATGAAATCTAGGAAGAGTACTTTGGTAGATATCCGTCTATTGTGTGCAAAACTGGGATCTAGTGTCTACTGACAGGAAAGAGAAAGAGCAATGCAAGTCGCAAACCAGAATTGTGAAACTGATGCCCGCGCAGGCAAAAGATGCAGGCGGAGATCGCGAACATAACCCACGTCATTGAAGCAGCTGCCACGTGCACAGTCGACTGCGGCGGAGCATTCAACAGATTGTGCTGTTGAGATTGGTATCCCAATGCTCCGCGCTCGTCCGTACCCAGTCACGTGCCAGTGCCCCTCTTAACCCCACATGCACCACTGCTCGGGTATTATCTCGTACAACACAGGGCGGGACTCGTACTCGTACTCTGTACACCGAAGGGCACAAGTGCCAGCAACTGGGCGTGACATCCGAACTGCGCTCAAGGGCTTGCTGTTGCCGATCAGAGTCTGTTACTGTGCGGCTTCTTGATTGATTTTTCCTTTCTTCTGGCTTATTTGAGTGCGATCAAGGCGATGTGCTTCGTCCCTTGTGAACACTGGGCAATGGTCAACAACATGTGCACGACTACCACAAGCGTTCAATTCCACTGCTCTCATTTCGGTCTCATCTGTTGCGGTTGGTACTATATGTGATTCTCCTCAGCTCCAGAAACATTAAGGAACATTTACCTTGCCGTGGGCAGGGAACTCTGCGGAAACACATTGATCACAGCAAACCGCTATTCCGTGACTGGTCCTACGAGGGTCGATTCTATTACGTCTATCTGCTTATGTGACCAGCAGTGTTCACATTCTTCGTGAGTGGCTAACTTACTACTCAGGCGGCACTGCTTCGACTATGGCTTATGGTGAGTCGTTGTTCAGAAGACGTTGCCAGTCAGACCGCCACTCTAAGCTTGCATGCTCGACCCATATCTCCTCGGCAGAACTTGCTATTCACAGCTAACACAGACGACTACATTCATCGGCCGAACATGAAACCATGTTCCTGGTGGAGGGCACTACAGACCCAGCGAATTCTGAGGAGTTGTAATTTCTGACTCGAGGCGACGCGCTTACGATCCAGCAGGGCGCCGTACGGGCATTGTGGACGCCATGACCCACCTTCTCGACGGTCAAACAAGACCTCTTTACTATCTACCCGTTGATCCGCGTCGTGGTACTGCGTCTACCTTCTGGCCTATCCCCTGACTACGGCTGCGGCTACCTCGTCCATAACACGGCACCGCCTCCAACGCCATTCCTCCGAAACGGGTTCTCACCGCCAGCATCATCCTCCGCGTCACACAGATACCCAACAAGTTCCTTGAAGCCACACTTCTGGTAGAATCCCTCCTTCCCATCCGCGGCCATCACACAACCGGGCAAATCTCCCTCAGGGTCCAACCTCGCCATCTCAAGCCCTTGCTCCACCAGTTCCCGACCGTGCCCCCGTCCCTGGTACCGGGGATCCACACCAAGGATCTCAAGCGACCAATGCCTCTCCCGATGCGCGCCCGCCATGAACTGCCTTCCAAAGCGGAAGATCATAGGTCCCAACATCCAGTACGTCAGCTCCTGGGGGTCTGCCTTTGTCGGTCTCCTCGCCGCCTTGTTGGGGACGAAAAACCTCCGTACGCGATAGAGCACCGAGAGAAGAGGTTTCATCAGCCGGCCTGGAGGGCGAGGACGTTAGTATCTTATGAATGAGCGGGCTCTAGGATCTCGATGGCCACAGGTGGTCCCTCAGACCTGGACTTACGCGGATCCCACCACCCCAGGAAGCCGTTCACGTGGCATGCCCCTGCTCTCCCGTGGACAGCCCGTTCCCACTCCGCCATGCCCGTAATGGTCTCATCGCGGTCCTCCCGACCGGGCGGCGAGCGTAATAATGGCGGTGATGGCGTCTTCTTCTCCTCCGTCGACGAAGCCAGCAAAGTCCCGCTCCCGTCCTCCTGGCCTGGAGCGTCCTCAGACGAGTACGACACCATCAGCACTTTCCGAAAGTCGTACCAGGAGAGCCAGAGACTTTCGCGCAGCGCGCGTTCAAAGTCCTCAGGATGCTCCTGCTGGAAAGGGAAGAGCACGCGGAATAGTTTGTCAGGGCCGAACGCCGCGGCGAGCACGGACGCCATGATGGGGATGTCCCTTGCCGTGGCGAGTCGGACGGGCATGATAGGTTGATTCCAGGTTGGAGGGCTCGACGCGTGATACTAGATCTAGATTACTAACTAGATATTAAATAGGAAATATTCGTTTAGGACAAGTATGTGAGATCTGATCATTGAAGAGTTACAGTATGAATCTAGAATTGGGAAACAAATACGGAGCACCATGAGCAGGAAGTACTCGTATTGTAATTTGTGCTATGCGGCTGTGCGCAAAGGGGGAGGGGGTGGGGTAGGTAATTACACTGTAGGTGGGCGGGAGGCTCGTTGCTCCCTGCTCCCATGTCGACATGCCCAGTCCCCACGACTAGTCAAGGTGTCAATTATACTTTCCAACTACCGAGCGAGCAAGCTAGGGTACGGAGTACTGTACTACTGTGTACACATGGAGCATCAGAGTACGTACACAGTCGTTAGTTCATGGCTAGCCTCTTGGGCGGCGGCAGCCACGACCCCACGTAAACGGGGCTAGCTACTGTACAGTATAGTAGATACATAGAGCGGAGGCAGCTAACTACCGTAGTTAAAGACGAAAGCTATGTAATCCGCGAGAACAAGGACCGAGAACCTAATACATAATACGGAGTACTTTTGCAAGGACTCACTCGGACTGCCTCTGTTCGTCTGTGTTCAGACACCGGGATACGCTGTTTTCCTCGAACCCAGCAAACTACAGTACAGTAGGAGTGCTACGGAGTAATAAGACGTGGAATGTTCGGCGCGAATGTAATGTTCCATCTTAGTTGTCCAGACAGCCATGTTGGCCACTCCAGCTTCGTAACCAGACAACAGTGAGTCCGTACTATGTTATGTTATATACACGGTATATACCTCTCATGGCGAGAGCACCAGTCGCAAGGGCGACCTTCCCCAGGCTTCTTCGAATATCACGGATGTCGACACACACACGCTGCACACGACACACTGCACGCACAGTCGCTGCCTCTGCCGCTTGATATCAACGATCTTCATGACGGACCGTATACTCGACGTCCTTGCGGATGATGAACTCGTCACTATTATGTCGGCCCAGGGACCCTTCCTCGTGCGAGGCGTGCGACCGGCCATCATTGGCGAATCCTTCGCTCTGCGGCCCCTCCACGCTGGCATGGTACTGCGCGTGGTTGGCCGGAACGAAATTGATGCCCGTGCTCTTTCCCATTCCTTGGTCGTCATCGGTCGCCTCGTCGGTGCCGGCTTGGGAGTAGTTTTTCGTGTTGGTGTTGCTGTTGCCATTCTTGCTCCTCTGCCCGGGGTCCAGCGAGTCCATCTGGTACGCGCTCGAACGGCCGGTGGAACCGTGAGTGTTGGCATTGTACCCGAACACGGTGGCTTGCGTGGTGTCGAATTTGCGGAGATACTGATTCAAGGCCGGGATGGCCGCGGACAGGAGCGAGTAGAGCACCTCGGACTGGCGCAGCAGGATCGGGCGAGTCAGTGCGATGCCGGCGTTAGACGCGGTGTCGAAGTCGGCGACATATTTGATCTGTAGGCAGATGAGGATAATGATCCTAGAGATGGGGCAATGAATTAGCATGGGAACTGGAAAATGTTGGGGCTTGGTTCGTCCTTACGGGAGTCGGAGGAAAAAGCATAGAGACGCTTGCACTTTGCGTTGCACGCTCATGTGGAGTGGGAAGATGACGATGATGGAGAGACCCAGGATGAGGAATTCCAGCAGAGCATCGAACAGGCCGATCACAATCCAGCGAGTGACCTGCAATTGTCATCCGGTCAGCGCTGGTGTTGGTGTCGCCTGACTTGATACCATGGCATAGTACTTACCAGTCCCGAGCACCTCCCCTGGACTGCTCGAATGACTTCGGTGGACGTACATCCCGTGGTGACTGCGATAATGGACCCGACGCACCAGAGCGCGCACAAGGCCATGGTGACTTCGCAGAACAAAAGGTTGCGATGTTGTCCCAGGGCGAAGAGACGCCTGCAGAGCCAGATGGCCGAACATTTGCCCACGAAGAGGGCGAGCAGGAAGAACACGTCACCGGCTCGAAGTGACTAAGATGCCATTCTCAAGTCAGTGTGGATGCTGCGACTGGGTGTTTCAGAGACCTACCCGTGCAACCATGTGCGTATCCTGACCAGACAGTAGGGTATAGGAAGAGCCAAATCCACCGTCGACGGTCGCTATCATGATGGCGATGAAGTGTGGGAGCGCGAGGGTCTGTCAAGCATGAGCGAGGGCGTCCCATGTAGGGCTTCGAGCGTCTGAACGAACCGTTGCAGCCACGGCGAGCCAGTCTTCAACGCCCATGTTTCTGTATTTGCTCGCCAACCGCATCGCCAGCACCAGGAGCGAATACACGACAAACAGAATGCTGATGGTCAGAACGACTCCCCGGTGATCATCAGCCGTGTAATGGTAGGGCCGCGGGCCCAAGGTGGGCGGCGGAGGCCCGTCCGGTGCGGTACTCATGGTGGCGGGTGATTCTGGAGGTCATCGAGACAAGACCGCCTTCCTGGACGGACCTTGTTGTGCTATATGTGGGCAGTGGCCTGCGACCAGCGACCAGCAACCTCTCGCCGGATCACCAGTAAGCAGGCAGCTGTAGCCTGTCTTCGGCCCCGGACTCTGAATCTTCAACCACCGGAGACTTTGCAAGGCTGGACGCAGCGCTAGCGCAGGAGATCAGTTCACGTACTGTGCCCATCACCTTCTGACCTTGTCGCAAAACGACTTGGCGAACTTGCTCTTGTCCTAAGCGATCCAGCACACCTTTTCGACCTGAGACTTTGGGCCTGGGGATCGAAACTACGGCGCTCCCCCTTGCTTCACACCCTCGCAGCACGAGGCTCTGGATGCTTCACGGCTGCTCCGCTGGGCTGATGGCTCTGATAAAGCCACGCCATCGAAGATACACGCTGTCAAGACTCAAGACAGCTCTTGGTGACAGGTACGCAACAGGCGACGATTGGCCAAAGACCCTGCGCGCTCTGTTTGTTGGACGAGTGACGACCATTGGCATGAGCACCGCTTCGGGCGAGGCGCTGGGCTAGTTATTTGGGCATGGCGCCTCAGCGGTCCGGGGGCTGCCTCTGCCGATGTAACCAGTACCTTGTCTGGTCCTGAGATTGCGTCGGAATGGCCCTGATCCCGTCTCTCCAGTTCGGGTTGCGGCATGTGAGCACATGCGGCAGGCGTGGACTGTCAATGTGGGTGTCATTGGCATGCTTTGCGTGCTTGATCCCCGTATCACACAAGGAATGGCATGCAGATAAGGTACAGTCCAGCACACGCCCTCCCGCAGGAAGCCCACTTGCCCTCGCCCCGGTAAATCCACCCACACCCACCACGGGACGGCAGCTTGATGATCCTGGCCGACTTGTCCACTACGAGGGACCCTGGATGGCCGCTTATTCGCCCAACTCGCCGGGGCCGCAAGTGCCGCGGACGCCATTTCTCACATCCAAGGCCGGGTCGACGCGAGTTTCCCCGTGAAGCTCGTGCGATTTTCCACGTATTTGAAAAGGCAATCGCAATGGCATTTGAAGCTTCCCACCGATGTGAGGATGAACTTCTGCTGCAGAAGGACAAGCATCGCTATGCTGGTCCTGCTGCTTCTGGCACATACACACTGTGCTTACCATCCGCGCATCCTGCCTTCAGAGTCATTCTGAGCCGCGGAGATTACTTTCATGGACCGCGAAGGGGTATCTCGTACATTACAGTCTTTGCAGCGAGTCTCAGACTCTCTGTTTCCACGGCGGCAAAGACCTGCGCGGTGGCGTTTGCGCTACTGTGGAGATTCCCCCTGCTGGAGGTGTGCTCCGTAGATCGACAATCCGAGCTGCTCTGTTCGGGAGGGGGAGGGGCCGTCTCTTCTATCGCAACGCCGGTGGACCAGCCCCTGCATGCGGCCTTCTTGCTTCAAACGCCCTCGTGGAAATGAGAGTCTTCGACGAAAGGATCAAGATAGCTTGTCCACAAACCTGTAGCTCACACGAGTCATGCATGCGCTACTCCTCGTGGGTCAATGCACAAATCCAGCTAGAGTCGCTACCTCACAAACCCGGACACTCATATCAATACGGAGGGACGGGTGGAGTTCGTCTCTCTTCCAACCAACGGCAAGGATGGAAGGTGGGTACAGTGCTCTCAAGATCACCGGGGCTCTTGATGGTGGATGCGTCCGTGGCTTCGACAAGTGCGTTGGCACAAGTGTCTGGGATACTGATATCCTGACCGGACGAACCAATCAGTGGATCCTGTGCTTCGATCAGACATGCGAAGACACGACCACCACGTTCCAACATCACCGCGTGGAAGCTCGGCTTTGCTCCTCGATGAGACAGTTCAGAAGCCAAGTGCTCGTATCCCCTTCGCTTGAAAGCTCGTCCGCCAGTGCAAACCCGCATCTTTCTGAAGTGCCAAAGAGGCTTGGTATGTGCTTTGTCTGCCCAATAGTCGAAGTACCGAGCCTCTTTCGAGTGTCGGGCAGAGATTCGAAGGCGACTTGACTGGGGAAAGGGTCCTGCAGAAGAGCTCTTACGGAGCTACCGCGCCTTTCGCTCAGGGACTTCTTTTCTCTTCGATTTCTTGTTCCTCAGCATTTCGTGGGACAGCATTGCGATATGGACAAGTCACTCTCATATCGTATTGACCCGGCCGAAGACGTCAACGATGATGGAGTCGTGCTGGGCGAGAAGACCGGAACCGTGGCAGACCGGAATGCCATGGCGCGGTTGGGCAAAGAACAGCTCTTCAAGGTCAGTCTGCCCCCATGCGATCGGTGGGAATTATGGATTGTTGACCCTTTGGACAGCGCAACTTTGGCTTCGTGTCAATCTTCGGCTTTGCCCTCATCATCATGGGCACCTGGGAGGCAGTCCTGGCAACCGTAGCTTTTGGATTGGGCAATGGCGGGCCCGGAGGACTCATCTGGACCTTCATCGCCACATATATTGGGTTCATCCTCATCAGTCTTTCCATGGCCGAGATGGCTTCCATGGCTCCCACGTCAGGTACGAACGGCTGCGCAGAACAATGCTCCAGAGCCTCCCGAAGGAAGACGTAAACACTGACCATTGTGCGCGAACAGGCGGCCAATACCACTGGGTCTCTGAGTTTGCTCCTCCCAATGTCCAGAAATTGCTGTCCTACTTCATCGGCTGGTTCGGTATCCTCGGCTACCAGATCGGAACCACCATCGGGGCGTTCGTTGCTGGGACCATGATTCAGGGCGTCATCATACTAAACAACCCCGACACATACCACTTCGAGCGATGGCACGGAACCCTGATCGCAATGGCCATCACCCTCTGCGTGGCGCTGTTCAACATCTTCCTGGCGAACCATCTGCCACTGGTCGAGGGAATCATCCTCGTCCTTCACATCGCCGGGTTCGTGGCGATCTTGATCCCTCTCTGGGTCATGGCTCCGCGAACACCCAGCTCTCAAGTGTGGACGTCATTCACCGACGGCAATGGCTGGGGCAGCAGTAAGTTTTAGCCTCACCCGCCCCCAGGAGACAAACAGGCGTAGACTGACTAACCATTCCCAGTCGGAGTGGCCTGTCTCATCGGGATCATCACCAACGTGGGCTCCATGGTCGGAGGCGACGCCGCCGCGCACATGGCCGAAGAGCTGAAGAGCGCGTCGAAAATCCTGCCCAGGGCCATGATCTGGACGATTGCTGTGAACGGGCTCCTCGGATTCGTCATGCTGGTGTAAGATTCCCCCCACCCCCCTGGATCCCTCTTGCTCCGAGGTTTGTTGGACAAGCGAGCTACACGAGTGTGCCGTGCTAAGTCTCTCTGCCCCAGCACCTTCCTGTACACACTCGGCGACCTCGAGCAAGACCTCGCCACTCCGACAGGCTACCCGGTCATTCAAGTCTTCGCCACAGCCACGGAATCCAACGGCGGCGCCGTGGGCCTGACGTCGATCCTGATCGTGCTGAACGTCTGTGCCAACCTCACCACGATGGCGGGCTCGTCGCGCCAACTCTTCTCCTTTGCGCGCGACAAGGGCGTGCCCTTCCACCGCTGGGTGTCCCACGTGCCGCCGGGCTACGACGTGCCAGTCAACGCCATCATCGTGTCGGCCGTCTGCTCGTGCATCTTCCACTGCATCAACATCGGCTCCTCCATCGCGTTCAACATCATCATGTCCATCGGCACCGTCGCCCTCCTGACCAGCTACATGACCTCCATAGGGAGTATCACGTGGCGGCGCATCCGCGGCCTGCCGCTCCTCCCCTCCAAGTTCTCGCTGGGAAAGTTCGGCCTGGGCGTCAATTTGGCGGCACTGGCGTTTTGTGCCATCGTCTATGTCTTTGCCTTTTTCCCGCCCATGCCGAACCCGCCGCCCGTGGCTATGAATTGGGCGTGTGCCGTTTACGGGGGTGTCGTGCTCGCGGCTTTTGCGTACTATGTCGTGCGGGCGCGACACGTCTATGTCGGTCCCGTGGCCTACGTCGACAAGAGCATATAATCGGCTAGTCAGCCAATCAGTCAGTCAGTCAGCAGTCAGCCAGTCTCTTCTGAGCTGCTGTAATTTGGACCCCGTCTCCTAGGGGCGATGGAGGGACTTTTGGCAAGACGATTAACAATGACATCGACATCGACATCGACACTGTCGGTGTCATTGTCGGGTGGCGTCAAACGGAGCTGGTGGTGTCGAAAGAATATAAACCCATGAATCAGATACGAGTTCAATCCGATACATACCGGGCCACATACACATACATACCTAGGTACAGTGTTTAGCTTAGCATGACCGAGTGAAAAGTGACGGCCACGCCTGAGTAAACACCCCCCCCCCCTTTTCCCAAAGTTAGGCTTGTGATGGAATCCTGCTGCTCTGGGCCGTAGTACCTAGCTTCTCCTGGAAGAGCACTCAGCCGGTTGCGTATGGCCTTGAAGGCAGAGTCGCTGTTGCGGTTCTCACTCCACATCCATTTTCACTTTCACTTCGCTTTCACCTTCAACACACCATACCACACCACACTACATCCACACAGTGGGACGCGACGCAACGAAATGCATCAGCAACTCCTACATTACAGGTATATACGAAGTGTCTATTTGGCGGAGTTTTATATTCCCATTCAGGCCGCTCAAAATACTGAAAACTACAGTACTCCACACGTACGGCGTATTGAGAACCGCGTGGCTCTGGCGGTGAAACCTACAGAGTGACAAACTACAGTCCCTCCCTTACTGCTTCCACAGTATCAGGACATACCTCGCCGATGACCTGGACAACCAACAGCTTGTATCAGCACTGGTATACCAGTGCCCTGGGTCTCATCAGTCTCGCACAGTCCTGCGTCCAAAACATCGTCTCCAATTTGCTCGTCCCCGTCATTGAATCGCATGTCGTGTTGACCCATTTCTCTTACGATCTTCATCTCCTGCCTCGACCAAACCTCCCTCTCCCCTTCGCCTTCGAGTTCTTGTTCTTGATCTTCAGGCTTTTGAAGTTCATGTGCGAGTATGCATTGGGGTTGATCATCCGGCCGATTTCCTCCTTCGCGTCCGTATTCTTCGAGGCTTTCTTGGATTTTGAAGGCTTCCCAAGCTGCCTGGCGGGGTCTTCCACAGGCATCGAGTTTGACTTTTTGAGCGAGGGGTCGGCCTTCGATCTAGACTTCTTGATTCTCGAGGGTCCATCTTCGTTAGATTGGAAATTGTCTTCCTCATCGGGATCGCCTTGATAGGCCTTATTTTCTGGTTCGGTGTCGTAGTCGAGGAAATCCAGGTCTGAATCTTCGAGCTCGGGTTCGCTGGCAGGAGGTGTGTCGACGAATTGAGTCTCCTCGATGCGAGAAACGGTGTTATTGTCTTCGTCGGCCTCTTCATCCTCTTCGTCATCCTGCACCATAATCTTTGTCTTTCGCTTCTGATTCTGCCTCGCTGGCGCTGCTGGTTCAAGTCTAACAGGGCGGATAATTACTCGTCTCGTTGTCCTCTTTTGGCCTTTCTTTTTCCAGGCAGGACCGGGCTGGTCTGCTTCTGGAGTCCCCTTGTCGAGTGTTTGATTGGATTCGTCAAGGAACTGACTGTCTTCAACAAGGATGTTGACCTCGCCGGCTTCCATTTCCCTCAGTGCATCCAGGTCGTCTTCGTCCCCATCGTCATTTCTTTGGTTCTGCGACTCCTGGTTTTGAGACTGTTGTCTATCCGCTATAATCTGGCTCAGCGGTTTCGGCGCGAACTTCCCGTGCCGCAGACTACGGCTAAGACTCCGTCGAGCGGTGCTCGAAGCGGAGTTTTGATCTCCGGAGGCGGAGAGAAGCCGTTCTTTGAATGAGAAGGAGCGCTTCAGATATGGTGGAGTTGCGTCGTTTACGCTGGTCTGAGCCCCGAACCTGTTCTGTGTCGGAGTAGTTCCAAGGACCAAGTCGCGCAAGGGGGTCTTGCTTTGTGCTGGAGGCGTCGCCTCACCATCACCACCAATCACGCCGGCAAACCTGACTGCGCTGGGGGTTGCAAAGAAATGATTCAGCATGAACTTCTTGCCCTCGCTGATCGGTGTCTTGGAGTGTTTTCGCTTTCCTGTGGCCATAGTCGAGCCCGGAGTCGCAACTCCTAGAGCGCCGTCTATGCTGATGGTTGACTGTTTTAGTTTTTGGCTCGGGGTCTGCGCAATTTCCGTGTGCCCTGCTTCATGACGGTCCTCATTTCTGTAGAGCGCATCAATCTTCCTCTTCCTGCTTGAGGGAGTCGCTTGAGAACTCCCCCGTGAGCCCGAATTGGAGAGCAGGTCAAATATGCCGAGTACCGTGCCATCTCTGCGCGGCGTAGGGCCGATGGCGTTGGGAAACGCTCTCGGAGAGATCGAGGAGGGCGGATCGTATGGATCGATGTCGTTCGGATGGATCTGTGGCTTTGTAGGAGTAAAGCTACTGCGGGGTCGATGAGGTGTGAGACTGATCGCACTGTCTGTCCGGCCATGCCTCGTCCTTGTCATCTGCTGTCGCTTGGGTGTCTTCAGCACTTCAAGCCCGCGCTTTCCGGCCAGCACCATGCGAATGTTTTGGTATTGCTGATACTTGCCCGCGATACTCTGATTGGCTTTGATTTCGTCCCTGCTGGGTTTGCGCCCATTGTGTTCTGCGGCGAAGTCCCGTTCATATTCTTTCAACTCGACGCGCAGTGTGTCTGCTTGAGATTGCAGGGACACTTTCTTTGGGCTGTCGAGCAGCGCGACTGCATCATCCATGTTGCGCCGACACCTCTCTACCTGGCGTTGGAAAGTGCTGAACTCATTGCAGCTGCCAGACAAATAATTATAGATACGACGCGTGGAAGGAAAAGGGTGTCACACGCGTTCAATTTACGCGTAGTGAGTACGGTGGAGCAGATAACGCCTCCCAGGTCGGGTCTTCTCGTCGGCACGTGACATCGAAGACTCAGAAAACGTCCGTAGGGGGATTTACTCAAGAGAACGAATCCGTCTTGAAGTCTGTCTCAGCTTCACATTACCAGTGCACTCTGACCGTGGTTTCTTGGAAGGCTTGAGAGATGACTAACTTGGCCGGCGCCGATCGAATCCTTTGTCTTCGAACCTTTTCATTTGTGCCGGGAGTGCCTCTGCGGGATACAGGGCGGCACCAATTGACCTTCCTTCGAATGCATATCAAGTCATGGTATCTCGTCTTCGCTTTGGTAACGAATTGCTCGACCATGAAAGACTCATGCTCCTTCACACTTGGTACGAAATATCAACCTCAACCGTAGATTTCGTCTATGCGACCAACTCAACAACACCACCAGCCTCCTTGATCTTTCGCTCGGCCTCCTTGCTGAACCATCTTGCTCTGACGACGAGCGGGATCTCGGGGATTCTGCCCTTCCCTAGCACTTTAGAGTATCCAAGGGGGAGGAGATCGAGGACAGGGGCGGTATCGGTCTTCTTGCCAGAAATGTAGGCGTCGCGAGTCTCTTCGGGGACCAGTGACCAGAGCTGTAGTTGTCCATGTTAGACTCCTATCTATTACTGATTTGGATGTGAAAGATTCTAACCTTGTCAAGGTTGATTGTGGGTTTCCAGTAGTGGTTTCTAAGAAGGTGGAAGTGTCGCATGCCGACTTTGCCGAAGTAACTGTTCCACTGTCAGCTTCTCGAAGAGTCACGCCGTCTCGAAATGAAAGATCAAGGCTTCATCGTCTGGGAGGATACTGGGGGTACGTACCCAGGATGGTACTTGTCCATGTTTGTTCTGTGATGATGTTGACCACCAGCGAGACCTCGACCACCGGGGTGCTTTCGGTGCTTTCCTACACGTCCGTGACCGGCAGAAACATGGCCGCGGCTGGAAGCTTTCAGTTAGCCCCATGCCATTTTAGATATTTATCACTTGATCGTGTCCATCCTGCGCCGCGCCGTTCAGCAACCTCGAATTGGTTCCTGATGCCACTGTTATGATGTCTTCGGATCGAAAGTGACCATCTTGAGTGTTGCGATTACGGTTTCGATCGTGAAGAATTCGGACGGATTGAGTGGCAGGCGCAGGACGACTCGTGCGGTCTCGTGACGGAGTGGAGAGCTGGCAAATGGTACTCACTGCTTTCTCGTCTTCGTCAGTCTCGTAGGCATTTTGGCGGTGTCGAGACTCCGGTGTTGTTGTGATAGGAATTGAGCGTCGTCGTGGCAGAACGTCAAAACTCTGGAAGTCGCAGACTGTGGGCGCTCGAATCGGGTTAGCGGGTCAAATCTTGGCAAGCACTTGCCGGTATTCTGCCGACCATCATTCTACCACAGTCACGTGCACAGTATGTTCGACATTACTCCGTACATTTCACACCTTCCGGAGTATACAGTAGATGACTGGTTGCCAGCAATATTTGCATGTGTTTCTGAGAAGTGTTTGGCCATCTTACAGACTTATTGAACATGAAAATCGGCATGCGACTCGTCACTGCTTCCCACGAAAGAATTGTTGGAGGCCGGTCTCCATCTCCAGCCAGCTTGGAACGCCACTGGCCATGCTCTCTTGAATCCACCCGGGCAGCTTGCGCCTGATCCTCTCCGTCGCAAAGCGCCTGTCTACCATTAATATCGCGGCGTAGTCATTCCTGTGCCGTATTGCTCTCCCAATGCTCTGATTCACGGCTCTCATACATGCATTCTCGTAATAATCCCTGCTTGCACTCTTTGCAGCAGACTGACAATCTGCTTCTCCTTTGCCCTCTTTCTTGCATTGCTGATACCTGACATCTCTGATATGCTGCAACTTCGCCTGCCATTCTGCACCGTTGGCGTTGGGAAAAGGCAGGCCTACTGATATCACCGCTCGGCCCAGTTTGTCAGAGAAGTTGATACCTTCTGAGAGCTTCCCACCAACAACAGACAACATTAAACCTCCCTGCCCTGTGTCTATCGCCGTTGCATAGTGTCGCAGGACTTCCTCGACGCCAAATGACTTCGACTCCTGAAAGATTGGCTTGACTCTGCTTAAAGCCGTCATGATTGGCTGCTCAGCTGGTAAGCGTTGCCAGACGGAGAGGACTTGGGCGAGGTAATCATAGCTGGGAAAAAAGGCAACCACTCCATCGGGAACGACTCTGCATACTTTCAAAATGAGACTGCCAAGCTCCACCATGATTTTCTCCGAGGCCCGTTTCTCGAAAGTGAAATCAAATTCCACACCGGAAGGCCCCTTGACCAAGGCTTGTGCCAACAGGTTCGAGGCAGGAATGACGTGGCCGAAGGAGAAAGTCGACAGCCGATTGCTTTCGAGGTATGAGAACAGGTAGTCCGAATAGTCCGACACGGGGGACATTGTGCCTCCAGCAAGAATAACCGCCCGAGCGTTCTGCACTACCTCTCGAAAATGCTCACGAGGATCGAGCAGGGTGTAGCGGACGCTGATATCCTTGTCGTGTCGACTCGCGAAAAATCGGCCTTCCTCGTCCGGATTCATCAATACTGCTAGAAAATTCTGGAATTGCATCAAGACGCCTTTGCTGTAGGTATCCTGATCGCTTGACTGGGACTCGGCGTATCCTTCAACTTTATGGCAGAGCTTGCTTTCATGCAAGTACTGTAGCAGCTTGTGAGGCTTGATCTGGTCGACCCCTTTACCGGACATTAGCTGTGCTGCGGTTATGGTAGTCTCCGTCGAAGACGGCTTGAACGTTGTAGCTTTCAGACAGTCTGTCAACGAGTTCAGCACACGTATAACTTGCATGACATAGACACGGTTTTTGCCTTTTAGCCTGGCTTTGAAACGCATGGCATAGGCGGTGACCTGTTGGACGGCTTGATCGATCTGACTGAGGCGTAATGAGGTAGAGAGTGTGTCCACAATCGCGTCCATGAGATTATGAGCTTCATCTATGATGACCACATTGTCTTTGACAGATACGCCCAGTGCTTCTCGCGCTGATTTCTGAAGGAGAAGAGGATATGGCAGCGTGAGCACTTCTGCCATACTGATGGCTGATCTGGAGGCATAGTATGGACAAAGTTCCATGTCCCGGCCTAGTTTTCCCATGTCCTCGATATCCTTGATGTCGGCAACAACTCGGTCTCGGAACGCGTTGACTATGTCCAAGTCGTCCTTGGAACCCAGGAAAGGACACTTTTTGTCTTTTGCTATGCCAGGTTTCTGCAGCTCGAGACATTGCTCATTGATGGCTGTGGTTGAGGAGAGTCGTGATATCTTAGGATGAATGCACAGATTCTTCCTTGAACCAAGCGTGAGGTGCTTCACGCCCTCCTCGATGTGAGACCCGGGAGGAACCTCTGCCATATCGGATGGGATCGAGGAGGGGGGTTTGACACGACGCAATTCGTTAACAAATTGTGTGAGTTGGGAATGAGTACGTGAGCAGAAGATGATTTTGAGCCGGTCTTCTTTCACCTCTTCAACTTCTTTCTTAGCGGGACCTTGCAACTTGTCCAGAAGAGCCTGCGTTGCGCTCGAGATGCCATTGTTAGATTTGGGAAGGGAGGAAGTGTTTCCCCCATCACTGTCGTAATCGTTAAGCATGAATTCATCTTCTGCGAGAGAATTTCCCACGCTTTCTTTGACGATTCGGGCCTTCTTTGAACCCTTCGAATCTTCTCTTCTGTGTCGACGTCGCGCCTCTTCCTCACGCACTCTAGCAAGCTTATACTCGAGCTCCTCACGGGCGAGTAGCAGTTCACGACGTTGAGCAGAGCGCTCAGCCTGCGCTAACCAATCAGCCTCATCTGAAGAGTCAGCGGAGCCTTGCAAAGCTCGGCGTTCATGATCTCTCAGCCAGGTCAATGCGCCACATATCAAGCTCAAGGACTTGCCAGTACCTGTTGGTGACTCGAAGATGCCCACTTGCTTTTCTTCTATGCAACGGTAGAGGCTCTGCATGAACTCCAGTTGAATTGAGTAAGGCTGGTAGGGATGGCAGAAATTCGCCTGGCTGGGCTCCATCGTGATTTCCAGAAATGCTCGTGTCAACTGTTACGCCCCGGTTGTTCTGAACCAGTTTCTGGGCGCCGTCCATGAACAAGGCTGCAAGGCAAACCCGAACGAAAGAAAGAGACGCGGATCAACACGTCTACAACCATCCCGCATACCTGGGTCTCACCGCAGCCTTTGTTTTCGAGGAGTTGCTCGAGCACAATGTCGTGTGTAGTCACACGGCGTCAATACACTCTGGGGGACTCGCACGTGCGGTGTGGTAAGGTAAGGGGCGCACGAGGCAAGCGATCCCACAGTTGGCGACAATCGTGGTGGCTGTGAGCGTGTTGCGAAGTTGGACTGCGCTTGGCCCGCACGTGCCTGCGGTAGCTCTGTGGCCAAGCCAGGCTAGGCGCAGCGCCACCTGTGACGACTGCCCCTCTAAGCCCCTCGGAGCCAAATCTCCAGGCCTAGTTGTTGCTCGACAGGTGACTCCATACCCATACTAGGGTTTGGAGCACCAACGGAGTACGCGCACTCGTATTCTGTACACCGTACTTGCTGCACGACCGCAGCCTCGTCTGCGCCCTCGGACTTCCTCGTGCCCTGTTATGAATCGTTCCAACTCACATCAGATTCCAAAAACAATACGCGGCCTCAGTTGATGCGGCCGCCCAGGCCAGATTCACAATCTCCTTTGCCTCCACCGAGACATGTCTGCACCATCTCCCAAGGTCGGAAATTGTGGTCTGTTGATCGCCTTCATTCTGACCCCCACCCAAGCGTCCATTAGACTCCGGCTTTCACCCTGACTGCGTCAGCACCACTACACCAGGACGCGCCTTCAGCGACAGGAAGACGGACCAGATCATCTCATCCGCCCGCATCTTGTACGGGAGCGGGTAGAATTTCGGACCTTTTTCCCTTCCCTCAGCACACCTTGAAGCTCGCGAATCCCCAGAGAGATCAGGCACACCGGACCTGAAACTGAAAAAGAGGAATACAAACTCGAGACACCTTCGGACTGGCTCTGATCGTGTCGAGATGGACTACCGCACCGGCGCTACCTTTGTGCCTGGCGGGGATGACTCCTACTACCTGCCAGAGCTGATTCAACCCACTCCAAACCGGTAGGCCAATGAACGACTCTCAATATCTACTACCACGCTGATAGCCTAGGGTGCATGAGCTTCCGAACAATATGCAATATAATGTTGCCCAAATGGAACAGGCTGCCTCAGATCCCTATTCGGCCTCGTCGGCCTACTCTGCCTCTGTGTATTCTCCCCAATCAGCTGTACACCAGTCCGGGGTGAACAGCTGGACGGCTCCGCAACCACATCATGCTCAACACCAGGGATACGGGCAAAATGTGCCTACAAACAATCATAACCAAGGAGCTCCTCCGCAAGCCAATAATTTCCCTCCGAGATCCACCTCAATGGCGCAAGTGCCCGAACAACCGAACTTCTCCCCATTCCCTGTCCTACACAACCCCCCACCAAATGTCCCCCCAACCGACGAGCAGAAAGAGGCCACCTTAGAAGCCGCAAGAGCCGCCGTGCTGAGCTGCAATGATCCTGACACTCAGCTGACGTGGGCACAGGATGCGTTGGCGTATGTGGAGGTTGCTCAGCAGAACGAGGCAAGGATAGCCCTAGCACAAACACCGAGGTCGAGGACACCTCGGATTGAACATGTTTTGAAGGAAGATGCACTCAAAATCGTCAGTTTCCTGGCTGATCAGCATCACCCTAGAGCGGAGTTCATGAGGGGCATGTGGCTCGAGTTTGGCAAATTCGGGCACAGAGTCGACAAGAAGGAAGCCTTCTACTGCTACACTAGAGCTTCGGAGAAAGGATACATACGAGCCGACTATCGCATCGGCATGCAGTTCGAATCCTCAAATGACGCGTTGAAGGCCATCAAGTACTACCAGAAAGGCGCGGAGGCAGGAGATTCAGCTGCCTGCTATAGGCTGGGTATGATGACACTTCTCGGTCAACATGGTCAGGTGCAAGACTATGAGCGTGGTCTGAACCTCATCTATATGGCCGCTCAGACTGCAGATGAAAATGCCCCACAAGGGGCCTATATCTTCGGCATGCTCCAGGCTCAACAGATGCCCCAAATTCAAGTTCCCGACCAGTATCTGCCCAGGGACATTCCGGGAGCGAAAATCAACATCGAAAAGGCTGCTTACCTCGGATTTGCGAAGGCACAAATAAAGATGGGCTCGGCATACGAACTTGCCGAGCTCGGCTGTCCCTTTGACCCGGCCTTATCCCTGCATTACAACGTTCTTGCCGCGAGGCAGGGTGAACCAGAAGCGGAACTGGCAATCAGCAAATGGATGCTCTGCGGTCATGAGGGCCTCTTTGAGAAAAACGAGGAGCTGGCCTTCACATATGCTCAACGAGCGGCACTTGCAGGCTTTCCTACCGCACAGTTCGCCATGGGCTATTACTACGAGGTTGGCATCTACGTTCCTGTCAATTTTGAGCAAGCCAAAGAGTGGTATCGAAAAGCGTCACAAAACGGGAACACTGACGCAACTGGGAGAATTGATGCTATCTCAAGGTCGAAGACCTTATCGAGAAAAGATCATGAAAGCATCGCTCTAAAGAAGATTCGACAGCAGCGGGGCTCAATCATAGGCGGAAGTGAGGTGCCGCCAGTTCCCACAATGCCCACCCTCTCGGAAGAGAACGAGTCTCTTGAAATGCCTGATCCATCGCGGATGTCTCTGAACAATCAGAGGCCGCCGCCAGCTAGACCGGGAAGTGCGGCACCATATCCCACTGGCCCAGCCAATATGCCAGCCCTGAACCAAGGTCCGGATTTCCGGCCGACCTCAGCCTTCGGTATAAATCCCAATCTCCGACCTCAGTCCGCCGCGAACACGGGAGGTCCAAGACCTGATCACTATGGTTCTCTGCCCAACACAGTTCATCAACAGCGTCCATATTCTAATCCTCCTCCTGGCCAAGCTTATGGTGCGCCGGGTTATGGTCGTGGAGGGCGCGTGCCATCGGGACCTCCACCTCAAGGGCAAGGAGTTCCGAGCAACCGACCACCGGCAAGGCCAGGTACAGCTTCGCCATATCTCGGGTCCGGGCCCCGTCCCGGAGCACCAGGCACTTCACCTCCGGCGAAGCTCGATATTGGCTATTCTGCTCCACTTGAACCAGAAAGAAGACGACCGGTACAGCAACCAAACGGACCATCTCCATCCAATCCTAACAATCCTCCTCGAGGATCTCCCAGACCACAACAAGGCCCTCCTTCACAAAACCGGCCGGGTCCGCAAGATTCACGTCCCGGAGCGGGCCCGAACTCAGGCGGATACGGAGGCATGCCTAACGCAAACCCTCGACCTCCAATTAAAGTGCAAGTCCCGCCCAACGTGAAGCCAGTCAACATGACCCCTTCAAGGCCTGATTCCAGTGCGCCGATCGGTGGAGCTCCGCCATCAAAGCCAGCTCCGGTACCTGCGAACGCGGCACCAGTGCGACCACCGGGCAAAGGCCCAAAGACGTTTGATGAGATGGGCGTCCCTGCTGGGAAGGACAAGAGTGAATGCGTAAGTTTTGCACCCTCAGTGGTGACACAGGATGAAACTGAGACTAATCTTCTGCTTTTGTTTAGGCTGTTATGTGATATCATGCTATTTGTACTATACTCGTCGGAGATGGATGTCTATGATACCCCTGCGCGCTTGCGCACTATTTGGTTGGTCCCTGATTTGGCGGAACACATATTCTTGGCTAGACAGAGTTTGTCACGCTTTTGTCTCTCTCCCTAGGCGGTACTCAGCAGTGCAGCCAGGATCGCATTTGTGGACTGGGAAATTTTTTAAGTACATTCGAATCCTTTCACCCATCCAGCTTGAAGCAGCTTTTGTTGAGGCCGCGGCAATGAGTACCATTGGACTGACACAGGCTCGGGCATCGAAGAGCTACCGGAGAAGATGTTCGAACCGAAAGAGCTTGCAGAACTGCATCACGAAATACATCAAAGCGCCAGCTCCGCTTCTTGTTTCCCCGCGGAGTTTGCGGCAAGCATTCTAGGACGGCAATGAACGCTTACTGTGACAGATTGCTTCATATCGACGATGAATCTCACAACATGCCATTTGAGGTCACTAGAATCAACGACTGCTTTGGATCTTTGCCATCTACATGGCTATCGGGACAGAGCAGTAACGCCACCTCACGCACGCCCGTCGCGCTCTTGATACCTTCAACAACCATCTCCGCAGGAACCGCATAGCCCAAGCCATACGCCTCCATTTCCGCCATGCTCCACCATTCGCCCGTGCGCGTGTCCGCCACTCAGCTCCCGTAATCGCCCCATGCCGCCATGCTTATACTCCAGACAGGGGACGTTCCTGCGCGAGAGCTGTCATGGCTCTCCACAATCTGAGACAACATGCCTCGAATTCGCCAGGCTCCGCGCATTCCGCTTACTTATAACCACGCGCAGTCAGCGGAATAGAGCTGTCCTGGTCCTCCCCATTCTGATGCCTCGTTCGATGTCCTGCTGCCCGCTTTTTTCCGGCGTTGCGCGTCAGGAATGCTACCGCAACCAGGGATAAAGCCGCAAGGAGTTGCACCAGGAATATCAGAACCAACCTGACGACAAATGAACCAGTGAAAGGACTCAGGGATTCGGTATGGTCGAAAGCGTAGACCACGCTGTAGACCGCCCGGACACCAATGAAGGAGGCGGACAAGCCCATCAACACGCCTAGCACTGGCTGGCTGTTGAGCTTGCCGAAGAGTGGGAGATAAACGAATGTGAGCGCCATCCAAGTAGATAGGAGTATGAGCGCTCCGACCTTGAGCATTGTATATCCTGTGGTGATGTCGGGACGGGTAGCATTTTGGCCGAAGAGCTTCGCCGCGCCAACGGCGACGAGAGCGATGCCTGCGACGGCGCCAATGTGGACGCCCCATGCGGTGATCCGCGCTCGAAGTGGACTGCGATCCACTGCGCCGTAGTATAGCCACAAGAGGTCTACAAAACCCGCTAAGGCAAGTAATAAAGGGCTCAGTCCTATAGAGCTGACGATTGCTCCAGATTCGGTAGGGTGAGCGGCGTTGCGATTGGCGATTTGAATTCCTGCAGCGGCGACACGCAGAATTTCGAAGGCAATGAGGTAGAGGAACGACATTAGCCCGGACCTTCCGTGCTTGTAGAGGAGCCATAATGTTGGCTGGAGTAGGACGATGTAGATTGCTAGTTCAGCAATTGAGAGTTTGGTGGTTGAATTGAGCGTCATGGTGTCGAATCTTCGAACCAGGTCGGATCTTGAGGCTGCGGGACAAGACGAGGTTTCAATTATGAAGTGCGGGGATTGAAACTGCTACAGCTCTGTCAAGTACTTGGTTCTGGCTTATCAAAAAGGGGGCAAAGCGGCAGGACATTCGCAGACTCTTATAGCTTCAGGACTTCCCTCTGACCTCCAGCTTCTTCACGGAATCTCGTAGATGGGCGAGCGCAGCATCGCGCCATATCGGGCGTACTGGCTTGGCAGGTTGACCACGATATACAAGGACACGAGCCATACCGTTTCCGGACCATTTCACGAACAGCGCATCCAGCTGCTCCTGAAACTCGCACCTGAGAAACTTCACTTTGGAGCTGAGCGCTAATCCAGGCCAGGCAGCAGCAATTGAAGGACCAAGTGGATAAGGCGCGGAAACGAAGGCTGGGTGGCAGAAGAATGCACGTTTTGATGATTGGGTCAAGTGGGTGGATAAGTGGCTGTGTCGACGTTGCGCTCGAGGTGCATACCGAGTCGAGACTAGCGGCGGGCAAGGCACGGCAAGTTCAGCCAAGCAAGCCAAGCTTTTATGCCAAGAAGGCAAATCCCGGGGTGACGTTTCTGGTTAAAGCGGGTCATTCAGGCATGCAACCCGTGCCACCATTACATAAGGAAACACGAGACATTTTGGCGCATCGACTGCAGCGCCGAGCCCCGGATGTCGTGGTTGATAAAAGTCTTCGCCTGTCAGGTGTGGGAAAACGGAGGATACTACGTACATGACAATCCAGGTTAGACTCATTCCTAGGCACAGCCCTGCACATCGCAGCCCGGTTAAAGCCAACACATGCCGCCTCGCTTAGCTCACAAGAAGAGCCGCAAAGGCTGTCGGCGCTGCAAGGAGAGAAAGGTCAAATGCACAGAGGAGTGGCCGTCGTGTGCGGCGTGTGCGCGACATCGGGTGCCTTGCGAGTATGCGGAAGACCCCAGAAGCAGCACAGCCCCAGAGTCGCGCGCCAGCAGTCATGCGGCATCAAGAGGAAGCTCCGAGTCCAGCGACAATAAGAGTTCCACGCCGGGCATCGACGCACCCTATCCTCACAGCGTCCTGACAGAATCCAGCCTCTCGGAACCCAATCACCATGCAATCGAGCTGTACCTTATACACCGGTTCAAGACGTGCGTGGCCGCTGCCTTTCCCTCGTACGAGAGTGCAGAGCTAAGACACATCTGGGTCTGGACTTCTGTCGACTTGGGATTCGACTTCCCCTATCTGCTCGATGCCATCTTTGCCATCACAGCACTGTACATCTGGGTGACTTCTTCCGCGCCACAGACAGAGAGCGAGACGGTGTCGATACCTCAATCGCTTCGTGGTGTCGACTATGCGCAACTGCATAGGATGTATCTGAATCGGTCCATTTGCCTGCAGAGAGATGCCTTGGCCAACCTCACATCAGAAAACGCCGACGCCGTGGGGCTCACGGCCGTACTGCTTTCCACCATGGCAACTTGCCTTCTCTCGGACAATGCTGATGCAGGAGAGAGCAGCTACGCTCCGCCCATTCAATGGCTGACGATGCACGCATCCATCGCGGCTGTCTTCCGGAATGCCGTCCCTTTTCTCCAACCCGATGGTCCAATGGTGCGCTATGCGAAGCTTACTGAACAGCCGACATTCAGCAACACTGATGCTGTATTCAATCCGGAAAATCTGGCCCCGTTCCAAAAGCTCCTTGACTTTCAGCGCTCGGAGGACGACCGCTTGAGTCCAGGCGAGAAACCAGACCCATCGGTCGGAGACGCATACGTCAAGGCCGTGGCGTTTCTGGGCAGCGTCTGCAAGGCTCTACGGCTGCCCGAACAACGCTATCGAATATGCATGCGCGTGGTGGCGTTCGGGCATATTATTCCACGGACGTTCATTCGTCTCCTGGCGGAACGACGACCGAGAGCTTTGGCTATATTGGCAAATTATATGGCCTTTGTGAAGTATATTGAGAAGTACTGGTGGTTCAGAAACCGCGCTCAGACGGAGATATCTGGGATCCGGAGCATACTTCCTCAGCAGTGGCATTGGGCGCTGGCCTGGCCGGTGATGGTTCTGCGGGAGCCAGAGAAGATACTGCTAGACCCGAGGGATTTCCAGTGATATTTACCTGTATCATACGCTATGAGTGGCCAACCTCCTTGCGCTGGAAGCGTGGGACCACCAGGTGAGGCCTGTTCTGCTCCGCCTTGGCCGAACTCTTGGGCGGGCTTTTCTTACAGTCGGCTTCAGTCGTGACCAACGCACTTCTCTATCGCTCGCGCTTTATACTCCGTTTCCTGCCCGGACACCCAGGCATCGCTTTCTACGTTGCAGTTGAGATTATGGCAACCCTAAACCATTTCCTTCAACCGATCCGCAGTCTCAATCCTGTCAACATCACTGATCTCGAAGCCCGTTCGATCTCTTGGGCCACTTCACATCGACCCAAACCAGAGGGCCGGAGCAAGTGAACAACCAGGGTGCCGATCAAGGTAAAGAGGCCGAGTGAAGTTCTGAGCAAGCCGTACGAGTTCGGATTTCCATGAGGAGAGGAAAGCCCCGGATCTCGCCACCTTGCCACATTGCCCTCTCCGAACCGACCAGTCCGTTTTCTGTGCTTACTGTGCCCATGCTTTAGCGGCAGCACCGGGGTTCTTAGCAGGCTGTGTGGGCGACCTTCAATCGACCGCTACCTCCTCATCGACCAAATACTCAGAAAGATATTCCAACCAAACCCCACCAGCGACCCGACAAGCACTCTCCACTGCACGGGGACCCAGATGAAATTGACGAGAGCAACCCAGGGCCACAATTTCCAGCTCGCCCAGATGATTCCAAAGATACGTCCGTAGATCTCTCCGGCCAACGCACTCCAACTTTCGATTCTCGCGCCATTGGTACAAACCAGAAACGTCACATTGATGAGAAATTGCCCGATCGTCTGGTCGAGCAGGAGTTTGATCAGGATGTTTCCCCAACTCAGCCGAGCGGTCGCCTTTGTCGAGTTTTCAGTTTCATCTTTGTCGGCCACCGACTCCTGCGTCATGCTGCGGCGTCGATGCTGTCGCTGGCTGGGGAACCCGTCCTCAAGAAGTCGCTGCCACGCGGACGCTAGTGGCGCAGACACGACACCGAAGGCTGCGAATTCTGCGACGCGAGTCCAGTCGTATGGCGATGGCGAGGACGATTGCGGGTCCCATCGCGTCAGTGTCTGGGCTGTGAGGTTTGCGGCGGCTTTGAGAATCGCCGACTGCACGGCAACGGTGGTTATGGATGGCATTGGTTGTCTCGGCTCTCTCTCGCAGGCTTGTTTTCGTACGTGCGAGGGCGCAGGAGCAGGGCAATACAATATGACCGACTGGTCGCACGGTAATTGCGGTACCGTAGAAGACTGTGCCGTGCGCCAATGCCTTGCCTAGCCTTAGCCTACCTATTCAACAATATCTACGGGGTAAAGCGTTCTAACACGATACTAGGTACGTCTCGCCACGCGCGGTTGACTGGTCTCAGCATGAGTACGGGGGGCCACTGGGGCACAGTACTCTGTACCGAGGACTATGTTCTCACAACTCCGGCACTCCGCTCCTTCGCAACTGGATACTGTGCAGACACCCGTGTCAAAGACGGTTTAGTCGCGCTGGGCAATGGGGGTACTCCGGATCAATTGGAAGGGTAGCTCGTACATCTCGGCATTCCAAAGATCTCAACCGAGGGGAAAAATTAAGACGTCTCGTGCTCTCGAGAGAGCGTTGCGGCTTGAGGCCTTCTTCGGAGTATTTCAACGGCGTAATCGCTGCAAAATTGGATTCCATTGTCTTCAAAGGACAATCCCAAGTCCTTGAGCTAAGTATAAACTGCAAGAAAAGGATCCAAGCTGCCTGCACTAAACCATCCACCGGGTTAATTAAGGAGTTGTGGGCCCTTCAATTGTTCCGGACATATCACGTGATCTAACTGATCTTGGCAAAGACGCTGCCGGGGCCTTCATTCCTGTTCGCACACAGCGATGATTCCAAAATAGCAGCCAACTGCAACTTGACTGACCACTATCGCCTCGACAGCAGGTTGCATGTCGGTTGCCTTTTGTTGGACCTCGTGTCTCTCCAGAGCTTGCATAATCGCTTTTGCACGGGCAGAAGGCAACCAAATCACCGTTGACCCTCCTTGTCAACCACTGTCCTCGCGACGGTCGTCTCGAGAAAATTCACAAGAACGGCGCACACGGTCCCCAAGCCCCTATGCTATCGTACAACCCTGCATATCTACAATATGGTGCAAAGCACCACTGTTCATGCATACACCTCCGTGGAGGATGCCATGTCTCAGTCTGTAAGTGGAAAGATAGCTGGCTAGCCCATCTCCGATCATCGCCCGCTTGGTGAGAGACGGAAATTTTTCTTCCCCCACTACGTAGCTGGCCGGGATGCGAACGGGAGATGTGGCCTGCTTTGCGCTCTTGTTCAAGAGTAAGGTAAGAGCGATGTCGGAGAATGACTTTACAGGGTCTCCCGTGGTAGGGTACAGGTCGTGTGCGCACGAATTCTTGGGCCCTCCTCTCGTGATACTCGGAAACTTGGCTCCGCGTTCTATCGTCACGATTCAGGGATCGGGGCTATGGATTTTCACCTTTGTTTATTCGGAGAATCCAGCTGAAGGTAGCAGGTGGACTATCTGAGCTGCAATTTCAACCATCGACCAAATCAGGGATTCCAATCTCTCACCACGACGATAGATCCTTTCTCTCCCCAGCCTTATCTCCCACTTTGTCGTTGTTCGGAGTATAGCCCTATCTTTCTTGTCAAGTGACTTTCATCCCCCTTATTATTTTGCGACGACAGGTCGCTGCAGACCATGCGTGAATGCATGGCTGTCGACCTGGGCGATGACACTTCCAGCTTCTTGCCTTTGAGGGTTGAGTTTGCGGGTCGCGTAGCTTCGGAACCCAGGGATCTTGGCGAGGAACCGGAGGAAGGGCCTCTGGAGCGGAAGGCTGCCTGTGCGTTCTTCGTACAGCATGCATGTGACGGCCACCATGATGAAGATCCAGTAGACATTGTATGAGATGACGGAGCCGTACGTCGCGGTGTTCTGCCAGCCAAGAAGCGCATTGAACACGTCCCAGCCGTTATCGCGTTCCGGGTTGCAGCAGTTGACGTGCCAGACGGTCTGGTCGATGTTATACGAGCCGGGGCCATCACCGGATTCGGCCACGTCACCGCCGACCTGTTGTGCAAAGTGGTGGAACTGCAAGCTCCACACGGACTTGGAGAACATGCCGGCGGCGATGAGGTAGAGCACGCAGGTCGAGGCGATTAGGAAGTACTGGATCGTCATGAAGTTGCCGCCGCGATAGATGAGGTAGCCGACGAGCAGGCCGGCCAGGATACCGGTGATGACTGGAATCGGGAACGCCGTCGCAGGCAGACCGAGCGAGACGCCGCCGACAAAGACAACCGCCTCGAGGCCTTCGCGGAGAGTGGTGATGAAGGGAAGCAGGAACAGGGCATATCGCCGGCTCCACTCGCCCAGCTTGGAGGCGGTGTCGTGGTATTTGGTCTTGGCGACAAGTGCTTCTGCAATCTTGACCCTCCACTTTTCTTTTGTCTTGTTGATGCGCAGGATGGCCAGGCCCATGATGGTGATGATGATGCTCGCAATGAGGTAGAAGATGCCCTCCCAGAGATCCTCGGACTCGGCCCAGATATCATGGCCCAGACCATAGAAGACGCCGATGAAGGCGCCCCCAATGATCATTGCGATGAGAATGCCTGTCAAAGAGCCCGCCCAGACTTGTCGTCTCAGCCGCTTATAGACGACAGGGTCCTGAGACGGCTGGCCCAGGGACTGCTTCAAGAACGAGAGCAGCACCGAGACGATGATGACGCCTTCGAGACATTCTCGGAAGACAATGAAGAAGACCGGGACCCCGAAGACGTTGGGCATGGTGGGCGAGATGATCAGATAAGATCAGAGAACTGAGAGGGAAAACTGGATTGCCCGCCGACAGGAAGCAGTCTTTTGTACATGCAGCCAAGGAAACGGTCGAGCCGGACAGGAGGGGAAAGCTTGAAAGGCTTGAGAAAGCTTCGGGCAAAGGCCTGGCTGGGCGCAGGGAGTCCTGCACCGGGTTGTGACACCCAAGAGTGGGGGGTCGGCGCAGAGTGGTAGGTGAGTGGTCGCGAGGGACAATTGATTGCGCGAAAAGATAAGATAATCTGATGCAGATTGCAGCGCAGTGGAGGCTCGAGGCGGCAGGCATTGGTGGACTGTCGCCTGGACCGCCATCAGATAACTTTGATCAATCTAATCGCCGCCCGCATCGCGCATGATTGGATCCAGCTGCGTCCGGCGTGAGAGAAAACTTTCATTCAGCACGCCGCAACATCCACCCCCTCGACCACGCCGTCCACACAACGCTCAGCATGGCCCTCCCAACGCTGACAAGCGGACCCTTGCCGGCATCGGACCATGTGCTTCGAGACCAGCGCCGCCGGCTGCTCGCACCTAGAAAAACACCCTCGACCCCCAGCAGCAGCGCGCTTCATCGACGACCTCGTCTGTGGCCCCGGAAAGCTTTTGCTAAGCTTTTCAGGTTCTGCTAAGCTTTCCAAGACAGCGCAGTCCGCACTGTGTTCGACACCATGGCCAACTTGTTGCTGGCGGCGGTGGTGCTGCTGTTTGGGAGCTTGACCGCGGCCAAAACCGTCACATACGACTTCAATGTCAGTTGGGTGACCGCCAATCCCGATGGGCTGGCGGAGAGGAAAGTCGTCGGCATCAATGGCAAGTGGCCGCTCCCCGTCATCGAGGTCGACAAGGGCGACCGGCTGGTGGTCAACATGTACAACGGCCTGGGCGACAAGAACGCCAGCATCCACTTCCACGGCATGTATCAAACCGACACCAGCAACATGGACGGACCGTCGATGGTCACGCAGTGTCCGATCGTCCCGGGATCCAGCTTCACCTACAACTTCACCGTGAACCAGAACGGCACCTACTGGTACCACTGCCACACCGACTTCTGCTACCCAGACGGCTATCGCCAGGCCTTGATCGTGCACGACCGCGATGCCTTCTTCAACGATGACTACGAAGAAGAATTCACCGTCACCATCAGCGACTGGTATCACGATTTCGTCGAGGACATCCGGTTCCTGTCGCTCTATAACCCTACCGGGGCCGAACCCGTGCCCAACTCCTTCCTCCTGAACGACACCCAGCACTCCAGCCTCCGCGTCAAGCCCAACACGACGTATCTGATCAGACTGATCAACATCGGGGCGTTTGTGTCACAGTTCTTCTACATCGAAGACCACACGTTCAAAATCGTCGAGATCGACGGCGTGTACACCGAGCCCACCGAGGCCGACACGCTATACATCTCGGTGGCGCAGCGGTACAGCATCCTCCTCACGACCAAGAATTCAACCGACAAAAACTACCCCATCGTCACGGTCGCTGACTCCGACCTGCTGGACGTGATTTCCCCGGACCTGCAGCTGAACAACACGAACTGGCTGGAATACAACGCCGAGGCGGCCCATCCCCAAGCCGTCATGACGGTCGATGCCTCTTCCGAGATCGTGCCCTTCGATGACATTACTCTCGTCCCTCACGACCACATGGAGCTCCTCCCCGAGCCGGACTTCGAGATCAACGTGACGGTCATCATGGGCAATCTGCGCAACGGCTTCGGCTACGCCTTCCTCAACGACATCACTTATACGGCCCCCAAAGTGCCGACCCTCTACACGGTCATGTCGTCCAGCGGCTTGGCCACCAACGCCGACATCTACGGCGATTACACCCACCCGATGGTTCTGAAGAAGAACGACGTCGTCCAACTGGTGCTCAACAACGCCGATGGAGGCTCCCACCCATTCCACCTCCACGGGCACAACTTCCAGGTCATTGACCGTGCGCCTCCCTACGGCGAACACTTCTACGACTTCGTCGACGGCGACCCGGTGGCCTTCGACCCCAACAACCATTCCGCCTTCCCAGCCTTCCCAGCCAGGCGGGACACATTCGTCCTCCCACCCCAGGGATACTACGTCATCCGCTTCGTCGCCGACAACCCCGGCGTGTGGATGTTCCACTGCCACATCGACTGGCACTTGGCCCAAGGGCTGGCCATGACCCTGATCGAAGCCCCGCTCGAGATCCAGCAGAGGCACCAGATCCCACAGCAGCACTATGACGTGTGCCGCGCCGCGGGCGTCCCATTCGAGGGCAACGCCGCGGCCGACACATTCGACCTGACAGACCTGTCGGGCCAGAATACGCAGGTCGGCCCTCTGCCCGGCGGGTTCACTGCCCGCGGCATCGTGGCCCTTGTGTTTTCGTGTATCAGCGCCTTCTTGGGCATGGGTTTCATCACCGTGTACGGGCTTTCGGAGCCAAAGGTGCTGAAGAAGGACCTCACCCTGCCAGCGGGGGATGAGGTTTCCTCTGAGAATGAGGCTGTCGCCAGCGCGAGTGTGGAGCCCAAACAGCTCGCCACGAGTCAGGGATAGCCGCTACAAATCTAGGTAGCTGTCCTGTTGTTGTTGCTGTCCCGTATCACTAGCTGTCTCTGGGCTCATGGAGGAATTTTCTCCCTGTTTGTCCCTACTGTAGCTTACCTGATATAATTATCTGCTCGCATCATCAAGTACAGACGAAATCTTGCGCATGCAAAAGAGGCTCCAGCTCATTAATTACTTGCACATTCTCCCAATAGCTCTCGCAGGTGGTGTAGTCACGTACTGAAAGCTGTATCCTTGTGGGCAGTCATGCATGGTAACCAGGTGCAGCTCAGCACTGCAAAATATCTACCGAGTCACGTGCATCAATGCCGAGGCTTGGCAGTCGTGCTAAATTTAGGTTGACTAGCGCAGCCTTAGCCGCATTCCAGAGCGAGCGCCGACTTTCTGCTACGCTGATATATCTTAGTAAATAGCTCTAATTAAACCCTTTTCGATATTTGCTCGGGAGTAGGCACTTCAGTTATCAAAGTGCACGTGCAATATCCACTGGCACAATTGTAATGTGGCGTAGAAGAGAGGGCAGCTTCGCGAGCGAGTGCACCGCTTACCATGCTCAAAACCACCAGCGACTTGTGTGGGACGCATACCCAGCCGCATCATTCACCTGCAGGGAACAACCTCACCCTGGACGCTTCCCAAAAGCCCAGAGCCCGGTAGCCCCTCCTTCTATGAACACTCTCGGCGCAAAGAAGGCTCGAGTTCGCCGAGAACAATTTCCTTCAGTACCACGCGTGCGGAAAGATCAACCTGTTAGGACTCTCGGGATAGAATCCCCTGAGGCTTTTCGCAAGGCCGAATCTACCCATGTGGTTACACATGCTTCTGGGACCGGACCCCTCGCCGACGTGATGAGCGTCATGATTCGTCAGGGACACCACCTTCGCTGGTTGCTCTTTCAGCTTCAACACTTGGCGCTTGACGTAGCAAATCGGCCACAACCGTTTGTTGAGGGCCCTGGCTCACTTCCTCCCTCGACACGAGGGTCTGGCTCGTACTGAAACCAAACCATGCCGACCGGTGAGGCATTTGCTTTGGGAAAGCACCCTGGCACGCACTCGAGCGCCTGATCAAGGACAACTCTGGTTGCCTTGTGCCTCAGAGCCTCATTTTCCGCCATTCAACAGTTTTCCATGGTCCTTGGAGGTAATTCAGCTGCAAAGGTCATCAAGATTGTGTCCATTGTGCGTGATCCTGAATTTCGAGTTTGAGACGATTCGCCCCAGACACACATCCTACATAGATTATCGTGTCGCGACCATGAGCACCGACAATCTGCGCGTCTTGCGCAGCCGACCTCTATGTATCATCTGTGGCAAGCCGCAGGAGGCAGAGATCATTGCACAAGAGATGGAGGCGACCAGAGAAATCAGCGGGGCCACCGTCCAAGGGATCAACAACAACCACGTCTTCTACCTGGGGGAACTCAATCTGGTCTGCGAGCGGAAGCTGGAGTACTACATCACGAGCAGCCTCCGGCAAGGCCTGGTACATTTCGCCACTCACGCCGGCATTCTCTTCCAAGTCCTGCGGCCCCGGTTTGCGATCCACGCGGGAGTGTGTGCAGGCAACGCCGCCGCCGGAGTCGAGTAAGGCTTTATGCTCCTGTCAGCTTCTGTCTCCTGGACACTGACGATGTTTGCAGGCTGGGCCAGGTGATCTTTGGAGACGCAGCCATGAGCTATGAGGAAGGCAAGTGGGGATACAAGAGCGGAGAGTTGGAGTTCATGCCAGACTACGACCTGGTGCGTATATCGCTGTCGAGAATGGCCGGCTTCGCGGCCAGGAAGTCCAGGTACAAGTATGGAGATTATGTTTCGGGGCTCTCCGTTCGGGAAGACGCAGTCAAGATTTTTGAGCGCATCACTCTCTCGGTGAGTGCCCGATTCCGTCTATCCACCTATGCTTTGATCGCGAGAGGATGAGACTGACGGTGTCTGATCTGAAAGGCGGATCGCAACGTTCTGGCCCTCGACATGGAAGCGAGCGCCTTTCTGAATCTTTGCGCCCACACCGATGTCATGTCGCTCGGGGTTATCAAAGGTGTGTCTGACCTGGGGGACATGGACAAGAAGAAGGATCCTGCACGTTACAAGCAGACCTTGCGGACGACCGCCACTGCGATCACAAGCTGGTTGGAGCAGATGATGGAGAGCATGAATTGGGATGTCAATGAAGGTTTATTCTTTTCTCCCTCGTCCGGCACCGAAGGGTAGACTCCTAGCTAACGAGAGCAGAGAAGGAAATCGGAGCCCGCTTGGCCAAGCCTTATTACGAAAACTTTGTGCGCATTGTCGTCGACTCGATCTCACAAGGGCTCTCGTTGGAATTGCTGAGTCAAGGACGTGTGGATCAACAGCCACAGGGTCTCAAGATCGTAATGCCCGAGAATCTCAACCCGGAGAACTACGCAGAGGTCGGCCACATTCATAGCATCGCTCAGACTTTTGGCCTCACAGAGGCAGCAATTGGGAATGTAAGTCCCTGTGAGGTTATGAATACCTGTCCCACTCCACTCACTCTTCGTATAGGGATCACATCGTCGGACGATGTATTACCGACATCCCTATCTCTTTGATTTCCCCCGAACTCTCAACACTCTTCTCGTGATGGAGGAAGCAAGCTACCAAGCGCTGGTGTTTGACAAATTCCTCAAGTTGGAGAAATACTGCAAAGTCCTGAGCTCGAAGTACAACATGCCTCTGGCACAAGTCCTCGCGTGGGATGAATTCGAGAACATGTTTGACTCGGCAGCATCAGAAATGGTCATTGTCTGAAGGGTGGCCAGGTCCACGTTTGCCGCACGAGGATCTTAGTTTGGGTTGATAGGCTTGATTTCTCTCGGTATTTCGCTACGAGGGCAATCGCTACATGTGTTCAATTGTCCTTGATACCACAAAGTAGTTTCTCGACCATGATTTGCAGCGAGACGGGGCTCGAATAGACCTCGGTCGACTCGTAGCTATTGTCGTCTAACTGTTCACATCGACGACGACAGTATCGTCGGAAAGTATGGCTCTGAAAGAATGAGCACGATTAGCGATCGCCCAGGGATGTGCGACGTAGTGGGCGAGGTCAGTGCTCTGGTTTGGGACCCTTCGCCCAAGGCTGCAGGAAGCCATTGGAATTGGTCACAGGTTTGGTTCATCCGTCCGGAGCCCATATCATCTTCAACATTGAGACCTTAGGGGGCAGCCGCTAGTTGTTGGTGTCTGTTCCAGGAAGTCGGGGGGCTGAGATGCATGACCAAGTAGTTGCGATAGCAACAATGAGTGCGATGGCGATACTGAGTGCCTTTCAAGGAAGCTCAGGACCAGGCAACACTAACAATAAGCAGCACAAAGGGGGTGGAATTGGTGGATGAAAAGAACTGACGAAGGAGAATCTGAATTAGAGCGGAGCATTTGTCGACAGATGGCACTTGCGGAGTTCAGCCTGTTCAGCGGAGTATTTGCCGACTGATACGTAATAGCACTTGCAAAGTTAAGCGGAGCATTTATCTCGTCATGGCACTTCTCAAGTCGAGCCACATTCCAACAGCCGCCACTTCGCTTTCTTCTTCCTTCGTCCTTCGTCCCACTGCAAGCGGTGCTTGATGGCCACAGGCGGTCTCGAACATGTTATAACAACGGCTGAAAGAGAGCCTTCGGGCTCCGATACCATCCTCCCGCCCGGTCAAAGCGATCCCCTGCCCGCGGCCGACGGCTGTGTTATCTGCCTCGACCGCATTACTGATCAAGCCACCGCCCTCCCGTGTCGTCACGACCAGTTCGATTTTCCATGCCTGGGAACGTGGTTGCAACGGCAGCCTGTCTGCCCATTATGCAAGACCACTGTCACCGCCATCAGATTTAAAGTCGTCGGCCGAGGTGACGGCAAGAGTCAACTATTCTATCTCCCCCCGGCAGAACATCCGCAACAACCAGCGAACCGGGCCGGGCATGGCATCGCGCAACAGCAGAGGCTGAGACGGCATCGGGCAGATGGGAGAGGAGGTGGAAATCGCGGCAGGACTTCTGGTTTTGCGCGACCTGAAATATCCAAGGACACCGCGCTCGATTTCCGCAGGCACGTTTATCGCCACAAGCTGTACTCTCTCCACGTTGGGTCTAATCGCATCTCACGGTATCGAAATCTGACACCAGCGTCGTTTGCGAAAGATGAGCGCCTCACCAGTCGGGCTCGGATGTTCATCAGACGCGAACTACAAGTTTTCGACTTCCTCAATCCGAGTACCGCTCAATCGTCGAGCTGTTCAAAGTCGAATGACCGCCGCGCAAACAACGTCGACTTTCTGCTCGAGTACATAATCGGGATCTTAAAGTCAATCGACCTGAAGGGCAGCACCGGACAAGCCGAGGAGTTGTTGAAGGACTTCCTTGGGAGAGAGAATACACGGATATTCCTCCATGACCTCGAAGCGTGGTTGAGAAGTCCTTATGAACAGTTGAGGGATTGGGATAGAGCAGTACAGTACGCAATGCCTGCAGAAGCAGGCAGTGAAGGAAGTGAAAGGACCAACTCCCTACGGTCCATGGACGTGTGCCGTCCATCAAGTCAGTCGCGGCTACCAGGGGTTGGTTCCTCCGTGCCTCGATGGTTTGCCGACAGCTTTGTCCTCCGAGACCACAATGTTTCAAGGAGGTGAAGACACACAATCTGAGCTCCGTCACGCCCAGGGTGACCTTGGAGTCGACATAGCAAGGGTTGTACCCGAACTTAGGGCTGATGCAGTCTCCCCAGTCTACGCGCTATACATTGCTCTTTGACTGGTTCTGCACGAGAATATAGTTCATGATTGATGATGGCCACGACCAACAGAAAGGATGAGCGCGAGATGTGCATGAGGTGAACGCTTTCAGGAAGCCTGCCTGGATGATAACAAGAAATACGTGAGACCACGTAGCTCGGCCTCGTATGCGCTCAAGGAACCAAGACCGCAGCATCGGTTTCCTCTTATTCATCTCCGTTTCGTCCATCTTCCATCCCAGTCAACTAAATACGGACTGAGTACTCCGTACGGAGTACGATTACCTCCTAGCGCGACGCGTACACCCGCGGATGATAGTTCCGCCAAGTCCGGCGACCGGCCGACCCGAGAATTTTTCTCGCTGACAACGCACACGACAGTCAGTCAGTTACGTCTCGCACAAAGCGTACATGGAAGCAGTGAATGAACCCACCAATAGCTCATTGTGCCTATCGCAACGAGTACCGAGGCCGTACATCGGCTCCGTTCATTGGTGAGGTCAGAAGCCTCGGATTAATGACGTCCACCACTGCACGAATGAGCCCTCGTATTGCCTGTCGTCGTTCCTCATGCCATCAATTTGGCGTCACGGCGTCACGGCGTCTCCTCCCTATACGCTACTCGTACGTCCTGAGGATATGAGGAAAGTCTTCGTGCGGTCGGGAACACATGCTCCTCCTCCGTATATGCCGAACTGATTAGATCAGCGGTGGGACTCTTGCGTCGGCTGTTCGAACTCTATCGACTCGGACAGTTGGGAGGCTTCTACAGCCTGGAAGAATGCGTTAATTGCCTTCTAGAATAGAAAGCGCGCGAAAATCCATTTTACATGGGTTTGTTCTTTTCTCTTCGATACTCGCAAGTGGATTGTCATTACTACTGCTCTGATTTTACTAGCAAAGCAAGGCACTGCCACCACAACTACAGACTAGTTGACACAAGCAGGCAGGCCTCCTCGCAGAATTCTGAATTTCACTGTTCGACAGCTGAGAGAGATAGCTGGGCACCTGACTCCGTGTCGTATCAAAATACTAGCGAAGGAGAACATTGGCCCACACACACGCACACACACACCTAACAACCTCCTGGGGCTTACCAGTCCGTTCCTTTTAAGGGAGCACGCACATTCAACTCTCACCAACCCACAAACACAACTCAACCATGGCCCCCACCACGCAAAACCTCGCGCTCGTCTTCACCAAAGTCCCCTCCCACATGCCCATCCCCAGCGAACATATCCAAGTCCAAGCCGCGGGCGCCTTCGACATTGACCAGCCCCTCCCCCAATCGGGCGGTCTCATCCTCGAAACCCTCTACGCCAGCTTTGACCCCTACCTGCGCGGCCTCCTTCGCGACCCGTCCATCAAATCATACATGCCGGCCGTGCCGCTGGGTAAGCCCATCTCGGCCGCGACGCTGTCCCGTGTCCTCCGCTCCAACATCGAAGGCTACGCGGCCGGCGACGTCGTGCGCCTCGTCCTCCCGATCCAGCAATACAATGTGTACGTGCGGCCCGAGAACGGCGGCGACGACGTCGAATGGCAAAAACCATTCAAAGTGCCCACCAGCCCGGACGACGTGTCACTAGACGTCCGCCACTACCTCGGCGCACTGGGCATGCCGGGCCTGACGGCTTATTCGTCGTTTTATGAGATCGGCAAGCCCAAGCGCGGCGAGACCATCGTCGTGTCCTCTGCCGCGGGGGCCGTCGGGCAGCTCGTGGGCCAGTTGGCCAAGCATGAGGGACTCACGGTGTTGGGGTCGGTGGGGAGTGATGATAAATTGGAGTTTATTGTCAATGAACTCGGCTTTGACGGCGGGTGGAATTACAAGGCGGAGAAATCTACAAAGGGGGCCATCGAGCGCTTGGTCAGAGAACAGAGGGCGAAGCAGGGTGGTGACGCCAAAGATGCGAATGCCGAAATCAGCCCAGGAATCGACATTTTCTACGACAATGTGGGTGGCGAGCAATTGGACGGAGCGTTTGAGTGTCTCAATTTATTTGGAAGGTAAGGACCCGAGCGAGCGAGCGTAGCGCAGCGCAGCGGAGCGGAGTGAACGGGGAGAGCACGGGAGCAAAGCGAGCAAGAGGAGCAGGGGTAGCGAAGAGCGGAGCGGAGTGGAGCGGAGCGATGCAAAGCAAAGCGATGCAAAGCAGAGCAGGCCGCTCTTCCGCTTTCTCCTCTTCCTTACACGCTCTCTCCCTTATACGCTCTCCCTATCTCTCCCCCCCTCTCCCCCTCTCCCCCTCTCTCCCCTTCTCTCTCCCCATCTCTCCCTCTCCTGTTCGTTTCTCCTCTTATCCCAACCCCAACCCAATCTCATCCCATCCCAACCCATCCCATCCAATCCACGTCGGATCCCGTCCATTATTCACTTCACCCATACCATCCACGCCCTCCCCTCCCCCGCTTCCCCTTTCTACTCCATCTGATCCGATACGATATGATATGATATACCATCCGCTAACATGATATTCCCAACAGAATAATCGAGTGCGGCCAAATCAGTCAATACAACCTCCCTCCCCAGGAGCGGTACCCGATCCGCAACACGTTCCAGACCGTCGCCAAGAGGCTAACAATGAGAGGATTCATGGTCGGCGACGCGGACATGGGCCGCAAGCACGAGGCCGCGCACATAGAGAACGTGTCGCGCTGGTTGAGGGACGGCTCGTTCCAGGCCAAGATCCACGAGACGGTCGGGATGGAGAGGGCGGCCGAGGCGTTTGTCGGCATGTTGAAGGGGGAGAATTTCGGAAAGGCCATTTTGAAGGTCAAGGTGTGATATCGTCGTAGAGTATACGAGCATTATCGCCTGCTTAGTAGGTCGCTGTGTATATTGCATATTATGTAGCGTGTAGGACATAGGATCGTATTGAAGGGGGAGAATTTCAGAAAGGCCGTTTTGAAGGTTAAGGTTGTAGCACGATGACAGAAACAGGACTCGTGGTGTACAGCGGGAGTAGAAGTAAGGTAGTAATGGCATTACCTTTAGTTTGTGTGTGTTTATATCTGTATAGCGTGTGTGAAGAATAGAATTTATATCAAGGGGGAAGCATTGAGTCGGAAAGGCCGTCTTGAAGGTCAAAGGTATGATGTCGTCGTAGCCGATCATCTCTGGGTCGCTGTATGTATTGTATACAGCTGTGTAGGGAATTGTAAGGGATGGCCTAATAAGATAGGCAGATTATAACACCAGCGATAGTAATCTATATATCAAGCACCCCCTGACGTACAGTCACTACAGGACTCGAAGTATGACAGAAGGATGTTTCTCTCATATGAGTCTCGGTTTATGTATCTACATAGGTCTTGGTGTGCGTTGGTGTGTTCCTGATACGAAAGGTATAATTTATGGCGTCGAAATACGGTAGGAGTACCTTATGCTATCTTACATTGTGGTGTGTGTTTGTGTGTGCCACGTGTAGGATTTGGGGAGTGGATATTTTGTGTTTTCCCATTCTCTATAGACTTATGAGTACTCCGTACGAGATGCAATGCATTCGACAGTGAGCATAGGGCTCCTGGTGAACAACGGCCAGCGGATCTTGGCTGTTGACATGTAACTTTCGATCAGCTGAATGAGGATGAAGGGAGACAGAACAACCACACCTCTACTTGAAGCATCCTTCTGGATTATGCCATTTTAGTGCACTGTACAATACAAAGCCAGCTCTAGAACCCTCCTGACGTGCGACAGGATTGAGTAGATTGGACTCTGGAAAAGCAACTTCTTTGCCATCTTCGCTCTTCACGTCCGTCCTCCATCTCCCTCTCGCCACTTCACGCCAAGTTCCTCGCCATGTCATTTCTGATGCGGTTATAATCCAACAGCCCCTCAATACTGCCCACAGCCGACACTGCAACATCCTGATCCCAGATCTTCTTTTGACAGAACCGCATCACGTCCTTGGCCGTCACACTTCCAATCACACGCTCAATCTCGGCAGGGTCCATTCTTCTTCCCGTGGTGACGATTTGACGTCCAATGTCTTCGGCCACGGCCGTAGTGCCATCCAGGCTCAACAAGATGGAGGCTTTGAGCTGAGCCTTGGCGCGCTCGGTCTCGGCTTCGCTGACGTTGAACGATAGCCGGGTCCATTCACGAAGGGTAAAGTGCACAAGATCGTCGATGTTGGTGATGTTTTCGGTGACGAGGTAGATGCCCCACAAACTGGCGGAAGACTTGTCAGCACGAGAATTGTGCGGGACCAGAAAACTTACCCGGTATCACTGTAACTCGTGGAGAAACTCATGTAGCTGTTGGCCAAGTTGTTTGCCGTGACCATCGTAGCAAGCTTCGATCCGAGATATGGCGAATTGCCCATGGTGCGATCCCAGTTTCCGACGATGGCTTGTGTGACCAAGGCGGGGAAATACTCGTCATCTCTCCAGGACACACCCTCAACGGCAATGGCGATGTGAGCAGTAGGAATTGTATCGTCGCGTATTCTGACTTCCGAGCCCACGAAGTTGGGCTTTCGCTTCTGCTGTGCGGCAATCTCGGCGGCGTACGAGGTCGGCGGAGCAGATCGCAAGTGGCCAAAGTGTTTTTCGGCGAGCTTGACCAGCTCCTCATGAGGCACGCCACCTGCTCCGACCAGGACCATTCGATCTGCCGTGTAGTTCGTGGTGATGTAGTCGACCAGATCCTGCCGAGAGATACTTTCAATGTTCTCCTTGGGACCCAAGATCGTCCGACCGAGGGGCTGGTTCATGTACGCGGTCGCGTGAAGGTGGTCGAAGACGACTTCTTCCAGCTGCTTGTCGACTTCTTCTTGTTCACGGAGGATGACGTCCCGTTCGCGCTCGATGGCCTGGGGCTCGAGTTTGGAGTTTTGCAGAATGTCAGAGAGGATGTCGACCGTTTTGGGCACGTCGGCGTTGAAGGATTTGGCGTAGTAAACCGTGTTTTCTCGCTGCAGGGTGCGTCAGTACGGTATGGATGAGGGCCGGGAGCCGATCCTACAGAAGTGTATGCGTTGAGGTGGCCACCCATGTTTTCAATCTCGAGCTCTAGTTGGTGTTGGGTTCGTCGCCCGGTGCCCTAGGAAACATTCAGTTGCTGTTTTGTATGCACGTCCTCCGCGGCCTGACCTTGAAAGCAAGATGTTCCAAGAAATGGGCCGTTCCGTTGGTCCTGTCTGTTTCTGCCCGGCTCCCAGCGTCGATCCACACGCCCACGGTTGATGTCTGCGCCCAAGGCGAGTGTTCCGTGGCAATCTGTGTCCCCGTGTTAGCACACCTTGAGCTCGGCTCCCTCCACATATCGATCCATCATACTGTGAAGCCATTGGAAAGAGTGGTGCTCTCTGTTCTCGAGGGAGTGACGGGGTTGGCATATCGTCGGAAGGGAGATTGAATGGCATTGAGAGCTTTTCGGCTTCGCAAGGATCGCTGAAGGTTCAGCGCCAGCCGTTGAGACGCCATTCTAGCCAACTAAGGAGGACAAAAGGCAAGAGACCTGGGTCGTGGTGAGTTCGTCTTGAGCTTTCAAACGCAGGCTGGGCGACTTTCTGGAGCTCTGAGAACTTCCCGCAAAGAGCGCTATGCCTGATTGGGATGTATCCTTTAGCCAACGTCTGATTGGTCAGTTCATCGCCCAAGACGGTTCTTGTGATTGCTACTGTCTCACGGTTCATCAGACATTGCTTCATTTACTATAGTACTGTACGTTCCTGCTCGCCGCCCGTGCAAAGCCCTACGTGAAGTTCCACATGGCTTGACCAGCATCCAAGGTTGTGCCTTCAAAGTCGAAGAATGGCATTCCCAGCCCCAGTGCAGGATCACCAAAGTCGAACGCATTCGGATCCAGCGCGCTGTAATCGGGCACATTCGACTGGCCGTTGGTGAGGCTGCTTGGTGTCACAGTGGTGTTGACTTGTTGACTGGGCGATGCCAACGGCTGGCTTGAACGTTCACCGTTCACTCGGTTTCGATTCTTTGCCCGTACTGGCCCACCGAGACTTTCTGCCATCTTCTCCAGCCCGTCGGCCATTCGATGTATCAAATGGTCCTTGCCAACATCGGTCGATTTGAAGTGTTGTGCCAGGGCGTTGATCAGTCTCTGAAACCGGACCGTGTCCAGGAAGAGCTGCTCGCTGTGTTTCGTCGCAATTTTAAGCAGGAACATACACGCAAACGCAATCATGCCATGAATGTGATGAGGAACATACGCAATGGCAATTTGGGCATCTTTGTCGTCCAAGAGTAGGTTGATAATGGCCGTGGCCGCAGCGACGGCAGCTGATGCGTTTTCAAGAAAGTGCTCGGGGATGACCGCTCCTGTTTCGGGCAATCCACGAAGAACATATGATTGTAGGTAGAGCTTGGCCCAGTGATAGTGCATGACGGCGCCTTTATTTGGCCAATTACCGATATACTGGCTGGGGTCTGTATCAATGTCAGCCGAATGTCAAGGGTTTCCCGCATTGCCTCCACTCACTGTGCCTCGAAAAGCGGGCAATCCAGTCGTCCAGATCTCGCTCGAAGCCCGCAATCTTGGTTAGAGCCGAAGCCGGCAATACTGAGCTCGTGTCTTCCGGCCCAAGCGTCTCCCGAACTTGATTCATCAGATACATCAGACAGATTTGTCCGGCAATTCTGCGGTCGGCATCCGTCGATAGTGAGCAGGCCAAATAGGCCTCCCATCCGGTGATGTAGCTCTCGTTGTCGCGCATAATCGATGACCGGCCGTAAAGGACCGAGAGATGATGGTCGCAGATATAGAGTAAGTACAGCACCCTGATGCCATCCATGGCCTCTTGCAATTTGGTTGGGTTCGCTTTGTCCGGTGACCTGACCGACTCTGCGATCTCATGGTAATATTGACGAAGATGGAATTCGCTTGCGCGCCGAATAGCGTAGCCAGAGAGAGTCCAAGAAATATCGCTGAGCCAATATGAACCGAGAACCAGGGCTCGCAGATACTCCATGTCGATCTTGCGTTCGAACATGGCATTTGCGACCAGCCGCCTATACTCCTTGCTGCACACAGAGTAGAGGTTGCCGAGCTTGGTGTCGTGAAGAGCCGCCACAGTTAGGACACAGGCGGTCAACGTTGGCGAACGACGTCGGAATGATTCGAGATCAGTGTAGTCGGGACATATGTGCCAGATATAGGGGTCCAACTTGCTGAGATAGTAATTGGCCAGATGTTCGGCATCTTCCTGCTTGACCAGGCCTCTTGCTATGAAGTCGGTATCTCGCAGTTGTTTGCATATTCTCGCCTGCTCCTCGTTGGTCTGTTCGGTCGCCCTCAGCGACCTCATGCCAGTAATCTGGTACAAGGACTCGATCGGGACGTGCGAGAGGTTGTCAGCGACCGGAGTCACTTTGGGGGAGTTGTCAAGTGACTGGTCCTCGTCGTCCTCATTGTTGCCTTGTTCATCCTGGTCGAAGAATATCGCCGGGTCCTGCGTTGATACCAGCATCTGCGGGAGAGACGGCAGCTGTAGGGTTCGTACGATCTCCTCCACGGTCGCATAAAGAGATGTGACGTCCTTCGTGACGGCTGCTTTCCACTTGGAGTCTTCGGACATGAGCGTTTGCAGACTCTTATTGAGGCGACATGACAGTCCCCGTTCTTTGCATCTCTGGCATGGAGGGTCACCTATCATGATGCATTTGATCTGAAGCACATCTATTCAGCATATCGCTCCCCACACACACTCTCAGGGCATACTTTTTGCTTGCGGCATGCCGCGCACGCCTTGACCTTCCTCGAGATGCCCGGCAACTTGCCATCGGCTGCCGTCCCATTTGTGGTCGAGTTGGTACGTTGTGGTTTGGACGGAACTTTAGCGATGGCAGGCGGTTCGCCTTCGACAGAACTGCGTGGTTTCTTGGTAGGTGAGTGTGATTGCGCCGGAGAAGGAAAGGAATTGGGCGACGTCGACGAGACTATTCTCTGGAGAGTGGTAGGACCTTGGGCAGAGCGCGGGGAGGGCAGTTCGGCCTCAGACCAACTCCGCTTGGACATGTTGCAGTGCGCGCGATAGAAAGTGCGGGGACGAGGGAGTGGAAACCACGCTCGACTGGAGAGACGGTTTTATAAAGTGTGCTCAAGCGGTTTGTAGGCCGTTTCTCAAGTCATGCCCCCCAGAATGATATGCAGCTTCCAGCAGAGAATTGCGCTGAGTCGAGTCGGCGAGTGCCAATGATCAGAGGGCGGAGAGAGTGCACCTGCTAAGGGACCTGCTTAGTTACGGGCTTACCAGCTCTAGCTAGCTTACCGCCCAGCTAAGCCCTAACTGGCCTGGGCGCCTGGATTAACATGCCTATTGGAGTCCCCACAGCGGCTTTCCAGGGTCCAGCTCGGAGGACAACGCCCGCGGCTTTCTCTGACGCCACGCAATATTTCTCGCATGGACAGTCTCACGTGGCCATCACTACGAGGATCCTCACACTCTCCCGATCCAGGCCCATCGGTGTCAGCGCGTACTCGTACGAGTCGTACCTATCCACCTGGTGCTACAATGAAGAGATCATAGCACGCTTTGCCCCTTCGAGCTCATCTGTGCTATGTATCGACCACCATGTTTTTGTGCTCGACTCCCAGTCTGCCAACGCTCTCGCCTCAGCGTCAAGCTCGGTCACGGATCCTCACCATGAGCGGATCCTGCATCCTAGCAAAGAAGAAACTCCTCGAGACTGGGATTTCGGGAAGTTTCTCTCCGCTGCTGGTCACTAATTTGACGTCAAAGTATAGCAACAGCGTCCCAACAAGTTTCACCAACTAGAGAGCCGTTAACTAAGGTACGAAGAGCTTCGGGTACCGGTGCAACTCACCTCCATCATGGCAACATTCTTGCCGATACACTGCCTGGACCCATGACCGAAGGGCATCCAGTACCGTTGCATCTCCTCCGGGCTGATCCCGCCTGAGCCACGGATCCAACGGTCGGGGTTGAACATCTCAGCGTCTGGGCCAAAGATTTCCGAATTCAGGTGCACGGGCATGGGAGACATCCCCACAATCGTCTGTTGACCAAGTCAGTCTATCATCGACTACACATCATTGGAGTCGAGTAACAGACCTTGGCGGGAAAATACGTTCCGGCGATAACACGTCCACCTTCTGGTACATACCGTGGGAGGTTGATCGTGGCAGGAGGCGTCAGACGAAGACTCTCTTTTATCACTGCTTGTAAGTACGGCAATTTGCCAAAGTCCGCGTACGTCGGAGGTGTTTCGTCCGTCAGGTAATTGCGCTCGGGGAATGTCGTCCGCAACTCCTTGGTCAGGGCTTCGTAGACAGCAGGATGGCCTAGGATGTGATAGAAGGTATAGCTCAGAGCCGAGGATGTCGAGTCACTGCCTGCAACACTGCAAGGATTCAGCCTAGGTGGGACTGCAGACCGCAGACAACTTACATGCTCGAGAAGGCTTCAGTTCTCAAATCAATGGAATCCAACATCTGGCCAGTGACGGGATCCTTGGCCTCGATGAGTCTGCCCAGAAGGTCTTTTCGGTCGCTGACTTTCTCCTGTCTGCGCTCGACACGAGATTTTGTAAGCTAGAGGCCTTGTTAGCTACAAGCCGTTCCTAGGCTATTGGGAATGCGCTGACCTCCTTCAGCCTTTCACGGCCTGCCTGCAGACTCTGCAGCCACGGTATGGGAAGCCAAGTCAGTTTGGTGTACGGGATCAGCGATGGCATCATTCCGATCGTGGATCCGAACTCCATCTGGTTGTTAATGAGCCGGATATGCTCGTCCTCCACACCTGTCTCGAGCATGCCAAACCCTTCACTGAAAGCCTAGTTTTGGACGATCAGCCTTGCTCATACACAGACAGGGCGGACATACCAATTCTCCAATGACATCAAAGGCGAAGAAATGGCACCATTTTCCCAGGTTGATTTCAGTCCCTGAGGCTGCGTATTCGGACATCTTCCTCATGAAGATTTGAACGCGCTCCTGCACAAACTTCTCCATGGCCTGGAGTGCGTTCATCGAATACCCGTGAGAAACAATCCTCTTCCGCTGGGCATGCAGATGTGGGTCTCTCTGACCAAATATGGTCGGTCGGAAGGCAGTGAAAGCACTTCAGACATGCTTAGCTTAGCAGTGCGTTGAGTATCCAGAAAACTCACTCGTAGTAGGTTGTCTGCAACGATTAGACAATATACTTGCTGCGTTCGGCTCTGTACTCACCTTGAGGAAATCTCTTCCCTGAATCGTATTGTAAATCTCGCGAATTGCCGACTTGTCCGCTATGATGACCTCATTGGGGGCGATGCGGACGATCGGGCCATATCTTTCATGGAGAGCAAGAATGGTCTCATGAAAGTTGCCATTGTTGAACGACAGCAACTTCCAGAGAGGAGTCAGGGATGCCCAGAATGGTCCGTCGACCTTGGCCAATGGTGACAACCATCGCTGGTAAATGGTGAATGAGAAGATACAGACGAAAACAACCGCTACGGGAATTCCCCAAGGCCGTTGACGGACAGTGTCAACGACTTGGTAAGCCACAGATTCCGCTTTTCCATGCATCGTGAGGCTCGTCATCTCCGGTGGCCTTCGACTTTACTCATTCCAGCGGTTGTTATGCTTTTAATACGCCGAGACTTGCGACGACGGAAGTGTCGGCTCCCTGCCGCGGCTCACTCCAGACACCGGATGCTTCCACTCGAAGCCAAGATTTGAATCCGGCAATATCGCGACGGAGCAAGGGAGTACAACCCCGACGTTATTGGAGTTCTCCGCATGAACAGTTTGTCTCAAATGGATTCGAAGATCGACCAATCGGCGGACAGCAGGTCTCTTGGAAGACCCGTTCCAAAGAGCAAGTCGTCAAAATCAGTCAGGTCAGAGTTGAGTGGAAACGGAGCCTCGTCGGCTCGTTGCCATGGTGTTCTGTCTGCCGATAGCAATGCCGGATTTCCGTTATCCGAGTCAAGTTGGGACGTATGGCCTTGACCGGGTACTGGACCCGGCATTGGTGTCTCCCGGCCACTCTTTTGAGTCTGAATGCGCTCCAGCAGATTCAAGTATCGAGCGGCTAGGGTACTCGTATCGCTGGCTGCCTTCAAGAATTCCATGCCCATTTCAAGTGATTCGTCTGTCTCGATTTGACCAAGGGCTTCCAGCTTCCATCGTTCCATGGTCTGTAGTGTCAAGAGAACGCCGATCGCCGTGAAGACGTCTTGAGGTGTCAGTAGGGGATCAGCAATAGTGAAATGAGCCTTACAGTGGAGATTGTACCACAAAGAGTTCAACAGGCGCCGACGATACTGAGCGTAGATCAGCTTGATAGTCTCGCGGGCAGCGGAAATGCAACAGTTGCATGAAGCAATTGCGACATGCCTCTGAAATTCGTCCTCGATATCTTGTCGGCTGAAAATGAGAAACGATTGACGATGTAGTAGTAATCGAAGGTTCAAAAACCTGTCCGTCCATTAGCAGTCCGTCTTTATTATTGCGCGTATACAAGCCCACCGAATGTACATGACATTGCGCTGCCGTTGAAAATCTGAGCCGTCTGGGTTGTTAGGCTCATCTCTCAAATGGTGCGGAATCCCGTTCCACCAGGACAACAGTTCTCCATCTAAGGAGACGGAGTGGCCAAAGATCTCTGGGAAACGGTCGTGATTGTTCCGGACCTGACTGATCGTCGAATTCCACGGTTTCCCCGTGGATGGGTAGAGCTTTAGGAGAACACTGTCAATGATGTGTGCAAGTTTGATCGTCTGAATGAAGAAGGACGTCAAGGAGGGACAGCTTGCAGGCTGCCGAGGAATGATTGAGTCATTCATAATATATTGATCGTCAACCGGCAACGGCAGCTCGACGTCTGCTGCACTCACGGTCGGAATCGAAGGTGGTCTCCCAAACTTCATGCTCAAAGTGCGGTCAATAACGAAGCATCCCCACCACACACGCTTCCTAACTTCCCTCTCCACAGCAGTCGTGGAAGGAGACGGGTTGAGATGAAGCCCCATGCTAATAGAGCTTCTGATCATGAGTCCACTGAGACTCCAGCACTCGTTTAGTTCCAAGGTACCTTGAAGATAGTGACACATCAATAACAGTGCTTGGACGAGCTCCAGGTTACCCTCCTTGAAGATGTGAGCAAAGACGATATTCCGAGCTTTCACAAGAAACTGTGTCGCCGAGTGTGAAGGACTTCTACCCTGGATCGGGTTGTGAAACTCGTATCCATGTGCGAAGATGAGATTGAGCAACGCGAACCAGGTCGCTTTCGTCTCAGAATGATCCCCATCGTGCATCCACATTCGCTCATATTGACTTCTGAAGGTGGGTTCATGAACGAACGGGTAGAGACGATGTACGTGGTTGAAATACGAATCCACAAGACTGTCTGCTAGATCTCTTGGTGGCATTGTGTAGCTGTCATCGACGTCCCTTGGAGTGAGACCCGAGTCGAGGCTATGAGGTCGTGGGCTTTTCGAGCTTGAAAGGCGCCGGCGCTTGTTCCGTGATACAGGGGCTTGGCGAGGCACGGAACTCGATTGGACCTTTGAGACAAATGCAAAAGTTGATGACTCCCCGAAGAAGGCCGGGGAATCTTGAGGTTCAGGTAGAGTAGTTGCCGGTGAAGCCTGGTTGTCTGCGGCGTTGTTCGGGATTGAGACATCGGTGATATCGTCGTTGAAGCACGGGACATCAAAGTTTGTTGCCGGAGATCCCTCATGGTCCCGTCCTAGAATCTCTGCTGAAGCTCGCAGGAGCGCCCCGAGTCCAGCTTGTCCTTCTTCTCGTTCCGAATTAGCCGTACTGCTTCGGCGGTGTTGTGGCTGGACCTGTGCCTGGCCTTCACGGACAGCATCAACGTTTCCCTGCGACTTGAGATCTATCAGTGATTTAAGCCTGGAAGAGCGTTAGATCATGCCAGACATTCGCCCAAAGCCATCCTTACTCTTCGAGGCTCAGCTCATCAACCGAAACCGAAGGATACGCGCATCGGATCCCACGACTCTGGCACGACCCACAGCTGGGTCGATTCCCATCGCAGCGATTTTTCCTCCGTCGACAGCTCGTGCATGCTTTTCCAGACCCAATTCGCCTTTTCAGTACTTGCGCATCTGCCATATTGGGAGGCCCAGAATGATGCGCATTTCGTGGGGCGGGAGAGCAGAAATCAAGATAGCTGGCAAACGTCCTCGCCGTGCAGAAACAGAACTGCTGTCCACCAGAGTGGCCTCGACACTTCAACCTCCGGCTGTCTGAAACCTTGGTCGTGGTAGACTGTTGTAGGAGAATTGGTGGTAGCGATTACAATGCGAATGCTTGCGAGAACAGCGCTCTGAGTTTGTTGGACTCAATAGAAGAATATGAATTGTCGAGTAGCAACGAAAAATGGAGTGAAGCGGTGGTGAAAGCAAAGTGAAAGTTGCCACACGACGTGGTGGACCGGATCGCGCCATGACTTGCCTGTTAGGCGAGATGCAATGCAATTCTGGGGAATGAACGTTGGGGGAGGAATGGGGGCCGAGTCCAGGGCCTCGGGAGCCATGGGGGAGCGCCCCAAATGCCCGCCCCATTGGCGGCACCGGTGCCCGAAAGCCACGTGCCCAAAGCCCGAAGAGGTGTGAGAGGCCTTTAACTTCATTTCCTGCAACGTCTGCACCTCTACAAAGTCATGAACTCCAGTTTGGAGCATGTCAATGATATGGTAATGTACATTCACTACCCTTCAATCTCCCAGCGTTCCGTCCGTCTACGACTGTCTATACAAGTCAGAATCAAAGCGATTATCATGGAGCAATCACACGTCTCCACGACATCCACACATCCTACCCAAAGTTTACATCCGCAGGCTGCGTAGCCACCATCATCGCCGGCTTAGATGTCCTTGTGGAACTGCGGCTGGCCGAGTCGTTTCCTCCATGCTTCGCCTTTGATCATGAGAACCACGATCCCCACGGAAGTCACAGCTGTGAGCAAAGCGAGCGTGACCCAAGCCCATTGGATGGTAATTTCGTCGGCAAATGCCAAACTGTACAAGTCAGCCTGAGCCTGTCGAATTCGAAAGATGGCAAGTACTTACGCATAGAACCCGAGCGGAAAGGCAAAGGTCTGCCGCCAAAAGTTGTACAAGCTGCTGATTTCTCCCGACTGCGGCTTGTAGCAGTCGCTGCAGTACGTATAACTGACCGTCGTCACCAGTTGGAGGCCGAAACTCGCAATCGCCATTCCCATCACGGGGCCCATCCAGTGTGTCTGGTGGTACAGGCAGACACCGTAGATGATGATTCCCGTAGGGCAAAGGAGAAGGCTCCCAAGAGATGCGGGCAATCGGGCTTCCGGTTTCATCTCTCCTCCGTGTTTCTTCGCGTACCGGTACATGAACCAGTCCGAGAAGGGGCCCGACAAGAACTCCCCAAGAGCCGAGCCGATCAAAAGTGGAAGACCGAGCATGAGGCCGATGGCGCCGGTTTTGAAGTGGTAGATTCGGGTGAAGAGAATGGCGACCGTCACTGCTGGCAGGATCGAGGAGAAAGCGAACGAGACAGTGTAGTATAGACACGTGAGCGTCACGGAGGGATAGTACATCATCTCGAATGGGCGCACAAAATCCCGCAAGTGGACGCTTCGATCGCGGAGGGCGTTCCTCCGGAAGCTGAAGAGCATTTGCATGTACGTCCTCTCTTGGTGCTGGGCGAGGACCTTCTCGGAGCGGGAGAAGAGGGTTTCGGGCATGGCGAAGACCATGAGGACGAAGGTCACCGCGTTGACGATGGCCGGGAAGTAATATGCCCAACGGACTCCGGCCGTCTGAACAAGATACCCTCCGATTACGGGACCGACATGGGCGCCGTTGGTCAAGAACACGGTGAAGACGCCCATCTTCAACCCTTTCTGAATGCACTGTTAGCAGCTATCGGGTATTGATCTGGCCGGGCTGCAGGACAGTACCTCATGCAGGAAAAACATATCGTTCACAGTTGCGGCTCCCAGCGCCATCGCCGCACCCACGCCGACACCACTGAATACGCGAGCAATGATCAGAGTATGCCATGTTTTCGCGACACCGCTGCCGACCGTTGCAACGATGCCGATGAGGGTCGAGAGGAGATACACCGGTCGTCGACCGTACACATTGGCCAGCGGTGTCCAGACCAGGGGCGAGATCCCCACAGCGACGATAACCGATGTCGTCTGGTATGACGCCTGGTTGACAGGAATGTGGAAAAGCTTCGCAAGTGGCACCAATGCGGGATTGACAACCGACGAGTTGAACGGCCCAAGCATGGCGAGGAACGACACTTGAAGGAGCACAAGCCATTTCAGCCATGACGGCCAGTTCTGCAACAGTCACATTAGCACCCTGTGGCTCTCCTAAAGGAATTCCTTCTCACTCACCAAGGGGTCGTCGCGAAAACGAGTCGGCTGTGGGAAGAGTGGAAACCCATGTCGATCACGTTGAACGCCGTCGGGCTTCTCTGGGACAGCATTTTCAATCGCGTGCTCAGAGCCGTCGTTAGACGCCACAGCGCGGACTTTGTCATCGGATTCCATCTTGAAAATGATTTGACAAGGCGTTTTGCGAATCCGGGGTAATGTACTGCATCTCCCACGCGTGCATTCTGTGGGGTATTATATCTGGAGGCTGGCATCCCCAGTCCCCAACTTCCAGGGGTTCGTCGGTCTGAGCCGCGGCCTGCTCCGATGCTCTGAAGCTCCGGATCGGAAAGCGCACCAAAGACTACCCCATATCTCCCTGTGACACCCTTGTGGGCGCTTTCCGGGTTCTGAAGCGTCATGGTCGGAGTAGGCTGAAGCGGCAACATCCAGTTGACGGACGCAAGGAAAACAAAGACAGATTCGCCTCCTCTTCAGTTTGAGCAGCAGCGCGAGGGAGTCGCATTGGAAGTAGTATTGGGACATATTGAGAGTCTTCCAGTCCAAGATGGTGCTCAAGCTTTCCTTTGCATGTTGGGACTACGATCGCATGAAAGCTATTGAAGATGGCAGAGTCCGACCAGAGGGCATTGAACTCACTTTTCTAAACTACCGGGTCGAAGAAACGTAGGCCTGCTGCTACACGGAATGACTGGGTTTAGACACAGATGACTGACACGCTCTAGGACAGCTTCTTCCGCCAACTTCGGTTCCACGAATTCGACCTTTCCGAGCTGTCCCTGTCTTCCTATGTTCTCACCTTAAACCAGGACAATCCGCCCTTTATCGCGCTGCCGGTTTTCCCTTCCCGTTTCTTCCGCCACCAGTCCATGTACATCAACTCCAAAGCCGGCATTAAAAGTCCCCAGGACCTGCGAGGCAAACGAATCGGCACCCCGGAGTACCAAAGTAGGTGCCACCTCCAGTAGCTACCCTTGCCCGTCTCCAAGGCAGTAATTGACAGGCGAACCACAGTGACCGCAGCGGTCTGGCAACGGGGCATCCTAGCCGAAGACTTTGGCGTCCCCCTGTCGAGCGTCCACTTCTACACCGGTGCCATCGAACCTTCGGACAAGCCCCGGCATTCAAAAGTCTCGCACAGCTACCCAGCTGACATCAACGTGACCAAGATCCAGCCCGGGCAGAACCTCTCGCAAATGCTGGCTGATGGCGAGCTTGACGCCATTTTTAGCGCGACGAAACCCTCCTCGTTTGACACGTCCCCTGAAACGGTAACCCGATTGTTTGACGATTTCAAGGCCGTGGAAGCCGAGTACTACGCTCGCACCAAGATCTTTCCAATCATGCACGTCGTGGCGCTGAAACGCAGCGTGTATGACGCCAACCCGTGGATCGCGAAGAGTCTGACCAAGGCATTTGCCAAAAGTCTGGAGATGGCGTATGAGCCATTGAAAGAGCGAGCGGCGTTGCGGTACATTCTGCCGTGGTTGGAGGACCACGTCGAGGAGACGAGGAAGCTGATGGGTGGCGAGGATCGCTGGTGGAAGGACGGCTTCGAAGCGAATAAACACGTGTTGGAGAAGTTCCTGCAGTATTCCTTTGACCAGGGATTAGCCAAGAGAAGGTTCAAACCCGAGGAGTTATTCGCCCCGAGTACACTGGAGGACTTTGTGCTGTAACCTTATAGTTGGGTGTAGTAAGCTGTGGATCGATCAAACCTGGAACTCACTGCGGTCCGTGGCAACTACCGCCGTCCCCAACAAAGCAATAGATTTGGCAACAACGGCACCTGTAGTTGCTGCTCGGGTTACACCATATTTGTCATCCCCGGCAAGCGAGTCCCAAATCCTTGATGATGATATCTGCCGCCTTCTCGCCGATCATCAGGGCCGTGCTCATCGTATTGCCAGAGACATTCTCCGGCACAATGCTCAAGTCCGCCACCTTCAGCATGTGAACGCCATGCACGTTCAAGTCCTTGTCTACCACACCCAGCTCCTCAACTGGCGCCATCTTGCATGTGCCGATAGAGTGGAAAGCCGTGCCGATATGCTCACGGACCCATTGTCGGATGACCTCGTCGTCTTCGGGCGAGTATTGAATCTCCGACCCTGCTTCTTCGTCTGATGCTGGCTCCGCGAGGCTTTCCGCATTCGACCGTCCGGGAAGTCTTGGGTGGAGATGAGTTTCGCCCCTGTAGAAACGCATTCTTCGAGCCACTTGGCGTTGTGTCCTATACAGCCAGACTTGCGTCGTCAGATCAATATCGTCGCGGTCGGAGAGAAAGCCTGTTTCGAAGTCGAGGGGGTCCTCGAGATCGGGTCCGGTGATGTGCTGCATTTCCCACTTAGACATTCTTCCTCTGTGAGAGGTATTGGACGGAGAACCTACCACGTGGCCCCTCGAGTAGGGGTATGCAGTGTAGCAGGCCAGGGAGAAGAATTGGCCCGGTAGAAACAGAGTAGGGTCAGCGAGGATCCTGCAGGCCACGTATTAGAACAGGGCCATATACTGTATTCGATCCCTATAATTCCTTTGTCCTTCCTGTTAGCCAAAAGGTCGAGCACTCACCCTGCCACGGAGAAAATCAGCCCGAGAGGTCTGTTGGGAGCGTTTTTGAAGTCCCTATCCCAGACTTCGCGGAACCCGCTGCCCATACTGTCGACTTCTGATTCAGTCGGTCGGATTTTCGCCGAAGCGTCGACGCCATTCCAGCTGAGGAACTTATCGTTGTTCCCTAAGAGCTGGGCGACATCTCTCGTACCGTCAATGACACTTTCGGTAGTATCCTCTGCACGCATACTGGATTTGTAGGTGTATACCGTCATCTGGTGGTCCTGGTAGTTGCGGCCCACACCTGGTAGATCACAGAGCACAGGCACGGCTGCGCGGTCCAAAACTTCACGGCTCCCAATCCCGGACCTTTCGAGCATGGATGGCGTACTGTGTGTCCCCGCCGAGATGACCACAAGCTTTCTGGCTTTGACCGTACGTCTCAGATCTCCGGTTGCTTCAGTCCGGATATTAGGGTTCGGCCTGTACTCGACCGCCGTCGCTCGCTTGTCTTGGTCGAAAAGGACACGCACGACCTGCGACTCGACAAGCACATTGAGGTTTGGATGATGACCGTCTCGAAGTCGTGGGTGCAGGTATGCCGTGGCGGCGTTTTGCCTCCGACCATCGTCCGGCGACACGTAGCGATATGTGCGCGAAACCCCGTTGGCAGATACGAGGTCCTGTAAGTCCCGGACCTCGGGGAAGCCTGTCTTATTCATGGCGGCAACGAAGTCGTCCGCCATGGCGTCCGAGGTGTAGGTTCCACTGGAGACCTTGATCGGCCCGCTGGCGCCATGACATGCTTCATCCCCCCGGCCGTGATACGTCTCGAACTGTTGCGGTTCACGATCAGTCAGGCTGCCGGTGAATTTTAACCTCAAAGAATTGCGCGATGTATTGCATACCTTTGTCAGGGACGGGAGGAGCTCGTCGGCTGACCAGCCCTGCGTGTTCCAAGAATCCAAATCGTCACGCTGGGGGCGGTTATACATAGCTGCGTTGACAGAGGATCCGCCTCCTAGGACACTGGCTGCAAACACGATAGCTGTTCTGCCGGACAAATGCTCTTCCTTGCGTGGCAGATATGGCTGGATCGTCTTGCTGCCAGGCATGAAATTGCCTCGATATAGCGCTGGATGCGCAACCGCGGGCAAGTCCAGGTTGTTCGGACCCCCTTCGATCACTAGGATGGCGCATTGCGGATCCGTGTCTGCCAGCCTCGATGCAATGACACAGCCCGCCGTTCCTCCTGTATGAGTTACATTTACAGGGATCAACGAGGCCACCGACCGGATACCTGGCTCGACTTACCTCCAACGACGATGATATCCACTTCCGCAAGCTCGTCGGGAAGCGTCGTGAAGAGACCCATTGTGGTCATGGATGTATTGAGCTTTGCGTTACCGTTCGAATCCCTTGTTGGTAAGCGAAGAAGGGTTGGGACCAGGGGCTACATCAGCCTTCAGTCGGCCGCGCTGCATCTTATACCTTTCCATGTACCAGATGATACAGGGGGCCTGGATACTTCTGGAGTGAAACCTCATGGCCAAGATAAGGCATCAATGCCATGGATTGCTATCGCTGGTGATTTATAAGCCGCGCACGCGGTCTCGTCTGTATACGATCAGGCCGTTCAACCTGTCAAGTATTTGTACCAAGAGATCACGTCGAAGCGTCAGCATGCTGCCAGTCTCGTAGCATAGCAAACGGCCACTCATCATCAATCGCACTTCGACTGGGCTTCCGAACAAGCTGGGTCTGGCTGAGGCCGCGCGAGGAGGCCAACTGTCCAGTCCGTTCCGTGGATGGAACACCGTTAAGTCAAGCCGGGACTGTCGTGACTGTTGATATCTTGACCCGGATGGAGAGGAAGAAGGGGGTTTTGTAAGCGGCCGGGCGCCCAGCCCGCCATAGTGCCGGAAGCAGTAGGCCGCCTAAGCGAGGCCTGATTTCTCGGCAATGATTTGATTGAGTACTCCGTACTCCAGACTCCGTGCGGAATGCAAGTGTTGTACTTAGTATTGCGGAGGCCAGCGGGACAATGTGCCAAGTGAGGTCTACCGGGTGTCACATATACACGATAAAGCCTTCATTTTCACCACAGCCGCGACATATTGGCTTATCGTAATGAGATCAAATGGCCGGTTGCTCAGCTCTGGAAACGGATTAGACTTTATGAGGATCAATATCGACGCCGAGTTCTACCACCATTCCTCATCCTCCCCCTATATCTTCACAAAGTCATCGTCAAAGTACCACACCGGATCCCCTTCGGGATCCACTTCAGTCCTGTTGCGCCGTTAGAGTCAAGATCAAATTCTGGTCGTGCGAAGGACTTACTGTGTAAACCCGTTCCCCATGAAACTAAACCGATTGCCATCGCCCAGATAAGAGATGTTGTAATCCTCCCACCTGACGTTGCGCATGACCTCCAAGAAATGCAGTCTACTCCCTGGATAGATAGCCGTTACAGGGCCATGGGTCTTACCGTTCTTAAACCAACTCCTACATGCACTGGACCATACCAACCGCTTCATGAGCTCGTGCGTATGGTTGTAAAGATCCTTGATGGCCTCCCGCTTCGGCTCGACGGCTTTGATCCGCTCCGTTTGGATCTTTTCGATGACCTGGAAGACATACCGCGTGTACCATTCTAGGATGGGCAGAATAGAGGAGTGCGAGGCAGGGCCGTTGGGGCCGATGAGCAGGAAGAGGTTAGGGAAGTTTTCGGCCGCGATCTATTTGATGCTGTTAGAACCTGTATAGAATGGCCAGGAGTGTACGGGGTGGGTCCAGCGGGTAAGAGAAGACCAGCAGAAGTATTGACTCTCTATGCTAAGCCGCCTGATAAAGATATCGAAAGGAAGACCACTTACTCCCAGGTATCCCACCGGGAAGTCGCCGAATTGTTCATGAATCTCGGCATTGTTGCGCCCGTAGACTTTGAAATGTGGAGTGAATGACGTGTCGAATCCCGTTGCACAGACGACAACGTCGACCTCATGTTCATTACCGTCGGCGTCGACAATGCCTGTTTCGGTCAATTTGATGGCTGACTTGGGTATCACTTGCACATTGTCCGCTTTGAGCGACTGCAAATAGCCTGAGCCCGGCGTCATTCTGCGGCAGCCAAGGGCAAACGGTGGGATCAGTTGCTTTGTGAGCGTTTCGTCATGGCCGAGTTGTTCAGCCATTATGTCAGCGACAAGGTCGCGAGAGAGCTTTTGGTCTTTGGCTTTGAGGTGCATCTGAGAGACACAGGTTAAGCTGGGCATCTCGTGTGTGGAGGCTGCTTATGTGCAATTACCAGTGTGAATCGCTTGTTCAGTTCGCCCTCGATGTCGCGGCAATACTGGGCATGCTTCTCGGGATGATCTCTCCATTCTTGCTTCTGCTCCTCGGAGTCTGAAGCCGTCAGCGGCTGACGAGATCGGGTACGGGGATATCGCCCTTACATGAGAAGTTGGTCCCTCCTGGACCTGCATATTTGGCGCCGAACCCTGTTGTTATCCAGACAGGAGATCTCAAGAAGGCGTACAGCTTGCCGACAGCTGGAGATCGTGTCAGAAATCGTAGAAACATGGAGCTCATACCTGCCACGTGAGGTGTTACCTACTAGGTTGTATCGATGGAACAATCTGGACTGCTGACGATCCGCCGCCAATAACGGCAACCCTCTTCCCTTTCAGGTCAAAGTCATTGTCCCATTTGGCGGAATGCATCAGTTTCCCCTTGAAGACATCTAAACCTTCGATGTTGGGCCATTTCCATTCACTATCAAAGTTTCAGTCAGCGCCTGCATTTCGTCGAAACAGGATCGCTGTCACTCACTTTAGAACACCAGAGCCATTGACAAGAATGGTGCACGTATCCTCGTAGGTTGAGCCGTCTGGGGCAATGATGCGCAACCTCCACAAGCCTGCCTCCTCATCCCATGTTGCAGATTCGACTGTTGTTTTGAACTTCACGTACTTCTCCAGGTCATACTTCGTGGCCACATCCTTCATATACTGCCAGATCTCCTCTGAGCCAGAGTAGAATCTTGACCAGTTCGGATTCTTTGCCCATGTGAATTGATAAGAATGAGATGGGATGTCGCATGTGCATCCGGGGTACCTGTTCTCGAGCCAGGTGCCACCGACGTCGGCGTTCTTCTCATAGATCTGGAGCTCAACGTCTTTCAACGCACGTTCTGCCTTGTATGCGAATTGTAAACCTGTGGCTCCAGCGCCGACACAGATCACTCGGATCTTGCGGCGTTGATACAACAATTGCTCCGTGACGCGGTAACCATCGAAGTCTCTGCCATTGTACCAGCTGTTCTCGTGAGGAGCATCTGTCGGGACAGTAACATCCTCAGATGGAGCTGCGGAAATGGTTACAATCCTGTTGTCCCCCATCTGACTCGAGAGCTAACAGTCCGATGTTAAGAGATGAAGGCTGGTGAAAAATAATGAGAGGTTGCCGGGGGGCAAATGCATTTAAGATAATACCCACGGCCTATTCCGGTGGACCGTGGTAATATAAGGCTGGCAACGCCGCTTCCAATACCCGTAAGAACAGTTATGGGCCCGACCATTTTGCACAAGGGTCTCGGATATGCTAACCCTTGGTAGGCAATCGTTGGTAAATACTTCAAATCATCCTCGGGCGAACCCCGCATCGCGATGTTGTCCGTATATCTCCAAGAATCGTTAATACCCAACATGGTTAGACTCGTTTGAAAATCCCGAGGCTGACAAGGCTGTGAGGGAAAAGACTCCGTAATTGATGTTCACGAGCCGAACCAGCGTGATCCTACCGTAACGTGCTCGAGTCAGGCCGGATCGCGCGGTAGAGAGACCTCAGTCCAGAAGCGACAGGGCCAGGCCCAATGCGGTGATTCTTGACCCCATGAACTGGGCGTGCCACGTACAACGAATGGTCACCAGTCTTGCTAAAACTGTAGAATATGTGGATGATATAGCGCGCTGCTTGGATGGAGGTCCACGAATCTCCCTGAAGGCACTGAACCTGAAATAAATGAAGGTGCAAACGCAGCTTGCAGAGCTCGCGACCATCGTCAAGGTCATAGTGAAATAGAGATCGTGTGATTGGCTCGGGATTAGCGCCTTGGCGCAACATCGGATCAATGCATGAGGTGCGATTCATCATGCATTGTCTTCATCCCACCACAGGCTACTCGACATAAACGCTTTAACGACTCTCGAATCTGCTGTGAAGATGGCAGCAGCTTCGAGAACGACCATGCTTCGACAAGCACAGCTGCTCTCGGCCTCGAAGCGACTGTTCTCGAGCACCACCCAGCCTCTGCGACCCTTCCGAACAGCTCCTCTAATCCCATGTTCGAGACAGGTACTGTCACCACGCCTGTCGATTGCTTCTCAAGTCGCACCGTTCTCGACGACCCCGCAAAGAAAGATCCTGCCGGCAGGTCCGCAAGTGATAAAAGGAGGAGTCAACGACCCTGCACCCATCCCGAAGCCGGATCCCCTCCATGGAAGCTATCACTGGACCTTTGAGCGCATACTGTCGGTGGCATTGGTGCCGTTGACAATTGCGCCTTTTGCTGCTGGATCAGTGAGCCCCATGTTGGATGCCGCCTTGATCTTTGGTATCATCGTGCATTCCCACGCTGGATTCCAGTACGTTCCCCAGCTCCACATGCTGATCGAGGTCTTTCGGAGATGCGCTGCTAACTTCCAATCTCAATCAGGTCAATCGTTATCGATTATATCCCTGTACATAAACACCCAACCATGCGGAGATTCTTCATGTGGACGTTGAACCTAGCGACTCTTGTCGTGGCCATCGGCTTCTACGAGTTCGAGACCAACGATGTTGGAGTTGTCGAGGCCGTCAAGAGGATATGGCACGCAGGATCGGAGAATGATGCTACCATTGGCAAGGCTGATGCCTCAGGCTTGGGTCATGACGGAAAGCTCGGTCTTAAGTGAGCAGAAAGGGTCGGCCGGAGACAATGCCGAGCTATCCATGTACATGGTGCACCGAAACATGCAGGTTTCCACAATCGATATTGTTTGCTATATGGCCGCCCTGCTTTTGACCTGGTTCTTGTCTACGCTGACCATGATTCTCAGCTAATTCCACGAACGCCGGTTGATGCTATTCCATTTGTCATTACTCATTCATCATCTTCTTCCAGCAGATCCTCGCCCTCGCCCTCCAGAATATCTTTATCCTCGGCCTTCTGCATTACCTTCTCGATCATCTTCAACGTCGTTCTCAAGGGCAGTCCCACCACATTGTCGAAACTGCCCTCTATTCTTTCGACCAATATCGCGCCCGTGCCCTGGATGCCATATCCGCCAGCTTTATCCGCCCCCTCCCTCGTCCTCACATACGCAAGCAACAATTCATCCGTGATCTCCGAATCGAACTTGACTGTCGTTTCCTCGGTGGCCGTCTCGATCGCATACCCCGGATCCCTTGCACTCTGCAAGGGCGAGATCAAACAAACGGCCGTGTAGACCTTGTGCACCCCCGAATCCCGCAGTCCCTTCAACATACTAATGTGATGCGCCTCACTCCTGGGCTTCTCTAGTATCTCGCCCAAGCTGCTCACAACGATGGTATCCGCGGCAATGATCAGCGCCGGCTCTCCTTTCTCCTCATTGTCAATCTCTTGCTTGTAGACAGCCAACGCTTTCTGGGCCGCCGTCGCTAGGACGTATTCAAAGGGCGAGAGTGTCTTGGGGAGGTTCTCTTCGAATTTTGACGGGACGATTTCGACATTGGTAAGCCCGATCTGCGCAAGGAGTTGTTTCCGCCGAGGGGATTGCGACGCGAGGATGACGCGTTTGTTCCGCAGGAGGGTGAGGGCGGGGAGTTCGAGTGGTGGAGGGGGACGCAGGGGGCGGCGGCCGGGTGCCGGCGCGCCGCTGGAGGAAGTCTCAATACCAGTGGGCGGAGGGTTCGAGAGGGCTTCGTACGATGGTGGATTGTCTGAGGGGTTGCCGTTCTTTTGATCCGACATATTGACTTCTCTCTATCCAGTAGATACCTATTTGCCTGGGGGCGTCAAGAAGCGTTCATCGCAAGAGCGGACACTCTCAATGCAGCCTGCAGCGTGCAACCTGTATGACTCGCAACGTTGGCGGTGGCAGAAAATGTTTCGAAGATTTCGCTCCCCCGCATTCGTCATGGCATCTTTTTCTTCTGTCTTTGCGCCTGCACAAACGCCCTTTGAAGCTTGAGTCATAACAACAGTGTTGATAAACGTGGTTGGCAGCCTCGTTTGAACTTGATTCGCTTTCTCGTATTCACTTTGTGCTTGCTCTTGGCCCCTCCAGAGTTTCTGATTGTCTCGTGCCTCCGAGTCGAGCCCATCTTTGCTGCGCTCCTCTCGTCCCATTCCTCTCCATTGACTCACCATGGCAACAACGCTTCACCTCCGCTCCGAGTCCAAGCCACTGGAGCACAGATCTGCCCGTATGAATACTCCTGCTGACTTACGCAGCCAAGACTGACAAGCCCTAGTCACGCCGACTACCACCAAAGCTTTGTTAGACGCAGGCTACAAAGTCAATGTCGAACGCTCTCCCGAGCGCATTTTCGAAGACTCCGAGTTCGAAGCCGTCGGAGCTACGTTAGTCCCCGAGGGCTCATGGGTAGATGCCCCTACAGACCATATCATTGTCGGCCTCAAGGAATTACCCGAGGACAAGTTCGCGCTCAAGCACACGCACGTGCAGTTTGCACATTGCTACAAGCAACAAGGTGGCTGGCAGGACGTGTTGTCCCGTTTCCCCCAAGGTGGCGGCACGCTGCTAGACCTGGAGTTCCTTACCGACGATACCGGGAGACGAGTCGCGGCCTTTGGATATCACGCCGGATATGCGGGCGCGGCACTGGCGGTGGAAGCCTGGGCGCATCAATTGACGCAACCGGGGACCAAGATGCCCAAGGTGTCGAGCTACGCGAATCAAGACCTGCTGCTTAAGGACGTGCGCTCCGCCTTAAAATCTGGCAGCGAGAAAGCAGGACGTCAACCGCGCGTGCTCGTCATCGGCGCGCTCGGCCGCTGCGGACGCGGCGCGGTCGACCTCTGCCGTCAAGCTGGCATCCCCGAGGAAAACATCCTGAAGTGGGATCTCCCCGAGACCAAGAAAGGCGGGCCTTTCGAGGAAATTGTGGAGAGCGACATCTTCGTCAACTGCATCTACTTGTCTGACCCGATCCCGCCGTTCATCAACGAGGAGTCGCTCTCCAGTCCGAAGCGAAATCTCTCGGTCGTCTGTGACGTGAGCTGCGACACGACAAATCCTCACAACCCCATCCCAATTTATACCGAGAATTCGACGTTTGACGACCCTACGCTGCCAGTGTCTGGTTATGAGAATCCGCCACTGAGTGTCATCAGCATCGATCACCTACCGAGCCTGTTACCCAGAGAGGCGAGCGAGGCATTCAGTCAGGCCTTGCTGCCAAGTTTGCTGCAGTTGAAGGAACGCAAGAACAGTAGAGTGTGGCAGCAGGCTGAGGCGCTGTTCTCTGAGAAGGTTGCGACTCTCCCTGAGGGCTTGCGTGCGGCATGGAATAGGGTTACGGGACAGGCGTAGGAGGGGGACAAATAGTCGAACAGCGTGATACGTTGCGACTGGAACGGTCGCTGGATGCCGTGGGAGGTGGAAAAGGAACAAGGGAGGACTGGTGTTAGAGTGGTATTACCCATGATGAAAAGTTCATTTCTCGAAACGCAGAACAAGGAGAAGATTGGAAGGTTATGGCTGATTTTTCATGGTGCTCGTTGTGACGACTCACTACACCATGTCATTGAGTCTTGGTTTGTGCAGTGTTTGTACATCCATCCATTAGATCTCCTGCGGTCCGAAAATTCTCGGCTCTATCGCTTTTCGTACTTTCGTTAGTCTTTTACGCCGTGGTGAATCCATACCGTCGTGTCTCGTTCAGCACAACTTCCTCATTGCTGCATCCTCACATCATCATCCTGCGCGACATCTTCAATCTTGCGCTTGGAGCTGGTAGGTGTTCCAGGTGTTGCGCTTCCATCGTCCAAGTATTCCGAAACTTCCCATTCGACCCTTGTCGACCCATCATTGGTAATTCCGATTCCTCGTCTGGTGTTCTGAACCCGGCCAAGTCGGCTTCCGTCGAGCATCTCCTCGAACCACGTCAGACCTCCGGTCCTGCCACTCCGCTGCGTCCGTGTGACTGGTCGGGTCTGTTGCTTCGTTGATCCATCCACTGTGGTGCTGTCATCCTGTCCCAAACCTCCGGACATGGTGAGCTGTTCATTGTCGTCCGTGCCCTCTGAGCTTGCAGCGTCGGGTAACAAGTCCAGCTCCTGCAGGGCCTGGAGATCCTCGTTCACAAGACTGCCCAACGTTATGTTCATGTACTCTGCTTCTTCAGGTGGATGCTCGGTCCAGAACGAGAGATGGGTTCCACAATAGCCACAGAAGACTCGCTGAGAAGATGGGGCGTGTAATGGAGTGAATATCCTCCGAATTGAGGCGTGTGATTCATCCGGGAAGAACGATGTTGTGGCTGAAGAGTACCATGTCAACGGCACCCGGAGCCATGCTGTCAGAGGAGTTGCCTGGCTTCGTCCTGGCGAGCATAACAGGTTAGGCTTGTGCGCTGAAGGTAGAGATAACGGAAGGCTTACTGCTTTCGCTGCTGTTGTCGAAGTAGACTACAGCCTGTTCAGTGGCATCCCGGGGGACAGTGATGATATAGTGATTGCGACCACAGTTACAACTGCCTTGGAGAGGTCTTGCTCTGCTCATTTCGGTATGGAAGGAACTTCAAGAGGCTGCGAGTGGTGTGTTGAAGAGGAGGGCTGAATTATGGAGGGAACGTGACAAAACCGCTTGTCCTCCAACAGTGCAATGAACATCAGACGATGCGCAAGTGAAACTGAACCGTGGGGATAAAAGTGGCTGCAGCTGTCTAAATCCGCCTCAAGCTCAGCTTAAACTCAAACGGGCAAGAACAACCTTATACGGACCATCCCAACGTCCCTTTGCAAAGTATTTCTGTCTTCATTCTCTAGAGGCACTACCATCGGCATAGTGACAGTCTCATCAGCGACATCTGCGTCTACATCATGTTGACGAAGATGAAGGTGGTCGTTGGCAACTAGCCAATTTCCTCTTAGCCGAGGTCATCACTGGAAGCCTCGTCCATTCGACCTCACGGAGCTCATACCTATCCAAAACATATCCCGAAACTCACAATGTCGAATCAAAATGCTTCAGAGTCCGAGGGGTCCTCGTCAGCGTCGTCGCCAACATCAGAGACCAAGCCACAAATGGTTTCCAAATCCAGCTCATCAAAGAAAGCCAATAGAGTTTCCAAACCGCGCTTGACAGCATCACAAAAGAATTTCAACCACAAAGACGCCGAAAACAAAAGGCGCACCGCCATCAGAGAACGCTTCACTGAACTCTCAAACCTCGTACCGGGAGCCCTTGGCCACGAGAGGAGTGAGCAGGTGATGCTGGGAAAGTCCACTGACTATTTAAGGGAGATGCTACTGGAGCAAAGGCGGCTAGAGGAGATGGCCCAGAAGCAGGGCATCACTATTGACTCTGGAGAGCCAATTAGGGAGGATGACTTTGGGGGTCCGAAATGGAAAGCCAATAACATGAAGCAGTACGAGGCCAGCAAGCAGAAGAAAGATGGCGATGAGTCCCATCAAGCCAACGACCAAGGAGATGAGGAGAACGACTGAGAGCACTTTCCGCCCTACTCAGTCACATCCTTACCAACAGCCGCAAATCATTCGGGGGATCTGTCCATTGCAACGTACCTCGGTCGACCAAAGCAAAAGATCTGTGGTGGACGCGAGTCAACCAGACCATAGCCTGAATTTATCTCTTGATTAACAGATGCGGCAGTAAGAAAATGGTTGAGAGATTTGAAAGAAGGCATATAGCACGAACTGAAAGAAACGCCGCAAACAGTGATTTCAAAGCAAAACACAGGTCCAGCTGTGCGCTGTAACGGGGAATATTCCAAGAAATCCTGCGTTGGTGGCAGTACCATGCCTGGTGATCTTCTTCAGCTGTATTTGAAGCTCTTCTGCGCGCTTGTCGCCGCGCTGGGCTACAAACATTTGTTGAAATGGCAAGGACACTAGCAGGAGAAGACGATTGCTTGAGCACAGGGAGCTATTGCTCTGATACAGGAACATGTCGCCCATCTGCGACGATGATTGCTTTACTGAACATCAAAGTTGATCTTGGGACTCATGGCCAGGACACTTCACCGCATAGTCCGTCACACTTCACTGCCGCACCAACACAGGCCATTCCTGCACTTCACTTTAGTCCTACAATTTTGCGCGGACAAAACTCTTCTTCGCCGCGCCCTGTTCCACGTCTTGCTAAACCAACACCATGGCCCTGGGCGTGCGGTCCGGACCTCTGGTCAGCGACACCAGCAAGATGCCCGCGAGGCAACCAGGTCCCCGATATCCAGGGAACTCATCGCCGGCACACCCTCCTGTTTCACTGTTCCCATCCTATCCTTCTGATGCGCACCTTGAACCAACAAAGCGGCGTTCCCGAGCAGTCAATTTGTCCAATGAAGCACCGCTGATACCTACGACTTCAGCCGCTGGACACAGAAAGAAGTCCTGGGTAAACAGCGCTTCAAAGACCTTTGGGTTCAGACGGCTGCGCCGGAAGACCAGCTTCACGAGAGAAGACGCAACGGGTCGTGAGTCAGCTGGCCCAGTGCGCACGCGGTCAACTCGAAAACTCCACGTAAGGAAGTGAATGTCCTGTTCCGGATCCTTCTGACGCGGTTCACAGGTTCAACCGCACAACTTGGCCGGTAGCTCTCGCTCACCTGTTCCTGCGCCTTTGACTCACCAACTGCAAGCCAACCCTGCCGTCCCTACTGGCGCGAACCATCTCCATCATCCTGTCCCTTCTGACTTGGCTGAAAAGCCGCTCCCGAGTCTGCCTGTGGCGACTGTGAAATATCAGTCTCCTGTACGCAGATCCCTCATTGACTGCACTGAGAAACCGCTCCGACGACGATCAATGACACCCATCGAGGCAGAAACTCCTGAGGAGGAAGATTGGCCACCAATTCTTCCCACAAAATCTGACACCAATCTTCCCGCCTCCGAGACCCAGTCACAAATTAAGCCAAGCCTAGGAGAAAGCCTGTACGAAAGCATGCGAGCATTGAACTTGCAGGACAACAAAGAGAGCACCTCCGAAACCCAGCCAAAGCCTCGACCCGACAACATCGCGGACACTCAAGACACATGTCCTCATATGGCGTCGCGGGCGAAAGAGAAGGAGAACGAGGCAGAAGAACTTCTGTCAGACGGCAGGAGCCGCCCTCTTTCCTCTAGTCAGCTCCCAAGACCACGAGACTCGATGCTTCATTCTCTCTCTCGTCATATTGACAGTCCTGTTGCCGTCCGTCAAACCAAGACATCGACCTTGCGTCTGCAACAAGCCACCGGGAAATCGACTTGGGATCCTAATGAGAAGAACAAACATGCCAACAGTCATATTCCCACAATCCGAGAGCAAGCTGAGTCCCCTTCCCCGGCATGGGCCAAGCAAACTGTCCAAGACGGACCATTTCGCGTCAACTCGCGTGGTCGTTGCGCTGTCACCGGCCGTGGGTCTCCTTACACCATCCCCTCGCGAGCGCATCTAGCACGCAAGCCGGTCCACAACGACGCCAACACTTATCGAAGATCACTCCACACTCCCACAAATGGTCAAGAGGAAGTTGCCACTCAATCCTCTGCTTCACCAACACGGAAGTCTCGTAAGAATTCTCTTATTTTGCCAGCTCGGCTCCGGCGCCCATCAACCAACGTAGGAGATGAGCCGGGTGTGTCAGCCGAGCCATCGACCGCCGAGCCCTTTTTGAGTCTTGCTATGAAAGAGCAAAAGAATAGCAACCTGGCACGCAATCAAGGCAGCACATTTGCTGGCAATAACGGATCAGATGTCAATCCCCCCATGCATGAGACGGACGCCGCTGGTCAACCTCAGCTTCTGACCGTCAAGGAAGTGCTGTCAACACCGGCGCCTGATGACACCGAATCCTTTGTTGACAGCGAGGAGGAAAATTCCGGAATCAGTGTTAAGGGCTATGACTCTTTCGGTGGATATCGAATTCGACGCATCGGCAACACCGGTTCGAAGATTGGCCCAACTCTCTGTATCACCGATTCTGCAAGCCGTGTCCTCCTAGGACCAGAAGATCGAAAGGAAGTCTTCAAGGCCGGCAGTCCCGTCAAGTTGAGACACAAGCGTAGCGCTCCGGACGTCGCCTCTCCACGCATGGCGAGAGATCAACTCCGCCGATCCAGTGCCATCTACAGCAGTCTGCCTAGCCCTATGGCAATCACGAGAAATCTCAATGATCGATCTCCATTCCAGGACGTCGTGGCCAGAGAAGATGAAGCATGGCAGCGCGTCGATGCCAACAGCTCTGTCGATACAGTTGTTGTCCGAGCAGAACTTCCTGGCAGCGAAGTCACCTCCGGGACACATTCGATGGTAGACAGCGCATACAATCTCAATTCTGAGGCAGCAGCTTCTTGCCCAAAATCTGACATCAAAGGCACTCCAACCTCGGATCACGGTGACTGGCCTGGGAAAGACTTTGCAGATTTCAATCTCGGCAATGATGCCACGCCCACTGCATCCAAGCACAACGCTCCAACTGCCGAGCCAGGATTCAGACGTCCCGCTCATTCCAAGTCTCCATCTCGACCGCCAACCGTCGTGTTGCGCGAAGCACCGAGCAAGGAGACTGCACCCTTCCTTTTTCAAGACCTCGAGCACGAACAGGCCAAGCAGGAAAAACTTGCCAATGATCTTGCAAAGGCAGCTGGATCTGGCTCAGAGACATCCGTCAACATGCAGTCCACGGACCTGGCCGCCACCACGGACTCTACCCCGAGCATGAGCAGTGCGACGATGCCGTTTCCACCACGCACCTCTTCACGCAAGCCAAAGCCGCCACCAATCATCGTCTCGCCACCATCAATCAGCTTCTTTCCCAACCCCGCGCCAAAGGCTTATGCTGTCCAGCCTGAAAGTCTGAAGAAACCTCGCAATGTGAAGCCATTTTCACAGAGCATCTCCCCACATACTGACTCCTTCAAGGGTAGGAAGATCTCAAATGTCTTGGCGCATAGTCCGTCGACCTCGGGGAAGAAGAACGTGGTCTCGAGTTTGAGAGGATTGTTTCACAAGAAGAGCTTCGAGTCTACTAAGGCCACTGTTGCCAGCGGCCCTAGTGCAGGCGACCAGACTGTTCCATTACCCGTCATTCCAGCTCTTGTTCACGAGGGTGATGGTCCTCGCCGTGCGTCCTTCCGTCGCAAACCGGTTCCTGCTTTCGCACCGAGAGGCGAGACGAACAGCAGAAAGTTCAGCAATCCGCTTCATACGAATCCATATGCCATGGCCACCGGAGTAAGACTATTGAAGCAGAAGAACCCACTCGCCAGTCCCACGACGCCATGGACCGCGAACCTCAAGACGCCGCTGCCACCGAATGCCACCGCCATGGCGGCCGGACCCGGATCGACCGCGAAATCTACGCCGACTCCTGCGTCAATGTCTGCCTCTCCAACAAATTTTCCTCGTGTGCAACCTTCCTCAGCTGCTCGCTCGTCCCCGTCTCTCTCCCTCTCGCCCGCGACTCCGGCTGGCCCACCTTCCCTTTCCGCGGCGACGACGCTGACGCATAACCTACTCGATCTCGTCCGCTCAACTAACAACCCTGCGCACAAATCCCACCTCATCGAACTCTCCAAGTGCATGGTCGAAGTGGTCAACTCGGCGCGTGACGCGGAGAAAGCCATGGAAAAGGCACGCATGGAAGCCAGTCGCGCCGAGGTGGCGTACTTGAAATGTGCCAAGCAGGTCGTGAACGTTCAGGGGTTGGTTAGAGAGATTACGGATGGCGGGATGGATGTTGAGACCCGTGTTGAAATCGATGATCAGGGTATGACGGTGAAGGAGGTCTAAGTGAACTTGACGCAGCGGTCATGGGAGAGTGAGAATGCGAATGCCTGATTCGCGTGTTCGGACACGGTTTTCAGGACAAATATGCTGGACTTGAAATATGCTTGACGAGCGAGGATGACCCGGACGAATGGACAGGTAGCTGACTTGATGTGTGCTGTGGGATGTGCAGAGCTGGTGTCGGTACGTTGACTCTGTTTGGGTCAAGTCAGATCAAGTCAAGTCATGGAATTGCGTGCTTTTTTACTTTTCACAAGTCTTTACTCAGCTACGATGAGTAGGGAAGAGGGAAGAGGGCAGGGAAGGAAGGTAGGACAGAAGGAAGTGGCATCCCTGCTCTGAGTCCTTGACTGCTAGTATCTTGGTCTACGAGAAATTGAACAATGGATAGAGCGGAGAATTCCACAGCATAGCATAGCATAGCATAGAATAGCATAGGAAAAGAAAATGAAAAAAAGGCCCTGCGAATGTCATGTTTGTCTGTTCTCTCCCCGGAAAGCCACGGACAGCAAGGCTAGACTATCCCACACGAGAAAGACAGGGTGCACGAGATGCCACCCACGGGAATGAATAGATAATCCCACAAGGAGAATTGGAAACACGAGACGTTCCTGTATCCACAGCACAAAAGAACATACAGTGTTATGTCCAAGCTATGACCACATGACGACGACATCGTATGTGTTGGTTGAGCTGAGTTGAGCTAAGCTGAGCTTCATTCATACGGTACTGGCAACAAACACGACTCGGTTCGACTGACAATAGCACGCACGCACATGCAGATCTGCACTCACTTAACCACTCACTCACTCGCTCGTACTCCCCTTCCTCCGGCCCTCCTTCCCTCCTTCCCTACAACAGTAATATCTTTGTGCATTCCCCACGTTAGAGCACCTTCGACCTCACGCGCTCTCCTGAAGCAGTCGAAGTGGACTCCGGCTTCGGCTGCGGCTCTGACCCGGCAGGAGCAGCAGGAGCAGGAGCAGGTTGATCATTCTCGACGAGCTTCCCCTCCGCTCTCATCCTCTCACGGACGATCATTTGAATGCGCGCAAACTCTTCGCTGTCCTTGTCCACGGTGCTGCGGAAGACGTATTCCTTTCGGGTTGCCGAATGGGCGGTGCCGCTTGCGGTCAGGATCCCTGAGGCGCGGAGGCTTTCGAGGAGGACGTCGCTTGCGGTCGAGTGCGGAGTCTGGGTTGTTGAGTATTCGGCGACGTCTGGCGTGGCCTCGTCGGTATCCGCGTCCATGTCAATGTCCATTGGTGTTGTCGTTGCTGTGGACTCGTCGATGTCTATTGGCGTGGTCATTCCCGAAGTATCCTCCGTCACTACCGACGTGAGCGGATCGTACGTCTCGAAGACGGTGTCCAAGATAGACATCTCGACAGTAGTTGTCCTTGTTATGGGAGTTCCACTGACGGTCGACGTGATGGTATCCCGTATCGTAGTCAATGGTGGGAAGCGTGTCCATTCCCAAGGGTAAATTCGCGTGGCCCGGAGCGTGGTAGAGGTTCTCGTGGATGAGGTCAGAAGGCCTGACAAATACGAGGTTGCACCGACTCCCATGGCGGAGAGGGCAGACAGGGCGTTGTTGGCGCCGGTCTGCACATCGGTCAACACTTCTTGTGAGCGAGGAGTCTCGAGCATTCTGGAGAGTTGGCGGGTCCCGTAGATGCCGACACTGCAGGCGATGCCGCAGTACATGGCCCATTGCAGGAGAAGGGGGTCGCTGATGGTCTTCCATGCGTTCTCACGGAGACGGAACATCAACTTCTCTTTGCGCGCTTCTTGCACCGCCTCCCAGAGGGTTTGGCCTCCCTGATCCTGCGAGGACTCGTCCGCGACCCACTCGCAGTATAGGTTGGACGGAGCCACTCGAGGGTATATGGTCACGAAGGGATGGCTGATGACTTCGGTGCTCAGTGTCGGCGTTGTTTCACGTGAGAAGCGCTGGTCGACATGGTTCTCCAGATTCGCTCGGTAAAGCGCGGTATTCCACTCTGTCCCAGGGACGGGGTCGAGATGCGCAACGGCATTTCGTCCCGCGTCGGTTTCCTGCAACTCATATGGCAGCTTGGGAAACAGCTTCCTCTCGGCCTCTTCTCTGGTGAGGATGTACCCTGCTGCTTGGGCGGCGTTTTGCTCCTTCTCCATCTGTTCCAAGTCGAGACCTCGTGGCATGACGGCTTCGACTCGTCCGAAACACGTCATCTTGACTCGCAGTCTGGCGTCCGGTCCCTGCGGTCGGGAGGCACTGCTGTTCAGCTCCTCCGCGTTGACGCAGATGTTCCTATCGGCATCGTCGACAGTGAACATGGTTCCCTTGGCCACGTGAGGGGCGATGCGGACGACAAGGCCAGTTGATCCTGCGAAACGGATACAGTGGTGTAGGCTGACGGCCTTACGAACCAGGTCGACGAGATCGAACCAAATATCATTCCGTAGGAGAGCACCTTGGTTCCGCTGGCTGGCTGACCGTCTCCACTGGCGGACAAGGGGATCAAAGCACGGAGGTGGAAGAAGGGGCTCCAGTACTTGCATCATCGTGGTCGCCAACCTTCGGGCCGCGAGATCTATGTCATGGTGGTACTGGTGGTTTGGCGGATATTCTGGGTGTGGAGGATGGTCGCCTGGAGTCGGGAAATATTCGTCGTCGAAGCGCGAATTCTCCATGTATGCTGCCTTCTTCTTGTTGCGCACAAATGCATCGTAGCGGAGGTACTCCCGATCAATGTCCTCGAGGTCGTCTATCATATCCTCTCTGATGCCAAAAGCAGTATGCTTGAAGATATGCTGCTGGAAGTATTCGCTGACGATCCCGTGGACGAGGTGTCGGCGATTCTCCTTCTTCGTGAAGAAGCTGCGCCATCCGCAACTGCTACCATCCGCAATCCACTGCGTCACTTCGAACAATGCCTTGTACTTCGTATCGAGAAGGTGCATGGGCCACTCTTCTTCCTGTTCAGACGTGAGGTCGAAATTGAAGTGGGTTTTGCAGAACGCGGATATCTTCTCCTGCAGGACCATGAAAAGAGCGCTGATCTCGCCGAGATCGAGTGGCCTCGGTGCTTTCTGCACTGTCAAGAAGAGCGCTCTGGCGGCTGCGATGGGGTCGTTGAGATCGTCCAGGTTGTCTGCGCCCGTTCCAAAATGGGCGGTGTCTTTGTTGGATGCACTAGCAGTGGGTGACGAGTGAGTTCGTTGACGCTTTGGCGTATGGCGGTTGCTTCCCTGATAGCCAGAGCTCGAGGCACTCTGCAAGAGAGGTTCGAATGGAAATTCATCACTGGGAACTGTATCCGGCCCTGGAACGGTAGGTGAGGCCGGTCCAATCGCCAGCGACGAGGACGCTTGAAGTTCAGAGTCTCTGGAAATGCTCATCTCAGGAGCTGCTTCTTGGACAAGCTCTTCCTCAAGGGCAGCGTCTTCAGTAGAACGATTCAGATCGTGGAGGAAATAGAGGTAGTCGTAGTCATAGTCTTCATCCACGTCAAGGTCTTCTCCTTCTTGTTCCTCGTCATAACCTTCAGATCCCTTGTCCTCGTCACGTGGGAATTTCCGCTTGCGTGAGGAGCCCTTTGGCCGAGGAATCTTTCCGTCATCACTAGATTCCTCCCCAGGGGTATAAGTGCGGTCGGCGAATTGGACGGTCTTTCGTTTCCGTCCCGCTACAGCTTTTGCTGTCGGGCTTGGTGCTGGTTCGTCGCCCGAGACGTCAGCGTCCTTGTAAGGCTTGTCTTCGAAGGCTGCTGGTTTCCCCTTGACAGGCTTTGGCGTCTTGACGCTAGCATCAGGAGGGGGTGTCACAGAAATAGGACTTGAGAGAGGTGAGCTGTCGGTGTTGGAGACAACGATGCCCTTTCCGGGCGATCCACCTTCGACCTCTTCAGCCTTATCATCGTCGGAGACTTCCACGACTTGTGGCGGAGCTGCTGTCGAAGACTTTGATTTTTGGGCGCCCTTCTTTGTGGTCGCTTTCGACGTCGCTGGTGTTTTAGACTTGGCTGGCGTTTTTGGCTTGGCCGGTGTTTGGGGCTTCGGTTTGGCGGTGGCAGGGGTCGGCGAAGATGTGATTGTATCAGACGCTTCCTCAACTGTGGGTAATGGGTTGCTGCTTGTGGCTGGGTTTGCGGATGCTCTGGGTGTTCTCAGCCGAGAAGGCCTCGTCATAATACGAGTCGGAGTAGCCTCTGGCTTCATGGGAGTTCCTTTCTTGGGCATCTTCGATGCTTCGATTGCTGAATATGACGGGTAGGATATAGTAGATACTATGCGGAAGAGACTCAGCAGCGAGAAATCGGCTTCAAGGTGGAACAAAACAGAGCAGGTAAACGGGCAAGAGGATATATCGCAAAACCATTGAGAATAATGCATGCAGCATCGACATTCCGAAGGCAGAGGACAGGAAATTTCCGTTTTCGTCAATCAGCTGTTTGCCATTGTGGACTTTATTGTTGTGGTCACCCATTGTTCTTTATTCACTGATGAGCGGAAAGGTCTTACTGAAGCACGCTGCCGCGAATTGATAGTCCCAGCCGTCAATGGACAATGGCAAGGCTTCATTCAGAGACCGTCCTAGAGCTTTGGTCCGGCAGTTTTGCTCCTGCCAGGTGTCAGAATCACAGCTCTCCGGTGGGCAGGCAATTCTGGACGTGCCCTCACAATGCTGCAATGACTTCGATCTCGACCTGCTCATCGTCAGTATCGACAAGCGTGTGGAAAGAACCTCGGCGGTGTGTACATCTGTCTTGAACGGCAGCTCCTTGACGCAGACACAGGTCCGTGCTGGCTTCGGATCCGGGATGATTTCAAGATCTGTTTCCGTGCGCGGTCAGCGTGGAATGTGGCAGCGAGGCTGGGGAACCAGCGCACAGGCGTTATTCATGGCTGCATAGTCCTCCATGTTGGTCAAATAAATGTTCATCTTGCGCATCTCAGCGATTGCCCAGCACAGATACTCTCCGGAAGTACCTTTAGAAGCTTTTCAAAGCTGCTGCCAGCTTCTTCCAGAACCACTCTGATGTTTTCCAGAGCTTGTCTCTGCCATCTGTGAGCTCCTGATAACGCTGGCTTTATCACGTGTACTAACCGTTCTGTCAGCGACTGATCCCTCCACTACTTTCATTGTGGACGGAACGATGCCAATGTTCCCAGACACGAAAATGGTTCCATTGTGGATTGTGGCTTGGGAGAACAAGTTGGACTTGAGCCCTTTGTCGGTCGACACAACTTGCTTTGGAGCCATTATGGACAGATGGACTCTTCGAGATACTGGTGGTTCAGGGAGCTACTTGACGCAGAATAGCAAGTGCATAAATACAAGATCCAGAGATAGTGGTTCCATCGTCTTACGCCCTTTGAACCCATCGTGACAACGCGGAGAAATCCCGACTGCGACCCGCTGACAAATCTGCCCAGCCAGTCACGTGGATCTCGTGAGCACACGCTGTCACGTGATCTCATCCTGCGCTGATTGACCTTCCCGCCCTTCTTACATTCTGATTCCACACCACACTTGTTCCAACAGACGACGTGATCAGCACCACAGTCACGCTCACCGTGACGGCCATGTTGCTAAAGCTCTACATGAAGTCTTTCATTCACCACCTCGGTCTTCGAACCGGCGCCACGCGAACAAATCCGTAGTCCTCCAGGTCTTCGCGCGCTTCCCGGCCCAAGTCTGCATCGCGCAACTCCCAGAGTCGCTCTCTATCCCTTCTTGCTTGTTCCTCGGCTCTTTGTTTTCCCCGGTCGGCATACGTCGCTGCCTCAGCCCGCAAACTTGTGAGCCTACTGTCGTTGATTGGCTGAGTTGTTCTGGACTCATATGTCTCGATATGGCCACCAAATCTGTCCCGACAGGCATTACCCTCGTTGTGCAGGGCCAGCCATCTGGCTCTGAACTCGTCTTCTCGGCGTTCAGATGCTGCTCGACGGTCATCGTCTGGATCTCGAGCTAGGATGTCGTCTAGAAGCCCGTTGATCGCCCGGTTGCTCAACCCATGGCCGCGATCCCTGTCTCGCACAACCACGAGAGGCCCGCCTGGTCCTCTCTCCAAGAAACCGCCATAGCCCATATTGCCAGATGTGTAAAAGCCTCCTGTCGGTGCAAATGCCCCAGGCTCGATTCCGACTCTCCAATCCCATGTTCGAGTCATGCCGTCAAGGCCTTGAACTGAGTAATGCTCGTTGACAGGCACCCAATGAGTGCGCTTGCAAGGTCCCCATCCCTTGTTTATTGGGATTCTCCGTTGTTGCCAGAACGTCATGGCGATGGAGTGACAAGTGGCGTCGCTTCCGTTGTAGAAGGCTCGAGGGTATGAAAGATGGCTCAGTGAGGCGTACCTTGCCAGGATGGCAGAGTCGACAGATATACCGAAGCCCCATGACGCGCAGGCAGATTCTTGTTCCGGTGTCCCACGGATGTTTCGCCCCAAAGGCGCCTGTGTTACACCAAGCACTGCTACACACACCTTTTAAAGGCATCCAATCAATTGTCCCAGTCCCAGTCTCAGAGATATGACAGCACTTTTGCACCTGAATTGGCAATTTCATACAGCCCTTTCGGCGCAGAAGTCTAGCAGATTCAACCTTACCCAGCCAGCCCGGCGCAGTTCCTCGCCGCAGACAGGTGTACAACATTCACGAGGAGATCTACTGGCTGTGCTCTGTCCACCATGTCTTCGCCTTGCTGTCATCGTACTTGGCGATGCTCTGCTGGAAAAATGCACCTTTTTGACCGATCGCTCTTCCCATGGCCTCTGTGTCCGGGCAACCATGAGCTCCACAAAAGCAATCAATTCCACATCCGCGGTCCACGTTGTCCTCGAAACCATCCGTGTTAACGCCCTCTCCCGCCTGAACAGCGCCTCCAGGCCCCAACGACACCGCCGCTGTTAGCAACACACTTGCAGAGATTGCACCCTCAGCATACCGCATCCTGCCTCTCTTGCCTCCCCAAGCAGAGTCCAGCAGGGTGTCCCTCAATTTCTGGTACATTTCCCCCGTGGCATCCTGGATCGTACGCTCCAGGCGACTGTCCGTCTCGGTCCAAGGCAACGGTGAACGCAATCGTGGCACAGGCAGTTCGTACTTAACCTTGGCAGAGTGAGGCTCAGAGTACAGGCTGTGGTATGACTCAGTTGCCGGCTCGGTTAATTGCCACTCAGCATAGGTGTTTCTGGTATTGTGAAGTCTGCCGGCGGTCGTGTAAGAGGACGGCGTGGCTGACGGATTGTCGAACCAGTTCACGTTGGGGCAGGTGGCGCCGGGAAACCCGGTTGATTCGAGTTGTTCATCGGAAGAGTCCTGTGCCAGTGGGCGAAGATTGACTCTATCGGGCCTCCCTGTTCCGCATACACTTCGATATCGGTCTCCGTATGGCCCCTTGAAGGGGTCATTACTAGCGAAGAATCCAAAGTTCAGACCATCATTCACGTTCTCGACCATCGGTGCGCTTGTGATATTGGAGCGCGTTTTGGCCACGGGCAGATTCGGAAGTAGAGATCGAGAGACGGCAAATTCACATCGATGAGGTCGCGGATGCGGTGGCGGATATCGCTTCAACAATTCCGTCTCAACTGGGATGCCGGCGTCCTCCATTGTGACAACCCTGGTTGATCGTTCAGAGGCGGCCGCCTCAGTATTAGGTCGGATGTTAGTCTCGACAAAGTGGACTCTGTCGACAACCATGTTTCGAGGCATCTCCATCTCCCTGGCAGTACGTTCCAGGTGCCGCCGCGCTCGATCTCCATTCTTTGGGTGCAGCCTACACGGCGTCATCGGCTGAGACATCTTGTTCTTCACCTGGATGTTAGCTGTTCTTCCTGCAATGCACGTCGAGTTCTCTCACAACGGTGTTTGGTCTAAGCATTTCTCTCGCAAATGTCGATCGATCTGGACGAGATTGGTCGCAGAGGAGTGGAATTTTCTATGACCACCAGGTATGCAGAAGAAGATGTGCGAGATCGCTTATGCTTCCATCGGGCAGTCCTCATCACTGCCTGGACAGGGGCTCGACCCAAATCACCCTTGCGGAGTGAGTGGAAGCCATGTATCGTATGACAACTGCCTTTATTCGATTTCACAAACTATTGTACATCAAATGTGAATGGTATTTCACCTACAAACCTCCAAACTTCAAATTCACCATTCATCCCCGGACCAAAATCGCAGATCATCAGACAAAGGCCCAAACTTGACATCACCATCTCGCCAACTCATCGACTCAAGTTGTATCATTCTCAGCGTGGGATTCCACTTCGAATCTCTTGGAAGCCCCTCGGGATTCTCATCCACAAGCTCATCTACATGCACGGCGTTCCAGTGACGATCGCGTCCGACTTCTCTCGGAAAGACCGAATGGCATATGTCGCAGTCCCAAAGTCATGTGTGCCGACTTAGGCCAGACTGTGTGGCAAAAGCTTTGCTGCACTGGCTGCATTTGATACTGTCCCGCTCAGTACCCGGACTTTCTGGTACGGCTACAATGTCGGCTTTTACTTCTTGCTCCTGCCACCACTTTTGGGCCACGTCCCACCTCGAGGATTCCGCTTCCAACGTCGTGTCGAGCTTTGAATTTGGAACAGACTTGATAGGCCTTGGGCTCTCTTCAAAGCTTGTAGCGGCAACAATGGTGCGAGTACACTCTGGACCGACTTTCAGATCTGACAACTCCCCGTGTTGTGGCGTTGCGTCCGCTTCATGCTCTGGAAGCGGCACAGCCTCGGACAATCTCCTCTCTTTCGGACAATTTGCCGTTGCGGTTGCATTAAAACCGGCATCTTTCTGAGGGGGAACGGCGTGTGAAGATGTCTCTGACACATCCAAAGAGGCCATCAGATTTGAAAGAGCTATAGCCGCGTGTCGACGTCGGCGCCGGCGAATGTCTCTCTGCTTGTGCACAAGCCGGCGAAGGTATTCAGCGTCCGCAGACGAAGTTGACGTCCTTGGCTCCATACCGGGATGGCAGTGATCTGAATGATGGAGATGATGTGCTGTGCGAGGCATGGCCTTTGTCGACCCTACTGCCGCTGCCATGCCATTTCTTCTTGATCGATACTGGTTCCTCGTGTGCTTGAACCATAGCTTCTCCGTATGTCTGGACAGGCACTTCTTGCCAACCTTGCCGCGTTTGTTCCTATCGTCCGACCATCTAGGATATCTCCTTCGGATATCAGTCCGCTTGCATTTTCCGAGACCTGCGGTCTGGATCCATCCACTCGAACCCAGCTTGCGTCTCCCAGTCGATTGCCGCGCCATGGAGGACCCGACGTCTCTACTGACGGGAATGCTCTGATTGACGTATTGGGCTGTTGTTCGCCATCCCAGGGGTGGAAACAACTTGATCCTCGCCGTCGCGGTCGCACACGCACGTCCAGGAGATTCTGGATCTCCACCGGAACCTGAGCCATCAGTCTTGCACTGCGCGGCCGATGTGGCGATGATGTTCGGCTCAGCCGATCTCCGGACAGGCTGTTCAAGAATGCGAGCCATCCAAGAGAGCAAAGGTAGGGACATTATCGCTGCACACAACCATGCCCATGTCCATGCGGTGAGTCCTTGGGGTTCTTGGTCTCCTTCATCTTCGTCTCCGTCTTTGATGGCGACCTTGATTTGACTTGCAGGGTCGACCTCCTCATCTTTGTGGCTAGGATTCTCGATCTTACTCTTCCCACAACATCGAGTCATCTCGCCTTCGTGCAACAGCTGAGTGGTATTTCTATCGCTTTCTGCGCCGCGAGACCTTAACCCTGCACAGAAGTCAAGCAGAGCATGACATTCGTCTTTGAAATCGGCAAAATGGAGTGGACAGTGGGTGAGCGAGAGAGATTGTCTGACCGGGCGATTGACATTGGAACAAAACGATATATACTCATACTGTGTCACTCGCACGCCTTGCCATGCGAACGATAATGAACCGTTGTCACCGTACATGCTGGGTCGGGATCGAATCGTCACTTTCTGGACTTCACTTATCTCGTCTCTTCACGCTCTCACACCGTCACATCGCTTGGCAACGCAATCAGAGGTGAAAGATAATCGGGTCGTCAGATCTTCATGGCACGAGCAGAGACCTCATACTCACTCATATTGAGCTTATGGGGAGGAACGGAGCCCGTTGGCATACGTAGTAGGTAGTACCCTGCCCAGCTTAGCGTGGAGACGCGGTCATTCACCGAGTCTGTATGAAAGGTTGTAGGGGTGATTGACTCGCTGGGACATTTTTTTCTCGTTCCGTCTCTCTCACTCTCACTCTCTTGTGAAATACTTGCTTGCTTCTTCCCTTACGTCCTTGCTTCCCACTCCCAATTGAATACTCGTTTGCTCAAATACCAGGTAAGCCCGCTTACCGACTGGTGTAGGCATTCACTTCATTAACCCCCCTTCACGGTGGCCAACCCATTGTGCACAGCCACGATCCGCAGCTTCTTCTCGCTGGCTGATATCCCAAAGATCAAGGAATATACCATATTTCCCGATACTCTCTACCAAGCATTCTCATCGCATGTTCTCGTGTCTTGCGAGTCAAAATCTCAAAGATCAAGAAATATATCATATTTCTCGATACTCTCTCTCTCTCTCTCTACAAGCATTCTCATTCCATATGCTCTCATGTCTCGCGAGTCCTGCAGTGCAGTGTCGACCAGACCGGTCACCAACGTTCAGAGCGTGAGGGATGATGCGCTGGGTATGCGCCAGGCATGCATGCAGGGAACAGGGTCCCATCGATCTGCCCTGTGAAGTGATGGTGAATTGTAGCCTCGGCTGATCCTGCTGGCAGCGGAGCTGATAAGCCTCTGCCTATCCCTCTGCATATCCCTAACCCTCTGCCTATCCTTCTGCCTATCCCTATCCCTATACCTGCCTGCACCGCGCCTCTTGGTACGACATTCCACAGCCCCCTTTTTCCGGGAAGATCAGCTGAAGCCCATCCATATCGCTCGTGATGTTCTGTCCAAGGGACCGCCGAATGAGAAACGAAGCCAGACGGGTGTGGACGAGACACGCGGACAGGCAGACAGGCTAGAGCGTGACGCTCACCGGCTGGGAAGGACCACCCCACTCCACTCTCAGAATTGCAGCCTGCAGTGTTCTCTCATTCCGAACCTCGACTCGGCTGGCTGAACGGTGTAGTTTGAGTCAAGTGGGCGGTTGAGAGGTTTGCCTTTATCAGAAGGTCCCTGACTGGACAAATACCGCTCTTCGTTTGCTTGCAGCAGCGGAGATATAGATCGGGCGTCGAAACCAAGAGCTAGCTGCTCGCTGCTGTGCTGGTTGTGTCTTGATCACATCGTATTATTGACCTCTCCAGATGTGGAGCATTCAGCTTTCCATAGCGATATTGAATGCTCCAACTGCAGAGCATTCAGCTGCCCGCGGTGATGTTGACTTCTCCGAATGCAGCGCGTTCAGCTTTCCATAGCGATGTCGACTTCCTCCAAGGGTACTGCGCTCAACCATCCAGCACGGGTGCAAACTTGGATTTCTTCCTCAGCACAAGGCCGATCTTCATAAAGATAAAAGGCACGGGCAGCAACGCGGCCGCCACGGCACCGAGGACCGACGTCGCCGGCCCGACTCCCATGGCGTGGTACATTGGTCGAGCGGCCAACGGGAGACCTGCGGCCAGGACGCTGCGAAGAAAGGTATTCGCCGCGGTGGCGCTCGCGGCGTACAGCCCGTACACGTCGACGAGGTAGTTGATGCCTAAAGAAGTAGATTCACACATTAGCCGTTGCTTCGCGGTTCACAGAGATTGAGTGTCTCTCTCGCGATGAGCAGTACCGCACCGCAAGTCACTTACATTGCTGGAAAATGATATTGAACCCGCCACCGATAAACCCGGCCGCGACGACCGGTGACGCCCAAGGGTATCGCGGTGCGGCTGTCCATCCGAACCAGAAGAGCCCGATGACCATGAGAACGGCGCCGATGGCCAGAGGGGGAAGTCTCGCTTCAGGGACGGGTCGGCCGTTGGAGGCCTGGCATTTCCGTCGGTACAGAGGCTGGTTTCCGAGGTTGACGCCCGTGGCGGCGAGGATGCCGACAAACATGCCGAGAAATGGCAATGAGGCCACGACGGGCGACCAGTGGCGCTGCTCTTCAAAGACCACGGGGAAGACCTGCAGCGTGAGGTAGAGGATGGAATACACGAACGAGGCGTAAAAGGCGATGCAGGTCACCATGGGCTCGGTGAAGAGCATCATCAGTGGTCGCGACAGCTGTTTGGTGATGATGGATTTGAGGTCGACCTTGATCCGTTCCTGCGGGTGGTAGTATAACGCGTTGCCGGTCTCGTTTCGCAGTCTCTGCGCCTTTCGCTTGAGCAGCACCGGCGGATACATTTCGGGCATGCAGAAGTAGGTCGTGGCCACGACCACACCGTTGAGCAGCGCCACGATGTATCCTGTCCATCGCCAGCCCATGTGAGGGTTGACCAGGATGGCGGCCCCGATGGTCGGGCCTAACGTCGGACCGCCAACGACACAGACACCGTACAGACACACGGCCGTTCCACGAGCCTCCCGTGACCAGATGTCGCCCAGGGCGGCGTTGACGTTGCTGACGGCAGCGGAGCCGAAGAAGCCGCTGAAGAAGCGGTTGATGAATACCGACTGCGCGTTTCTACTGACGGCGGTGCCGATGGAAAAGCACACCAAGCAAGTCGCTGCCGGCAACATGGACCATCGCCGACCCCACACCTCGCTGACCGGCGCCCAAACCAGCGGACCGAATGCAAAGCCGACGACATAGAGCGAGACGTTCAGGACGACGACGTCCTCGCTGACACCCACGTATTCGGCGATGGTGCGGTTCGCGGGTGCGATGATACTCGAGGCCAAGCTGGCGCCAAAGGCCAGCATACCCAGCTGAAAGGTCACCCAAGACTTGAACGGCGTGGACCAGTTCTGTGGATTCTCCGGATCGTCTGCACTCTCCCATCCGACCAGGATTTCGGTCTTTTCGCCGTCGTCCAAGACAATCTTCTCGGGCGGCTGCTGCTCTGCTGGAACGGAGCTGGCGTCTGCCTCGACATCTTTCGTTGTTGACGTATCCTGCGCCATCCCGTCGACAGATCGCGTACCGGAAAGCTCGAGGACATGGTGAGATCGAGAACGGAAGAATTGCAACGGTGGTTTTGTACGGAGAGAAGGCGAAATGCGAAGTTCGTACATAAGTGTCCCAGTCCAAACCGGGACGCCTGCTCCACCAGCGACCGGAGACTGACCGATTTCTACCTCGTACGAGTACTGCGTAGAGTGGATGCCGATCAACCGCCCCGATATTAACCACAAGCGTTGGAAGATGTCGGCCGGTCTCCCATCCACTCCGGCCACCGCAGCAGGCGATATCGGGCACTAGCGGAGGATGTCGACGGCATTAGCGGTGATTGCTGGGTACCCAGTACATTCCTCCCGTGCCTATGTTGCACCGGTGAGATCGAAGCTGGTCTCCACAAATCGCAATATTTAGAAGGCCACGAGTACGAGGGCGGATGGCCTGTACAGAGGACTACCCTTTATCACCCAGTTGCCTTCGCAGCTGTACGGGTGGTGACGGGGCAAGTTCTGCATGATGTACAAACGAGTAATTCCTCTGTCCCGCGACGGCATGATCAATTGACAGGGGTATTGTAGAAACGTCAATTAGTTAAAGGTGTTAATATGTCGTGACCACGATGACTGTGCGAGCGTTGGGACTGTCGTCTCGTCTCGCTGGTGTTGACCATGGGTGCTGTATGATCAGGCCGTGGTGGGCCATGCTGCTGTGCATGATGATCTCGGAGCGTGATCTTGCTTGTAACATACGGAAGACCTGGATTGGCAAGACGGCCGCAAGGTTGCATCTCAAGCATCCAGAATCCAGAATGGGGCGAAGATGATGCGCTCCAAGCACGGAGGCTCGAAGCAGCGGAGCGTCGTCTCGAATGCATAGACGTCGCTGTCATGAGGGAGTCGGTGCTTTGATGAGACGAGATGAGATTTATCTCTAGTGCATCCTACCGTACATTTGAAGGCTACAGCACGGCAGGATATGCTGCCACATTGCGCATCTTTCACAACACCGATCTGAGATTGAGTGAGTGTCGCGCTGTCAGCACGTCGCACAGGGGGAAGCCGATCTCTGTCGCTCGTCAACAGCGCGCTTGCCGTTACTCGAGCAGCCAAACCTCCTACAGTACTGTACCTCGTTGGTAGGGCTCAAGGAACGCAAATTCAGACGAGCCATGGCTCATTATGTGTATGGTTTCGAACGCAACCCGTTACATACCGGTGAACGAAGGTTGGCCTGACGAAAGCTACGCGATACACCGCACCGCATCTCACACACGTCAGCAATCGACTCGATTCATTACATATGTATCGTGACAATCAGGCACGTCTATACGCAATGTTACGACGAGCTTTGCCTGCTGCTCTGATCGAAATCAAACGACACTCCCTAGGTAAGGTAAGACCATCGAGCCGTCACGTCGCGACCGCGACGCTCCTCAGCCTCACGGCCTGCCCGTCATCCCCCTTCAGCCGATAATCCTTCGAGGTATTCCAGACGCGCCACTCCCCCGCATTGACCGGCTCGTACAGCTTCTCCTCGCCCTGACTCAACAAGATCGGGTCGATCAAGGTCTCCGGGTCGGGATGCACAAAGAACGGGATGCTGAACCGCGCGGGCAACACCTCGTCGGGAAACCTCTCCAGTGACGGACTCACCACCCTGTGCCGAGTCGACTTGACCCTCCCGTTCGTGTACCTGACCAGCAGATCGGCAATGTTGATGAGCACGGTGCCCTCGATAGGCGGCGCGGGCACGAAATTCCCATCGTGTTTAGGGTCGATTTCCAAGCCCCCGATCTGGTCCTGGAACAATAACGTGCAGAGCCCAAAGTCGGTGTGGGCATTGATCCTCGCGTGGCCTTCCTGTTCGACCACGCGCCTCTCAATGGCAGGGTAGTGGATCAGGCGCAGCTGGGGATCGGCGCGCTTGGTGATGGCGTCGAAGAAGTCGTCGCCCAGATCCATCACCATGGCCAGACATTTGAGCACGTTCATCGCGAGCACGAAGCACTGCTCGTAAAAGGCGTCGAGGGTCGACTTGAAGCCCTGGACGGCCTCGTCGGACGGACACAGATCGTTGGCGAACCGTCGGTGCTCGTAGCATTCCTTGTGGTCGTTGATCCCTTCGGCGCCGTCGGCCGTGTATCCCTGGTTGACGTGCGCGTCGGACAGTTTATATCTGAGCTTGGCTTCTAAGGGCAGGGAGAAGAATGTCTGGGCCTGCGGAAGAGACAAGTCAGGAGAGCACATGACTGGCAATCCTCAGGGTCAAGCGTTGTCAACTCCCTCATTGATCGCATTGCATACTCACCAGACCAAAGATCTCATCGACCTTCTTCTGCGCGATGCCATGCTCGCGAAGGTACACGAACCCGACGCTCGAGAACGCGTCGTACACCTCCCTCGCGACGGCCTTTTGTGCCGTCCGATCGCCTGTGAGGAATTTGTCAAACGAGACCACGGGGATGGTCTGTGAACTTGACTCTGATTCCGCCATCTTAGAGTAGGTGTTGATTCCGCTCTCGGACGGGCTGTCCGTTGGACGTTGGAGTGGAATGTACCGGCCCCGTAGTGCTCTACTGTGCCGGGTGTATGATTTGTCAAAGTGCAGAGTATGAAGAGTATTCAATCCGACGGTGAGGTTACGGCATAAAACAATAGTCTTACATGTAGAAGGAATCGGATAGTGAGAATGTACTTGCTCGCGTGAGTAGAGGCGGCGCGTAAGTAGGTAGGTTACAAGTACAAGAGGGCTCTGATACCGCCACAGTAGCTCACCTACCACCCCCCGCCACGCTGATCACCTGTACGAGGACCGTGAAGGACACAGACTGTTTCCCCGCACAGAGATACGGAATGTGGGAATGTGGGAACATGACAGGCAGGGGTCAGGATGCATATCATAGCCGTTCAGGCCGTTGCATGCCTTCAGTCAGTCGCCCGGTGAGGCGGCCTATGGAGGCACAGGAGGTACCCCGTACGGGCATTAGGAGCATTGGATAAGGGCTGCATGTCTACAAGTCTGCATCTTGACGCTCTTCTCCGCCCCCTGTTCTGTGCCATTCAGTATCCTTGTACGGAGTACAAGAGCCCTGTTCGCTGCTGCCCCCAGTCTTCTATCCCTCACTTATCAGCCCTGGGTCCTCCGTCCTACCCCTTCGTTATCACCACTTCCTGATTCTCCACCCTACTGGCTACATTCTTCAACAGCTCACTGCCAACTTCGACTTCTCCATCTTGCACGGCCTTCAAGTCCGGAACGTCGGAATGTTTCTCCCCGTCAAACAACTTGTCGACTTCTTCGAGCGTGTATCCCCTGGTTTCCACCCAATACCACATCACGCCCGCCAGCATGACAATGTCGGCACTCGCATTGATGATGTACGTCTTCCAGCCTATGGCGTCCAGGGCGAAAGGGAATGCCATGGTCACCAGCAACCCCGACAGTTTCGTCGTGAGGGTGTACAAGCCCATGCCGACGGAGCGTAGAGAGTACGAGAGCACTTCGGGTGGATACAGCACCGTAAGTGGTGTGATACCGTAAGCGTAGGCTGCATTGTAGAGGAAGATCATCGCGATAGTGCCATAGATGCCCGACCTGTTTGAGGAGTCGCCGTAGAGGGCGGTCAGTCCAGCGAGGATGTAGAACGTCACAATCTGGCCGGCCAGACTGATGGAGCAGAGAGTCTTCCGGCCGAGGGAATCTGCGAACCAGGCACCTGCCAGCGAAACGACTAACGTCCAGGAGGTCAGGATGATGTTGATTTGCAGCTGAGTTGTCGGGTTGGTGATTCCCGCCTGCGCGAGCATGTCGCCAAAGTAGAAGGTGATGATATTGGTTCCAGGTAACATGACAATGATGGAGAATGTCGAAGTGATGATGATGCGCTTGCGATTGCCCTTGGTGCTAAACGCCTGCCTCCAGGACAGTTGCTGGCTCTTCTCCCATGCAATTGTATCTGTGATCTCGCGGTACTGGACCAGAACGACCGGTGACTCTTTATCGCCGTTGGCGTTGATGGCTGCAAGCACCTCCAGGGCTTCGTCGTGCCGATCCCTGTCTATGAGGAATCGAGGCGACTCGGGAAGAAAGAGCAGCACACACATGCAGAGGATGCTCGGCACAATCTGGATCAAGCTGGGCGTCCTCCATGCCCACGTCGAGGAATAGTGTTGCGTCTGGTGGTATCGGAGATGAGCAGGTACTTGTCATCCTTGACCACATTGACTTACCGAGTAGCACACTCCAGATGCAACAAGCGTGCCGACGCCCCAACAAGCGTAGTATAGACCCAGCGCCACCGCTCTGTGCTTCGGAGGAGCAGTCTCGGCCACATAGGTTGGACATGCAGTTTGGGCAAATCCGAGCCCGAAGCCTGGGGTTATCAGCAGCTTGAAATACTGGTACACGCAGTGTACTTGAAGACTCACCAACAATAAAGCGACCAGCGATGAACATGCCGGTATTCTGCGCAGCACTCTGGACGATAGGGCCGATGAGCGTGAGGATACAAGAGAGCATGATGGTTTTCCATCTCCCTATCCATGCAACAACGAACCCAGCGAAGAGGGCAGCGCAGGACCCTCCAACGTATGAAATCGCCGTGTTCAAGGACTTGGTCGCAGTAGTCAGTGTGAAATAGTTCTGGTACGTCGGCATCACGTTGAGACTGCCCATCAGGGAGCTGTCATAGCCCAAAAGTACTGAATCGACCACCGAGACCGACACCACCGCGGCAAGGAGCGCATTTGTTGAACGTGGGACGAGCCGAGACAAATGCCTCCTGGGGTGGATAGTCTGTGCCATCTCTCTGCTGCGGTGTGAGGTCTATTGAGCTTGTCTGGCAGTGTCGGGAGAAGGTCGCCAGGCCGAGATATCACGGATCTTGGGGTAAAGGCTCTGGAAATAACACATCAGGCCAGATATATCCCCTTTCCGAGCCTTGACCTAGCGAAAGTCCAGACCTACCTATGTGCGTGAGCCGGTGCTGATAATGAGAACATGGTTTGATGGCACTCTGGCTTCTTATCGCGAAGCGACGTGAGAGTTCAGTGTCCAGTGCGGGCGAGGTTCTCATCTCCGCACTGATTCTCGAACCAGATGCTGTATGCGGATGATTACTTGCCTGCCCCGACATGAACCTTGTAGACCAGGAGGAGAAAGATCCCAAGCAGAGATAACGTGTAGATTGGACGGCGCGCAGCACTTGCATATCTAGCTTCAACCTCCACACACGGCGTATGTGGTACCAAGAGGAGGAAGGAATGATCGACGGTCTTGGGACGGCGGCTGGTCACATGGCCCGGCAAGTGCCCGAGCAAGCATCACTTGCCATCTGCTCGAGACGGAGTCAGCGAGTTCAAGTCTGGACGTCGAGAGAGAAGCCAAAGGCGCCATGTCAGCACCATCACTCGGATAAATAGTTTTGCCGAAATCGACCGTGTCAACTATGTGTGGCTTCCCTATGGGCATAACATGAAACATAGATTGACTGGCAACGACGAGTTTGATTGAATTCGTGGAGGCATATATATGTATGGCTCACAAGCGCGAGCCGGGTACCAAAACACCTCCATATTTATTTCCAAACAAAGCAGCTGGACTGAGACCAGCCCGCTATATCATTGACATGTTGACATAATCATCCAACCTATTCCTGACAATGGCCTCCTGAGGACTCTGTTATTTATTTCTCGCAGGGTTATGCGTGTCCCACAACAGGGCACACCGCACCCTTCGCAGCCGCCTCGAGACTTGGGTGCTCGTGGATCTTCCCCTTATGGTGCTCGAACCGGGCGTTGGTAACGGGGCACACATCCCCTTCCTTGGCCTCCTTTGTAGACGGGTGGTTAGGAGGCAAGACACTGGAAACGGTGCCAACTACGGGGCAGATGGCCTCGTCCATGGCTTGCTGCTCGGGCTGGCTGACGATCTTGGTCAAGGCAGGGCAGTTATCCGCGTTCGAGAGGTCGGAGGACGAGTCGAAGATTCCCGGGTGCTTGGAGAGATTGTGGTGATGGTCGGTTGTTGCCTTGGTCACTGGACAGACCTGACCAGGCTTGTCAAGGTCGAAGTCGGGGTGTTTTGGAGGGAGGACGGTGTTGGTTGTTCCCACGATGGGGCAGACTTGAGCGGCCACCATGATGCTGTGAAGCCTAGAATTCCGCTTGTGGACGATGTTTAGACGTTGAGCAAGTGTATGAGAGGATATCAACTGCGAACAGGTACAGAGAGAAAGTTGGTTCAAGCCTGCGGTTGCTGGTGGTTGACGCCGTGCCTGACAAAGAAGCCGAACACGCCTGTTCGTTGCACTGACCCAATGACGTCGACGGTCGCCCTCCCCGCATCCCGATGGGGTAATAGCACAGGCCAATCAGGCCCCGCACATTGTAATCAGCGGTTATCAACGGAAATAGCATCCTCGCCGATGTCCAGGCTGGGGAGGCGTGGGAGGCATCCTGGAGTCTGCACAACCTTGTTATGCTCTTCTTGGTCATCCATGAGAACGAAGTGCTATCTAATTTGGAACGGTACTGACTCCTCAAACTGCTCAAACAACGAGGGCCACTTGCTCAGGGATACGGACATCGCTGAAGCCCTCAGACCTCTTGGGCACCCTTCCTCCGCGAACATTTACTTGCATAGCCTGGGCGAGCAGTTTGGGTGGAGCAAGACCACTGTCTCTTTCGGCTCTCCATTTCACGAAGTCGTCCATCTCAGTCCCTCGCTTGACATGTTTGTTCTGCATCGCTTGTGTCTCGACGGTTGTAAAAGGCACAGCTTTGCTCCCTGCCGTGTGCTCGCCCACGGACACGTCACGGTTCTCCGGCGGGTAGTCATGTCCTGTGAATAGCTTGAAGTGTCCTGGGAAAGCCAGCAGCTTCTGCATCGAATGATAAAGATCCGTAGCAGAGCCCCCGGGGAAGTCGCAGCGGGCTGAGCCGACGTCGGGATTGAAGATAGAGTCCCCAGTGAATATGTTGCAGCCAATCACATAGCCGATATGGTCTGGTGTATGCCCGGGGAGGTGAATGGCGCGAGCCTGTATAGAGCCAATACTGAATGTTTCGTCATCTGCAAAGGTATGATCGAACGCGTCCACCAGCTCGGTCTCAGGGATACCATATATCATGGACATGGTAGCTTGGACCTGCCGAATGCGCTGGCCGATGCAGACTTGTGGACGAGGATGATCGGATTGGCGCGTGGCAAGAACGTGCTGAAGATACCGCGACGCAGTGAGGTGGTCGGCATGGGCATGGGTCTCCAAGACCTTTGACACTGTATAGCCTTGAGATGCCACCAAGTCTAGAATCTCATCGGCTGAGTTTGTTGACACTAACCCCTTCTCCTTGTGGTAGTCGAGGACAGGGTCGATAATGACGGCCTCGTTGGAAGTTGGATCCGCGACGACATATTGCCATGTACCAGTTACAGGTTCGAACAGTGTATGGACGTTTGGATCCATCGTAAGCTTGAGCCTTTCGACACAGGGCGGCCGACAGTCCGAGACAGCGATTGCGTCTGGCACACGATTTTTGGAAGAAACGGAGCGGTTCGTTGCACTGGTAGCAAGCTGTCGGAGGACGAAGGTATATATAAAACGTGTCCTAGAGTTCTGTAAGCGCTGTAGGTAAAGGATACCTGGCTAAGCTGACATTGATGGCCCTTGGAATAGGATGCTGCACTCGGGCTATGGAGACAGGTCCCCGAACCAAGGATCAGGGGTGTCATTATCGACAGCATCCGTGGATACGCACAAATGATTAGTCCCCGAGTATTTAACGGCCCGAAGAAGAGCCTGGTTTCATCTCAATCGTAGTTGAAAAGGCGATGTAAGCCATGGCTGGTCGCCGAAAGCATCTGGCCCCTCGGGTTAGCTGGAGGGCGCAACACCCACAAGAACAACTTCATGCGCAAAGACATAAAGCACAGGGGTTCCAAGGGGATGGAATCGACCGGCGTCCAAGAGATGCCCATTAAAGAGCTGCAACAGGGTGGTCTCATGAATGGCATCGGTGTCCACCGCAATCCCGTGGTCTCGGAAGTCAGCTAAGGAAGTTCCCCGTGTTCAGCGGATCTCGAGCAGCGCATGTGGCAAACGCGACGGTATGCTCGAGACCTTCGGGAAGAGCGAGAGGTCCACCGTATGATGCCGCGGATACATATCGAAGGTGTACAAGGTCACCAGGGGTCGTGATTGGCCTTGGTGAGAAAAGGCAGTAGAAGAGGGCCTGATTCTGCTCCAACGGATTGACTTATCATGGTACCGTAATCTAGAGCAAAGAGACGAGACGAGACGATAGTTTGCTGGCGTGTCTAGACGGTCATTGGGTCCTGCTGGCAATGGAGCGTTGCTGGCTTCTTCATGCCAGCAACAGCTTCACGTGTCATTAGAGGAGGAGCTGAAATCGCTTCCCTGATGGATGAAGTGAGCAGGTGGTGAGGGATCTGTGAAGAATCCAACCCCGCAGTGGAGCGCAACGACATCGCAATGGTCGCTATCAATTAATTGTTTCCGCATCTCTCCAACTTGGTAACTCGTACTGTGTGCCACCCGGATTTACTGTTTAATGGACACATCTCAAGTCCAAACCCACCAGATCCTACACATTTCAAGCCCACCGCGACCATGTCCCTCACCGACGTGACCCTGAAAGCGAAATACCCGGCCAAATCGCACTGCCGGCGCGTGGCCAAGTTCCTCACGGACGCGGGCTTCTCTCGCGATGGCGTGATCTACCTCGAAGCGCAAAAGACGCGGATGGTCGAGGACGACGACCAAGCCATGCACTTCCGCCAGCGGCGCTACTTCTTCTACCTCTCCGGCTGCAAGCTCGCGGACGCGTACCTGACGTACAACATCCCGCAGGACATGCTCACGCTGTTCATCCCGCCCGTCGACCCGGACAGCGTCATCTGGAGCGGCCTGCCGGAGTCGCGCGACGAAGCGCTGAAGAAATACGACGTCGACGCCGTGCTGTACACGGACGAAGTCAACGCCGCGTTGGCCGCATACGGGCCCTCCAAGTCCGCGACCGTGTACGCCATCCCCGAACAAGTCTCGGAGCACATCACCTTCCTGGCGTTCCAGGCCGTGGAGTTCGCGCCCCTGAAGACCGCGATCGACGAGTGCAGAGTCGTCAAGGACAGTTACGAGGTCGCCCTGATCCGCAAGGCCAATGAGATCTCGACCCTCGCGCACGTCGAGGCCGTCAAGGCCGCCCGCCACGCGACGAACGAGCAAGAACTGTACGGCGCGTTCGTTGGCACGTGTATATCCAATGGCGCACACGAGCAGGCGTACCATTCCATCTGCGCCAGCGGGACGTCGTGCTCGACGCTGCATTACGTGCGCAACGACCAGCCGCTGCAAGATCGGCTGAACATCCTCCTCGATGCCGGGGCCGAGTACGAATGCTACTGCGCAGACATCACCCGCACGTTCCCCATCTCCGGGACATTCACGCCCGAGTCGCAGACGATCTACAGCATTGTGGACGAGATGCAGGCGTCGTGCTTCAAGATGCTGCGCGGAGGGGTGCGGTGGGAAGACGTCCACGAGAATGCCCACCGCGTGGCGATCAAGGGGCTGAAAAAGGCGGGGATTCTGGTCGGCGACGAGCAGGAGATCTTCGACAAGAGGGTCTCCGTGGCGTTCATGCCGCATGGCTTGGGCCATTACTTGGGCATGGACACACACGACACGGGCGGCCACGCGAATTACGAGGACCCCGATCAGATGTTCAAGTACCTGCGGGTAAGGGGCGCAGTGCCTGCTGGGGCGGTCATTACCGTGGAGCCGGGGATCTACTTCTGCGACTTTATCCTGAATCCCGTGCTGGAGGATCCAGAGCTGAACAAGTATATCGACAAGACGGTGCTGGACAAGTACTGGACTGTGGGCGGTGTACGGATCGAAGACGACGTGCATATCTTAGAGGATGGCTACGAGAACCTGACGAACACGCCGAAGTTATGAGGATGGAGGCCTGGTGATTCACGTCGAAAAGATAACAACAGGAGCACGACTCAAATACAACCCAGAGGCCGTAGCAAATGACATACGAGAAAACTCGTACTGTTTATAATCCGGCCTCGGTCTTTCCCGTCCGGTCGCATATTGCATCGCCTCCTAGCTGCTCAATCCTTCCATGTGACAACCTTCGTCCTCACCCACTCTTCAAGACCCGGCAAGCCGTTGAAGCGCCCGAAGCCGCTCTTCTTGACGCCTCCGTGTGGCAATGCTGGCTCATCATGGATACTCATGCTGTTAATATGCACCGCACCGCTTTCAATCTGCCTTGCCAGAGACAAGCCTCGCTTCAGATCTTCGGTGAAAACAGCGCTTGCCAGGCCATACTCTGTATCATTAGCGATCCGGATTGCTTCTTCGTCGTCTTCGACAATATATATCGAGACGGTTGGCCCGAATGATTCGGTGTGGTAAATGTCCATCTTCTCGTTCACGTTCTCGATGATGACCGGCTTCATCTTCGTCGGGCTTTCGTCGTTGTGTTTCGGGTCTCCAAACACTACATTCGCACCCTTCGAAATTGCGTCTTCCAGTAATTTCTTGTTCTTGACTACTGGCGCCGACGTGACGAGTTGTGGCGTGTCGGCGAAGACTTGTTCCACCGTCTTCTTGAGCGCCTCGCGGAATTCGTCCGCGATCTTGCGGTTCACGAGGATACGCTCCGTGGCCATGCAGATTTGGCCTGCATGGAGGAAGGCCCCCAGGGCGCATTGAAGAGCCGCGGTTTGGATGTTCGCATCTTCGCACACGATGCTCGGAGCCTTGCCGCCGAGTTCCATCACAACAGGCTTCAAGAACTTGCCGGCTTGGGAGGCGATGATGGCGCCCACGGCAGTACTGCCCGTGAAATTGACTTTCTTGATGGATGGGGAGGAAATGAGTGCCGAGGTGACCTTGGCGGCATCAGCCGGTCGGTGGTAGATCGTGTTCAGACATCCCGCCGGCAGGCCTGCGTTGTGCAGGATCGAGGAGATGGCCCAGTATGTAGCCGGGGCGGCCTCGGGTCCCTTCAAGATGACTGTGTTGCCCCTGCAAGAGGATGGTTCGTGTCAGCTCGGCTCGTGAGTCGGACTTCCCGTAAGATATCTTCTTTCCAAATACGGAAATGATACAGCGTCATGTGCTTGTGCTGCGACACTGGAGATTTAGGACTTACATTGCTAGAGGCTGTAGGCATGCGCGTAGACCAAGAACGTATGGGGCATTCCATGGCGCGATCCCGAGAACAACACCGTGTGGCTCCTTGATCAGCAACGCATTCGCTCCCTCCTCGGACACAACAGGCGCGCTGGAGGTGGTGGCCACCTGGATCAAGCCCGCGACGCTCTTGCATGCCTCGTACGCCAGGTTGTGTTCGAACGCGAACATTGACGCCGCCGCGCCAGTCTCACTGTAGCTATAGTGCTGCAGCTCATCTCTTCTCCTCTTGAACTCATCCGCAGCTCTGAGGAAAATGTCTCGTCTGTAGTTCGGCTTGGTCTTGGACCACGACTTGAAGGCCTTTTCAGCAGCGGCAATGGCTTTCTGTACGTCCTCTTCGTCGGCAGAGGAACATTTGTAGAGGGTCTTCTGGTCGAGGGGAGAGACAACGTCAAAGGTTGAGGAGAGCTTGACCTCCTTGCCGTCTAGCCAGAGCGGAATCGTCGACGAGGAGTCGAAGGCCGGGGCCGACGAGTGTGTTCCATTGGCACCGTTAGCAGACATCGTGAAGAGCTTGCGACCAGGGAATTTGCTTCCTGTGCTTGGAAGTTGTGAAATGTTTAATAGCTAGAGTTCAGCAGCAACTCCCGAGATGAAATCCGATTTAATATACAGTCAAAGTCAAGCTGCTCACACAGGGGTCGCTATCCGGCACTTGAAATAGGCAAGTAGACCTTCGGATTCTGCACCGTTGCATGCAAGTGGCGCAAGCCATGTCGCTTCCATCATCGACGACTACTGGTAGACGTCCCGCAGGTGGAAAAGGCGGGGCAGCTCTGTTTTGAAAATGCTTCAGTTGCGGGGACTGTCTTGGCCGTGATCTGGGCGCCAGTTAAGAAGCTGGAAGGCCTCGGAGGCTCCCGGGGCGTACCTAATGAGGGTGGTGCTTACCCGGATAATACCTTAGGATAGAGGAAGCCTTCCGCTCGATCCAGACTGTGAAACCGTGGTGGCTTTGTGTCCGCCTTCGAGACAAGGACGCGGCGAATCGTTCTTCCGCAAGTGTTTGATATCTACCAGGCTGGAGTCCGTGATCTCCGGGACGCGCTGTTGCTGTAGCTCGCTGTCTCTTATCGGGATGGGCAAACTCGGTTACCTGGCCAAAGGCACAGCTGATGGCATCGCAACCGCCCAAGCATGCGCGTGTTGAAATGGCTGAAGAGAATTCTCGGCGACCTTAAAGCTGTAAGGAGCGGCGGAGGAGAAAATGTCCCAAAGGGAGGAACGGAGAACGCTCTGTCAAGGAGGAGGGATCGTATCTGGAAAAATGTCATTGCATGCTGTCCGCTCATTGTTCCCTCAAATCTAGGGCTGGACGCCTTCGTGGGCTCTGGGCGCCAATACGGACTGCAAGTGTATCCCAGCGTTCAGCTGGATTTTAGCGATGCCGGCAAAGTACTTGTATCACCTGCTCAGATTTGGAGGGATGGACACTGCACCAGCAACCGTAACAATATTTACCAAAATCACAAACCCGATCCAGATTGACTCGGGTGGCGCACCTTTGAGCATTCTGACATCGGTGACCACGTCAGGTTTACATAGGCGTGTCGGACTGTCCTCGATTCGAATTCGATTGGAAATAGCACCTTGGATGCGGCTTTTCTACCAGAGAGACAGAAGAGCTTGTCGATGCGCTTGTGCTCATCACAAGTCGTTCACACCGTCGTTCGCCTCGCTGTTAAATTTCACGGCGCAGCCTGCTTGGGGAAAGGACAATTTAGTTGCACAAGACATCAGACCACAGCTGCGTCTGCGCTTCTTGCTAGGTGTCTGCGCTTCTTGCTAGGTGCCTGCGCTTCTTGCTAGGTGCCTGCGCAGTCATGCGATCGCTTATCTCATGTCGGAGCTCGTGCAACTGGCTGCTTGCCAACTGCTGTTCACCTCTGCACTGAACACTCGTGAGGCGGGCAACGCGGTCTCGTAAGCACCCCACGACTGTGGCAGTCTTTGAGATCAAGTGGCATATTTTTCCATGAGGCGGACAGGCTCCGAAAGTGCTGCATTGACGCGTCGCGGTTGAAGCATCAACGTGGGCGTCGCGCTCATTATCTTCGCAAGTCGCCGACGAGCCATCGCAGTGGGATACTACTCTCAGATGCACATGGAAGATTCGAGGCCTGTTAGTACCCGTACTTCAATAACTTTTCGATGGTGCTTCGTATTGAGCCTCGACACCTCCTCACCTCATCATCAGGTGAGCGAAAAGTAACCGGCGCGCCCGGACGCATTACATAGCCCGCGATCCATCAGGCCACTTTGAAAGGTAAACAAACGCAGGGCGATCCGGACACGCAGCCGGAGCATCCTAGCTGCTGAATCTCACTCGCTGGCGTCCTCAGCTTCGTGGCCCACAGCAGATGCGGAAGGGTGAGTCTTCCCCGCATTGTCGGGCATGAATCTGACTCGTATTCGTCGCTTTTGCGGCTCCAGGTCTCCCTTTGTCCATTCTCTGCCGCATTCCTTCCCTCCTCGACTGCGCTCCTCGAATGGGATTTCGCTTTGACGGCAAGGTTCCAAAGGTTGGCGAGAAAGATCCCAAAGCTTGCGGGCGTCCCAGCACTCCGTGGACCCGCAGATCTGCCGCGATCTGACCTTGGCGAAGCTTTGCTGTGGTACATCGGGTTGCAGCATCCACCGTTTCCGTACTGATCTAACACTCGTTACGCAAACCTGTCGATGTCCTGGAAAACTTTGCTCCATCTTCCCGCGTCATCCTGGTCTGGTCAATAGCTGTTGAGCTCGTTCGGACATCGGGGCAAAGAGCTCTCAACCCTGTTCGGACAGGACCCGTTCGTCCACATGTCAAATGCTCGTATGAAAGACTCTCTTTGGACAAAGCTTTGATCCGCTTACAGAAGGTCTCCTTACACCCGTCATGAGATGTAGCATTACCGTCCGCCCAGCATGAGAACTGCCCGAATGATTGGCTTCCGAAGCCACTGGTCCACAGTGTACACGTCTTCCAACATGGACGCAGGCACACCAACCTGAGAACATTTGAGGGGTTTCCGCTGATCCTGTCGAAGGTTTGGTCTTCGGGACGATGAGCAGCTGGAGAATCATAGAGGTCGATGGTTGAAGTGCCTGCTACATAAGCACCTCTTCTTCCGGAGAAGGTCTTACCATCATGCACACTGTCTCCCATCCGACTTCTAGACTCGCCCCTCCCCTTCTCAAGAATAACACTTACAACCTTTTCCCCACCTCAAAAGATGTCTTATAAAATCCCCACCGAGCAATGGGCTCAGGTCATCGACAAGGTTGGCGGGCCCCTCCAGTACAAGAAGATCCCCGTCGCAAAGCCCGGTCCTGAGGAGGTCCTCGTCAACATCAAGTACTCCGGGGTCTGCCACACCGATCTCCATGCTCTCAATGGCGACTGGCCCATTCCCACCAAGCTGCCTCTTGTCGGTGGCCACGAGGGCGCTGGTATCGTGGTGGCTCGCGGTGACTTGGTCACCGATGAGATCTGCAAGATTGGCGAGGCCGTCGGCGTCAAGTGGTTGAACGATTCCTGCCTGTCCTGCACATTCTGCCAACAAGCCGACGAACCCCTTTGCCTGACTCCGAAGCTCTCGGGCTACACCGTCGACGGCTCCTTCCAGCAATACTGCATTGCCTCCGCCAGACACGTCGCTCACATTCCCGAGGGCGTGCCCCTCGACGAAATCTCCCCCGTTCTCTGCGCCGGCATCACCGTCTACAAGGGGCTGAAAGAGTCGGGAGCGCGGCCCGGGCAGACGGTCGCCATCGTCGGGGCCGGCGGTGGCCTAGGCACGTTGGCCCAACAATACGCGAAGGCCATGGGCCTGCACACCATTGCCATCGACTCGGGAGATGAGAAGAAAGCGCTCTGCCAAAAGATGGGTTCAGAAGTAAGTGATCAAATCCCACACGAGTGAACGGGAACTGACACACACGCACTTTACAGCACTTTATCGACTTTGCCAAATCCAGCGACATCGTCAAAGACGTGAAGAATGCAACCAAAGACGGTCTCGGGCCTCACGCCGTCATCCTGGTCGCGGTCAGCGAGAAGCCCTTCCAACAGGCCGCGGAATACGTGCGCCCTCGAGGCACCGTCATCGTTATCGGCCTCCCAGCCAAAGCATACATCAGGGCCCCGGTCTTCGAGTCGGTGCTGAAGATGGTCAGGATCCAATGCTCATATGTCGGGAACCGCCAAGACAGCGAGGAGGCCATAGACTTCTTCGCCCGCGGACTGATCAAGGTGCCTTTCAAGACTGTGGACCTCAAGGACCTTCCCAAGGTGTACGAGATGATGCATGCGGGCCAGATCGCTGGACGATATGTGCTGAAGATGCCTGATGCGGAATAGACGGGAATAAAAGGGAGAAAGTGAGCTTCAGTTCAATCAGCGAACATGTCTGATCACAGCTGCTGACACGGCCAACCGGTTGAGCTGGTGTCCTGTTTACGTACTGTAACATGTAGATCCCTTCCAACGAGACGGGTCCTACTTCAAAACTGTCCGGTGCCACCTGCGGCTTTGGGCCCAATCCCTATACATACAGTAGCTTTCGCCCGATAGCCCTCGATCAGCCCCCAGATGCAACTGAACATCCATATGGAATTCAGGCAGGTATGCCCATGAGGGTTAACACGCGGAGCAACTTAACCTCGGGCAAGGAAATGATCCACCGCTTGACCTTGGCGCTAAATCGTCCCGAGTACAAGACGTACCTGTGACAGCGGAAGCCACCAACGAAAGGGGGAGATGATGGTATCCAGGTGCAAGAATCGGTACTGTAGGTAGGCAATTCCCTCGGCTTTGAAAGAGTCAGGACTCGTGGCTGATCGCAACTGAGCACAATCACATGGATTTTGCTATCGACACTCAAAGGTGAGCTTGCGGTGGCATACGGAGCATCCCCTCGTACGGGTCTGCCTGCACGCCGTGAAGCAGGAATGGAAGTCACCCAGGATATAATCAAACAATCCATTCGAATCTCGAATCTCAAGACTCTAATCCGCCAATGACGACATGGCATCACATCTACAGTATCACATCTATCACATCAAGAAAACGCCGCCATCACTCCTGACCACACTGCCCGTGACGTTCCGATCCTTCAAGACATAAAGGTAACTCTCCACCACGTCCTCGACGCGGCCAATTTCCCCCGTCGCGGCTTTCCCCTTCATCCCGTCCATGGCCGCCTGGGCTTTTTCCCTATCTCCCAGCGAGTTGACCCACAGCTCGGTGTCCACGCCGCCGGGCGAGATCAAGTTGACGCGCACGGGCTTCAGATCCAGCGCCAGCCCGCGCGTCATGCCGTGCATGGCGCTCGCGTACGACGCCACGACGGCCCAATTGGGGATCGGCTTCTCCGAGACCGACCCGGTCGTGAGCGTGATGCTGCTGGCCGGGCCGGCATTCAAGTGGCCGACGGCTTCCTTGGCGACGAAGAAGGGCGCGAAGAACCGTACCATGCCCGCCTGTTTCATGAACGGCATGTCGACTTGGCCGAGTGGTTTCGCGGCGAGAGGGTCCCCGGCCGTGAAGACCACGTGGTCGAGTTTCGAGTCGAGGCTGCGGAAGAGACTCTTGATGTTGGATTCGAGCGTCGCTTCGTCGCCGAGGTTACAGGGGATGCCGGTGATTTTGGTGGTCTGCTCTGAGTCGGGGTATGTGGATCGGAGGCGCGAGATTGCTGCGTCGACTCTCTCCTTGCGCGAGGACGAGATGTAGAGGTTCGAGACGCGGTGTTCGATGAGGGCTTCCGCGAGGCCGAAGCCTAGGCCAGATGTCCCGCCTATGATGAGCACGGACGTGTTGGCTAGTTTGTTGGTATATTTCGGGGTCGTCATGGTGAGATGTCAAAGTGTGGACGGTTTCACTTTTCCAGCCAGAGGTCGACCTTCTCATAGGGGTATGGTTTGCGCTTCTGTGGTATTCTGGCGTTTGTGGGAGATTGTTGCGCCCAAGCGATGTCCAGATATGCTCTCTGTAGTACCTTCTCTGACCGAGCTGCCGTCAATCGCAATCGAGTCGTGATCGCACAATTCAGGTACACACTCGCAGGATACGACGGATTCCAGTATCGTCTCTTCTTCTGGCAGTCAATACAGTATGCGTATATATACAGCACCCTGGCAGCCCTCCCTTCCCTTCCCGGTATGCACTTCGATCCCGGCAGTTACGGACTTAACGATCAGAGCGGAGTATATCCGGCGTCATGAAGTCCGATTTTTCAGAGCGACCAGTCACCTACCTCGTACCAGTGCTTCAATGCATTCTTGACGTCAAGATCATGATACATCCACCGGAATACCTGGATGTTTCAACCGTTTTGCCGGAGAATTTCTCTGTCACTGCTCGACATACCACAGAAGTGCTGGATAGGCCGCTGTGCAGCTGGTGGCTACAGGAGATGGGAACGCAACGTCCTCTTTCGGTCGCGATATCTGACGTCAAGGTGATGGTTTGTGTGTGATTAGCTGACGGGCATAAACGTCTGCAAGGCCAGGGATATAACTGCATGGTATCCGGGTGTTATCGTCACGTCGCGTCTTGTACAAGGTGAGTGTGGTGGTTTAGCGGAGGGCAGAGGAGGAGAAAGGCCTTGGTTTCGTCCACGTCGGGGGGACTGATTCGGACGAACGAAGTTAATACACTATATCTGGGGGACTGTCTCTTCATCGGTTCTCATCCTTCCGAGCCTTGCCGTTGGCAGCTACTCCGCTCAAGAAAGGGTATCTGCCGTACCAGGGAGACAAAAAGTCACGAAGGTCCGCGAATAGGGTGAGTATCAGCAAATATCCAAAGCGACCCGGACCTCTTCGTCCTCAGGGAAAGTCGTGCGTGGCATGTTGACAGCCGCGCATGTTGCTGGCTGGACGGACACCGGAGTATAGAGTGCCTGGCTGATACTCGTAGACTAGCTCGACACTACATGTACTCTGTAGAGCCTGGGTCGAATCGACTCGGCGTGGCTCGCATTGCGTGGTAAAGAAACCTACTAAGTGACCAGCCTCGCTACCGACACGTTGTCCCAAGACCTTTACTACTCACAGTGCTTAAGTAGACTTGGCTTCTCTCGAAGCGATCGGGGAGGAGTCACCCGGATCTGGTCGTGGGAGATGCAGCCTTGTCATCTGTGCTCCCCCCCCTGCTTGCCGCGAGTGGGGTGAGTGATCAAACACGCGTGTCTCGCCAGTGGTGGGAGCCCGCTCTCTTAGCATAGGATACATACGGAGTAGTTCGATTTGGAATCTCCATCTCCGGCTATATCTCCTTCTTTTACTAAAGTATGGACTGGAAGGGTCTTTCCAGCGGTGGAAGTCTATGTGGACTGGTCTCTGAATACTGGAATGTCATTTCTGGGTTAAGTAATACTTTGACACCCCTTGGGACTAAGCAGAATATATTGAATTGTAGGTACTCTGCTGACACTGCTCCTTTTTTGAGCAAGCATAGGTATTATAGGTATCGCTCCGTCTGTAGACGAGGCGCAAACACGGTTGTTGTTCTCGCTTGCCCAGCAATGCCTACCTACCTCCCTACCTAGACTCTAGCATGCATGACTACACAGTCCTCCGCAATACACTGTATCAAGTCAGAGCCGCGACCAACTCGTCCACCGTCTTCATGGGCTTGTCATTGTTCTCGCCGACGTCCAGCGGCACGAGAATCCTACTGACGGCATTATACCCAGCCACGACCGTGGCCAGCTCCAGGATCTCGCGGTTGTCAAAATGTGTTTTGAGGGCGTCGAAGGTGGCGTCCTGCACCTTGACATCGACGGTGGCTTCGTCCGTGTATCTCAGCACGGCCACCTCTTTGTCACTCAGCGTAGCTGCGTCTCCCACCTCGCCCTTGGGTGTGCGGCGGGCGACTTCCAGCGCGTCCGGCGATAGCCCTGCTTTCAGTGCCAGCGCGGCGTGGATGTTCCACTCGTACACGGCGCCGGTGAGGATGGCGACGCGCGAGATGGCCAGCTCGAGAAGGGCCTGCGACACGATGGTCTCGGTGCGCAGGGCGCCCACGAAGGCGTTGTACCCGTTCGCCACGGGCGGGGAGTGCAGCAGCGTCAGGTCGAGTGGGATGAGAGGGCGTGGTTTCCGCCGTGCGGCGATGCGGGCGTAGATCTCGGCCACGGACGAGGGGGAGTCCGGAGGCGGGGTGGACGGCGCGTAGGGGAGGCGCATGGTGGCACACCGGTCCTAACTTCGTAATGCTGTAAATGTATCTCTGGAGCAGTAGGGGCCCACACCCCGAGAGAGAGAGAGGGAAAAGGGCGACAAGTGGGAATTAAAAGCACAGAGAGAAAACGAGTTCATGGAATTACTTGCGGGGTTGTGAGGGTACGTTGAGTAACATTAAGTACCCGTTAAAACAAATTCTCTGCGCGCCCGCACAAGCCGGCATCGGGGACCGTCTGATTGAACATCACAGAATGGAGGATCACGGCAATTAAGAGTACAGTGGCCCAAAGGTGTTAGGACGGAAGTGCAAAAACACCCTTTCGTGGGAGATAGGTAGGCTTCGCGGGGTTGCTTAATTATCAGTCATGATGATCATATATGCTATTTCCATGTCCGGTACGGCTACAGGGATCGATGGAGCGCTAAATGCTCCCTTCGCATTGTCGAGGGCTTGCAAAAAGAGCCCTCACACCTCCCCCGTGGCAATCATGCATTCAAGAGAAGAGCAAACGCCAGAACCCCCAAGAAACCTTTGCTGAAAATGCCTAGAACACGGTATGGACCCAGCCCGCCTTCTGGCCGGGCTTCAAGGGAGCCAGCGTGACGTTGTACTCCAGATCCAGTTCGGCCTTGGGGTCCTTGGAGGGCTTGAAGTCGAGCAGCAGATCGTCCTTGACGGCGCAGACGGAGTCACTGGTCACATAGGGGTCATCCCGGGGATAGAGCTGGGTGGTGAGAGATTTGTAGCCGTCGGCGCTGACCATGAGATGGATGTGAGCCGGTCGCATCGGATGGCGGTCCATGAGATTCAGCAAGACGCCAGCCGGACCATCGGTGGGGAGCGAGTATGCGGTCGGGTGGTAGCAATAGTAGTAGTATTCGCCCTTGTCGTTGGTCCTGAACTTGCCGCGCAGGTTGTTGACGGACTGCTCGTCATCCTGGAAATCGTACTTGCCGTTCGCCGAGGCTTGCCAGATGTCCACAATGGCGTTGGAAATGGGCTTGCCGGTCTTGTAATCGCTCACCACCCCGTGCATGAGCGTGAGTCTGCCGGTCGGGTATGGGTCTTGAACAATGCTGTCACCGAGCTCCCGGAACGGCGCGTGGGGACTCCAGAACGGGCCCAGGATGGTAGACGACGTGGGCGTTTCGTCACTGTCGAGCATGATCTTGTTGGCTACTTCATCGACCAGTCTGTGGAACGCCGCGTGGTCAGCTCTCGAGAATTTACGTAGTCAGGGAAGTCTTTCACGTACGATTCGATGCCGAGCACATCGCAGATCCGCTGTCCTTCGTTGCGCTTGGAATCGCTGATCTGGCCGATGGCGTTGACAAACTGGACGCCTCGCATCCATTCCTCGGGTGTCAGTTCTGTCTCGCGCACAAAGTCATGGAGATGCCGGATCAGCTTTGCGAGGACAAATCTGGCTCGGTCGGGCGTCTTGGGACCCATGGCGTTGATGAGGCTGTCGGTGAAGTTGGGATCATATTTGTGACCGGCCGTGTGCCCGTTCGTCACCCCGTTCAGGTTGACTGACGTCGAATTCTCGACAACATTCTGGAACGACATGTTTGCTGGTGAAGGGTGTGTAGGCGAACTGCGAGTATGTCGTACGTGAGAGGAGTGATCGTGTCACGCAGTCCCAAGGCCGTTGATTAAAGACGCAGGTTGCACGACGAAAGCTGGAATAAGCTGAGAGATGCGATATAGCAAGAAGACTTCGGCCGTTTGCAGGGTCACGGTGGCAGTATATATGGGCTGGTCATAGGGAACGCACAGCACTAGCTGGCAACGACAGTCGGCTCATGACGTTGGATTCTTCCCTCCGCGATTTCTATCCTGAGGAACCCTTCGTCCGCGGCAGCGAACACGGGCCCACGCTGGGCCAATGGGGACGGTGTCAAGTCTAAGCAGGCCGGAATCTGGCATGAGGGTTGGATCCTCTGTCGGCAAGTCGTGCCGCCTCACGCATCTCGCCTGGAAACCCGGTAGTTGGAAGAACAGCTAGCTAGCGACACGTATCGAGATCATGCCGGCAATCAAATTCGGCATCTCCAAGTCTTTCGATCTGCGGGGCATTCCGGGGCTGGATGGGCTGGACGTGCTGCTCGTGGTTTGCCACTATGCATCCCCCACGGCGAACAGGGCTTGACAAGGCTTGACCGGGTCAGACACTCGGCATGGGCCGTCTTGAAATACCGTAGCCATGTGATCTGGCTTTCTTGAGAATGTCCTACTACGGAAGTGCCCAAAATGAAACACCATCTGATGATAGGGACATGGACGCCGCCGGGTGCCATCTTCACGGTCGAGTTCGACGATGAAGCCTGGACCCTGAAGCTGGGCAAGAAAACATCCATCCCGGCGGATGAGCCGATATCATGGATGACATTCGATGTGAGGACTATCAGCGAGTGTGCGGCCTAGCCCTGAGATTGGCTCTGCTGACAACATCCCTGCGAGCAGCATGCACGGCGAAACATCTACGGAGCGTCGATGAAGAAGTGGTCCAGCCATGCCGTCAAAGCACCAGACAACATCTCACATGAGGTTTCGCATCCGATGAACCATGACCGTATGTCGGCGCGGCTTCTTGCAAGCTTGAACTTGGGCTGACGCCAGGCAGCTCGTGCTCAGAGCGCCGACACCAGGACGAGAGCGATATTTGTACTGGCAGCCAAGCAGCCGCCCTACTGCGTCTATGGCAATCCGTTCTACGAGCATGCAGGCTACGGTAATGTCTTCTCCGTCGACGACAAGGGCACACTCGACAAGAATATCCAAAATTACGAATACAGCGAAAAATCCGCCATCCACGGAATGGTCTTTGACCCGACTGAGACCTATCTGTATTCCGCCGACATGTGGGCCGACAAGATCTGGACGCACAAGAAAGCGAGCGACGGTACTCTTACCCTGGTCGGCAGCGTCGATGCACCCTCGGCGGGCGATCATCCTCGATGGGTGGAAATTCATCCCAGTGGACACTACCTTTACGTGCTGATGGAGGCCGGGAACAGACTGGGGGTCTACGTGATCGATGAGACGACCCACCTCCCCGTCTTCACCCAAGATCTTTATCCGCTTGTTCCTCCAGGTACGCGCCTGATGCGGGAATACCACATAGGGCTAATGAGAAGCAGGTGTCCGAGACCTCAAGAAGATGTACAGATCCGACGTGGTATTTTGTTCGCAGAGTGGGAAGTATCTCTTCGCAACCGCCCGGTCGAACTCGTCCAGCGTGACCGGCTATATCAGCGCCTTCAAGCTTGGACCGCAGGGCCAGGTTCAGAGACAGCTCTGCATCAGTCCGACCCCGAATAGCGGCGGTCACTCGAACGCCGTGAGTCCTTGTCCTTGGACGGACGAGTGGTTGGCTTTGACGGATGATCAAGACGGATGGGTGGAAATCTACCGTTGGCACGATGAGTATCTTTCACGCGTCGCTCATTTGGACATCAAAGAGCCCGGCTTTGGCATGAATGCCATCTGGTACGACTAGTCTGAGGTTTCTACTCGTAGCATCCTACAGTATACTGTATGTGGAAATGTGGCAGAAGACCCATTGACCCCTCCCGTTCACGCCCACGGCGGATAAAAAGTCTTCCGCTCCGGCATCCCCCCGGCAGCAGTTCATGTCGCCATCTTGTCCATCCTGCCCCACGGGACCGTCCCGATGCAGTTGGAGGTAATTACGGAGGACTGTAGGAATAGGCATCGAAGCTCGGCAAATACTTCGCACGCCTGACGCAGACTTCGCGGAAACCTCGGGCTCTCGATTTTCTCGCTGTGAAGACGTATTGAGCTGCATACTTGTGCATGGCCACAGACCCTCCAGGGCAACCGTACACTCGACCGTGTTCGTGGCGCCACTTGAATCACGAAAGGGGCGAGGCAGAGTAGATTACAGCCCCAAACACCCGACTGGACTGTCACGGTCTCGCCACGGACGACAAATCTCTATACCGTGGTGGTTTTGTATCGACGGGGCCGTGTGAGTCGCCGCCATGGCCTCCTCAAGCCCCATCCGCGGGCTGCTGTTCGTGACCATGCAGCCCAAGGAGACATTGTCGCTCGATCTCTTCCATGACTGGTACAACAATGAACACGGACCCAACCGAACACGGCTGTCGTTCATGCCGAATGGGTTTCGATATCGAGCGACAGACTTGCCAGCGCCCAACGCCGGCACTCGCGCCGACCCCGAGTTCCTGGCCATCTACGATGCCACGGATATGCACCAGTTCACCGAACAGCCGTACCAGTATCTGCGAGCACCGCCGGGCAAAACGCAACGAGAAATCGATGTCATGGCCCAGATCTGGGTGGACCGGTTGACGCTGGATTTTGTGGGCGAACGGATCAACGACAAGACATTCGTCAAACTCGAAGCGCCCGAACATTTCCGGGAGAACGAACAAGGGAATGTCCTGACGACACTCCGATTGCTCCTCGCTCCAGAACAAGTCTCAATCGTGGAGGACTGGATCCAAACCACTGTGCTCCCAACGGTGCAAGACATCCCCGGCTGGAGGAGGACATCATGGTTCAAGACGTCCTATCTCGAACCGCGCCAAGACGGAAAGGTCGATTTTGTCCTGATCAACGAATACACCCCGTCCACCGACCCTAAAGCATTGCCGTCGACACTTAACGCGCCGCCCTCGGATATCTCGGAGCCCAAGGCACGCACATATGAACTCTTCTACACGTTTGGAACGGCAGCACGCCACCTGGCCATCGTGGCACCGTGGGCGTCGGCAGACGGAGTCACGAAGACGCTACCGAAGGTCTCACCATACGGCTCGGCCATAGAGTCGACCGTCACCACACGGGACGGCGCAGTGCTGCCCTTCCGCCTCGAAGGCAACTCCGACCCCAACGCACCCGTCTTGGTGCTGGTTAACTCGGTCCTCACGACCTGGGGCATCTGGGACGCGTTTCTCACGCACTTCTTTTCTCGCCCGCAGAACCAAAAATACCGCGTCCTACGCTTCCTGGCCCGTGGCCGTGTCATTCCCAGCGGCACAATCAGCCCCGTGACCGTGGATCTACAAGCGTCGGATGTCATCCAGCTGCTGGACGCCCTGCGCGTCCCCCAAGCAGCGGGCCTCGTGGGCGTGTCCATGGGTGGCGTTACCGCTCTGGCGACGGGCCTCAAGTACCCGTCCCGGATCAAGGCCTTCGTGGCGTGCGACACGTCCGCCAAGTCTCCCGCCGGCAACAAAGATACCTGGGGCCAGCGCATCGCCGTGGCGGAGAAAGAGGGCACCACGCTGCGCCTGGCGTCTCTGTTCGGCGACGAGTCCTCAGACGCGAGTCCGCAGGCCGTCGTGGGCGAAGAGCTCGCCGAGATGACGGTGCGGCGGTGGTTCGTGCCGGAGTCGTACGACAATCCCGAGGTCGTGCCCGAGATCGCCCGGGTCAAGCGCATGGTTTACACCAATTCGCTGCCCGAGTTCAGCCGGGGGGTCGAGACTTTGTTCAACTACGACTACACGGGTCTCCTGGCCGGGTACAAGGGCCGAGGCGCCTTCCTGGTCGGCGCGGGTGACGGCGTGCTGCCAAAGGGCATGGAGAAGCTGTCGAAGGAGCTGGGATCGGCAGAAGGGAAGACGGCCGCTTTCAAGCTCGTCGAGGGCGCTGGGCATTTACCCATGGTCGAGAAACCCAAGGAGGTGGCTGACTTTGTGGGAGACTTTTTGAGCGCTGCTTGACCTATTAACTTGTCCTTTCGACCTGGCAAGTGGAAGATAAAGAAAAGAATGGATATTCTGGTCGTCGCAGCGGCCGGGCTGGGCCGTGTTAGAACACGATCATACGTACCTGTGTCTACCTGATATCTTTACCCGCAACGACGTATCCCTGTTTTCTCTGTTCTTCGCTTTCTTCTCCTTTCTTCATTCTTTGTTGTTGTCATCCTCGTCCACGTCCTCGTCCTCGTCTTACTGCTTCTCCTCTTGCTCATCTTCTATACTAGAAGACCTCCCTTAACATACGCCCCTCTTCATGGTCCGGCCGCGCTCTTCCACGCCAGATGCCACTTGATACTCTCGACCGAAATAGCTCCCACGGCGACAACGACAATCTTGTTTCCTGGGGCTTGTGAATTATACAAATATTGTTAGCCGTGTCAATAGGCTCGATCGCGGCCGAAACCGCTCTGACGACCATCTCCAAGGAAGGCGTTAAGGCTTGTACAGCCAACGTCAATCACCATCCCCTTGGACTTCGATCACCATCCCCTTTAGTCTTGGTGGACGTCTTACGGTGTCGGAACAAGACATTACACTAATACACATGATCGACTGGTAAAGAGACTTTAAAAAATAAGATTAACCCTGAGACGGTAGGAGAGTAATCAGAAGTCATGTCAGAGGAGAATCAGAAGATGCTGAGGTAAGTCGCGAGGCCGTACCTAGTTTTGAAGGTGGCACGCACGGTCAGCTCCGAATAGTTTTACCATACGTACCCACGTAGGAATCTACCTTAGATTAAGTACGTACTCTCATTGTGGCGGCGCCAAGATTGTCATTGTCATTGTCAGACTCCAACAGCCACGACCACCACGAAGCTGATTCTCAGAACTGTCCTTGATTAATTTGTACCGGCTATATGATTTGTTGGCGCATTATAGGTAGAACTGGACAGTAATTGTGGTCGAGACGTGGTAAGCAGTTCGCCATCTGTGACAAGTTCCCTTTGTTATTGTTGTCGGTGTCCACGTACATCCTACGCACGTACATAGGCAAACGAGGAGGGAGGGTACAGAGAAAGTAGAGAGGGTTACGAGAGGGCTATACAGTTTTCAAGGTCAGTTAATGCTACTGCATGTGCTGCAATTTTCATGGTGCTCGTTTCTACGCGGTTTGAATGGTGTACGTACCTACTACCTACTGCTTGTCGCCTGCTTGTCGCACGGTTGACGCACGCGACCATGATTCAGGATACTTACTTGGTTGGCACGTCTACTTCGGCATTGAGAGGTTTGGGCTTCATCTCATTTTTAAGACAGAGATAAGGTACTCAGGTACTCCTTGTCGGCTTCGTTGTTGGGGTGTCGTCGAAATTCATTCATCCGCCCATCCACCCATCCACCCATCCATTCGTCGTACACAGGCACAGAGCTTGGGTAAATGCACCAGCTTGATGAGAAAGGCTGACTGTTCTGACTGCACCCAGACGGCTATCATATAGTACATACTCTACTCCGCGGATCAAACAGGCTGTGACCTTGCTTCGAAAACCCTTCTCAGCGAACAAGATCGTGTAGATCAAACCAAACCCCGGCGCGCCCGACATCTCCAGCGTCCTCATCCTCGACCTCCTCGTCGCAATCATGTCCGACGACCATTCCGTGCTGGCAACGCACACCGCGGACCCGAGCACGACCTCTCAACCCTTCTCCACCCCACCAACCTCATACACATACTATCATGCCGGCCCACTGTTCACGATCGCCGAACTACACACCAATGCACTCCTCGCCCAAGCAATTCAATCCATCTCCTCCGGCAAATTCATCCCCATATTGCCTCAAGACCTGGAACAACGCGACCTCTCCGCCCACGCCATCAGAGATGAAGACCTCCGCGCCCTCCTATCCTGCGACCTGGCCCTCTTTACGTACGATGGCGCAGAACTCGACGCCGGCACGGTCGTGGAGTACATGGTCGCGAAGATGGCGGACGTGCCCTCGGTGATTCTGAGGACTGATTTCCGGGGCGCGGGTGATCAAGGCCAGAGCGGGACCGAGACAGGTGATGCGTGGAATCTGATGAGTTCGAATTGGCCGCGCACCGTCACGCTCAGCGTGAACTCCATGGTCGGGTATAAATCGAGTTTGCAACGGACGATGGTCGCGAATCAAGGTCAGAGTGCGAGTGCGGCTGAACAGAAGAGGACTGTCGGAGAGAGTATGATTGCCGAGGTGGCGCAGAAGGTGGTGGATGGGTTTGAGAGGGTCGTCAAGGAGAAGCCCCGATTGCCCAAGGAATTGAGGCGGAGCGTTTACCAGTGGCTGGCACTTATGCCGGGATTCAAGAATGGTGGCAGCGAAGGGGAGGGATTGAGTGTCGAGGCGTTCGCCAGATTGAGCGACGACAAGGCCGCCAGAGGCCTGTTGTGAAGGGGGCAGATAGAGATCGAATCGAAGGGATGACGCAGGACCGCTGCTCCTGCTGCCAGGCACCAAAACTTGGGTGTTCGGCACCCCCTGCTTCGCTTCAGAGCCAGAAGAGCGACATATCAATGCGCGGGCCACTGCAAAACGCATACAGCCTGGAGGGAAATAGGTCACGCTAACCGCTGGAGAACGAGAATGGCACCATCAGATGGGAATAGGACAAGCGTACAGCATCGTGGGCTGGCACATGACAACCCGAGCATCGGCCAACCGCTTTTGTGAGGAAGAGCGAATCGAGGCTGTTAGAAGAGAAGCGGACAGTCCTAAAACCTGCTCGAACAAGCCACCCGACATCCAATTTGAAGCTAAGTGAAGAGCATGCAGGAGGGGGAGAGTCTGAGAGGGTCATGAGGAAGAAGATTGAACTATTCAGGGGGAAAACCCAGCTTACCAAATGGTAGAACGCTCCAGGCCATATATCCCACGCAATTAAACGGTGTACAAATATCACGATGTAGTCCCCGGTCGAGAGTTCTCGCACACCATACCGATCTTAGTGCATATGCAATATGATGCCTTCGAGACAATCCCTGTTCCAGATAGATTTGAGGGCCTGGAGGCAACTCTTTCACGCTTTATGCTTGGTCTGAACGAGGATATTGTGCAATGAATGCGTCAATGAAGCCCTGCAACCCCAGCGCATTCCCACGACACCTGCTCAAAGGCCTCTTCTGCTGGCAGATGTTTTCTGTTCTTGAATCGGGGCACGGAGGGAGTTTCGAGTAACGGAACGGCCCTCTTTTGAACGTACGAGGCGTCGGGAAAAATATAGGAGTTTCCATGCCTCGATAATGGCATTGGCAGACCCTTTGTACAGCGCTGCCGCTTTCGAGATCAAATTTATGCTGCACTCCACAAGTGGGACGACACTCGCATCCCACGATGAGGGCCGATGTAGGGTCGAGCACCATAGCGGCTGGCAATCTGGAAGGCATAATCGGTTATCAACGAGGGTGCGCGCGGACTGATTTCCTAGGGTATGAGGCTGAGGCCAACGAATCTGCCATATACACAGCCCACATTGCGACAGCCTGCATGGTGCTGAGGAGGCGGACGCACCAATCTGGATATGCCTTCGCTAGGGAGCCAGTATATCAGAAATCGGACACTGCGAACAGCAGGAAATGCGTCGTGAGGAGAGGAACTTCAGTCCGTGACACAATTGCACGGTACGGAAAAACAATCCGCCGACCAAGGCTACACCAGACACTGTCCGTACCATGCAACGGCTGCCTCAATCTGCTCATCGCTTTCTTCTTCAACACCTGTCCGGCGCTTGTTTGCGCCGCCAATAATCAGCATGTCGGCGTCCCTCGCTCCTGAATGCAATGAAGTCAAAGAGTACGCTTCACACTCGAGCGCCGATTTTGCAAGCTGACGACGGTTGACAGGAAGTACGATACGTGCTTTCTGAAGTGGTATTCTGAGAGTCGGTCTCTCGCGATGACTTTGGTGGCGAAATTACTGAAAGATCTCCCAGAGTATCTGCGAGGAAACTCATCCACCGATGAGTGTGAGCCGCTTTTCAAGCAATATAGGAGCTGCTTGACCGTACGTTCAATTTCAGTTTAAGCTACATGCCCGCGCGTTGACTTTCAGCAGAAAGCACTCAAGGACAAAGGCATAGACTCGATGTTGGCAGAAACCCGAGAGGGTACCGCAGAGACCGATGCTGAGCATCTGCGGCGGTGACAACATTATTCCCAGCCAGCATTGTTTGGGTCCGATTGAAGCAGCACTGTCCTTCGCTGGGAGTCCAATATTGATATGCCTGTCACGACTCAACAGCCTCCGGTCTGCAAATTGGTCTGGCTATTTGAGTCATCTCTGAACGACAAGATCACTCCTCAACACCCATTTCTCACCGCTCCTCACCTCTTTTCCCTCATGGAGCAGACAGTCGTCGCCGTGCTTGTGGAGCAAGCCCATTCCAGTCTCCAGTCCAACTACAATCGGCTCTGGCGGTGTCTCGCCTTTCTTGGATGGTTCAGGGTAGAATGCAGTCTCGCCACCATCGCAAGTTGTAAGATAAATGAGCAGGGTCCAGGTTGTTTTGGCATGTAGCTTGGCCTGACCAAACTGTAATCTAATGCTCTCATCATAATGCTTGTCAAAGAATTGACCAGCCCGGTATCGATACACTCTGATGTTTGGGTTCAGCCCGAGCACCTTTCCTCCAAACACAGTCTGGTCCTCAAATGAATTCACCAAGGATTGCAGGCCACTCTGCTCCCACAGCGTTCTTGCGAATACTGGATCGTCCACCTGGAAGCGGTCATTCACACGAGTCGCCTCTCCTCGCTTTGGCTTTCCAGGTGTTGTAGTCAAGGGCAATGAAGACAGGAAAGAGGTATAGTTCCTGCATAGGCTGGACGTGAACAGGTTCCTCACGACCAGGATCTGTCCAGCAAGCACGGTCTCAATGAGGAGATGTTCCGCGGGCACGACTGGACTCAAAGGCGGCCAGTTCGGCGGGACAGCCTTCGAGGCTTGAACTCCGTCAGTTTTTGACTGGGCTGGCTTCTGCTTTGCCCGGGGCGCCATGAAGGGACTCGATTTCAGCAAGGCAATAGGCGTCGCATTGACAGGCAGGAGTGAGTCATGGTACACCAATATGTAGCACAGGACTTGGAGATCCTCGACGGCTCCCTTTGTCTGAAAAAGCACTCAGCCCGGCATGTGCTGTGACTGGCCGACGACCAGATCCTCCAACTTCTCGAGAATTGTTGTACGCATTTGATTGGCTGCCGTAGGATCGACAGTCCGCCTCGCCGCCCTCTTTGTCGACTTTTACTACCGCGAGGGAACTTTTCGTTTGCATGCGCATAGATGACTGACTACTGTGTCGCGCTGTTCTGGAGTTGATCTTGCAGACCTCGGAATGTCGTCGCAGGCCATTGCGACGTCGACAAGAGGTCTGCCAGATTTCACATCATGGCCTGACCACTCGAATCTTCACCGCGACAACCACAGCGACTCGGACCGTGAAGACGAAGTAGACCGACAACCAAGCCACTCGCCCGTATCGAGTCGCCCTTCATGGAGTGAGATGGACGTGCAACAAAGGAGCCAGGCAGTTGGTAATCTGTTGGCAGCTCTCGCTCCCGTCAGTCCCACCTCAACTCAGACTCAACCTCAGACCGCACCTGTGCCCGCCCACGCGCAAACACACCAGCCGCCTTTGCCAGACCTGCCTATTGAGCCTATTGACGACGTGGAGGACAATCCCACTGCAGAAGCCACCGACGGCAACAATCAAAACCTGGACCCAAACATCGCCGATGCCCCTCTTCCCACTCTCCCGCTCGATTACCCTGATCACTTTCTCGATGCGAGCACGCTACCACCATTACCTTACCCGCTCCCTCTAGACGCTCTAGAAGAATCTCTGCCAACCAGCAGCGGTCTGGCCGCACCATATCGAGAAGAGTCGCCGCCGCCTACCGCCCTTCAAATGTCATCTCCCGAGAAGAGAGAGAGGAGGCAAGTCGAGGCATTCGCGAAACTTGAATTTGACGATGGAAATTACTACATCACCACCTACGCATGCGAGCTGGGAAGAGACGCCTTTGCCTACAAAGCTGCCCTTGCAAGGGAAGAAGCGCTCAAGGCCGGGCACGATCGCGGCCACAGCTCAAGCGGAAGAAGTGGACGACGTTCAGGCTTGTCTCAGGGCGTTCCACTGCCCGGCGACAGCCAGGTGCAGGGGAGCGTTGTGAGCGAGGCTGGAGGTTTCGGCGGTGTCGATGACGGCCCTGTCCTCAAACATGGCAAAGATGAGGACGGCAACCCACTCCACTCTCATTCATCTGAGATGTCTGCCGGTAGTGTTGTCAGACCTCAGGAAGTTCTCTACCATCCTCCACCAGCTCCTTTCGACTACCATCGAACAGCTCAACGTCAGGCAGATGCTGAGAACAAGAAGAAGGTCCGTGGCCCGGAGGAGGAGAAGCCGGCGCCTGTAACAGACGAACATCTCCCTGATGCAAATCGTTGTCCGCTTATTCCCATCCATGCTACGCAGAATGAGGAGATATCAGAGGTTGCTTGTCACAGAAATATCTCCCGACGACACGTAAGGATAGAGTGGAGTGACAAGAAGGAATGCTTCCAAATGCATATCCTGGGCAGGAATGGTGCCTTTTTGGAGGGCGAGTGGTTAGCCTGTGGTCAAGTACGAAAACTCCGTGATGGTTCAAAGATCCAGGTATCCGGTGTGGAGATGACTTTCAGGCTACCGCTTGAGGAGAAGGAAGAGTCTCCGAGCGAGGAGTCCGGCAGAGAGGATGTCGATCAGAGTCCACTTCCACCTCCACGGAGCACCTCACCAACCTCGGACGAGCAAGATAGAAGCATCTCACCACCGAGACCAGCGCCAGGCAAGGGCAAGACGAAGATTATCCTCAAAGCCTCGGTGCAGCCAAGCGCCCCGCCTCCCTTACCAGCAGCGCTGCCAGAACCTGTCCTTGGACCGGACGGGCTGCCTCTACCTGCAAAGAGACGTGGACCTGGCAGGCCGCCCAAAGATGGAATTATGTCAACTCGAGAGCGAAAAGAAAGGGAGAAAGCTGCTAAGCTTGCTGAGGCAAAGGCCGCCAATGGGGGGATGACACCACCACCGATGCGAGGCAATAAGCCGCAGAAGCCTGTCATGAAAGAGGAGGAGCCCACAACCGATCTGAAGCCCGAAAAGAGGAAGTATAAGAAGCGAAAGCGAGAAGGCGAAGATGGCGACGTCATGCCATCTATCGAGGGAGGTGAGATCGAAATGACTGCTGAGCCTGAAAAGCCACCTCCACCCAAGAAGGCGAGGTCGAAATCTCCCAGTCCAGACTACCCCCCAGCAGAGAGCTTGACGGAGGAGCAGCTTGCTAGACCGTCGGAACCATATGCTCGACTTATCTACGATATCTTGCTGGACATCCACCCCAGGGCCCTTCCGTTGAAGCAGATCTACCGTGCCCTGAAGCTGAAGTTCCCATTCTTTGTACACAGGGTAGATTCAGAGGGATGGCAAAGTAGTGTCCGGCACAATCTGAACCAAGAATGGAACAAATTGTTCGAAAAGGGGGAGAAAGAAGGCAAAGGCTTCGCATGGAAGGCTATCCCGGGTGCATTACAGCCTCAAGCAGAGAGAAGACGTGCCACCCAGCAAGCTTCAGCCTCCAAACCGAAGCCGATCCCCACTCCACGCCAGACGGTCCCTCAAGGACCTCCTCAGCAGCTCAACTGGCAGAACAGCACTCCTTATCCTCACAACGGTATGCCCCCTCAAGGACATCATCCGCCTTTCTACAGCCAAGGTCCAAATGGATCCCTACCACCACCGCCTAACGGTATGCCATGGCCCGCGCCGGGCAGTTTGCCTCCGTCAGGTTCACCATATCCGCATGGCAAAGCTCCCCCATACGGTCAGCCCGGCCAACACGCTCAACCTTTCTATCCTACGCAACAAGGCTCCTCGCATGGGAGCGTGGGTCATCCAGCTAATCAAGGACCTTATCGACCTCCACACACCGGGGCGACACCGGTGCCAGCTTCAGTCATTCCAACTAGCACTTCGGCGTCTCGAAATATGCCCTGCACTCTAGACGGCCTCATTACCATAAAGACTTTCGAGAACGCAATGCTGAAGACTGTCCACCCATCGGGCCTGGAGCGATGGCAAAGAATCTTTGCGTCTGCAAGGAACAGACTGCTCCACGGTCACCTAGAGTCTTTGATGCCTGGAGGCGAGTGCGCAGAGGAAGCCACCATCATGAAACACATGCAGGATTTCATTCAACGATTTAGGAACCCCAGCTTTGTTGGGTTCTCAATAGGCACTGGGTCGCCCGCACCGATTCAGGTCACCGCGACTTCCCAGACCAGCACACCACAGCCTATTCCATCGGCTTCTGCAGTAAAACCTACGTCGCAAGATGATCCCTCCGCACAGGCCGTTGCTTCACGTCCATCTCCTCCACACTCGGCTTCAACCGCGCCTGCTAATGAGCCCCCGAAGACTCCGGTGCAAAAACCAGAAGCAGCACCCTCTGCTGGAAGCGACAAGATGGAAGGTGTTGAACCATCCACAACCGCCACATCAGCCGCCACAGATTCAGTCGCATAGGTCACCTGGCTTCCCGGGCTTTGAAGGACAGGTGCTATGTAATCGGGTTCTTCGCCTCGGTTCAACAGAGCTGAATGCAGTAAGGCCCTCAACAACCACACCTTTCCTTTGGTATTCTCCCTTGTTCTGAATGATACCCACACCACTTGGTTGTCGCTTCATCCGTATCCAGATTCCTGCGTTCGGACACGGGGAACTTATCCTCTCAGACATGATTACAGCATGGCGTTTCGGGCTAGCATGAACATGAGAAAGGCCGCTCACAATAAAAGCGATTCAATGTTGAAACGGAACAAAAGACATAGACGTTCGAGTACCTCTTCCTTGGTGCTCTTACCGGCAAGAGAGCACTCAACACGGTTGATCGATGATGAAAAGATACACACGGCTTTGAGTATCTCTCTGATGCTGGCACTTGAGTACTGGTAGAATAAAAATATTCAGCTGCATCAATCATAATGACTTATCACCTGCATTCTTGCGAGCTGGAGCCGTGGCCGATAGACGCCATAGAAGGTTGATGTCGTTGCAAACTGATCTCGGCAAAATTACGACCATGAGGAGTAATAAGAACTCTGGAGATGGTGCCATCCATAATATTGCTTCCCTCTTGCTCTTCTCTCGATATCACGCAGCCATGTAGTTTCTCTGCCTTCATTGCCTTGGAGGCACGTAAATACTATCATGCTACGCATCGCTCTGCTGGCTCCGGCCATCTTACTCCTGCGCCTTCTCCTGGTCACCGCAGACGACGTTCAATCTCCCCTCGGCGATGATGCTCAGCGATGGCACCAACCTCAACGCATAGCAATTATAGGCGCAGGCCCCGGCGGCTCCTCAGCTTCCTACCATCTCCGCAAGTTCTCCCAGTCCTCGACTGGAGCCGAAGAAACCCCCGTCGAGATCACCGTCTTCGAGTCAAACCCGTACATTGGCGGACGAACCACGACAGTCAACGCCCTCGATGATCCACGCTACCCTGTCGAACTGGGTGCCAGCATCTTCGTCAAGATCAATCATATTCTCTACAACGCGACCCGCGATTTCGGACTGTCTTCCACGGTCAAACTTTACGAGTCCGTGCCCGAGTCGAAGTACGAGCTGGGAGTCTGGGATGGGGAGCACTTCGTGTTCACAGCCGCAAGAGACGACGATGACGATAGGTCCTCGTGGCAGGGATGGTGGGATATCGCGAAGTTGATCTGGCGATACGGGCTTGCGCCTATCCGGACCAGACAAGCTACGAGAACGGCCGTGGGTGGATTCCTCAAGTTCTACGAACAGCCCATCTTCCCGTTCTGGAATATCCAAGAGGCCGTGGACGCGACAGGACTGGACCAATACACCGGCGTCTCCGGGAAAGATGTCCTCCAGAGAGCGAAAGTGGGGGACTCGTTCGCCCGCGAGATCATCCAAGCCAGCACCCGCGTCAACTACGCGAGCAATCTCGCGAGCATCCATGGCCTTGAGACACTGGTCTGCATGGCGATCGAGGGCGCCATGGCCGTGGAGGGCGGCAACTGGCAGATCTTCGACAACATGGTGTACGGGTCGGCGGACGCTGTGTTTCTGAACACCAGCGTCACGACCATTACCAGGAACCACGGCCAGCGATACGACCTGACAACTGACAATGAGGAGGTCAACACGCAACTCGCATTACATCCTAGAGGGAACGAGTTTGACGTCCTCATCCTCGCGGCGCCGTTCCAGTTCGCAAACATCACATTCACGCAGCCGCTGCGCAATCCGCCGGAAAAGATCCCCTACGTCGACCTGCACGTCACGCTGTTTACCTCGCCGCATCGTCTGTCAGCTTCATTCTTCGGCCTCGCCGACCCGGCGGATGTGCCTTCCTCTGTGCTCACGACTCTCTCTGCTGAGATGTCGGAGAAGCTGGGCGACAGGCGGGGCGTCGATGCCGTTGGTCCGTCGGGCTTCTGGTCCATCAGCACTCTGGGCGTGCTGAATCCAGCCACCGACGGCGTCTTCTGCGGGCCAAGGGAGACTTGCACGATGCATGGCGCAGAGGAAGGAGCCGAGAGCGCTGACGAAACACAGTATCTGTATAAGATCTTCTCTCCCGCGCCTCTGACGGGTACATTCCTCTCATCCTTGCTCGGTTTCCCGTACACGTCCCCGACCACTACCCTCGAAGATCCTGTATCCTCCATCCCGAAGTCAGATATAACCTGGCTGCATGAGAAGGTGTGGCACAGCTATCCCTACGAACTGCCCCGCACGAAATTCGAACCCTTCAAGTTGTGTACGGGGTCCTTGTGTGCGGAGGCCGGCGGTCCCTCGGAGGGGATGTGGTATCTGAACGGGATGGAGAGTTTCATTTCCACAATGGAAACCGCCGCTTTGAGTGGTATGAATGTGGCAAGGTTAGTGGTTGATGCTTGGACATCGGACAGAGAGAGACGCGGGAAGCGACAAAAGGGAGATGAGATCTAGGAGTGGTTATAGCGACGGGCGTATTTGGGGCGCCGTTGAGATAGAAATAGCCTTGATTGAAACTCTTCGGTGAGCTTTAGATAGCCTCCTGGGATGCTGCTTAACTGTGACCTGTCCAGTCCATAGATACACTCAGATGAGACCAAGAAACATACCAGGTACTCGAGCCAACGCTGTGGCAGCCATGTCGCGAAAGACAGCACCAAAGACGAATCCTTGTTCAGCGTCCAGAGGGCGGTCGATCATCGCGATTGATGCCATTCTGAATCTCCGTCACGGCATGGCGAAGCAGAACAAGCACGTCGTGACTACATCTCGGCACACTGCAAGATAGGCGACCACAACCAGTGCTCGGCCCCGCAGCAAGACGCGACTTGTCGTGGATTCATTAGCTCAGAGCAGCCTCGTGAGAAGCGTTATTAGATCCTAGAAGCCTGCCTTTGCGAAGAGCACAAGGGACCTCCGTCCCTCCATTCAAGTATGACACCCACACGACGTTGGCATGTATATGTATCTCAAAGAGAACTTTCGACCAATCTGGCGCGCTGCTGGTACGTGTGAATAGGACGATCAACCAAAGCAAACTCAAAGTGTGAAGACGAAAAGTGATGTGACAATCAAGGACCTGCTCTTGGGCAGACATCAAGCAGCCACTGTTGGTCGTTCGGTCGAGGAGACATCATGATGGATTTACTTCCAGCAACAGCATCAACTTACAGTTGCTGTTGAGGCGCCGACCCTCTCGGCTTTGCAAGCGGGCTGGATCAAGAATCTGATGCGTTCAGCTCATTGCAGGACTCCCCTGGGTCCCAAGGAACGTGGACCGGTTCACGATGCCCCTGTACAGGAGATCTGGGGAGGGTGATGATGACTGACCAGACCGGTCCATTCTTGCGAGCACGAAGCACATTCTTGGCCCGAGTAATGAGAAAGGACGGCGAACGAGATACCAATATGCTGCCGGGGGATATGACTGGAGCAGGTGAGTATGTGGTAGGTTCATATTTCGGCTATTGTACTGTACCTCGCACTCGACTATTGATGCCTCATCAGTCCACAGAGGATCGACTCGTTGGGCAATAGAGGAAATGTCCATCATCAGCTGAAGCCCGGAGCGCCCTTTGGCATTTACACCGAGATCCGATACAGCGTACCTACTATGTACTGTGTACTCATGTCTTAGGATCGAGGCTACCACCCTTTCGCGAAACCGGGCCTCTCTAATTCAGTGAAATGAACCCAGAGGTGTCCGCAGTGCCCCCCTGGACCGTTCCAAAGACAGACATGCAGGTATGCATGCGTATGTGTGTACATGAAGGATTCACCACCACCATATCTGGATATGCTTGGACACATCACCAATACAGTACCGAAGTTTAAGCATTTTCTACGCCATCTCGAGGGGGAGCATGAAGCAGACTGCCGACCAACAACTACAGTATGCATTCCATTCCTAGCCTCGTTGTCTCATATGCACACTCACTCACACCACTCAGACTGGAGAGGCAAGTAAGTCGGCGGTAAGGCAGGGCTCGGGTACAGTCCTTTCAGGCCCGACGCCTTTTGAGCCCTATGAACCTTTTAACCCGGCTTCGTAGTGCCGTTACCGGACGGAAGCACATGGCATGGCATGCTTTTCAGGACCTTGGTACGGAGTATTGTCCCTCTCGATCGCTGCGTTTCATTCACGCACAAACGACAACACGGGAGTGGAGCACGGATTACCACTTACGGACAGATTACGAGCCAAGGATCGTCTAGGCACCTACTAGGTGTGTACGGGGTAATTAGTGCATAGGACTGAGTACACAGCCCGGAGGATGTGTCGGTTCTTCACCACACAGTCCACGGTCCACGGTACTGTGTACTCGTACATGTGTTCGGCAAAATTTAGGCTAAAGCCACAGTCATATGCATGCACCGCCCATGCATCCCCCATCCTTCCAGCGGACTTGGCGCCGTTGGCATCCCTCACATACTGTCCACAGGAGACGAACCTTCCTAATGCAACAGCGAAACACAGGCGGCCGTCTAAGCGCAAAGCAGAAGGTAACGAGGAAGCGCATGTAAGTTCATGACAACACAGCGTGCTCTTCCGGTTCTGAGCGCGGAGTGAAGCACACTACCGCCTGTTTCTCTTCCGATTCCTGGGGTCTCCGCCTTTACGTTTCGACACGTCGAAGGATGCACTCTGCTTGCTGGATGTAAATGGTCGGCCGCTGGTCCCTTGGTACTCAGAATATGGGGTATGGAGCGGTAAAGCTGTGAAGCTGGTTGAGAGTCACCCATCGGGCGTGAGTACGATCATGGGTCGTGGCTATGGTTGTGGTTCTGACTAGAGTCGCGGTCATGGGCCGGACCTGACTGTCGCCGTCTTCGCAACGGCTGAAGTCACGATGTCTGATCGGTGCGTTCCACCACTACCGGTATCGAGAGAGTGGCTGGCCGGCTGACCGACTGGTTCCAGTCTGTGTCTGATTGAGGAGCAGCCTGTGCCTGAACGAGGAGTGAGAACCGCCTCCGTTCTCTTTTCACGATGGATCTTGAAGTTTTGCAACTTCGGCTTAGCGAAGACAATACTGTAGGTGTCGTGTGGATAACGTGAATTCCGTGCATTGCAACACGCCTGGCGCCTTCCATTCTGAACATCGGCGAAGGACAGTCCGCGCTGGACATGTCCGTTTGAGAAACAGATGATACATTGCTACTCGGTGTAGGTGGGAAGGGCAGGGGCTGCCGATTGAGTTCTTCGCCATGGCATACCCGGTCCAAGACACGAAGAACGAAGGACGGGACAAGAAGGTTGCGTTGCGTTACCTCGGGCTGCACACCTCTGCGTCTGCAACTTAATGCAATGCAATCCGTCTTGAAGCTGACCAGAGCTGAACACGGAGATTCTTATGTGCTGGCAGACCCTAGACAGCTTCGAAGACGGAGGGACTCGTCGCCGTCCTCAAACCATCCCATCGACGAGGGTGGCGGCTCAGAGAACGGATCTATATAAGGGACTTGGGCTGGCCAGTTTCCATCTTTCCACAGAGCACAGCAGCGCACAGCAATCAACTCTACCTCCAACTTCCTTCTCGCACCTCGCCTATACTCGACGACAAGCATCTCATCTCGTTTCCAACATCCAGCCCATCTCCAACCTAGTTATTCATCACCATGAAGTTCCTCACCGGCACCACCGTCCTCGTCACCCTCCTTTCATTCGGCTCCGTCATGGCTGCCCCAGCTCCAGACCCAGCCCCAGCGCCCGCTCCAGGCGAACTTGCCGCGAGAGGCTGTGCCGCCGGGTATATCTGCCTCAGTGGCTCGTGCCGAACCTACAGCTGTGCTGTGTCGGGCTGGTGCAGCATCGGACCTCCCAGCTCAACCTCTTGCTAAGCGTACATACACCCGTAGTACGCGGTAAGCACTCCGACCTAGGTATGTCGTGAGTCGTGACTGAATTGCGGGAATATGGTCTGTCCGAAACAACTTGAACCGCTAATCACTATATCTCTATTAGTGCACAGTACGATTCAGTGGCGAGGGGGGCACAGGACAACGATGGCGTGCAAGTGAGTACGCGGGCTCGGGCATACCGCATGCGGGAGGAGAGAAGGAGGGAGAGAGAGAAATGGTAGATCGGTGAATTGAAAGCACATCTCGGGCAGCTTTTACGAGGCGACGTGATTTCAGCTCGTGCTTCAGTCCACAGTTGGCGTGCGACCACTTCGCAACATGAAGGTGAAAGAAATGGTTCCATCGGTACTTGAATGTCGTTCGTACGGTGCTGGTCCCTCTAGGTGCCAGTACTAGTACAACCTGGCAGGTAGTCGGACTGGCATTGGATACGACAATCAATACATGCTGCTTTGATCCAGATCTTGTCTTTCCCTGTTCTCACTGTGTGCGAGGCTACAGTGAGCCAACATCGGGCCGTTGTGACCATGTTTATAGAGAGGCACAGGTAGGTACCTGGGAAAGGGCCTCGAAGGGAATCGACCTAATAGGTTGGGTCTTCTTCCGAACACACCGAAAGGTCGATCGAGGTAATGTTTCATTTACTGTCCACACCAGGCTCCAAGAGGCTGTCTGGTGTATTTGGTCACCTCTGGACTGCTGACAGCCGGCGTCTCGGGGCTCTGGGTATGGTCTTGTCATGTCGTGTTGATTGTAATGGCGCAGGCTAGACGCGGTTGCTACATAATTGCTTTGGCTTGAAATCAAACCCGATACAAGTACAATCCTTCCTCGCCTGGGCACGCGCACTCCCTAGTCCGCCGACTTCGCACCCTGCAACAACAACAACATCATCCCCACCAACTCGGCGAACAACTCCTTGACCGCTCCCATCTCTTTCGCCCATATTTTTAGTCCCCCGCGGCTTTTCTCCTCGGCCAGGCCTAAATCGCTTCCCCTCGCAGCCTTCTTCAGGAACGCCCTCCCATCCTCTCCCTGCTTGGGGAACATCAAGCCCACAGTTTGACTCACCACGTTCATCCTCACGGCCAAAAGAACCTGCGTCAACTGCTCCGCCGATTTGCCCCCGCCGTGGCCTCCGTAACTCACCACCATGGCGGGTTTGCCGGCCCATTCGTTGAACAGGTAATCGATCGCATTCTTCAGGTTGGCCGGAAAGGACCAGTTGTACTGCGGGGTGACGAAGACGAACGCAGAGCATGAAGAGATGAGACGCGACCATCGCCGCGTGTGTTCGTGGTGGTAATCCATCGGGTTGGTGATTGTTTGCGGGATGACCGGCTCGTCGAAGAACGGGAGCGGATGCTCTGCTAGATCGACTAGACAGAGCTCGTACGAGCTCGAGTCCGAAGCGGTGGTCTGGTACTGCTTGAGGGCGTTGTAGACAAACATGCCGATCTGATCGCCTATCCGGGGGGAGCGTTGGGAGCAGATGATTACGGCGATCTTTGGTGGTGGTGGTGGTGGAGGAGGAGGAGGATTCAGGGATGTCGCGAGGAGGTCGTTTGTTGTGGTGCTGGCGGAGGTAGACATTGTCGAATGCGTGGATGGCTCTGGCTCGTCAAATGTCGGAGGGTTCTGCTTGGGAAGATCTTGTCGATCTGGTCACAACTGAAGTAGCCTGCTGCTTGTTGATGTTTTGTATCTTTCGATATCGTATCTAGTCAGACCGTGCTCGTCAGTGTCGCTGCTGTGATATGCTGTGGGATTGAGGAACGAGAATGCTATTTCAGCGCCGGAGCAAGCCGGACCTATATAGTTGACATAGCACGCAGCAAGCAGCAGGGGCAGATTGGGCGGCGCATAACCAGCCGTGATGGTACCCAGCATCGGCGCCGTTGACAACAGAATCGCTGCATGGCCGAACCGGGATGTCAGAATCCCGCATAGATCTGGATGCGGTAGGAACCCCTTGCAAGATGTGTCCGTATCATTCAATGGCAACAGGTCCATTTTCGAGTCGGATATCGATTGATCGAACATGAGCACCAGCAAATCAACGTCTTCATTGTTAGTCAGCGACAACGGGGCCACATCAACTTGTCTTCGGCCCCGCAAAGCTTGCAAGCCACAAGCTTCGGTCTTCGGTCTTCGGTCTTGAATCTGACACGAGGCTCGCTGTTACGCGAATGGTTATGCCTCACCATTTACTGGCCCTGTCGTTCGTTCCACCAAACCCGCTTCTGAAAAGTATGATGGCATGTTGCGCTTCTGGCCCATTAACTGGCGCCTTAGGGTCGCTACGCGGGCGGCATATGGAGATTGTGCGTGAGCGGTGGAAAGGAATCGACCGACGGGCCATGTGAGTCAATCGAACGTGAGATAAAATGGAAGGAGTCCCTCTGTGTCAAGGAAGTCGACGACAGACACCCACGTACTGGATAGCCCGCTCAGCAGCCGAAACCACAATCACCATTACAGCAACAGTGTCATCATGAGCAGCATTCGCATCGCAATCATTGGTGGTGGTCCTGCAGGCCTCACGCTCGCACGACTCCTTCAGGTCAACAACATATCTTGTACTGTCTTTGAACTCGACACTGAAGCCTTCGGCCGAGACCAAGGTGGTACAGTCGATCTTCATCCTCACGGAGGGCAGCTGGCTCTGAAGCACGCGGATCTTACCGACGAATTCAAAAAGTACGCCCGTCCTGAGGGCGAGGCAATGAAGCTGGTCAAATTCGACGGCAGGGTTGTGTTCGATGAGAACATGGAAGGTAACACTCGACGCGAAGAATACGCTGATCGACCAGAGATTGATCGAATGAAGTTGCGGCAGCTACTCGTTCAGTCCCTAAAACCTGGTACTGTAGTTTGGGCAAAGAAGTTGCAATACGTGGAGAAGGCATCCACTAGTCCGGCGCAGTACAACCTCCACTTCGATGACAGCAACGAAGAAGGATTTGATCTTGTGGTTGGCGCTGATGGAGCTTGGTCCAAAGTGCGGTCTTACCTCACGGACCAACAACCCTATTATTCCGGAGTTACCGCCATTGAGCTCTGGGCTACTGAGTTCGACAAGAAACACCAGTGGCTGAGCGACTTCGTTGGTGCAGGGAGCTGCTTCATGTTCGACGAGGGTCGAGCCATCCAGTGCCAGAAACTTGGGAACAACAGCATCCGTGTATATGCGGGTATCCGTCAACCAGAATCTTGGCTTGAGGATTGTGGTATTGACTGGGCCAAGCCAGACACGGCGAAAAAGGAGCTTGTCGAACAGTACTATGCAGACTGCGGTTTTGACCTGAAGCGTGCTCTGCTTGACGCGGACGACAAACTCGTCCCACGCAAGATGTGGATGTTGCCCGTGGGATATCGCTGGAAGTCAGAGACAGGAGTGACGCTTATCGGCGATGCTGCACATTTGATGACGCCTTATGCTGGTGTCGGGGTCAACCTTGCCATGGTTGACTCCTTGGATCTCGCCAACGCCATCATTGGGTGTGACGGTGACAGCACCAAGATCCCATTCGCGATCAAAGCATTTGAGGACAAGATGCTGACCAGGGCCGAGCACTTCGCCAAGAGAACTTACAAGGGTCTGATCGGGCATTTCAGTGCTGATGGCTGCGAGGAGATGCTTGAACGGTTGAAGGGACGATGATCATCGTCGGCCAATGATGGGCCCTAACTTTGCATTGTCTAGGTTCGGAAGATGCGCTGATTCGGATTAGACCTCGAGGACAGGGGAAGCGGTGACTAGACAGTGATTCTTCGGATATTCCCCAGTAGGGGCTTTGGAAGCTGTGTCTTGGTGCTCGCCTGAAATGCTGTATTCAACCAGAACTGTTGCCATCCACATTCGAGAAGCGTGCAAGCAACACCGCATTGCCCACCACTTGCTACGACCAATTTGAGCGGGGATCATAGCATAGAAGCTTCCATGGGACTTTATGGGAAGCGCGGTTCGCGACGCGGGTAATCCAGAATATAGCAGAGCTGAGAACAGATGTGGTCATGGGATGACAGAAGCGGCCGCCTAATGCTGAGCGAACGTTTGCCTCGACTGTGCTAGGGGGGATCCTTCTTGACCACAATGTCTCCGGTCGAGGTACATGAATGTCTGCAGGAGAGGATTCTCCGACATTCTCAATGATGTACTGCTTTTCCCGGACGTTGATTGCAGCAGCTGCTAATCCTCATCCACGAAGATCCAGCTTCGGTCATAGCCTAGACATCGCCGGACAGCTTTCACGTAGGCTGAGGACTCATGTACCTCTTGTCCGCAGTGTATGGCGTAACTCAGCCTGGATTGATTATGTTCAGAAATCCAGTAGCCACATGTTCTTCTTACGTTGCCAACAGATCTGGCAACCGGTGCTCTTGCCAGTCCCAACCATGGCATACGGGTTACGTGGTGAATTCAAGCTGCGTCGCTTGTGTCATGACGGTCGTGGCTACTCGAAGATGGCCGGGATTACAGAGCTCAATGCAGAGAGTTGGTGAAGATTCATGATATCAAATCTGCCTCGATTTCGTTTACGCTTCACCGTGTTCCAAACCATCGGCGAAACTTCGGAGTGACTTTCGCTCTCCATCTACGATGCGAAAACTTTCGGGTTGTCCTCACTTCCCACTGACCTTTTGTGCCACATTGCAACGTCGTCAGCTATTTCTTGCGGGCCGGAGATGGTATCTGGATGATTGCAGATGTGACTCTGCCTCAACATGGACTTGACGGCCGACTTCAAGGCTTTCCAAGACCTTGTTCAATCCTCCCTCATCAATGTGACGAGGAGCGCAACACAAGTCTCAAACCAGGACTTGAGCTTCCATCGCTCTTCGAGTGAGAAGTTGTCTCGCTCACTCGATCGCCAGAATGCTCATCTTTTGCGCTTGACGAGCAAGCTGCTCAAAGCTGCCACCCGCGAGACACAGCTTAAACCTCCTGCTCTTCAAGGCCAAGATGATGTGGAGGACAATTGGCGTGGCATAGTCGATGTCGTGGATGGTCTCCTGGAGAAGGCTGACTCTGCACTTGACGAGTTCTCAGGAGTGATCAGACCCCAGAGTCCGACCCGACAGGACACCGAGTCACCTGGACCCGTGAAAACTGCATTCGGTGTGCAGAGGTGGGCCAAGGACAACGTACCGAAGCCGCAGACCACTTTTGAGAGACGGGTGAACAACTCTGACGATACTCCTTTCAAGCCCCTGCTACAGACGAAGCCTCATGCTACGATACCGTTGGAGCAGAGTGTGGGCAATGCCGAGACCGGGTACAAACACCCGTATGCGCAAGAGATCGAAAACTACCAATACCCTCCCTCCGTCTACCAATTCAACGACCCGACTCCCTTTAAACCCATTGATGAAAGCAAAGCCATCTACGTCGACACAGAAGAAGGTGTGAAGGATATGTTACAAGACCTCAGGAAGGCCAAGGAGATCGCAATCGATCTCGAACACAATGATCAACGCTCATACGTCGGTCTCGTGTGCCTGATGCAGATCAGCACAAGGGACAAGGATTGGATCATAGACACCCTGAAACCCTGGCGCGAGAAGCTTCAAATTCTAAATGAAGTCTTCACTGACCCAAGCATCTTGAAGGTCCTACACGGTTCCAATATGGACATCATCTGGCTCCAGCGCGATCTCGGACTCTACATCGTCGGCCTGTTCGACACATTCCATGCAGCATGCGCCCTGCAATTCCCTGGTAAAGGTCTCAAACACCTCCTCTTGCAATTCGCCAACGTCCACGCGCAAAAGCAATTTCAGCTTGCTGACTGGCGGACCCGACCTCTGCCTCAAGAATTACTCGATTATGCCCGTAGCGACACCCACTACCTACTCACAATATACGACCATCTACGAAACATGCTCATCCAAGGATCCTCCGCCAACGTCAATCTCACGAACTACGTTCTCACCCAGTCCAAGAAAGAAGCTCTGCAAGTGTACACGCGTCAACCCTACGACTTTGAGACTGGCGGCGGTTCACTGGGCTGGCTTAGCTTGCTTACAATGCGCTCCACGAATACCCTGAGCAAGGAACAACTGGGCGTATTTCGCGCCCTCCACGCGTGGCGCGATGCCAAGGCGAGGGAACTAGACGAGGGGGTTCAATACATCCTCCCGAACAGAACATTGTGGCTGGTTGCTGAGAACATGCCCACATCGGCGTTGAACTTTCACCACGCCTGCAGAGGTGAGGCAAAGTTCGTACACAACCGTATCCCTGAGATAGTGGAAGTCGTCAAACGAGGAAAGTCCGAGGGCAAGGACGGCAAGTCGCACGTCGAATTGCTTGACTACTGTGAGAAAGCTCTAGGAGTGACTGTCCGTCGCCCACGCAAGGAAAGGAAGGATCCTCCTCAAACAAGCTACTCGGGTCTGGGAGAAACGCTGAAACAATTGGCCGCCAGTCGCCAGACCGACTCCTTGAACTATGACGGCATCGCAGACGTCGAAAATCCCATTGCAGTTCGCTCATCAGAATCCACCTTCTGGGGCGCCGTGACACCTCAATACAAACAACTTCCAGCAGACATCGTCGCCGCAACTGAAGCGCTCTCCTCCATCCTACCACTCCGGCACCTCGCAGCTACACAAGAACCCATGCAAGATCAGGCCCAAACCACGCCGGAAACGCATTCTCCTCAAGCTGAAGGGCCTGTCAGGTCGAAAACGTCATTGGGTGCAAAAGACCACCTCCGGAGCAAAGCGACCGAGATCTTCACACTCCGCCCCGGCAGCCAGGGTAAGAAACGCAAAGCCAATGAAGCCGATGAAGATGAAGGCGAAGTAGCCCCTCTTGCAACCGGCTCCTCGGTGGCCTCAACGCCCACTGCTCTGTCTCCGCAACACCCTAGCAGCGCTCCTCCCGAGTACGAAGCCGCTCGAGCAGCGAAGAAGGTCCGCAAAGCAGAGAAGAAAGCGATGAAAGCGGCCGAGAAGGCCGTTGCACGCGCGGCAGCTCAAAACGCAACGCCGTTCGACTATGCGACGGCGCCGTCCCTGCTGAATTCGACGGGAGATGCCAACGGCGGTGGTTCAGGCGCAGATGGCAAGGCTGGAACGGGCGATGCGAGAAGGATGAACCCCTTCGCGAAAGCCTTGGATACGACGACGGGCGCCAGGCGGAATAAAATGGGCAAGGAATTGGCCGGGAAGAGTATGACTTTCAAGTCATGACCTGACATCGATCCCGGCAGTTCAACTGCCAAGCCGGCTGACTGAGTTGCCTGGCGGTCGTTAATGCGCCACGGCCGACTAGGTTTCAAGCCAGTCAGTGCACCACGGGAGGAAGCGTACTCGCTACCTTGCGTGGGTTCTTGGCCTCTTAGTCTTTTATAGCGTGACGAGGGCGGCACGATCGCCGACAATGACTACCCTCCAGCGAGATTTGACACTAGTTTTTGCACTGGCATTGATGATTTATGCGACGATGCTCAATTGATTCAGACAGGCGGTTGGCTTCCTAGAGGTCAGCCGGCGAGGTTCTGCAACGCCTCATTGCGGACGGTTGAAATTATCGGATAATTACTTGAACGCAATTTTGTGTGTTTCAAACTGAATCTCATGCCGCTGCGGCAGGCTGCACCACAACTGCTGGCATGCTATTTCCTCTGATGCGTCATCGTAAGGCGTGACACTCAGCCGATTGACGCTCGCGATACGTCTCTGCATGCACCCTCATAACATCTGAGTTCTGACGTTCTGCAAGGTTCGTCAGCTTGCTCGAGATCAGTGTCATCGCTACAGTCCCATTACGCAGGAGCCGTAACCGTGTTCTCTCGCATTTGCCTACCATGTGTGTTCAGCACCCCCGGACCGTAGCTGCTGGCAATGATGTAGGATCTCCTTATGCTGGGTCTTCAGTAAACCACTCTTCTAAAGGGCCGTCCCACTCCCCTCTTTCGGTAAGATAGCGCTGTAGACTGTTTCCCATACTTTCAGGATATGAACAGCTTTCCTCTTCGGGATAATCGCCTCTGAGTTCGTCCGCAATAATATTTATGCCCCAACAGCCCGTGTCGTCCACGCGTTGGATTCCCCAAAAGGAGATGTGCTTCTTTCGAGGTTGATGGTCGCGAAGAGCGTCAAAGACCGGCCTCCATTCTCGCTCGCACCGTGCGAAAATTCCGGCATTGGCTATCGCAAGCTGCTCCAGTTCTGGTATCTGTGATATGCCGGCTGCAAGCGATTCAAGGTCGATGTAGAGACCGTCGACCTTCAGGCGCCGAAGGCATGGGAAACTGAGACGAGACATAGAAACCCACGCCAGTTCCGGGGTTTCCTGGACATCAGATACGTCCAGATCCTGCAAGGTAGTATGAGTCTTGTCGAGCAACGTCTCGACACCCATCCTCCACTTGAGCCTAGTGTCGACACCATCGTTCACTTCCCAGTGAATGATCTCCTCTGGGCTGTACAAACGGAGTTTTGCCAGACGATTGAAGGAAGGTAGCTGGCATCCACGCTCTCGCCAGTGTCCTCCAAGAGTGACCAACATCGCCCAATCCACCGTTAAAACTTCTAGTGTCATGTTTGCCACCCCCATACATGGGACGATTGCGATGGAAACGATATCTCCTCCTGATATGAAGAAGTCCTGGGTGAGAATTCGCAAGCATTTATCACAAATGCATCCACCAATAGGTCGAGAACTCGCGAAACAATTCCATGTAGGAATGAAAGGATGCTCAGACAGCAGTGAACTTAGATGAATGGCGGTCAACCTTTGAAAGCTTTGAAAGCACTCCATTCAGATGTCGTGGAAAGTCCCGTTAAGCATCAATTCAAGGTCCTTTTGCACGCACTCCTTGTAAGTCTCGTATGCATCCTTCATTTCATCCTCGCCGTTTATCACGGAGACTCTTCCAGGGGGAGTTTTCCAGTAGGTATTCTCTGAAGAGCTCGATCTCTGGCACAGCATTCCCTTCAGAATTCTCCAACTGCTGGTGGTAATCTGCAATGTTCAACTGGATCTTTTCGAAGTCAGGATAACTTAGTGTTGCGCTGTAGAGGCTGGGCAGGACGCTGAGCTCTTTGACGAAAAGGGCAAAAGAGGCGACGTTGGTCCCCTTCAAACGCATGAAGTTGTCCCTCGTGGCCTGGAACTTGAGCTCTCGAAATAGGACGGCTTTGACAATGGCCATGTTGGCGAATTCTCGTGATGTGAGTCGGAGGTTGAGCAGAGTCTCCCATGCAATGCTCAAACAGTATTAGCCAACAGTCTACTGTGAGTCGAGGAAAGCATACCTGCCACATTGCCAGCCGTAGTGCTCTGTCGCATCGACCACCAACTGCTCCACCGCAAGATAGTGCACCTCGGGACTGAGCGAGCACTTGAAGGTCGCCATCTTATCGTTGTGGGCGTAAATATCTCCAGTGCTGGAAATGGGTAGGGATGACCAGAAGGATTATTTCACCATCATTTGGGAGTCACTTGAGGTGGGAAAGGGGGTGTTGCAAAAGCGGACATGGATGAGGGCGAAGTGAAGCGAAGGTCAAAACTCCGCAGCGGCAGGCGCAGACACAGAACAGATCAAGAAACGGGATACGCCTTCCTTGAGATATTACGGGAGATAGAATGAAAGCACTTAGCTGAATCGGAACCAAATTGACTCTGATCGTACTTCCTCTAACATGGCCCTCATCGTCGATCATGTAATGCAACCGGTACCACCGTGACGCCCTCTACGACGCAATCCAAACCAAAGTCCAGGCTGTCATTTCCGTCCTTCGTCAGCTCCTGTCATTTTGCTAGAGAGGATCGCCTCCCGTGAATTGCAGGCAACGGGGACAAGCGGACGAATAGAGCTTGCTCACTGTCCTCCTGCCTCTCCGCCTCACACGGCCATCTCGGCCTGTAGTTTCCGGAGTTCTTCCTCTTCGTCTTCTTCCACTGTCGAGGGCTTGTTGCCAACTACTACTGAGTCAATATCGATTGCGTTGCTGTAGCTCCCACGGGACTTACTGGGGCCAGCCGAGACAGCCGGAAGCCGGTTGATCTCGCCTGTGACCGGTGTGGGCCCAGTCTTCAACATTCTTTCGTCCATAGCCTCTTGTTCCAGTCCCTCCAACTCTTCCTCTAGATCAGCTTCGTCAATCGGTTCACCAATAGGCGCATTCGTGATGGCGTTGGCAATTTCTTCGCCCAGAGCATGTTGCTCCCGTAGCTCGTCCATGGTCTGATCAACCTTGTCTATGGTGAGGTTGCCATGTATCTGCTTCATGGCCGATCCTGCGTTCTTCATGGCATTGAGTGTTTCCTGGTTGATGTTGGCGGCCTCGATGGAATATATCTGTTGCTCAACCTGGGCAATCTGAGCTGACGTCTGCTCAAGGGTGCGCTCGTGTAGTTTCTTTCGTCTCAAAGCAGCTTTGGCGGCTACAAATATCTTCAGTATCGCCATGTATGTCCTATATCACGATCTACTTACCAGCTTTGTTCGTGGATACGTTCTTCCTCGCTATCGCATCCTGCTCTGCCATCTGGTTCTCTAAATGCTTTTCCCTCTTTTGTAACATGTCCAGCTGCGACCTTAGCTGTAGGATGGCCTTTTTGGGGGCATCTTTTCTTGCTTGGGCTGCTGCCCCGCCAAACCAACCCCACATGTCGTGCGTCGATGGTCAAGGGTTTAGGGACTATGGAGCGGCAGAATCGTGTCCTTCGAGGTGTGAAGGAGTCCTGGTAAGAAATGCAAAGGGCGTCGGGCGAAATGATCACGGATCCACCTGGATCGAACCGTATCGCATGTGCCTAGGTCGAGTGGTCACGCGATGTGATCGGCCTGTTTTCGGGCTGTGGGTGTCTCTTGGGAAGATGAAGGCTAACACCTGACAGTTGAGGGCCTCTTGAGCAATAGAACGGGTACGGGATCAGCAGGAACGTGCGATGTAAAGAGTGTGGCTTGCGGTGAGGTGCCTGAACAGCGGATCATAAAGAGCCAGAGCCATGACATCGCCAGTTCGATCCGCCTAGCCCACTTGTTCTCACGGCAGGTCTGCCGGGATCACGTGAGCGCGAAGTAAAGGGGGGCTCTTTCAGCTTGACTGTCAGTACGGAGTCCTTCGTACTATTTACTCATAGACACGGCAAACTCGAAATTGTATTTGAGTATGCCGCTGTGTTCAGGCACAAAAGCGAAATGTTTGTCGCCACCAAAGTGCCCCGAACATGGCCGACTATCTGATGCGATAGAGCCACAATGAGCGAAGTTGCGACAAACGCGCCTGTTCCCAGCACACTCGTCTTCCTTCACGCAGTGGCATCTCTTGCCTCGGGGACTAAGGTGAGATTCTTGGGTTGGTATGACGCCTCAAGCGTGCTGGTTGCCATACTACTGACCTCTTGTCAAGTATTGTACAGTACGATAGTGCCCGAAGCCAGATCCTCCTCGAGCATGCATTTCCCAAGGACATTAGCCCAGTCCCACGCATATGGGTAGATATCACTCTTGTCCTCGAAACAACAGAGTCGACTACGCTTGCGTTAGGCACTTGGATCAACGTAATCGGATATGTTCAGGCAACGCCGCGACCGATCCGGAGAAAGAGTGGAAATCGCTTCCAACGTGCCGCCCAATCTCTGCAAGCCGTCCTGATTTGGGATGCCGGCGCTGTGAGAATAGGAGAATATGAAAATACACTGGAGGAGATGATGCGTACAAAGCAGCGATTGGAGTCTGTCGGCACTTAGAATCACAAACATGGAAATATTGGCAATACAACACTCTCTACGCCCCTTGGTGCACTTCGATCTCGATGCATCGTTCACTGAACAACTATCCACCCGTGTCAATGGCATGGGGTGTTTACAGGAAGGAATTGGCTGGAATCGGTGATTGTCCACAACAAGCTTTCCGTCAACGACAGCATCATGCTTGTTTGTAACAGGTGCGTGCCGTAGGATTTCCAACTGGTCTGCCAGGGGGCAGGGTTTGGTGTCGTATGAATTCTGGTACGGCCTGCCGAGTCTCGGATTTCGACCAACCTACTCAGCTCTGTCTCAGAAACGCTTCTTTCGAAGACATTATCTACCTTGACCTTATTTCCCTTTGCCCTCTCCAGGTCGCTCAGGCTCGATCCATCATTGGCGCCGTAGTGGCTTGCGCAATGATTCCCAGATGAGGCCGTGATGCACGGACTGGACGAGAGAGCAGACCCATTCATTTCGCGTCAATGGTCAAATATTGGTTTCCAGCCACTCTCGCCTCTGTCCCTGCTGGCCATGCTGCTAGCAGGTGGGAAATTTGCTGCTTCTGGCGCTGTCCAGACCGGAATCTCCTGCTCAGAAACCTGTGATCCGTTGCTTGACATGGGTCTTCAGTGTCGGCGAAAGGATGCCGCCCATATCTGCGTCCTCTGTCTCGGCAATCTGGCGCATCGCACTTCGACGCTCCGGCATCAGTCTCCTGGTATCCGAGTTTCTGGAGCCGAGATCTCTCATGTTGATCGGAAGGGTCGGTCTAGGCTTATATTTATTGCCACGATTGCCCAGCGCCGCTTGTCGTCCCCGTTTATGGAGACCTATCGCCACAGGCCTGTCTTTTTATTGTTCGACTCCTCCAGCCAGAGCTGCCCCCAGCATCGCAGAGATTACGATTACTCGGCGTCGACATGGCAGCGAACAGTGCAGAGGCGGCTGCTTCGTCCGCACTGCAAAACTCTCAGTGCGCTCCAAATAATACACCCACTATCGTCGTGGGAAGCTCCTATCCAGCAATGACCTCAACATTCGACCTGTCGATGATACCCAGCAGTCCAAGAACGCCAGACTCCGCAGGCGAACTAAGGCTGACCAGTGCTTCCTCTGCCCCAGCCAGACCGGTATCATCAAGAAATAACCCGAACAGGAGAACCATGTTGTACCCGCAAGGAGATTTTCGGAACAGTTCCATGCCCGACCTCAGGGAGCTCAAGACCGACATGATGTGCAACTGGCTGCATCAGCAACAAATAGAGCGGATGTGGACGACCAACAGTATCGAGGAAGGTGTTTTTCTGAAGAAGGCAAAGGATGACTACAAGTGTGCCCCAGAAGACCTCTCATCACGACCTGACGGGGTGTATGATGCTGTGAGGAGGCTGAATGTCAAGGTCAGAAACATCTTCCACGTGCACCAGCCATGTCTGATAATATGTGTAGTGTGCCATGACTGTCAACACGGGAGTCGTCAAACTCTTTCTCCAGGACGAGACTCTCGCTCACATGCCGCTGGACTCAGGCCTTCGGCTGCAGATTCTTCCAAACATCAACGCCCTACCAGACTGTCAGAAGCATCAATTTGCAGCTTTCGTGCGAACCAACAACGTCCTCGTTGTATGGGACGACGATCCCAATCACATCCTCAAGCGTGTGCAATCAATTGAAGACCAGCTCATCAGCATGGTCTGGAAGGAAGAGTTCGACGGTGATGCGTCAGCACCACCAGCACTCAGTGCCCTACCAAGCACTCTCAACCTGAGTCCCAACGGCAACGAAGCATTCTCGCAGGACCATGAAAGCCCTCTGGCACCTCGTCGTATCGTTCTTGTTCAGCCTATTCTCACGGCCTTCACCTTGATCCTGCTCATCGCCGCAATCGGGAGTGGCTGGCGAGAAATTGCCATCGAACTCAAAGTCGACCACAACTGGACACGGCTGGCCTTCATCGCTGTCGTCCCCTTTCAATGCTGGCTAGCACTCTTCTTCATGCAATCCGTCGCCGGCTGCTGTGCCCAGATCATCGGCCCTATCAGCCAGATGAACGCCAACACCAAATTCTACTCCGGCATGCCTCCATCTCGCCTCCCAACGGACGGATCCTGTGTATTGCCTCATGTCACGATCCAATGTCCCGTGTACAAAGAAGGGCTCTGGTCCGTCATCGACCCCACGATCAAGTCTATTAAGGACGCAATCTCCACCTACGAAATGCAAGGCGGCACGGCTAATATCTTCATCAACGACGATGGTATGCAAATCATCTCAGCTGAAGAAACCCAAGAACGCAGAGATTACTACGACGAGCACAACATCGGTTGGGTGGCTCGGCCCAAACACAATCCAAAACCCAATGGCGAAGGCGAGCAGCCCTTCGTCCGAGCCGGCAAATTCAAAAAAGCATCGAACATGAATTACGCGCTCAATGTCTCCGCGCGGATCGAGGACAAATTATCCGCCATCATCCAGCCAACCGATGGCACATGGACAGTCGATCAAGAACGCACCACCTATCAAGCCGCTTTAGCTGAGATCATACATGAGGACGAAGGCCGCACCCAAGCAGCCGGCAATATTCGTGTTGGTGACTACATCCTACTCATCGACAGCGACACGCGCGTTCCGCAAGATTGTTTCCTGAGCGCTGTTTCTGAGATGGAAGCCTCCCCCGAAGTCGCGATCATACAATTCGCCTCGGGGGTCATGAACGTCACGGACTCATGGTTCGAAAAGGGAATCACGTTCTTCACGAATCTCGTCTACACGGCCATCCGATATGCCGTCTCAAACGGCGACGTCGCGCCGTTCGTCGGACACAATGCCTTCTTGCGCTGGACGGCCGTGCAGGATGTGGCGTACGTGTACGCTGACATTAACGATGGGGTAGTCAAGGAGAAATACTGGTCAGAAGCCACCGTGTCCGAAGACTTCGACATGGCCTTACGTCTCCAAACGCAGGGCTACATCCTCCGACTCGCGGCGTACGCGGGCCAAGGCTTCAAAGAAGGCGTCTCCCTCACCGTGTACGACGAGCTGGCCCGGTGGGAGAAATACGCCTACGGCTGCAGCGAGCTGATCTTCCATCCATTCCGCGAATGGGTCACCAAAGGACCGTTTACGCCTTTGTTCCGCAACTTTGTGCGCTCCAACATGCCGTTGCCCAGCAAGATCACGATCATGGCTTACATAGGCACGTACTATGCCATTGGCAGCGCGTGGATTCTGACGCTGCTAAACTACTGCATCGTGGGCTGGTTCAACGGCCATCTCGACCACTACTACATCGACAGCTTCAAAATATACTTTGCCATCATCATCGTGTTCACCGCGCTAGGCAACCTCGCCCTCGCGGTCACGCGGTACCGCGTCGAAGAGAAGACGCTGGGATCTGCCCTGTGGGAGAACCTCCGCTGGATTCCGCTCCTGACGGTCTTCCTAGGCGGCATCAGCTTGCACGTCAGCCAGGCGATCCTCAGCCACCTTTTCTCCATCGACATGTCATGGGGCGCGACTTCCAAGGAAGCCACGGATACGTCCTTCTTCGCCGAAGTGCCCACTATCCTCAGGAAGTTTCGCTTCACGTTCATCTTCTGCGTGGTCGTCAGCGTGGGCATGGTCGTCGTGGCGGGAGTCGGGCCTCTGGGTCAGTTGGTGCCGTACGATTGGCAGATCGGATGGTTTACAGCGATATGGCCACTGGCCACGGTTGTGGGTGAGTCTTTCTTTATTTCTTGCGGGGGTGTCTTCTTCCTGTTTAAACTGTGAATACACATCACGCGGTGTTGTGCAGAGCTATAATTGCGAAGGTGTGAAGGGAAGGATCCAACGCAATAACTAACTTGGCTTCTGTAGGTTCTCACGCCCTGTTGCCCTTGGTGCTAAACCCGGGGTTGATGCAATTTACCTTCTGAGACGGCAGCGGTGGAAAACTTCGTCGGGAAATCGGTCCCGGCGCATGGAAAGATGCTCTCAGCATGACTCAGTCCATGTTATCTACTTCCTTTGTATCGAATAGTACTAATTAGAGCTAATTGTGGAACAATACGAAAGGGGACACTGTCAATCCACTGGTGGCTCCTTGCTCAGTACGAACATTAACTACTTCACGCAGATTCCCAGAGGGAATACTGCGGAGAGGTCCTCTCTTCGGCATTTGAGCGCCTTTCAGCCCACAATTAGACTATGCCTACACATTGGCGTGGCCACCGTCGGCACGCAGCACGAACATACACTATGTTTATGAGCATTTCCCGACTTTTTAAACGTTAAGCCACCCCTTGATGACCCATTTTGTCGTCGTGTCTGCAGACTCATCTCGATCCTCACCTGGTTGTAAACGAAGATTAGATGATAAGCGAAATCCCCGCCTCAAACCCCGCCACGTTGTGAGCGCACCGTGGAAGAGCGTCCGCGTCTCAGGGGGCGGGAACCCTCCGTTGATGACCCAAGGATGCATATGCAGCCCACCATTTATCTGGGTCTGGGACACCCCCTGTGCCGAGTTGTTGAGCGTTGTCCCGCTCCGGGAATCAGGATGGCCAGACGACAAGGGCGGGCTGTCGCCCCGGTAAGGCTCGTACTTCCACACTTCGCGCGGCGGTTCCATGAGGTCCAGACGGCCGTAGTACGCGTAGACGGTGTGCTGGCACTGCTTCATCATCTCGTTGGCCATGAACTTGGACAGCGCAGGCGTCATGCCCTGCAAGTCCGGGCCGACGTGTCGGGGTCCCATCTCCGAGTCGAACAGGATCTCGACGCGTTTGAGCCACTTGATGCCCACGCCCAGGCCGTACGACACGTTGCGGAGCCACTCGTCAAAACACTTCGGGCAGTGGAAGCGGACGGCCATCTTGGCGAGCAGGCCCGCGTATTCGGCGGCGGTGCGGGTGCTGACCAACAGGAGGTGGAGGCCGTTGGAGCGGGTGATGGCTTCAATGGCCAGATTCAGAGAGACCATGGCCGAGATGGGGGACGCTTTTTTGTTTTTGCTCGGGAGCATGTCCCTGGGTGGGTGGGTGTCGTCGGGGTCGCAGAGATTGATGTCTAGACGGTGTTTGGGGAGGAGGAAGCTGTAAATGTGCAGTCGGATTTCGGCTGGGATGCGGAGGAAGGCTGAGCCTTGCTCGTGACGGGCTGTTAAGGCCATGGCTGGTCAGTTGGTGCAGGACCTGGTCGTTCAGGGTTTCACGGTGCCTACAGGACCACGGTACCGGCTTTAAGGAGACCCGTCAAAGACTGAAAGGGAGAGGAAGGAATTTCGAGGTGAGAAGGAGGTGAAGGTGAAGTTGAAGTTGAGTTGGACGTTGAATGGTTGCACCAGAAGCTGAAGTCTTGGCAAATGGTTTCAAAGTGGCAGGAGGCGCAACTATTGCCGCGCCAGGTTGGACTGACTTGGCTTGGTTATTATCGTCCAGATGTCAAGCAAGAGACTAGGTGTATGTCGTTGGTCTCAGTACAGGATGCAAGGAGTATGGAAACGCCACAGCAGCGTCGAATATCTTTTGCTTTACAACAGCCGGTGTAGAAGTGGCATGTTGGAAGATCTGTCCCACTATATTCCTGTCAAGCCACAGCTTTGCCTCCATAGAACTCCTGGTCGCTTCAATCAAAGTATCGCGGTGGACAGCAACTCGGCCGCCGCAGGTCATGACGCTGGAAGAGGAGTCTCAACCTCGCCCATTTCTTTAGATCTCCTTGATTGTCTTCAACTCCTTCTTTTCAACCACTTCATCCCAGTGCTTCTGGGCAAAAGTCCCTCCAAGGAAGATGGTGAGAAGCCATTGAAACCAGGCGACGCTGAATTGCTTGAGGTTGTGCTGTCTCGCCTTCGTTAGGGCGAACCACAGAGTCTGGATGCCGCTCAACCCATAGATGGTGTAGAAGAGGATGTCTTGACCTCGATGTCTGTGTTTGTGGACTCTGGCGTTCCTGGCTAGGACCTGATCGTGGAGGAACGAACGTGGTTCGACGAATCTCCTGTTAGCTGAGAGTACCAGGAGAGCCGTGGTCAAGAGCGCTCCTGCAGCATTGCGGCCTTTCGGGAGCTCATATTCGTCAATTGTCACGCCAGTGGCTTTGTGAGTGGACATGTTGAGTTTCGCTGGTCTGCCTCGGGAACTGTAGGCAAGGACTTGAGAGAAGAGCTACTGAAGGAGGTCTCCCTGCTTACCCGGGGTACGGGACAACATGGAACGGTATTTATGGACAATATCCACTCGGGCTCGACGTCGCTTAACATGGTTCCCCGCCTCCCAAGGGGCGGGGAGAAAGGTGGCATGAGACGATTATGCATCGGATGATTGGTCTTACCCTGTGAAAGGGCGGCTGGTACGGCCCAGATGAGGAGTACGCATATGCGGACGGGAGTTGCGACGTCAACACACGGGCTGAAGCAGGAAGCAAGACGCACGACCAGGGTCCTCGAATCGGCATATGACAGCGACGTGACCACAATAAAAAGGGTGTCGATGAGGATGATCATTGCGGAGAAGTGCCGGAAAGGTGCGCCGTAATGTGGGGAAGCTTTAGCCCGATTGTCTTCTCCCTTTTTGGATAGTTTCCGCGCGGGACGCAACCTTAACTCTTAGCGCTATCATTTTTCTGCGCTGGAAAATTGTCTCCAGATACATCGATAAGTATTTCGTCTTGATTACTTCGCCAACCGAACCAGGACTGAGCGGAGATTGTGAAAGTCCACGAGATGCCTCCCTATGACAGCGACTCCTCAGATGAAGGGGAAGACTACTCGACCACAAACGTCACCCTCGGCTATGTCTCCGCCGACTCAACAGGCGACGAGATCAGCCACGTCGGTGGCCATCCTACCTGGCTCGATGCCTCCATAAATCCTCCTGCTGCGCTCGCGAAATGCAAAGTGTGCAACAGCTACATGTCCCTCCTGTTGCAACTTAATGCAGACCTCCAACAGTATTTCCCCAACGACGAGCGACGCTTGCACATCTTATGTTGTAGGAAGAAACCGTGCTCGAAGAAGGTGGGCAGTGTTCGCGCATTTCGGGAAGTCAGGAAGTCGGAGCCAAGAGAGCGCAAGGAGAAGAAGCCATTGACAGACCTACGACCGCCGGAACCTTTACAAGATCTTGGAAGTGCACTGTTTGGAGGGCCAACGCAGCAACCAGCAGCGAATAATGGTGCCAATCCCTTCTCAATATCAGGGTCGACCGCAACGTCGCCAGAAAACCCGTTCTCTATGTCGTCCTCGCATGGATCGGCAGCAGCAAACCCGTTCGCGTCGATAGACTCTCCCTCTACGTTGGCTGCTTTGCCTCCACAAAATCCAGTCAACGAGTCTTCACCTCAGCCACTCACGCAGTCATTCGCAGAGAAACTGAAGATCGGTGCCGAATCAACTGCACACGGAAAGGAACAGAAAATCTTACACGAACCATGGCCTTCGCCGTCCGATTTCCCCCCTCCGTACCCCTCCTTCTACCTGGACGCATACCCAGAAGAACTCGAAAAAGAACAGCCTTCCACTATCCCAGTGAAGAACGGCGAGTCCTCCAAAACCCACTATGATGCTGAAGATTCAGGCACCGCCTCGAACGGCAAAGATGATTATGATATGACGATGGATAAAACATTCCAAAGGTTCTCAGACCGCATTGCACAAAATCCGGACCAAGTGCTTCGGTATGAGTTCAAGGGTGAACCGTTACTATACTCTGGCACAGACGACGTGGCATCACGGTTCACCGTTCCGCATGGAAAAGCAGGTGCGCCGAGGGGTATACCGAGATGCGAGAGTTGTGGCAGTCAGCGGGTGTTCGAGCTGCAGCTTGTTCCAGGTTTGATTTATGAGTTGGAGAAAGATGAGGACCTGAGCCTGGACGAAGGCATGGAATGGGGCACGATTATCGTGGGGACCTGCGTGAACAACTGTGGTGAGACTGGAGCCGTCAGTTTCAAGGAGGAGTGGGTTGGTGTGCAGTGGGAGGAAAGGGTGACGAGGAAGTGACTCCGGTCATGTCAAGAGGGGAGAAGACATCGCATTGACGGCAGAGGCGAATTCCACAAAAGGCTATAGCCATCAAAGACCACAGGCACCTACCTACTTGATTGACACCCATTGTCGATCTGCCCGTCTTGCCAGCCTTGGCCAGTCAACGTTCCGGCTGATCTTTCGTACGCTGCACTCGTGAGAGACGTACACTGACGGCGTTTTCCTGATATAGCCAGCCAGACGTCGCCCTCATCCATCAAGATCAGTCCCTACAGTTATCCCCCACCCGAACGCGACTCGTCGCCGAGACATAATATTCCTATCCCATACCTGGTGGATTTGGGGAGCACGAAACACCTACAGGATCTAGACTGGATCGTGGCAAACCTCAACCACTACAGAGTATATTGCCGAGACAAGCGACAGCCCTATATCACATCACAATCACTCGGGTGAAGCGACCACTGGACGGAAAGGCCGGGCCTTGGGTGAAGCCAAGGAGATAAGATCAGTGTTTTGGACAGCAGTACCCCGTATTGGTACTCCATATTGTACTATCAGCGGCAGAGAACCGCTGCGCCAAGCCAGTCGTCGGGAGCATGAGCAGAACTGGAAAGGACCTACTCCGTATACTCTATGTTGGGTGCTTGAACCCGAGCCCCTAGCATCATAATGCTTGGCTATGAGTACTCGTACGGGAGGAGAAGGAGACGACAAAGTCCGAGTCCAGGAATGTGCCCAATCGTTCTGGCGAGTATACAGCACAGGAGCCGACTGGATTCGCAGACGCCCTCGCGTTTAACGAGTACAGAGTCGCGAAGCTGAGTGTGCCCATCAATATGAATGCGCTCTCAAGTCACTGTATTCAGACTGGCCTCTCGATCCTTCATACGAGTAGACTCACAAAGGGCGTCCAAGTGCAGGTGCTGTACTCCGTAGAGCATGGTGCATGGTATCTCCTGGTGGGGTAGAGGAGGACATGGATGCCTAGGCCACGCGGCAGCAGGTGCTGTTTGTTATACCCATTATTTGAGGAGGGTATCCATCTCGGTCTGAGCCTTCGACCTTGGAGGGTTGTTTTTTTTTTGACCACAGGAGCTCCTTCGTACGGGCTGACGAGTGCCCCTGCTGACGACCCTAAGGACGAAAGACTGAAGACCACGGCGGTCGATTCTCAACTCGGGTCCAGCTCGTCGCGGTCAGCCACGGCGCGACACGAACACGAAAAAGCTATCATCCCGAGAAGCCGAGTTCGCCTATTTTTCAGCTGCTTGCGAGCTTAGCGTAGCTTTTGATCCCAGAATCCAAGAAAATCTTGCATTGCCTGCATTGCCTGCTTTCCCCTCAAGCACAGTCGGCACTGGTGTTGTTGGCCGTCTAAGCGCCGGCCCATCTGCACCGTCAAACGCATCGACGCCGAGCCCTGACTAGCTAGCTCGTAGAGCGTGGCCTTGGTGTGGCAAGTGATGCTAGCACCACTAGTAGCGGCTCGTGTCGTCATCATCTCAAGTTTTGCACAGAAAGGATCAAGGCTGACCTTGACCTGACCGTCCCCGGAACCCGAGCTGATAGCGTCGCCGTGCCAGCCACCGAACGGCGAACCCCGCGATATGCTGGTCTCCACTTGTCGGTGTTAGCGTGACGCGCTAGGCACGCGAACAAGCAGGATCGGCGCGGTGGGTTGACGCGTGCGGCGTGGTTCACTGTTGACATGTCGATCCGGATGGAAAATGGAAAATGAACTTTTGAAATTGTGTGATGTATTGATGTTACTGCCCATGGGAACACTGAATCGGGCGTCATGCTCTGTTCACTTGGCAGTGGTTCGCCCGTTGAATGACAAACGCCGGAAACGAGGGATCGTAAAAAAGAAAGCAAAAGTTGAGTGAATCAGCAAATTGATCGCGTTCCCAGCCCGACCTCGGCGGTTCGTGTCTCGCGTGCTCATTTCCCGCCCGCACATGAATTTCCACATCTGCACGCACTTTGGATGGGGACGTGCGGATTGCGATCGCTCTATGGATTGGGGGTTGGCTTGATCACTCGATCACTCGATCATCCGATCAAGGAACGTCTGACTCGTACTCGAGTGTGCCGAGTAGGGCCATCATGTCAAATGTTGCATTTGCTTGCAGGAGGCGTCCTCTATTGGGAAAAGAGCATCACCAACAATCGGCGGCATGTGGCACTATCAAACGAAAGGATGCAACGTGTCTCGCTTATCCTGCAGCAACGTGCAAGAAATGAATGCATGCTGCCCTTTCGGTCGGATGTTCGTTCCATGTCCTACATATCCTGTGCGCTCGTTCAGGACACTCCGCCTCTCCGCCTCGTATAGCACAGGTTGTGAAAAGGCTTCCTTCAACAGAGCAGAGGTACAAGTAGACGTTGTGAATTTGTTACTGCTATGAATAGGAGAGCACCCTGGGTCTTGCCGATAGGATGACGGACGTGCAGGAATGGTGATACGGATAGATACTCCGATCAGGGTAACTGCTAAGCAGGCTTCCAGGCTCCGCACGCTGCAAGCTCCCCATAAAGTGCCTGCAGAAAAAGCAACCGCAAGGTCTGTTCAAGCTGACCGGCGTCTCGCCAAAGCCGCAGAAAGCGGCATGTCTGACGTACCGCTCCACGACCGAGTCTCGAAACAGCTCATCGACCGGCAGGTGGCGCAGCACTAATCGATGCCTCAAATTTCAGGCGTGCATTTGTCACTGGATTCAGGACTCACGCGGGGGACAAGCTGGACAGAAGATGATTGTGAACCATACCGTCTGTTCGGCACGCGATACTGGCTCGCATGAAGCACTCAAAGCGATACGAGGTGAGCGGCATTGTAGGAAAGGACAGGCCACGTGATGATTGATTGGTAATATTTGTTTGATTCTGAGCTATCTACTTTCAGCTACGTACTTCAGCTCCTCCTGTTGTTGGGAGGTGATTTAGCGGGATTAGCAAGACATCGACATTGGTCGAGGACAGGCGGTAGGCACGGTCGACTTGATCACATCAGATAGTCGATGCAAAAACAATTCATAGCACGGGGTACTCAATACCACAGAGACACGCAAGAGTCTTTCCCACCATCCGTTGCTTTGACATTTGATGCTTCGCTTTACCGGATATCCAGCTCCAGTGGTGTTTCAAGCTCAAAGACATCGACCCTCCTTTTTGGGTCTTCCTGCATGGTTTCTGAGAGAAAAGGAAATTTTGTATGCCAGTCGTAACAATTCGAGTGGGCCATGACACGGCTATGCCAATGTCTGATGGCGTTTTATCGTAGCAATACTTAATATTGGTAGAGACGCCACAGTCGGTCATGATCTTGGAACAAGTTCATCGCCAAGTTGAAGTGCCAGCCCTTTGCTGCTCGGTGTCTTTCGTTGCACAGTTGGACTACCAGATGGAGGCTGCAAGGAATCAAAGTTCAAACCTCTCTTGGAAAAGCGGCTTGGTGTCTGCGTAATGTTGGGAGTCCGCCATTGGGCCGGTGCGGGTGATGGAGTGACGTTGCAGAAGTCAGCAAGGTTGAAATTTTGACCTGGCGTTTGCAGAGCGCCATTGAACAACCCAAGGTTTGTACCTGGAGTTGTCATGACTGAAGATGGAAGATGCGAGTGCTGTGACGGTGGCGTGGAGGGTGGTTCTTTCGAGTGATCAGAGGGTCGGTGGAAGTGAGCAGCAGGTGAGCGGGACGGTGAATTCGCCAAATACAGCAGAAGATCCGCTCCAGCGCTTTTCGTGTTGGGATTGAGGAGACGCTTGGTAGGTGGGGGAGTGCGAGGCGGGGATGAAGACAGGATACTGCTTGAGGGTTCGTGGCCGAAGGCTGGCATGTCATGGTCGTCGTCGTCAGAATGAGCGTCAAACATAGGAGAGTCATCAGTTGTATTATGCATGCTAGCAGACTCCGGATGAAGTAGAGTATGCTCATGGAAAGACTGCGTTCGGTTCAAGCCAGGAGAGGATTGTGGCAAGCTGTGGTCTTGCTTCCATGTCGACGCGGATGATTGTCTGTCGAGGCCAGTGGTCGAGTTGGAACGAACTCTCTTTCTCGCACCAAACGGAGGTTCAGGCACTTTGAAGGTCGGATTCGAGGGCTTGGAGAACCGGTTATTTGCAATGGACGAGGTGGGAACGAACTCTTCGTCAGAGGAGGTGTCGACGGCAAGGTCTTCCTCAAGAAACGGTCTCTTTCTCTTCAGCTTTTCGGTGAACTCGGGCTCAATGGAGGAGAGTGTTCGATCTTGCCAGCCGTTTTGGGCTTTGAAGCTGGCAAAAGCCAGACAGTCTTGGAGATTTCGGGCAACCTAAGATTGAAAATGCAGTCAGCTTTGAGCAAGGTCGAGTGAGACTCAGTGGGCTGGAAATCGGACTACCTTTGCAATTTCCACTCTCCGCATCACCTTCTCGGCCACTTGAGCTGCAGCATAGGGATGCTGTTGGGAGTTCATGTTGTTGCAGTAGTCCCGAGAGGCCAACATGAGGGATTGGGGTGTGGTGGTATAAGAAGGAGAAAAGGGTACGAGTTTTGTCAAATATGTGGTGTTGCCCCGAAACGTCAATGCGCAGGCTAGCAAAGAATTGAAGTCGAGCTGGTTCAATTCCTGCGATGGATCCAGACTCGGACTGGCAATTCGTGGGGCCACGGACCAGGGTAAGGCGGGTATCGACCTGTTCTATTGTTGTACTCGGGCGAACGCTGTTCACCGATGGACCGAAGTCATGCTGAAGGATCAATGAGAGTACTGTAGGTGAGCGACTATGTAGGAAGGAAGCAGCTGAGGGAATGGGAGCAGCAGTCCGGGGTTCTCGAAGTTAAGAGAATCGAGGAATGCGGTGGTTGTAGAGACCATTGACAGAAAGCATCGACCGAACAAGTTAATTACTGTGCTAGGGAGGCAGTCAGAGCGGCAAGTGTGGAGGACGAGTGACGAGGGGTGCCCTCGCAGGACTTGACTGAGGCCATCCATCTGAAGCTCCAGCTCGCCTGTGGCTGGTAATGGCACCTCCCC